TAATCCCGAAATATTATTATTAACCTAAAAGTAATTCTTATTAGCGATTAATTATAAAACCTATATAAAGAAATATAAATAAAACTTAAATTTATTAAAAATAAAATAATAACCTATATTAATAAAAAAAAGATTAAAAGATTAATTTTCTTAGAGGGAAATATAATTTACCTTATAATAAAGAATATTAAAATAAAATAATAAAATAAAAAACTTAATTATAAATATATTAAATTATATAAAATTAAAAAAAAAATCTCGAAATATAACTATAAATTAGATTTATTACCTAAGATTAAGCTTTATTTAATCTTTTATATTTTATTATTTAAATTAATATAAGATATTATCTAAATAAAAATAAGTAATAAGCCTAATATAAAAATTAATAGACTAAAAGAATATATTATAAAAGCTATTTTTAATATAAATAAAATTAATAATAAAATAATATATTTTATTAAATAAAAAGATTACCTTAACTTGGAAAATATATAAGAACCCTTAAAATACCTTATTAATATATAATACCTTCTAAAGAACTTCTATTAATAATACTAAATAAAAATAAAATAGACTTAAAAATAATACTCTAATTAATAACCCTATAGTCTTTTAGTAATTAAACCTTAGATAAGGCCTAAGCCTCTAAATCATAATAAGCCTCTTTATCGCGATATTTCGCCTTATCTAGTTTATCTAAGTCCTTATAATTATAATAGATTATCTTAGTAGCTTTCTTATAAAGATACTTCTCTTAATAATAAAGCTACTATAAGCGAGATAAGGCCTCTAAAAGGTTTACCTTAGTTTTTTCTTTTTATTCTTTAAGATAATCTTTCTCCTAAGAGATATAAGTAATTAAAATATATTAATATATACCTATTACTAAGGGAAATAATAACCTATAAGCTTATAAAGAAATATTATTAAAATTATAATTTATATATTTCTTCTTAATATAAAAGTTATAATATTATTTCCTTTTAGCTATTATATATAAATAATAATTAATATAAAAGTATATAAAATACTAAGGTATCTTAAAATTAAATTTATTAATTAAGCGAGAAAAGTTATTATAGTATATAATAATAAATTTAAGGCGAGAAGATAATTTTTTAATATAACCTAATATTATATTAGTAAAGAAAATAATTATAAGTCTAAGTTACTTATAGTAATATTTAGTCTCTAAAGTTAGCCTTAGGGATAAGATTAATAGAGAAAGAGCCTTATATTATAGCTATAATATAGTCAAGGGTAATAATACTAGGTAAGAAATTAACCTTATTATATTAGCTAATTATAGGGTAAGAAGATATATAAGTTAAATAAAATTAATTTAATTTCTCTTAATTATATAAGTTAAATACTAATAACTCGACTTAATTTAATTATATTTAACTTAAAGACTAGATAAATATATAGAATATATTTATTATACTTCTTTATATAATAATTACCTTAGCTATTAATATAACTTAGTTATACTTAATACCCTTAAGTATATTACTAGATATAATATTATATTACCCTTTAAGGTTATATAATATTCTCCTCTGCTAATATAAACTAGTATGACCGGTTTATCCCTTAGGAACCCTACGATCGTTATATAGGGGAGGAATCCTTGTAAATCTAAGTTAAGAATAAAATAAATAAGGATCTCTTCTTTTAGGTTAATAAGTTTATGTAATTTAGGGGTTTAATTAAGTTATAATTAAATGCCTTATTATTAGCGCTAGAGCTTTATATAACTAATATTATAGATCTCTATAGCGTATTAGACCTTTAATTTTAGATTATTCTAAAGGGCCTAAAGGGTAAAAAGGATTTTAGCCTTATTATTAGACTATAATATACTAGGTAGTTAAGAATTAATTAATTAAATAGAGATAACATAGGTTAAGGGATTTTTGTTATATATGCTTATTTGTTATATAAGCTATATATATATATTACCTTAATAATATTATTATTATTACTATTATAATTATTACTTTCTTCTTTGCCTTTTAAGAGTCTAGAAAGAAGCTAGATTATATAAAATATAAAATAGTTCTTAATTTATAATATTAATATAATACTACCTTATAGCAACTAGGATACTATGTCTTAGGAAAAGGAAGGATTTTTATCAATGGAAAGGAAGTAATAGAACCTTTCACCAGCCAGCCACCCAAGACAACCTAGACTCCTATCTTCAACGAGGCAACGATGGAAGTCATCTATGAGCTGGATGTTCAGCAGGTCAGGAGTATGGGCTAACCGCGTTGTTATCAACGATAATGTTTCTCCATCCGGGGCGGTCCTTGCCACCGCCGGTTTGAGATTCGGTTGCTGCGAGAAGATCGACGCCCAAACAACCATCTCCAAGGCTATAGAATTAGCAACCGAGGTTTATATCCCTATTGTCATCGCCGGCCTCAATAGCGACTACGAAACCGAATATTCAGACCGGGTTTCTTTGGATCTTCCACCAGGCGTAGATAAGTTGATCCAGCAGGTCATCAGGGCAAATCCCAACATGGTCAGTACACGCAATCCCTTATTGATGCCCAACTTCGACTGACTGTAGTAATAGATTATAGTGACTCAGGCAGGATCACCGATTGCCATGCCTTGGGTTCAGGACGCACATACCCTACTGCATGCTTGGTACGGTGGACAAGAGACGGGTAATGCCATTGCCGATATGCTCTTTAGAAAGGTAAATCCAAGTGGACGTCTCTCCATGACATTCCCCAGGCGAGCCGAGGATACACCTACTTTCACTATGGCGAAGGTGTTTTCATTGACTACTGGTATTATGAGGAACTTCGCATACGCCCCTATTTCTTTTTTGGACACGGGCTACCCTACACTATATTCGAATTCGTAAATCTTCAAGCACTAATATCTTTCTCCTTGGACGGAGACTCTTCGATCGAAGTCTGCGTGGAGGTTCTCAACTCTGGTGGTCACGACGGATGGGAAGTCGTCCAGCTTTACATTTCAGACAAGGAAAGCTCGGTTCTACGCCCTATTAAGGAGCTAAAGGGGTTTACAAAGGTCTGGATTAAGGCATCTGAGACAATCACAGCCAAGGTCTCACTGGATAAGTACGCATTCTCGTTCTGGGACGAGTTGATGGATAAGTGGGTGGCGGAAAAGGGGCTATACCAGATTATAGTTGCTACCAGTGCTGACCCTAAGGATGAGATTTTGAGACACGACATCATGCCCCTGGAGGACTTTGCCTGGTCTGGAGTTTAGGAAATAATTATATATCGATGGAGAACTCTACTTTATGTCTAGAAATAGATCTTCCAGGTTCGACTCTATATGTTTAAAGTAGATAGACCCATATACGAGGAATACACTCAATGAAGAACATTCCCGAGCAGAAAGGAAAGAAATGGCGAAGATTCCTTGGAAGATGAGTGCGTCGAAGCATATCGGAAGAATTCTGAGGGTCGCACCCCCAAGACGGTCAATCAACTGTGCACAAATTCTTACCCGGAAGAATCGTGTCTTCTATAACGGGTCGTATATTGGCCAATAAATCCCTTCAAGCTGTGCGTCATCCAAGAAAAAATCTACCTGTGGTAAGGCTTGTTCACTCTGCAGGAATGCTTCCACAGACGGCTCCGCTAGCGCCATGCCAGAAGTCATTAGCTGTGATGGCTGGGCCATGGTGATGGGTTGGCCTTGGTCATCAGCGCTGGCTGAAGCGTCTGCCTCCTGTGGATTGGGCGATACGTTTGACAAAAAATTATGAAGGTCAGATTCCATGGCGTCAATATGTCGACAGAACTCTGTCGCTGCGAAGCTGCCAGAGTCACGAAGGTTCCCGAGGAGCTGGCCAGCAAAGACAAAGTCTTCCCGATCTTTGGAGCTTTTAGGAACGCCGATGAGGCTCGATATGGCCAGGATCGTGGTTGCGGAAAAGAGGTATTGCGTCTTGAAGTAGTCAAAAGTCCGGAAGGTGCCTTCGATCCAGGACTCAACGAGTGTGGCGTATGTATGTCGAGCACATCTGACACATGCTTCTGCTAGTGCTTGAACGCTGTTGGATATCATCTGATCTGCTGTGTTTGGGGTGTTTCCATTTGCCTCTTTATGCATGCGCAACGTATGCAGCAGAACGGGCCGGGTCGCCAGAATCATGGACTGGAAAAGAGAGTTAGTGCAGGGCGGTAGAGGGTGACGTTTTGGTTACCTGGTTGAAAGCAAGATGGAGGGACTGAACAGCAGCCGGCTTTGAGTGTGAGGATTCAGAGCTCATCTGGATGTCGGCCGGCAAGGTCTCAAGCCATTGCTTGAGGTCTCGTAACGCATGTTGAACTCGTTGCAGGAAAGGTTCCTTTGTTTGACCCCGCCCATAGACTGACTTGATCATTTTTTTCGTGATCTTTGCCAGGTGCAGCCTCGCCGAGAGGCAATCAGTATCCTGAAAATCCGCCTGAACTCCGCCAATAAGTCTAGCCGTAGACGGGGGATCAACGAAAACCTCATCGTCTGGAACCGAGACCATCTGACTGCTGATGGAGGCACTTGTTTGATCCATTATATATGCCGTCCACCAGATTCGGTTAAGATGTTCTTTACTTTCCATGTCCGGGAACTGTGCGTCGGGCAGATTGAAGTGCAATCCCATCACTACACAGTGGCGTATGGCAGAGCTTGCCAGGAAGTATGCTGAGTGTCGCCGGTTGACGCACAGCGCATAGAGACACTTTGCCGATTAGCAAGACAAAATAAACGTCCCGAATTGACATACTAAAAGCAGAGAAATCTCGACCATCTCGATACAAGGTCGTTCCTGAAGGAGGCCATGCGCCCTGCTCGCATGACTAAAGTAGGCTAGGCCGGGGGTTCTGGTCTCTTGCACTTGGCCGTGGCTCAGGTACAACTCTCCCAGAGCGAACAATGCTCTGAGCTTGCACTCATGCAGAGAGTCAACCGAATGAGGGGCATGAATAAACTGTTCAAGGAGTTCCCATACACAGCTACTCTGCACAATGTGGAAACAGCCATCAAGACTCTTCAGGGCTACCCGGATCAGGAATCGTGCATGAGTAGGATTTGGTGGAGGGCACTCGGACTGTGCAAGTTCCGATATGACGCCATTTTCCGGATAGCTGATTCGGGGGATATGGTTGAGTGCGTTGTCCGTGAGCAACTGGCGGAAGCGTGTCGCGAAAGCTGCGTCGGCGACTTCCCCGATGAGAATCGGAAGATTAGAGGACTTTATGGGAAGGAACCAGGGCTTCTCGTCAACAAGAGGATTGCGGCTGGGGTCGCCAGGAGATTGCGTGTAGGAATGCAACTCATCTGACGTAGGAGGTTCTTGAATACGAATCTCTCGGCTTCGATTTCTGAGCTCCTGGTTCTCTCGGAGCAAGCTCTGGAGATAGCTATAGTCTATTTAGTAGAACTGAAATTGATTTGACAACGGGATCATACCTCTGGCTAACTTTAATCTGTCTGTCGCGCTTAGGATAAGTGCATTCGGTCTCGCAACTCAACTGCACGCAACTCCGGCATGGTTGACCACCGGGGCATCGAACCTTTCTGGAATTGCACTTGCGGCATCTTTGACTTGGTTAAGAATCATAAATCCGCTACAGTGATGGATAAAGGAGACGAACGCTACTGATTTCATCTTCGGGGTGATCAACGCCGTGGCGTGACTGGGTCCACCATCTTCGTCGACTGGCATTGTCAAAATGATACCAGGGACATCTAGATGAGGTATGGGCTGGAATGGGGAGTTTGAAAGCAAGATTGTTACTGCTGATCAGGAGTTGCAAGGTTTGATGAGGGGGGAGGCCAGGGTCGGCAAGATGGTTCTGTTGACCCGAACACTAGCAGAGGACTCAGTCACGTGGGAGAGTGGTACCCGTAAATTTTCTTTCTCTTGTACCAATCAAAGGGGCCCCCCTTCAGCGTAGCTGCGTGGGTCACTAGATCAAGTCCTCCCTGGTCAAGCCCAACTCAACACACACTGCTTCCAAGCTCTGTTCCTGAGCTTAAGCATACCAATCGTCAGCATTAAGAAGCTTCGTTTGGATAGCCTCCTCGAGCCCTTCCCTATCCGACGATGGTGGCTTCAGGTCCAGCGATGAATCCTCTCCCGTCCTGTTCTTCAGGTTCGATTGGAAGATGCCCGCTGCAGAGAACGGGAGGAAGTCCTCGTAGGTAATGGGGGATGCCTGGACGACGCCATCCAAGATGAGCTGCTCAAGCAATGTCACATTGGTATACTCCTTCTTGGGCTTTTCGGCCGGTTTCTTCACACATCGAAACTCGCAGAAGATCAGCCCTTGTCTCCTCAACTGGACCCAATCATCGGGGTACGCCCTGAAGGTGTCGGCCACAATGGCGTCTGCCTCTTTCGGGTTCGCATCTCCCGCCATCTCCCGGCTCTCGCTCAACAGTCTGTCGTAGAGCTCCCTTCCTTTCGCCGTCACAGCTGCACCCCGCTCCTCGATTTCACCAAAGCGGGCCTTGTGGCTTGCCTCCACCAGGGCCTCCTCGGTTTTGCCTCCGTCGGTAGGAAACTTGACTGCTTCTTCAAGTGCAAGAAAACTTGTTTGCCTCAGCAGGATCGGGCACTTGCGTAGTGGCGGCCCCTCGATGCGTGACTTGACAGCCATGTCAGCTCTCTGCATGGCCTCTTGGACAGCATCGATGTCTAGCGTGCGTGGGGTGAGATGGTTGATGTGGGAGCTTTGGAAGCAAGCGATGTCGGCCAAGATGGGGTGCTCCGCCTTGATCAGGTTGTATTGGCTGAAGGTAGCCGCAGCAATAGGCTTCCAGCTGAATGTAAATAACGCCTGGGGAATGAACACTTCGGCCTGATACTTGTCGAGTCGGCCACCTTGTGACTCCGCCCTGTCGAGGAGCCCCAGAAGCTTGTCCGTAAAAATCTTTCTCCCTCCAAGTAAGGTCAAAGATAGCTTCCGGGCTTCCTCCGAAGCCAGCAATTCGGGCCGCAACAGTGTTGTGAAGACACGGAAAGGATTTTTATCCAGACTGGAGACCTCTGTCGGACGAAAGCAGGTGGCATGCATCGGCAAACCTGCCAGAGAAAGGTCATAGTAGCCGACTGGATGCATCCCTAGGATTTTAAATATACGCGTCACTGTCTGGAGCTCGTAGGGGGTGCCAAGGCGAATAGCGCCATGACGTTCGAGGGTAAGTCGCTCGGAGCTGGTGCGAATCGCAGCAGATGTCGTCGAGGCGTCAGAAGCTTGTCGCTTCTGCAGAATCAAAGTGTTGACGTCTCGGACAATATTGACGAGGTCGCCATATAGAGGAACTTCCTTTCGGTACATGGCCGACATCGCGCTGGCAAAGTTGGTGCGAAGCTCGTCGGCATCGACGAAGATGGAGTTGCTACCGTGTGAATCCATGATGATTGTTATAACAAGGCTATCTGAGGAGATATCGACTGGGAGTTGCTTGAATTGCATCTATTACTCATTTACTGCTCACTACTGACATTTATATAGCATATCACAGGGTTGTGTCAACCTAACTCAGGTTGAATCAAACAACTACGAGCGAGTTCGCGGCGCGACCCGTTCAATGCAGCGGAAAGCACCGGATGATGCAGGATCATACCGTTTCCGAAGCTGGCACACAACTCAACGGCAAATGCACGAGGTCCGCCTCGCCGACAGCTGCGGCAAAATGTCAAGTCCCCGATAGAGCGGCTTCGGTGACTTTGTTGGCAGCCGATACAATCAGCATGTACCACTTTTCGGCTCCACAATCGCTTGGGCCGAGCATCTCAAAGGGCTACAGGTTAGCTACATCAATCTTTTCAACAACTCGGCTCGGATTGTTTGCAATCTTGAAAAGCAATGGCCACTTCTATGGACAAGCAAGTCCTTCCTGTCGCTCCCTGGCGTCGATGGGTCATACTCTTTACAGTAAGTTGGATACCGTTTCCGGTGAATTTCTCGGTTGCTCTGATCCTTGCTGCGGCCCCCGAGGTGGCGGTTGATCTTTCTGTCCTAGCGACCACTATCAGCACTGCCAATGCCGGCGTGCTCGCCGCAATGGCGGTTTCATCACTTATCTGGTTTCCCATCGAAAGCTTGGTGGGACGCAGGAGAACATACCTAGCCGCAGCTTTTCTGTTGTGACCTTGTTCTATCGGAGCGGCAGTGGTCCCAACGATTGCTGGCTTTATCTCTATATGGGTTATTAGGGGGACAACTAGAGTTATGTTCCTTATCTCCGGACAGACCGTTCTTACAGGCAAGTTCGAGCCCATGAGTTATCTAATCCCTATGCCTGAAGAATTTATTCATCTTGCCAAAGACAGTCCGTGGAAAAGCGGTTAGGCTATTCGTGGGAAGCCATATCAGCGCTCAGAGTTAGGGTTTTTAATCGCCACTTGCATAGGCGTGACACATGTAAAGACAACTGCAGCTGGACTCTAAAACTATCTGTCTCTGAATAGCAAACATGGTGAAGCTGAGACGAGTAGACGGAAGCACCCCTCTCGTTATCCCCTCCTCCTCGTCTGAGAGGTTGGTCGGCGAGATCAAAACAACCATGAAATGAAGTCGGGTAGAACCAGCCCTTGTTATGGTGTCTCGAAGAGCGGCTTGATGCGCAAGAAAGGCTTCCTCCTCGCGATCGATGATATCCTTCCCAGTAAAAAGGTCGACTTCGCAAGGCTTAAAACCGCGGCTTTTGGTTACACTCTTGTGCCCAAAGATGAGACCCAAATAAATGGCAATTCCGATATAGCCTGTGATGAATTTCTTGTAGTTCTTGGCAAGACCATCCTCAACAAACATATCGTAGTTCTTTGTCAGGGCGATCAGCACACATACCACCAACGCCACGTAGGAACCATAGATCCCAAAGGGGGCAACGTATGGTAGCTCATCGTTCCTCAACCCTTGGGCGAAACGCGCCCGGCACCAAACGATATGAGTGACAAGGATAGATATCCATGCAACTAGACCAAAGATCGTAGTCAAGTTAATGAAATAATCAAAGACCTTTGGCGAATCATCCGAGACATTCATGAAAGCCAATAACGAGAAGAAAGCCGAGAACGCCAGGGAATAGACAGGAACGCCTCGTGAATCGGTTCGCTTGAAGATAGCTGGGCCTTTTTCCTCTGAGGCGAGCCCATATAAAGTGCGGCTGGCGATGTAAAGATCTGAGTCCGCACCGGTTTTGGCTTTTGCCGTCGCGAAGAGAAGTCGGTCATAGTTCCACGGGACGATCATTCCAACAAGCAAAACGCTGAGACAATAAATGACCAAGATGCGATAGAACGTAAGCTTGATGGCGCGAGGGATAGTTCTGCGCGGGTTTTGGGCTTCGGCCACGGTAACGCCTACCAGCTCCGTACCAAGGTAGGCGAAGGTTGCGTTAACCATGCACGACCAAAAGCCTGCAAACCTCCCAGCGGCTCCGGTTGTGATGTATTCTCGGAGCGCCCTGCGCAAGAAGTTAGTATGTAAGCCTGAAGATGCCAAGTAGAGAAGATAAGAGACATACCCAGGGTCTTTCTAGTATCTGAACCCCTTTCGATCATGGTCTGGACCGCCGCCAAGTGCAAGCACTAGGGAGAAAGTAATGATACCGATAATTGTCAAGACCTTAAAGGGCGATATCTAGAACTCAAATTCTCCGAAAAAGCAACTTCCGAAGTAGTTGATGCAAGTAATGGCGACGAGGAAAACAGCTATAAACACTCCTGGATTGACCTTGTCCCGGTCGACCCAGAACTGTATGACCAATGCCACAGCAGTCAAATTGGGGGTCACGACGATGTACTTGAACCAATAACTGTGAAAGAGAGTCAGTTTACGTTCTGTGGCTCCATTACGTGAGATGCCGCTGAAGTGTTGGAGGTTTGGAAAGGCAAAGTCACCACCAACCAAGAACGAAACCAAGAGAGGGGTCGCAGAATCTGGCCGCATAACCAGTGAATCCGGCAGAGATTGGGAGCCAAGCAGCCATTTCGCCGAGAGAAGTCATGACTAAGAAGACGATGAAACCAACGACCGTATATGAGATTAGAACGGACCCCAGGCCAGTTTGCGCCAAGGCCTTGCCCGTGCCGATGACAAGTCTAGCACTTACCTTGGGTCTGGACCCCAAACATGGAGAATCCCTGCAGTAATCGCTACACCTCTCGGAAGTGTCTCGACACGCTGCCTGGCACAATCTGGGGCTCCTAGGTTCGTGCTGGCATCTTGAACTTACCCCGGGATAAGGAATCGGGAACTAACAAAGGGTGCCGGTGACTGGTTTCGGCGATTATGGGGACCCCGGGATTATTTCGCCCTCCCGAACTTAACTCATGGGCCCCATTGTGGGCAGAGGCTAAAATGGTCATTTCCCGTCACCACTGTTCTGTTTGACCACCACAGGCATGTCTACCCTTGCCAAGAAGGAGGTCCGCACTGACGGCGCCCCAGCGCCAAAGCCTTTCCTATCCCAAGGGGTTGTAGTCGGTAACATGGTTTACGTCTCTGGTAGCTTGGGGATGGACCCCAGCACTGGCAAGATGGTTGAAGGCACCATTACGGACCGTACAGTATGGACCCTCTATCCAGTCACACTGCCGTCGGTTAACCCTTGAAGATCCAAGCTTTGAAGAACATCTCCAGTATCTTAGAGGCGGCTAACACCTCTATGGCGAACTTGGTAAGATTTCTATGGTCTCAACCCTCTGTGACAATGCTTACTTAGGTTTCTTTTCTTAAACAGGTCAAGGTTAATGTCTTCATTACGGATATGAAAGACTTCAGTGCTATGAACGAGGGGTACTTGAAGGAAGTTCGTGCAGGAGTGATGCCGGTTTGTGTGGTCTGGCTCTAATCATCACTATCGTCCGCTAACTCGAGATTTTGAAGGTCAGGACTTGTGTCGCGGTCAAGCAGCTGCCTTTTGACTCCGACGTGGAAATCGAGGCATCAGCCCATCTTCCCTCATCGAATCTTTGATGACGACTGAGAATGGAGGCTCATGGGGATGTAGTAAATCCAAAGCTCACTGAATGAAGGATGAAACCTGAGGTTTTCCGTATCACATCGTTACCAACATGCAACTGTGATAGCCAATCACAGTGTTAACATCCGGTTATGATGTTATGATGTGTTGAAGATCTGTTCTTTACTATAGTTGCAGCCCGGCCCTTGATGGGCTAACTAAGCCCGAAGATCGTGATAGCCATCGACCATTCCAAGTCATAGATTCTCGTCGGAACTCGCGAATAATTGATAACGGTGGGAGAATGACTGTCTCTGAACCGACGAGTCAAGTTGACATCAGCCGAGAAACACGAGATGAACAAACACGAAAACTTAGCTAGCTCAAGGGGGGGTTATAGAGTGGTTAGCTGGTATTGGTATCATCGGCCGTGGTAATCAATACGGGCATCTCGCTCTTGAGAGAGAATGGAGTAGGAAACAGATCTGTCAATGATATTTGCAACTGGCCCTTCCTATTCACTTTCTAGCTATTGGACTGCAGTCTGGAGAAACTCTGCTGTGCCTCAAACACCTGTTCGGGGGACTTGCCAACTAGCTTCTCGTAGATCGCAGGATCTGTGGCACCCTCCAGGCCAAACAAAACGACTTGGCTGTCTTTATTCAACCCCAGCTTCTCACGGAGTTGTTCATCCCTGGCAGCCTGAAGCATGACGCCCATGTTGGCCGCCGAGCTCTCCCCACAGACGACAGGGGTGTCGCCACCAGAACCGCTTGCCAAGGCCTTCATCCCCTCGATTGCGACCTCGTCTGGAACCGCAACAAAGTCGCTGGTGAGCCAGGTCAAGATCTTCCAAGCTGCCGGTGACGGGCCTCGACAGGCCAGGCCAGCCATTAGGGTATGGAGGCTCCCTTCAGACAGGCACATCTCCCCCTTCTTGGCACTCTGGTATAAGCAGTCTGCTTCCATGGGCTCAACCACCACGAATCTCGGAGGGTTAAGGGCCTTGCCTCCTTGTGCTTCTTGAATCTGGGAATGGCGAGTGAAGAAGCCCAGAAATATGGCTGCAGCAATACTCCCAACACCACCGCAAACAAAGACGTGAGTGATATCATTAACCGCGGGGACCATCTGTAGCGCCTCCTCCACAACCACCATGTAAGCATTCATGACATTTTGAGGGATGCCGTTGTCGAAGTCGCTCCAAGAAGTACTGCTGACAAAATGCCACCCGTTCATTCGCGCATCCTCCTTCGCCCTTTCGACAGAGGCTTCATATTCGCCCTCGATTCGGATGACGATGGCGCCCAAGTCTTTCATCAGGTCGGCCCTCCCGGGGCTGACGTGGTTATGGATGTAGTCGACACATCGACAGCCAAATATTTTGGCGCCGTAAGCGAGTCCTCGACCCTGGTTCCCATCCGTGGCGACACAGACGGTGACCTTTTGTGTCATGTCCTTATACTTGCCTGTCCGGAGATCCTGTGATGTCGGCCTAATGCCAGTCTTGGAAAAGACCTCATCGGCCAGGAGCCTGTAGACGGCGTACGGCGCGCCAAGCGCCTTGAAAGACCCAAGAGATGTACCGAACCGCTTACTCTCATCCTTGAAAAGGATCTTGCTGATTCCCATCTCCTTTGCCTGGTTGGGCAACGAGTGCAGGGGTTGAGGCTCGTACTCAGGCCATGTTCTGATCTCTTCAATTGCCTCGGCCCATTTGGAGAGATTCTTGACGCAGGCAGCTGCGTCAGTCTCGCTGGCCTTGCTGAGGCGGCTCTTGTGGTGGAAGTGAGAGTATTCGGTAGCGACGTGCATGATGTTTGAGGTAATAGGGACAAGAACTCCAGTGCGGAGAATTTCAGGTATGAATCTTATTGTTCAACTTCAGAACGGGCTCTCAGTGGGCTTTCTTTTATCCCAATTACTTGCTGAGGAACTTGACAGGATGGCCGCGCACAACCCAGCCCTTGCTTCGAAAACAACGCAAAAGAATCCTGCCGATAGTCGGGTTCCCTTCCACCGATACCAATGACAACGGGCAAGTCGCTTGACGCCCGTAGGCATCGTCCGCCCTCCTCGGCGACCAAACCAAATGGAAAAGACTGAACACTCCGAGTTACTCTGTGGTTAGGTAACTGCATCATGTGGGTTTGTGAATGAGAATCCAATTTCCGTGTTGAGACTCGTCTTCTCGAGCGAGTGACATGATTGGACACCGGCGCCGAAAACTTTCCCCGGCCTCCCCTCGGCGCGCGAGAAACGTCCCGGGCTTCGGGCGCCCTTCCAGCCATCAAAATCAAAGTTCTTGCAAAGCACTCGCCGCCTGCTAGCTTTGCCACTCTGACAGATCTTCACGCTGATTGGTGCACATTGGAAAGCGGACTGAGCCCTCCTGGAACACAATGAACGAGGCCATGAGTCACAATCCCCGAGTCGTGGCGGACCCAATGGTTGGTCCGACAGCTCCACCATTTGATGTTCGAACCTTCTATCAAAGGTGGAAGCAAAGATCTCGTTGAAGCCGATGTCGGGAGATCCGTCTTGCTTCGGCTAACTGCGGAGATCAAGGGTGTCTCGGGGCGCCTTTCGAGGTCAATGGTAGGGCTACTAAATCATCATGTCCCTCTTCCAACATCGCTGTATCAAAGCCGCCATAACAGGTCATACAATTCGTATCCGTTGCTATCTTGCGCATTCGTCCGATCCTCCACCAGTCCGGCGTCCAACTCAGCCTCCCTGCTACGAACATGAGCCACGCCGCCAAAGAAAAGCCGCTGAGGGCTGCCGACTTGTCCTACAGCCGCTCGAGCACGCCTCAACCCGTGCCGAGCGAGACCAGCGTTCTGGCATCTGAACAGAGCATCTGTACGGACCACATGATTACTGCGACATGGAAATACGGAGCCGGATGGTCTAGCCCTGAGCTGAAGCCTTACGGCCCTCTTAGCCTACAACCAACCGCATCTTGCCTACACTACGCCACCGAGTGTTTCGAGGGTCTCAAGGCTTACCGTGGCTATGACGGCAAGCTACGCGTTTTTCGAATCGACCGCAATGTTGCTCGACTGCGAACCTCGGCCTCCCGGATCTCGCTCCCCGTGTTTGAGCCCGAAGAGGTTAAGAAGCTTATCATCCGCCTGTTGTCTGTGGATGCTGCTCGTTGGCTTCCAGAGGGCCAGGCCGGTAGCTTTCTCTATGTTCGCCCTACCATCATCGGCACCTCAGCTCAGCTGGGTGTTCAGGCCCCGAAGGAAGCAATGCTGTTCATTGTCCTGGCCTTCATGCCGCGGCTCGACTTGCCACCGGAGGGCTTACGCCTATACTCGTCTCCAGAGGATACGGTGCGAGCTTGGGTCGGTGGGTTTGGGTACGCGAAAATCGGTGCCAACTATGGCCCGTCGGTCATGGCTCTGAATGAAGCCGCCGCGCGTGGCTACCATCAAGTTCTATGGCTCTATGGTAAGGACGGCGAGTGCACTGAAGCCGGAGGGTGCAACTTCTTCGTTGTCTGGGTCCGCAAGGATGGCGTCAAGGAGCTGATTACGGCGCCACTGGACGACAAGACTATCCTGGATGGCGTCACAAGGCGTAGCTGCCTTGAGTTGGTCAAAGAGAGACTTGGCCAGAAGATTCAGGTCACAGAGCGCAAGTTCACGATCACTGAAGTCATGGACGCAGCCGCTGGAGGACGTCTTCTGGAGTCATTCGCTGCAGGTACAGCTGTAAGTATAACCTCGATCGCGCTTCACCAAGCCCCAGTGAGCTTACAACTGTAGTACTTTATTTCGGCCGTTTCTCGAATTCACCATAGAGGAAAAGACATCGACGTATCTATGGGTCAAAGCGGAAAGGGTGGCGAGATCACGACTGCGATCAAGACTTGGCTCTCCGAGATCATGTATGGAGAGACGGAACACGAGTGGGCAACGGTCATGCCTACAGAGGCCTAATTGGCGGCTGTGGAATAAGCACAGGTCAATGGGAAGGAGAAGTAGGACTAAAAAGCTGTTCTTCAGTTTGTCCCGTGCATGTTTGGTCCACAGTGGTTTCTAAATACTGGCTGGTTTTCCTCGTAAAACAGCTGTCCACTATTTAAAATTATACTTGTTTTCTATGAATGCCAGTCCACTCTGGTGGTGATACCCTTGGAACAAAAACAAGTAAATAGTGTGGGAAACTTCACTGGTCCCGAGTTGTAAAATATGGCATGAAGCCGGGCGGACAGGCGACAAGTGTCACATGGGCTTCTCGTGGCATTGATTGTACGGAAAGCGTATCATAACAATAGCATGGAGAAGACTTTTCGACATGAGAGCCGAAATGCGCTAGCAATTATACGTCGGCGCAGGCTAATCTACCGGCCAAAGGTAAACAGACCGAACCGGCGTCGGCAACTTTACTCGGCCGCGGGAAGCCAAAACCCACTCTGGCCCAGCGACTTCACGTTTTCTCAGTCCTTGGTGACTCATTATTGGGTAACAAAGACAGAGGGGCCTCTCTGCGCAAGAGATTCTCGCTTCTGCTAATGTACTGCCCCATCCTCTTAGTCCAACATGTTGCGACCTCTACTGTCACACCGACCCTTACTATCTGGCACCGGGGCATCCAAGATCTGCTCTGCCTGTAACAATGCGTATTTGCCATCGATCGCTCAGCATGGTACGTTCAAACCCAGACGCCATTTTACTCACTGACCACCCAACAGGCCAGTTTTCCCACTTGGGAGCAACCAAAAAGCCCTTGCGCTTGATGCCAGTGGGCGGTTCCGTCACGTACGGTGTTGGGTCCTCCGATGGCAATGGATACCGACAATTCCTCGGCGATATGCTTCGCGCTGATGGCTACCAAGTGCAGTTCGTCGGCTCGCGTAGATCAGGCTCCATGGATGATAGCGACAACGAGGGGTGGCGGGGATGCAGAATCGACCAGATTGACAGCAAAGCAAGGAAATGCGTCCCAACCTTGTTACCTCAAGTCTTAGCTGTCAATGCTGGATCCAATGACTGCATTCAAGACTTTCGAATGGAAACTCTCGGCCTCCGTATGGATGATATGCTTGAATTCTTTTGGCGAACAAATCCCTCATCGGTTGTTATCCTATCAACCCTACTCGTAAACATAGACAAGGACATTAACTCGCGAGTAATGCGCGCAAATGATCAATTTCGTCAGTTAGTTGAGTTAAAAGCGAGGAAGGGGGAGAAGTTAGTGCTTGCAGATATGAACAGCCCTCAAGGGCCTCAACTTAATGATCTGGTTGATGGCATACATCCAAATGACCATGGGTATAAGAAGATGGCAACTATCTGGTTTAATGCTGTCCGACGAGCCTATGAGAAAGGATTTATATAGGGTATAGAGAGTATAATAAGACTTTCCTTTCTGGTACTGGGTGTAGAATGCTATTCGACACAATGGCTACAGTATGTGAGACGTCGGCTGGAGTTCCCGGTGTCAAGCCCAACAATTAATACAACTTGTGAAGAGTAGCATATTAGAAAGCAGGCTATCTTGATAAAGGGAAATGTCTTCTCGTAGGCCAGAGATGGAGGCACACGTGACACAATAATTGTCATGATCTGTCTATAAAGTCAGCTTCGGAGATGCAGGTGGATGGTCAGAAGAGGAGTGCTCTCAAAAGAAACACACGATGAGCAGAGGCATGATAGCGCAATAAAGTCTATAAAGGCCTTCTGTGCCCATCATCTGGGTCGATGCAGTTCAACACGACAACTCCTTGGTCTTCTTGTTTTTAACTATCCTCGATCTGGGCAGCAAATTCCTTGTCGTTGCAGCTGAACATAGTGTGCAGCGGCTCCTTTTACTAGGTCATAATAGCTAGCCCTAAATTTTGGTGTCATAGTAGTATAGATTGGCTGGCTGTTAGCAAGATGAAGCGGCTCGAAAAGAAGACATGGAAGTTGATGTCAGGGGGACATGTCAAGTCGCGCTGAGCAAATCTCCTCTACCCATGGGAATCTAATGTTACATAGCTTCCCCACGTTTCTGCATCTAGTCTGAATATGTGACTAGGAAAGACTTCTTATCGATTGGATGGTGTCATGCGAGTCTCAGTGTCATTGCAAGGTATAATAATACTTTGGCCTCGGTAGAACGCAATGACTCCGAGCACGGCTGAAACGGGTCTCTGGGCTATAACTATAATAAAGAACAGATCATCAACACCTCATAACATCATGACCCGATGTTAAAACGGTGGCCTTTTTGTTTAAACCTTCTGCAACAGCAGAAGAGTCACTCCTAGCCACATCGTCATGAAAGGTCAAGCCTCTCATGGGGAGTCGTGTAGCAATGAATACAACTTATGGCATCCCGCGGGATGGCCAGCATTAGCCTCGTCCGCTTTCGGTGTAGAAACCGAATTTACCTCGAATTGGGCGTCGGTCAATGACCAAAACACCGGTCCCACCACATTGTTCATGCGGTGGCCCAGCAAGACAGATGAGATGGAGAATTGATCATGATCGGTTATGAATACATGCAGACACGATCTCGTGAGTTGAGTGGTAAGTAAGGGTGTATAGCGGAAACCATCGGCTTGGCAGGCTGTTCCATAGGACTGCCTAATCCCCAAGGTTTTTAGAGGGAAGCAGAAGCGAAACGATCTTCGGGCTTAGTTAACCCATTAAGGGCCGGGATATAATTAAAATAAAGAATGGATTTTTAATATATTATAATATTATTACCTAATATTAATATAATAATCTTTTTTTTCTAAAAAAAGAAATTTTTATAATTATAAAAGAATTAAATTTTATTATATTATTTTAAAAGGTCTAACTTTTATAGATATTTTAATTATTTTAACCTCTATATATAAAATAAGGAATTCTCTATCTTTTTATCTTTATAAGCTATAATCTTTTAATACTATGTTGTTAAATACTATGCCTATAAGCACTGTAGGCGAAGCGAAATGGTCTCAAAGGTTAAAAACACTGCACTTATCTATCCAGATCTCTACGATTGAATAAGCTCAGTTGCCCGTCTTCGGAGCCAAATCAAACTCTACCATAACTTTTCAAACCAATCTCTTTATTAATAGCAAGGTACGTTCGAGTATTATTCAGGCCAGTGCAACGGCCATGCTGAACCAACTAGAGGTAGGACACGTCAATGACTATGCTTGAAATTCAAGTCAAGACTAATCATAGAAATTCACCCAGCCTTCAATTGAGGCGTGCAAGCCTTAACTTTGAGTATCCTTCCGAAAGATCTTATTGACGGTTGGCTTAAGGAGGAGTGTGCCGTGTCCACCAGTGTATTAACATCGGGTCATGGTGTTATGATGTGTTGACAATCTGTTCTTTATAATAGTTGTAGCCCGGCCCTTGATAGGAGCTGAACCAGAAGATAAAAAGAAGGGAAAAGATTCACTAATACAGCATTTATATATTGATCAAACTTATATAGACTTCTATACATAATATCAAGCTCACATGCCCGTAATGCATCCCCTCTACTAGCATGACATTATGTTTGCTCAATACTCTGGAGGGGTACGTGGGAAAGTCTATCAATCTCTCAAAGCTACTGAATTCCTCGGACCGACTTAAACAGCAGTAGCGAAACCGATGCGGGAGTTGCTGGTGTCATAGACAGAGTAGTAGTTCTCAAGGAACTTCTGTCCAATGATAGTGTTCACACCAGAGCTACCTCCGTCATTGATCCAAGCGTAGTACTTGCCGGATGTTAGGCCAAAGTTGCTGTACTGAGCAGTAGGAACAAGATACTGCGCGGGCGTAAGGGTGTAAGTGGTTGACCCAAACTTGATACCAAAGTTGGATGTGGGCTTCGTGGTGAAAACAGCCAGACCAGACGAGCTGTCTGTCTTGCCGCCAGCAGCAGTCAAGAACTTGTTATAGGCAGCAGTAGGGATGTAGATGAGGGTAGTGCCAGTGTCGACAATGCCACTGCCAGATGAGGCGAGGGTTGTAGACCCATAGGTGAAGCTAGCAATTGAGATACCCCAGTACGCAGAAGCAGAGCCGCTAGTGAGGGTTGGGAAGTAGGTGAGGGTGCCGGAGTACTTGGAGCTGTCGGTGCCGCCAAGGGTCAACTCTCCGTTGGCGTCATCATCGTCGCTACCAGACTCGGGTCGGAAAGAAACACCGAGTACCTCAGACGAGATCGAACCCTGACTGTAGAGGTTGTCCATGAAGGTCGGAACTGTGTTGACGTTGGAGACGGTACCCTCAGTAAGATCAACGGGTCCAAACCCAATAATGCCATCTACGCCAGAGAAGCCAGAAGCCGAGCTAGCAGCACCAATCGACTGTGCGGCAACGCTAAGACCACCAAAGCTGACCTTGTCCTTGTACTCGGTGCCAGAGAATGAACCAGAGCCGTAAGAAACAGAGACAGAGCCACCCGTGGATTTGCCGGTCGATGTTGGCTCGCAAGAACTTTGAGCGCCACACCAAGTGTTGGAGGCTATATCAGTGTTAGTCCACAATCTGTATCATTGACGCAATGAAAGAATGTCACATACATCCAGTGTCGACGATGAGCTCCCAGGTTTTGCCTCCAATGACGACAGGCGCGACATAGGAGACATCCTCGTTAGTGACAGAGCCAGAGCTGGCAAGGACGTGAGCGAAGGTGCTGGCCTGGCCGTTGACCTTGTGAATACGGGCCTGACCCTTCTGGACAAGGCTCTTGATCGAAGTGGCTTTGACGACGTGCTTCAAGGGAAGCACAGCTGTCTTGGCCCTGGGCTCAATGGGCGATGCCGAGACGGCAGCGGCAGCGGCAAGAGTAAGAGTGACGGCGAACAACATATCTGCAAGAAGCACGGTAGTCGGTATGTAAGATGTGTAGTTGGAGAGTGTTGATGAGATGGGATGGTGTTGGATTTCAGACATGGAAGCATGGAAGTTTGTTTTTATATCCTACGAGGCTTAAACATAGCTTGATCTGTACATCTCTTCTCGGCAAACCGGCATCGTCGAATCCATACACATGTCCAAACTGCACAAGTCAGACTAGGATCCAAACGTCTGCCAAATGCTCTAGATGCTCATACTCGTATGAAAGTGATGATACAATCGTTGGGTTTGTAGCCTCGTTGTCTGCTAGAAGCCACTAGCGTGTCGCGACGAATAACACCTACCACATTGGGTATCTTCCGTGTCCAACTCCCCAATCTGATAGGGTGCATATTCGGCTGAACACCCAAACTAATCATCCAATGCCGAGCTCGTCATCCAATAGACTTCTTTCTATGACATATTTAGCGGAGTGGCACACTGGAACCCCAGAGTCACGCCTTTGATCCGAGAGACGCGGTCTGGATTGCATCTGGGTCGTATGATATAAAGAGTTGATCCCCCGTTGCCGTCATAACCGAAAATCTCTCGAAATGGCAGCTAGATATATCGAGGAACCTTTCAAAGGTCCTTGCCAGAGAAATCAATGCCACATCTCTTAATCCTTATCAATTACCAAGCGATACATCTCAGCTTTGGTTACTTTAGCGCACCATTCCCCAAAGCCCCTGGTTACAGCTTCAGAGGAGATAGTACATCAAGTTATTCTTTTGCGATTTTCTGGCTCAGTTAACCCATCGAGGGCCGGTCTACAACTATAAGAAGAAACTTATTATCAACACATTATGACCCGATGTTACACAGCGGGTTATTCTTTTGCGTGTTTAGATACAATACTACCCTACATCGGATAGATTTGCCGTCGCTTATCGCCAAACGTGTCTGGCTAAATCACTTACCTATTTCGCACAAGACACTGTAACAAAAGTCCCGTTATCTCTACAAACTGACCCATTTAGTATGCGATTTTCCACATGTCGCGGTTCAAAGCCGGGATAAGGCTAGGGCGCTTGCATAAGTTCCTCTCTTTCCTCTTTGGGCTTGGTAGCCGAATCGATAACATGGGATATACTCCACCACCCGAGGCTTGTTCTTTCGTGATAGGTGTTGATAGGCCAAAGGGAATGTATCAGGTCGACACCTGTTCCTCTTGGAGGAACCTTGATGGCTGGACGCGTGTAAAAAGCAGTCGTTGAATAGAGAGATAGTTCATTAACATTGTGTTTTTCTCATGAACACATGTCTGGCTGCAGTCATCACATAAGCCTCATGGTAGACGACTAATTGAAGGATATTAACTAATAGACATGTCTAGCTATGAAGAATGCGAATCCTTGAATAACATCATATGAGCTAGTGCACCTCCATAGATCCCCATAGCGAATGCAATTCTCGTCCAAGATAGTTTTCAAGCCCTCTAGGAATTATCGCAGGTCGTATTTCGAGAGACTTCAATAGATAAAGCAGGAGAGCTCACCCTTGGCCATGTTATATCAGTCTTGAATATTCCCTATGTAAACTCCCGGGCGTTGCTCGTCGCCAGACGATAGAATCGGTTGAAAAGGTTGATTACTCTCAATTTAGTAGTGGAAGGCGACATGTTCTATCAAAAGCGCTGGAGGAAGCAGCATCACAATTGTTGACGCGGTCTGGCCATTGAATGGACCTCAGACTTGTAAGGGCAAACTATGAAAATGTGCAACGTGCATCCCGCCAAAAGTCTAATAAATTTCCTTCTTGAAAAACAAAATGTTCACTGGTAACACACTCGCGTCGTTAACACTGCGTCGTATCTGCCTTGTCATTTTGAAGTCGTCGGCAGTATTTTTGGTCCTCTCGTTTCAGGTGATGCTTCGCCACAGTTCATTTCCATGGAGGATCTGTTAGAGGGAAGAGGTGTCCTCTGATTGGCTCATGCGTACCCTGTTTACTCCAAGGATTGCTGCTTGAAACAATGAAACGGTCAAACAAACCAGAATTTAGAGTCAGTATTGTCGAGGCAGATGTGCCGCACCCAACGTCATTTAAAGCTAAACATAGACCAACGAAAGTAGTAAGCCTTCCGTCGCGTGAGGTTATTTTACCTTAACTCCGTGTTCTAGAAGAAATTGTGGATGCACTAGGCCCCGCTACTCTTCTTGCCCTCGAATGCCTTGATAGCCTCATAGGGTATCCCGGTCAAGTTGCAGTGAGCACTATTGTTATACTCAATTAAGAATACTGACTTGGGAGTTTGGCTTGATGTTTTCACATTTAGCATAATTATGAGTTAGTTCTCCTCATATGACAGACCTGTACAAGCAATCCAATTCATGGTGGGTGTGTGCCCAGGGCCCAGGCAGAGATCGCGTAGAGGATGTGTTCGAGCTCGTGGGCCACGATGATTGAGCCCCTGCCCCTGAAAAGACTGCGGTCCTTCGCTTAAACCAAAGAAAACAAATGGCGAAAACGCGCTGGGATTTCTCGGATACAAAGGGCCTGGCCTTAGTGCCTTGAAGAAATTGAGCCAAGAAACCACCTGGACCCGCCTCGCAGTCTGCGGGCCAGATGAAAAGACGTAATGGTTTCTAGTTATTCATTGATCCAAAACCAGCGCTAAGCTGAAAAGCATCATGTCAGGTGCCAAGCACTCGTCTTCATGACCGCTTTTTGAACACAGGCGGTGATCGTATCCGAAGGGGGGCGGCGCGCGGTGTGTGCTTGAGCAAATGCAGAAGGAATGGAATCCAGGCCGCGACCAATAAGCCTACGAGCGTGCAGGACGGGGCAATATTGGAAAATAATCGTGTTAGGACAAATAGGCCAATTCAGGTCGGCTGCACCGACAAAGCTAACACATTACGATCGAATGGGATCCAGGGGGTGGGATCATCGTTGCAGCAATAGCTAAAGGGGATGAAGTTGACTTACTTCACGGCATTGGGGTGTGAATGTCGTATGTATTGATGACTGTACCTTTTCTGCTGTTACTGGTCGCCTCTCTTGAATTCATCATTGAGGATAACATAACAACAACGGGAGGACGACGTGAAGCATGTCCGGAGGCTGCGAGTGTGCAACCTGTGTTGGAACACCATCTGTTACAACGAAAAAGAGGACCTCAGCATATGTAATACCTAACATTCTATCCCCGCAGGGATGTCATTCATCCGCTTGTTGCCTTCGGCTTCGAAGAGGATGTGAAAAAGCAGTCCCCCAAACTCATCCTGGCATCAAGCTGCGTCTATGATAAAGGGGCTCAAACAAGCTCAAGCTAGCATCAAGAAGATGGGCCATTCTCTAAGGCTTGCGGTGCTGACTGCTGTGACCGTGTCAGGTCGGTAAACTGTCCCAGACGAACGGTGACGATCAAGGGTCACAGCCCCAAGTCCCATCATGTTGATGGTTGCCTGCAAACTGTGAGCCCCTGGCAGACAAAAGTCCCCGAATATCGTATTCGAAAAATTGGTATTAGAGTTGACAGCGCAGATCCAAAAAGTCGACTGGTTAATCGGAGCGGATGCTTCATTGAGAACGTGAATGAGGCCTCCACCGATGGCGGCTGGGCTGTCAGGGGCAGAAGTCTCTCCAGCTTCTCTGGCCCCGACCTGCTATCTTTTATACAGTCTTTCCTCTGTCCCAACATATTATCAGGATGTCAAGCAGACGCGCTTGGGGTACGGTTTTCCATCTTCTATCACCCGAGTTTCGCGAGCTGGGACGCGCCATTCTTCGGTGTCGTACTAAGAACGACATAACCGCCCATTGCCGCTTCTAAATCCCATAATATCTTCCCATTATTGGTTTCATTACGATTCTGTAGCCGATACGAACACTTAGCCCTCGACTCACTTCATCCTAAGTCTGCCTTCACAATGATCCTGCAATACGGAATGAGGCGCCTTTTTCGAACATCTCCGAAACTCTTTGCTCTGTTGGGAATCTCTTTGGCCGGAATCATTGTGCTTCACCAGCTGAGCTATATTACGGACCTTGCTTTCGCCAGCCCCTTGCCAGAGTCCATCGATTTGATCAAAGCCTGCCGCCTGCCTGAAACCGAAACCGATCCCGCACGCGATACTCAGACACGAATTGCGTCGAGCATTCCTAAACTTGTCCATCAAATATGGAAAACGACCGATATTCATACCTACTCTACAGAGACGTCACACGAGTCATGGAAGACTTCGTTTGAAGCCATGAACTATACTATCAAGCTATGGGCCGAGGATGATATCGTCAGGCTTATCAATACTCAATACCCTTGGTTGCTGCCGGTGTATGAAGGTTACTCTTATAATATACAGAGAGCAAACATGGCTAGATTGTGTACGCCAGCTCAACCTGCAAGCTCTCTTTGCTCCTACCGCGGGAACCCTTGGAGTTAGCAATTATTTCTTCATGGCTGAGAGAGGATCGGCATTTATCCAGTGGACACTTGAGGAGGCAAAGCGTCGCAGTGGTTCGGCGTCAAGCCGGATTCTTCTACCGTATCTTCGAGTTTTCTGGTCCACAGGGCCAATGATGGTCACTTTCGCGTTTGTGCAGTATGTATGCATGCGCAGCCTAGCGGATCACTATTTGAGTGTTATGCAGGAGCAATATGGAAGGTCAGTGATTCAACATAGGGCAGGGCGATCGTGGCATGGTCTGGACGGGGATCTACTGAATTGGTTTGCAGACCATATCGATATACAAACTCTGTGGTTTTCTATCATATTGTTAGTTGCTGCTATTGGACTTGTGTACGTAATGTCTTGACGCGGCCAACGGAACAGGGCGGCTGCTATGAGGACAAGCCCTAGGTTATGAAATCCTCATGGTTGTATTGCAATTGAAGCTTTCTCCGATTAAATATCATGGTAGCCGTGGCAGGGGACAAGCATCCCTTTGTTATTCCCCGCCGAAAGGACTGGTACCTGTAAGCTTGTTATGTCGCGGGACCAAACAAAGCCGCACTTGACTCGCCGCAGCCACACAGTACAGCAACGCACCGCACCGCATGCGCTGTTATTACCCGGAAAGCAAATCATCGTTATCTTGTCGTGCCTCTGCTCGATGTGCGCTCCTGGGGAGGGGACAACCGCGTGACACCTCCACTGATGTAAACCTAGGATAACGAGTTTATTGCTCAGGAACTATAGAGCCGGTAGAACCAACAATTGAGTGCAATATAGAAACAGCTGGTTAATTGAAAAGTATTTTAATACAAACGATTGACAAAGTATGTCTTTAATGGTATAAGACATAGCAAGACGGTACGAAAGAAACATAGACCCGGCGCTCTTACCGCACCGGCTGATATTCATTCTAACAAGCGGTACAACCCAGCCAGACCGCAAATCCGACTGAAGGTACAGGGATGGACAGGGCCTTGCCAATGCCCTTGCACAGAGCGCACTCCCACACCGAAGCCTCGCATTCAACCGTGTACTTCATCCTCCCATGCTCGTTGGAATTATCGCCGGATCCGGGCCTCGGAAGGTTGCGCATAACCAATTCGATAGTGCTAGGCATCTTGAAGTACTTGTCGACCTTCGTCTCATATAGGCGGCATGACCCTTCCCTGCCAGGACGCGTGTCAGGGGATCGGCAGACCTCCGTAGTTACCTCTCGCTCGCTTGTGAACTTGTCGGACTTTGATAGTTCTTCAAAGACAGAGGCCATCTTGTCCAAGGCGTCGGTCGCCGGGTCGCCGGAGCACTCCCACTTGATAGTGCACTTGTCACTAATTGAGCGCTTAGTGGTGTCGCAATTATAGCTGTCTTCATTGAAGGCATCTCGGGCTGTGGCCATGATGCGTGAAGCCGGCTTGTTGTAGAATTCGACCCAATCGGCATTCGTAGAGCCCCGAATCTCGGTTTTCTGAGGCTCAGGGGTTGTCGGCTGAGGGGAGGGCTTGGCGGGGAACTCGCCCGGGAGGGCATAGGCCTTATCAAAGTGGTTGCAAACATATGCGCTCGAGCACCACGTGCCGTCAGCCAGCTGGTAGACCTTATCCTTGTGGTACGAGTAACAGGTCAAAAGTACATTGGATTCAAAACCGTGATAAGCGACTCCTGCATCATTGGGGTCCTTCACGTCGGCCTTGATAAGGACAGCAAAATCATCGCCGTTGGGCATAGTGAACCCGATACCACCTTGCTGAGTCCAGGGATATTGGCCGGACCACGGCACGTTGGCCACCATGGTTGGTTTGTTTGTCTCATCGCCGTTGCCCGTCCAGACGTGACTGTTGTAGTAGAACACCTCGCGGGAGGTGGAGCCGCCATCAGGGCCCTGGCCGATGCCGCAATCAGCCAGGACGAGATGCTCATTTGGGGTTCTCTGAGAAGTGGCAAGAGGAATGCATGAAAGTAGGGTCAAGACCGCGGAGGCGGAAACCGAGTTGAAGAATGTCATGATGGGCATAGAAAGATTATCCCTCGATTGGAGGAGGTGCTTGTATTTGCTAGTTCACTTTCATAATGCCCAGAACTCACCCTGGCCTTTATATTGAGTTCACTGTCTCAGCTGTTCATTCCCTACGCTGAATTGAAGCCTCATCTTTGTCTGGGTCTCATGAACAACATCTGCATCATCCCTGTCAAACTCGGGATATCCGATTTAAGCGAGTGCGGGTCCCATAATCGCCGAGCACTGTCAATCTGCTTCATTGGGCATGATATATTTAAAGACATAAGCGGAGGCTACTTGAGTAAAGCCGAAGAGGTCCCCGAGATCCACTTCTAGAACACAATTTTCGGACTTTTGCGATGGTCGGCGATGACCGTCGACATACCCCTAGGTGACTACGTATGGTGTTTGCTCTCCTGGGATGGTACGGCTTCTGACTGGCTGAGCCTCGCGGAACGCTTTCACATCCGAAAATTAGAGAATGCCAAGACAACAGCCACTGCCTAATTGGCTTCCTTAGGCGTGCTCGACAGAGACCTCTCCCTCCTTGGCTAACACGGAGCGCAACGTATGGGTAGGGTCTGCCCGGCTCCGTTCATCCTCAAGCAGAGCCACAGTCCTCTTGAAGTGCCTTGGTGGTACGTTCATTGCGTACAGCTCATCCAGTCTCTCGAAAGAAAGACCCTTGGTTTCTGGGAAAAGGTACCAACCGCCAACACCCGCAATAAGCCCGGTAGCCAAGAATATAAACCCAACCTTGCCGCCCAGGTCTCCAGCGTCAGGATTGATCATGTACGGGACAGTGAACTGCATGATCAGGCCCCAAAGAGAGTTGGTGATAGTGATGAGGCCCTGAGTTGCTGCCCTGAGCCGCATTGTGGCGATCTCTGAAGCGAGCACAAAGCCTGTGGCACCGATGGAAAGTTGGTAGATCAACGCCCAGACATACAGCAAGGCCACGATGCCCCAGCTTGCTTGACTCTTGTTTGGAACACACCCCAAGACTCCGATTATCAGGAGCATGAGGCAGAGCATGAACTGCGGACCCACGATCAAGAATCGGCGGCCGTATATCTCGGTGAGAGGAAACGCGGCGGTGCTAGCAAGAAGCATGACGACGTACAAAGCGACCGAGGCCCCAAAGTAGTCCTTTATGCCAATGAGCTCGAAGAAGTACGTTGCATATCCAATAACAAACGTAGCACCGATCATTTGCTGGGCCGAAGCTGCAAAAATGGCGGTGAAGGTGCGCTTGCGATTCGCTGTGTTGAAGCATTCGGCCTCGAGTTGGACGTTAACACCCAATAGTCTGCGGGGAGGGAGGTCGTCAAGGTTGCCGTGTCTCTCGTTGGTGAGACGAATCTCGTCTTCGATGCGACAGACTTCAATGTCGTAGTATTCGTTTTCCTTAAACCCGTAGATGCGACGGAGGGCTTTTTTTGCATCGGCGTTGCGGCCGCGCCGGACAAGCCAGTATGGAGACTCGGGGAAGAAAGGCCAAGCTATGGTCAAGATGACTATTCGCTCTTCTTAGTCTTTGCTTGTTAGTAGGAGCTAGACACTCGACTTACGAGGGAAGAAGTACATGGCGACCACAGGAAGCCACCATTGCCAGAGACCTGAAATATGACTACTGCCTTGAGACACAATCACGATGGCAAACTGCCCAAAGACGATGCTGGTGTTGAAAAAGCACAGAAAGAAGCCACGAAGTTCAGGACGACACGTCTCGCCAATCCACAGCGGCGAGATTGTAAACATCATTCCGATCGCGATGCCATTGACGCCACGGCCAGCAAGATGCATCCGCCAGTCAGGGGCGAGCTGCTGTAGGAGGACTCCGGCGACCGAGATGATGGATGCAGCAAGGATGCCCCATTTGCGGCCGAATCTGTCGAGGAGAGGTGCAAAGATGAAGGTAGAGACGATTTCTGTGGCCGGGGCGATGGAGTTCCAGGCTGAGAGATAATGTGCCGGGATCAGGTGGCTGCCATCGGGCTGAAGGATACCAAAATTTCTCTCTGAAGGCGGGCAAAGCTGCGAGCTGGCCGCCGGCTACAATGTCGAAGCCTTGCATGACGACGCCGGACGAGATGAGTAGAGCTGGTGCGGTTGTTGGTGATTCTGAACAATATAGACTGAGGGGATTTTCAGTGACTTACCCCAGAGGGCGAATCTCGATTGCGACTTGAGAATCTTCCATTTGTTGGCTGGATCTACCACGGAGTAGTCGACTCTAATTAGATGTCAGTGGCTGATCATTGTTGCCACAGGCTAGAATAGGGTTACCCATGAATCAAAGTCATATTGAGGATGAGCCGTCGCTTATGAGTCAACCTAAGAGTCAGTGAATGAGAATCGAGTGCAAGCTGATACTGTGCTGATGTTCCGGAGATGGCATCAATCTCGAGAAGGATCCAACTGTCTTTTTTATACAAGTTGGAAAGGTGACAGACTGACAGTTCATCAAACCCAATAACTCGGTCTATTGATGCGGGGGTCTGGGGTTAGTCGCATGCAAATCCGGGGGACATGAACATTGCTCCTCCAAGTTTGGTCAGGTCATCCACACAGCCGAGTCAGTCGAGTCTGGGGAGATGCAAGTGGAGAAGGCGAAACAAGTCCTTGGGCGATCGATGTTGGAACCGAAGCCTGGCTTGGCACTAGCGTGAGGGTCCATCGCGGAGGTCCAGATAGCTCCGCGAACCCTGTCAACCTGAGCGTTTTTATTCAAGGAGCACTAGACTAACTTGGGTGTGCGTCAATTGGATAATGTAAGCCTGTTCCATTGACGTAGTCAGATAACCAATCGAGTCATGCAACCGACGACTGTTAAAGAGACGCCATGACAGAAGGGTTGTTCCGTCCAGACATTAAATACGCTTCATCAAATACAATACTGCAAAAGTCTTCACTCAGAATCAATGTCTTTTGACGGATCCTTTCATCCCACGATTGCAAGCATCCAGCCAAGTAGTCAAAGATATTGTTTGTTATTCCACTGCATTTTGGTTGAACTGCCGAAATGGCGGACAATGCCCAAGAGCAACCCAGATTTCATTTCTTCACAAACAACTGGATCAATGACCCATGCGCTCCAGGGTATGATCCATGGACGAGAACATACCACCTTTTCTACCAATGTATTTGACTCTTTTCACGCTGGCACCCAGTTAGCTTACCCAAGTCACAGGCAACCCAGAAGGATGCGAATGGGGAAACATGTCCTGGGGCCACGCGGTGTCCAAGGACATGCTAACCTGGTCACCGGCCTCTATGTCACCGGCACTCACCCCAGATCAACCTTATGACTCTCAAGGCGTCTTTACCGGCTGTTGGATTCCTCCCGCTAACGCCGGGGATAAAACTCTGACAGTGGCTTACTCCTCTGTCAGGCATCTCCCGTTTCACTGGAGTACTCCGCCATACCCACGCAACGCAGCTGGCCTCGCAATAGCAACTTCCCATGATGGCGGCGTGACATGGGAAAAGCCACCGGGAAACCCAGTTTTAGCCGGGGAGCCGGCTGGACTGCGAGTCACTGGGTTCCGAGATCCCTATGTCACGCGATTGCCAGCTATCAGCGAGGCTCTGGGCTCAAGTGCCGTGACTCGCTATGGGTTGATCTCTGGTGGAATCCAGGATGTGGGACCCACGACGTTCTTGTACGCGATTGATGACGATAACGTTGAAGAGTGGAAATATCTATGCCCCTTGGTCGACGTGCCAGCCAGGTTTCAGCCGTCAAGGAAGTGGTGTGGCAACTACGGGCTCAACTGGGAATGCACCAACATCGTTACACTGCATACAAACTCAGAAAGTCGCCATTTTCTCATCATCGGCGCTGAAGGTGACGTGGAAAAGGACCATGTGAAGAATCACGGCAAGCCCGCAGGAGTTCCGTCGCGTACCGTCAGAGGTCAGGTGTGGATGTCGGGCGAGCTCACTCGAGCCGACGACGGGGTCAAGTTCGGGTACAACCACGGGGGCTACCTCGACCACGGGCCTCTCTACGCTGCGAACTCGTTCGTTGATCCCGTCTCAAAGCGTCAAGTTGTCTACGCATGGATCCCAGAGGAGGATATCCCTCTTGAAGCTGCCAAGCGGAAGGGTTGGAATGGCTCTCTTGCTATTCCGCGCGAGATCTTTCTGCTTCGGGTGCCAAATGTGGAGAGAACCCTTCACGGAACACTTGCAGAGTGTCACCTATTTGAAGTCAAGGCCGAGGCAGATGGTTCTACAACTGTTCTCACTCTTGGAGTTAAGCCTATCGACGAGATGACTCGGCTTCGAGAAGCATGTACCAGAGTTCTCAAGCCGGAAACTGCAGTGATGCTGCCGGATAGGAGTGATTTGGCACATCTGGTAGTTTGTCAGACACAGTCATTGAGTTGGGAGCTCGAGGCAATCATCTCGGTAAATCCTGAATGCGACTCTGTGGGCTTCAGCATCCGCCACAACCAAGCCCTGTCAATCCATACAACCATTACTTTCTGTGCCGTCACGGAGACCATCATTGTCGACCGTGAGGCGTCAACAACTGACCCAGCAATCAACAAATGCCCGGATGCTGGACCCTTTACCCTGTTGATGCGCAAGGAAGACAACGGGTTGGTGATAGAGAAGCTGCACCTACGCATCTTTTCTGACGGAGATATTCTTGAAATATTTGCAAATGACAGGTTTGCTTTGGCTACGATGGTGTATTCAAAGAGTCATGGCCAGGAGAACAGCGGGATCACTGCGTTTGCAAGTGGCAGTGCCGGCAGTGCCGTCTTTGAAAGTGTGACAGTCTGGGATGGGCTGGATGCAAAGAACGTGCGTACGAGCATCGACTCGATTTCGGCGACATAGTCCTCTCGTGTCCCTAGATCTAGTCTAATACTTGGTCTACCTTATCTGACTCATGAAACCAAGATTCAACCTCAGTCAGACGCTGAGCAAGAGCCCTCTCTAGCAACAACAAAGATCGGCTGGCTTCTACAATCCGCCGGTCCACAGTACTCGTCAACTTCAAGCATGCGAGGAGCCGAGACCAGTCCACCACGCAGCCATCTCCAAGGCATGGTGTCCGAGCTGCTTGCATGACAGCCATAGATGTCATGAAGATAGACCCATACAGCGTCCAGCGATTGACTATGCAGTTACGAATGCATATTAGCAAACTCGGCATTAACTGGATATACGCCTGGAAGAACCTTTCGCAATGCTTGAGGATTTCAGTTGTGGCCACACCATCTTGGATGCACTGGTACACTGCCGGCCAGTAGATTGATAGCTTGCAGCAATAGTATTGCACGCGGAGAAAGTTTCCCAGCGGCTCAATAAACATGTGACTGCTGTTAGGAACATGCTCGGAATTCTGAAAGCGCACAGATTCCGGCAGGTACCGGTACCACTCCTCAAGCTGCAGTTCCAGCTCGAGGGCAATGTTCGGAGCGTAGACGATCTCTCCCCGACGTGTTCGGCGAATTGCCGTGTTGCAACGGTGCAGCATCCGTCGCATGGAGATCTCTGCCAGAAAGTAGGATTGCGTCTGGTCTGTAGGAGGACCGTCTAGTGATATGTTGCTAGCTGGCGTAGTGGTCGAGCCTGGCGGTGAGCCTGTCTCGATATCGAATTGCCATGCGCGACGACTGTCCGGTAGCGAAACCTTGTCGTCATGGTCCCAGATTCCGCTCCCAATGACATCGAAGTGAATTCGGAGCTCGCTCTCCAGGAGCAGCACCGCCCAATATGCCCGTTTTACATGTTCGTAGACCTCGCCGTCGTCATCACCAACGTACTTCAAGAGGTTCTGCACCTTGAATGAAGCAATCATGGCGTAGTCGTATGCCTGGTAAGGCTTGGACAGACAACAATGGCAGATGCTCAGAAGCACTAGGCACTGCACGCTCTCAACGCTCTTGTCGACGAGCACTGCTGACAGGGATGCCATGGCGGCCTCAAGGTAGAGCTCGCTGGTGGTTTCGTTTTCCGATACGCCTAGCTCGTGGTCCTGTTGGGCGAGAACACCAAGTGCGGCAACCAACAAAACCATGCACGTCTCGGAGCCTGGCGGCAAAGGCCCCGAGATGATGCTAAGATAGCGCTCTGAGAAGCGCGGGCGGAGTATTGGATACCAGATGTGGACGTGAGCGGAGAAGGCGGCGAGGGCTGACAATGCTTGCTCTTGCTGGATGAGACGTACTCTCGATGAACTGCCTGTACCGACGGATGTAGCGTTCCTTTCGAGTGTGGCAAGCTCCTCTGCGAAGCCGGAGCCAAGGCCAAGGATGGTCATCATGCAACCAGTTCCGAGCAGCTGGAAGGGAAGCTTCTCTTCGCCAGTGAAGACTTGGCTCTCCACATGCCCTGGTGTTACTGGAGGTGGCTGGGCAGAAGACAAGACGTTGGTGATGTAATCGAGTCGTCGGTTGATGGCAGCGAGTTCAACCCCTACTCTACAAGGCGGAGTCAGCGAATGTCATGGGGATGTAAAAAACAATGAGCATCCATACTTGGACGTAGGGGCTGGTTCGCTCTGCTCGTAGTGGCACTGAAGCCCACGGGCACGACAAAATCCACAGTCAGGTCTTCGACTATCGCATCTGGTCCTCCTCGCTCTACAGGTGCTGCACGCCGTCGAAGTCCGGGTCCGTCTCCGCGATATCCCCGAGCGGGAAGCCGGCGGGCTGTCGGAGACAACGGGTAGGTCCTGCATATCAGTTTCCATCATGTCTGGCTCTGGAGCAGTTGAGGCAAGATGACAGTTCGGGAATGTGCGTCCATCTCCGCGATATGTCTTTATGGTCTGCTGGATGGTTCTCAGTGAGGGGCTTGAGCGGGGCTTGCCATCTGCTACAGTACACCAGACCATGCCGAACCCGGCTTACAGGCATCATCGCGGAGATAAAGTGCTATCCCGAAGCCGCTCCATAGTACTAATGCTAACAAGCCAATCAAATCAGACCTATGTTCAGTAGTTGCATACTAGGCGCGCCTCCCTTGATTCGTCTGCATCCTCAGATGATCGGGATACGGGGAGGCATGCCACAGCCAAGAAGTCTACAGGTGTGCGCCAAGAACAACGACACAAGACAGCGCATCTTCGTCTCCACAGGACGCGAAGAAGTCATCCGGCCATTGGCGACGATCCTACATTGACCATGTATATAAAGCAGTTGTTGACAATTATTTAATATCACTGGCTTGACAACACTCTCTCATCAACATTATCAAAATCACTGACGGAACCAACCATCACTACAAATCTCAAAACACCATGAACTTCAGCTCCTCCCTCGGCAGCGACCTCCTCAGCAATGCTGCGAAGCTGAAAACGGCACGCACAGGCCGCGTCTCCAGCTGGGACCACAGCGGCCTCAATGAAGATGCCTGGGTTATTCAGCCCGGCGAGACGGCTGTTCTGGCTGATCTTGAAGGCCCTGGCTCCATCACTCATCTATGGTTCGTCCAGACTTGCCGCCGCATTGTTGGTCCTGGTCTGATCCCCTACTCCAAGTCCGGAGTAGCAATGATGGAGGTGCACAACGCTCTGGGCCTGAACTACGAGGTCAGCGACCCAGACTACTATCGCAAGGTGCTCATCAAGATGTACTGGGACGACTCTGAAACGCCCAACGTCGTCGCCCCAATCGGCGACTTCTTCTGCGTTGGCCATTCCATGGCGGCCAATTTTCAGTCTCTGCCTTTTACAGTTTCTGTCAAACCTTCGGAAGAAAAGAAGTTTGGCGGGGCGGCCGCTTTCAACTGTTACCTCCCCATGCCCTTCAACAAGCGTGCCCGCATTGAGATCGAGAACCAGAACGACCAAGCCTACTTCCAGTACTTTTATATCGATTACGAGCTCTTCCCTGAGCCGCTCAGCAAAGACACCCTCTTCTTCCACGCGCACTGGCGCCGCGAGAATCCCACCAACGGCTGGGCCCCCGAGAGCATCCAGACCAACAGCCTGGAGACACAGGTGCCCAACCTCGATGGTAAGGGCAACTACGTCATCCTCGAAACAGAGGGCGCGGGCCAGTACATTGGTTGCAACCAGAGTGTCGCGCACTTTCAGGCCACGTGGTGGGGAGAGGGCGACGATATGATCTTTATCGACGACGACACTTGGCCCCCGTCGATGCACGGCACCGGCGGCGAGGACTATTTCAGTCAGGGCTGGGGGATGCAGAAGAATGCGTACCCCTTCTGTGGGACTATCATACACGAGGAGGATGTGCCGAATCATCAAGTAAGCTACAGGTGGCACCTCGCGGACCCTGTGCGCTTCAGCAAGAAGATCCGCGTCACGATGGAGACAGGGCATGCGAACCACTTGCGAGATGACTGGTCGACCACAGCGTACTGGTACCAGACTCTGCCGGGCCCGAAGCTGGAGATCTTGCCAGTCGAAGGGCGAATTCCTCGCAAGCCTGACTTTCCGGCTGGTACGCATCCTGCACTGCCGCAGTTGGAGAACCTGGATCCTCAGAAGAAAGCCATGGTGGAACAGAGTAAGGAACGGATGGATGCGTTTGTGCAGGATAGGGATGTCTGGCTAGAGAGGCGTGCTCGGGACTCGCGTGAGCGTGCGAAGAAGAACATTGAGCATGCTAAGGACATTCGTCGACGCTTTCTCGAGGGCCTAAAGGCAGAGTAAGCATATATATAGAGTATGTAGGCAACACCACAAGGTTCAGTCACTGAACTGGTAACGGACGATTGGGCATGGACTTTATATCGCTCTTGACTGTGTTGAATTCATAATATAACTATCTATGCCGCTCCGAGGTTAATCTATACCGTGTGTGCTCTACCTTTTCCTGAATTATCTCTGCGAGTGCTGCCAGAGACTTGCTGTATGGAGATAGTACCGCAAAAGACTTAGCTGCAAGGGAGAAATAGTGAAAGACCTGCGGGTTTAAAAGTTCCTGCATGCCATCCGTATCAATGGCTCGAATGGCCGCCATAGTGATAATGAAGATGCTGTGGATACTATGCATTAGCTCCTCCTGCTAACATCATCTTTAATCATGTACGTTACCTTGCGGCTAAGGTCCAAGTATTCATCATACACGTTTGCATCGACGTTGTAGCAGCCAGGACAAATGACACATAGTCGTCAAAGAACTTGGTGCAGTACGGCAACATATTGTCATCCACGAAACCCAGTGTGATGGTTTGATAAACAGCTGGCCAGGAGATGGAGGCCTTGCATGCAAAAAACTGGGCTTGCAAGAATTGGGCACGAGGACCTTCAGCTACCTCATACAGCCCTGTGGGCTGCTTGTGGAAGACAAGAGACGTCGGTAGATACTTGTGCCAACCGTCCAACTGCAGCTCTAGCTCTCTGGCGATGACGGGTGCATATCTGAACTCGCCCTCGGCGGATTTGCTGAGTGATGTTGTGCAGCGCCGCAGCATTCTGCGCATAGCTATTTCGGCTAAGAAGTATACCGGGGTAGTATCAGAGCTAAACTCAAAGGCCTGTGACGATGGAGGCGACATGGTGCTGTCCCCAGGGAGGGAAAGGTGCCAGATCCCGTTGGGCGACGGCAGCTGGACTTCTTCCTCGTGTTTCCAGATGCCGCTATCTGGAAGGTCAAGCTGGATGGAAAGTTCGCTCTCTATAAGTAGTATGGCCCAGTAGGCGCGGCGCAAAGCTTCCACCGTTGTCGTATCACTTCCCTGAGAGTGGATCTTGAGCATGTTCTGTGCTCTGGCTGAGGCCATAAGGATATGATCGTGTGCCTGACATGGCCGGATGAGGTGCATGTAATACACAGAAAAGAAAATCAAGCACTGCAGGCTCCTGACATTGAAATCAAGGAGAACTTCGGGAAGTAACTTGGATGCTTCGGCGAAATACTCAGCACCAAGTTGTTGGTCAAGGGCTGATGTGATTGTGTCCGCAGCGGCAAATAACCCAAGAGCCATGACCAACATAGCTAGACAAGTGTCTGAAGGGGATGTACTCTGTCCGTTGATGCAGTGATGAAATGATTCTTGAAAATCGGAGGAGAGTATCGGTAGCCAGACGTGTATCCTTTCAGAAAAAGCGTGGAGGGTAGAGGATATGCTCTCTGGAGGTAGCAGAAATACCCGCGGAGAAACAGCCTGGTCTCGCCTTGACAAAAAGCCGGTAGATCGCTCCATGCTACTCAGCCAGACGCCCATGTCCGGATCAAGGCTGAGTAGGATCATCGTGCTTCTCCGCTGAAGGACCATGATGGGGAATTCGGAGTCATCTGGCTCATATTTGACCTCATGGTCACTCAAGGCTCGTGGAGAACTTTGAAATGATGCATGTAGTGAAGCAGTTGTGCTAGCTGCAGGTAGAGACAAAGAGCGAGTGTCCTTGCCCCACCGGTGGTCTGAGACGAGGAGGCCCATGATATCCTCCAGTCGTTCGCGCATGCCAGCAATGTCAAGCTCTAGCCTGAATGTGACGAGTGAGTCCTTCAGAGCTTTTGTGTTTGGTGATGAAATTCCTCACCTTGATGGTGGTGGCTGGGGAGCAGCCTGATAGACGCAGTGACTACCCTGGAGCTGACAGAAGCCACACTTGGGTCGTTGGCCGTCGCATTTCGTTCTTCGTCCTCGACAAACATCGCAAGCAATGTTTAGCCTCTTTCTCTGGTACTCCCCCATTGCCAGAGCGTGGCTATTCTGAGCGGTTCCGGCTTGGTGTTCTGACTCTTTGCAACGTACCAAGTATAAATATGTCAGTCTGAGTCCGGAGAACGCGAAGGATGTCACTCCACTAACGCGGCAACCCCATAATCCCTCATCCTGATTTAGAAGGCCATGAGCCTGTCAACCCCATCAAACATCTGTCCCTGCCCAGGAAGCGTCCAATGTGAGGAGTCTTGACCAGCTGATGAGGAGAGTTGGTTGCTTCGCTCAAGGGATCTGCGGCCACTTAGTTCCTTCTAGCGTCACGCTAGAACACTTCCTGCTTCTTCTAGAAGTCCCAGGTGAGCCAGGGTCCCCTGCAGGCCGAAATGCTAGGGTGCGGGGTCGAGCATTCAATTGGCTGACATGGATCCCTGTCCTTGCTCTCGGACCCATCTATTTTAGGTTTGGTGCTTATCCCCGGTGCACGGCCGTGAGCTCTCGGCCCGACAGTTGCCTACTTCGACAGGGGTTTGATTGATGACGAGATGTGATTTGCACGGGCTTCAATGATGTAGTAGGGTCACGCTGACTTTGATGTGTTTAAAGGCTTGATATGTGTGCATATTTATTCAAAGAGTGTATTTCTTTTCGTTTTCTGTTTTACTAAGTTGTAGATGTTACTATGTGAAGGCTGAGATGCCAGAATTCCGTAACAGCCTTTAGATTCCATTTACCCCGCCATTCCATCCTTCCAACTGCAATCGATTGAATGTAAAATGCTATCCTGAGTAGATCAGCTCAGGTAACCGGAGTATATCTAGGGTCTATGAAGTATCTTGATACTAATAGTTCCGATTCTAAGACAATTGTCCAAATGAAGTTGAGCTTCAGCTATGAGTGCAGTGGGTCTTTACTATATGCCCTCAAGTAGCTTTAGTATGTTGGCCATGATCAACGTTGCCATGTCCCAACCTGTGGATGATGTTCTAGCTCTGTGCCTTCTCGTCGTCCAGGCTAAGAACCGGGCCATGGCCAGCGGCAGCCTCACGCTCTAGAAAAGTGACGGTAGGCTCCCACCCAACGCTCTTCCGGGCGCTGCCGACTTCGTTGTACAGCTCGTCGACCTCTTCCAAGCTAAGCCCCTTGGTTTCATAGATGAAAAAGTACACAAAGGCAACGCAGATGAAACAGGCGCCGAACCAAATGAAAAAGATCTTGGATTGGAGGTTTGCATTGCCTGGCCCATAATTGACGAGGTAAGGAGTTGCAAACGCAAGAGCCCAGTTGAGGAGCCACTGCATGAGTCAGTCACAAGTTCCCAATGGGGATTCGGGAAAGGTGTCTTACATTGGTTGCAGTCGTGATGGAAAGACTCTTGGCACGCGTCTGCAGTGGAAATATCTCGCCGGTGACAACCCAGGCGATCGGTCCCCAGGTCGACGCGAAGAAGAAGATGTAGATGCAGATAAACGCAATACCAGCCTTCTGAGCCGCGACGTTATGCACAATGGTAGTACCGGCACTGTCCTGGGACGTAGTCAAGGTGCCTAGCATAGCGACGATGAATTGCGAGACGCACATGCCTACCGCACCCCAGAAAAGCAGCGGACGGCGCCCCCACTTATCGATGGCGTAGAGCCCTGGGATCGTTGAGCCCACGTTGACGCAAGAGGTGATGACCTGGACGATGAAGGAGTCATCCATGCCTGAGTTCTTGAAATACTGCGTGCCGTAGTAGAAGATGAAGTTCACGCCGGTGAACTGCTGCAGAGCCTGAAGACCCATTCCTGTCCACTGCCTCTTGGCGATCGGGCCGCGGAAGCAGTCCAGGTAGCTTGCCTTACTCACGCTCTTTTCGTAGTCGTGGTTTGCTTTGATCTCATTGAGCTCTTCCAGAACGGCGGGATGGTCTGGAGCGAGTCTCCTTAGCTTCGCCAGGGCCTGGGCGGCCTGTTCGATCTTGTCTCGCATGACAAAATAGCGAGGAGTTTCGGGGAGGACCAACATCCCGCCAATCAGGACGATGGAGAAGGCAAATTGGACAGCAATGGGGATTCGGTATGAGCCAGTATCATCTCGACCTTGAGTGGCGTTGTTGACCACGGCGGCCAGTAGAAGCCCGATGGTTATGGAGAACTGGTAAGCACCAACGATGGCGCCTCTGATCCATTTCGGGGCAGTCTCAGATTGATAAAGCGGAACTATACTCTTGTTAGTACAATAGGTCTCATGAGGATTTGAGATAAGAGCTTACTCAAAGCTGAGATCAGGCCGACGCCATATCCAGCAAAGAATCGGCCAGCCAAGAAGAGAGGGATGGAGACAGCCGCAGTCTGAAGAATGACACCAAAGTTGAACACCCACGATGATACGATGAGCGCCCATCGACGGCCGATATAGTCTCCAAGGAACGGAGAGCATAGAGCACCGAAAAATGTGCCTGCCGAGAGGATGGAGACAATGGCGGACGACTGGGAAGGAGAAACATCAGGCTGGCCATGAGAGTCGGTGTAACCAGTCGAGAAGAGTTCCTTCCAGTAGTCCATGGCCAAGATGCCGCCAATAGTCCCGGTATCGTATCTGGACTTCAGTCAGCGAACATGTCACGCCCTACAAAGAAGGTCAAGATCATACCCAAATAGAACGCCACCGAAGGCGACAAAGGCTCCCACGGCGATGGCCGGCCAAGACTTGCCAGCCTCATCTTTGGGCACTGAAAGGGCGAGCGTTGGCGCACCCATTTTTGTTGATCTGGTTACTGTTGTAGACTTGAAAGTGTTGAATAGGTGTTGTGTGTGTAGGGAATGAGGATGCAAGTTGGGTGTTGGGTCGCCAGGTGTGGTTTGGGAAGATAGATATAGATTCTCGGTCACAAGATGGACGAGGCAGAAGTTCGAGTCCTCTCTCCTTGCTATCATCTACGTTTCAACCGATGTATCATGGTGGGTGTTGTTTAATGTGGATGCGTGGAGATGCCGAAGAGGGGAAGTTCGGCCATGCCGATAAGCCAACCCAGCTGTTGGTTCCTTGCTCCTTTGACGGGACAGAGTTGTTCAGGATCGATAGATAAGACCAAATACTCTTGCCAAAGTTGGAAGGTAGGAAAGTTGGATGAGACATTGATTGGGAGCTCAAGGGTAGAGGACCCGGTCGTAGCGACGTTGGTCGGGTTGTTTTCATGCAGCTAGTCATCAGCTCATTAGGCTGGGGCAGCCGCAATCCCATGACGATCAGGGATCATTGGACGCCTGTCTGAAGCAGAGAGACTAACCAGGTGTGAGTTGTTGCATGGAAGCATCCACGGTCAGGTACATGGAAGCATGCCGTTCCAAATTGCTACCATGGACCCGGTTCTTGTTGTATCTCTGGAAAGGCTAGACCATCAAGGGGCCACATTAAACTCCAAACGAGTCCGTACCTACTTGCTCCCTGCTGTTCCATTACTCCTTGCTGAATAATAACAGAAGGAAATAACAATTATCCGACAGATAAGAGGGACTAGATTACAGAGGCTTTGACTCTGCTATGGCAGTAAGAGAAAAATCGATAGATCTAGTGAATATCGAGAATTGGATGGCCGTATCTCAAAGGTTGGCTACAATGTAATGACTCCAGGCTTCGAGCTCAACCCAAGAGGAGTTCGCTTCCAGATCACATCTTGGCTAATGAGTGCCACCACGAGAGAGTCTTTGCCCGCTCTGTCTTCCTAGCTTGTGACCGGCATCATTTTCGGAGACCCAACGGGCGTTTTCCGCATATGTGGGTCGCGGACCGGATTTCGTGCTCCGCGAAGTTTGGACGACAGGCCAGCCCCAGCATGACAAATGCAACTCTATGCATGCTAAGTTCATCTAGCGACCTTCTAGAATAATAGAAATGCATATGACTAGAGTGGGCACGGTGAGCTAATGTCTGCGAGAGGACGATTTAGGACATGCGGAAGTGCTCTTTGAATGTTCTCTGCAGGGTGGGTTGCAATGCATGAGGGCAAGTTTCAACACCAAGCTCTTTACGTAGCTGTCGTAACTGTCCCGCTTCTTGATGACGACATCCTAGGCCAACGTTTGGAGATGGGCTGACTCGTACGGAGGATTCGGGGTTAGATCGCATGTGTCCCCACGATCGCGGAGGAGCCAGAACTGTCCGCGAGCATCCCGGCCCTTGAACTAACCACTAAAGGCAGGCCTCCATTCACAGACCCTCTTCCCCGCACGCTCCCCACAACCTACCCCCGGTGGACTATACTCTAACTCGACAGCTGCAGGAGCTGGAGAGGCATGACGGGCGTCTCTCCACGACCGGCAAGAGGGGGGAGACACATTTGTGTCCCGTGTGCATGGGCTCGAACACGAGGGTTGAGTCGTTGTGAGGTTAGAGTTAGGTTGGATCGTGAAAGACAGACGGGCGTTTCGTTTTTGTCCAGAAAAACATACATATATCAAGCTGCTGTGCTTTCGCTTTGGGAATAAATAGCGTCTCATTCTCCCCCTAGTCTTGAATAACCTCACATCGCTACTACCTACTCTTCTTGACCAAGACTATCTTCAACATGCATTTCCCCCTTCATCCGTTGTCGGCGCAGACGATCGCTCTGCTGGCGCTCTCTGCGTCAACAGCAAACGCGGCCTCTGTCCCAAAACTTCCAAATTGCCGCTCCCACCAGTATCTGGGCCCCCGCAACCCTAGCTTCGAGAAAGGCCTCGAAGGATGGCGTGTTGCGAGTGGTGATGCCTTTGGAAGCAACTCAGTCTCCTCTGAAACCTCCTACTGGGGCGGACCCTTCAGCCAGGCCGGCAAAAGCTTCATCCTGGGCACCGCACAGGGTGGAGAAAAAGCCGTGGGAGAGTTGAAGTCGAGCTCTTTCCAGGCGAGCTCCGTCATGAGCTTCCTCATTGGCGGCGGCTATGATGTTGAGAAGTTGTACGTTGGTCTTGTGAGAGACAAGGACAATAAGCTTCTTCTCAAGCAGACAGGCGCCAACGACGAAGCCTTGATCCGCATCACGTGGGATACCAGCAAGTGGGCAGGACAGAAAGTGCACATTGTCGTGCACGACAGTAGCACTTCTGAATCGTGGGGTCATATCAACGTCGATGATATTCGCGTTGGCTGTGATGCATTGGGAGATGGCAAAGGCCTCACATTCAACATTTTTGGCCAGGAAAATCAGCCAGCCGCTCACAGCTCGCTGTCCTGCTCCCTCATGGCAGCAGACCCTATGCGTCCCCAGTTCCACTACACTCAATACCAAGGTTGGATTAACGATCCGGCTGGACTGAGTCAGTGGAAGGGCCGCCATCATCTCTTCAGCCAGTTCTACCCTGACGCTCCTTTCTGGGGTCCTATGTACTGGTCGCATGCTGAGAGTATTGACGCGGTCCATTGGCGTGAGCTGCCCATTGCCTTGTCTCCTAAGGATACGGATGACCCTAAGGATACCTCTGGACGCTTCACGGGTGCGGCAGTCGTTGATAAACTACATGGTAACCAGCTGCGCCTCATCTTCACCGACTACACCGACACGGCTTTCCACCCTGACGTGGTGCAGGAGGTGGTGTCTACCGCAACCAGCAAGGACGGCATCCATTTCGAACTCGACTCCAACAATCCCATCATCTCCCGCCCTCCTCCAGGCGCGCCCAAGTTCTTCCGCGACCCAAAGCCCTTTTATGATCCTACAGACAAATCATGGAAACTGGTCATCGGCTCAAGCAACGATGTCAGTGGTCGAGTCTTGCTGTACAGCTCCAAGGACCTGCTCTCCTGGAACTACGTTGGCATCTTGTACACAGGCGACGGCAGCACGGGCGACGTCTGGGAGTGTCCAAACTTCTTTCCACTTGGTGACAAGTGGGTGCTCTTCTACGGCGGCAACGCGCTGGGATGGTACGAGACGGGCACGTACAACGGCAGCGTCTTCACAAGCGAGAAGCGCGGGCTTATCGATGCTGGGCCTGATAGTTACGCTATGCAGTGGTACAAGGATGAGACGGGTCGCGACTTGGCTATTACTTGGATGGGTAACTGGCCGACGTCCAAGTGGCCCAGCCGCATCAATGGATGGGCTGGTTCGCAGTCAGTAACGAGGGAGCTGTTCATCCGTGATGATGGGGGTCTTGGCAGCCGTCCTATTAAGGCCCTCGACAAGCTTGCAGCCGGTCCGGCGAAGAAGTTTGGACGGCGTAGCGTTGGCGAGACTCCGCTTGGTATCGGCAGCTCCAACACAGCGAGGCTGCAAGTTGCGGTAGACCTCAGTGCTACAACGGCGTCGTCCTTCACCATCTCTCTCTTCAAGTCAAAGGCAGAATCGGTTCTGTTGACCTACGCCACGGCTGATCGCACTCTGACGCTCGACACAACAGACGCCGGGTATGGGCAGGCAGGAACTTGGAAGGCCGTCATTGATGTATCACACAAGGACAAGCTGATGCTGGATATCTTTGTCGACCGATCAAGTCTGGAGATTTTTGCTGGTGATGGAACAGTCATGACTGCTACTGTTTGGCCGCGATACCAGGAGTCCAAGGACATCACGATTACTGGACAGGGGGGGAACGCGGTCTTTGATTCAGTCAAGCTCACGCCTCTTGGCTCCAGCTGGTGCTAGAGTAGCTGTAGATCCTCAAGTAGTGACTGATGAAGGGCTAAGGTGATGGACTAAGCTGGGTTTTTCTCTTTGGTGCGTAGTTATCTTGCACCTCTTACGATAAATCTACTGTTTCTACGAGGTCAATTGTGGGGTTACATTGTGACGTCTAAACTTCAGCCACTGAATGTGTTGTACAAGGACTAAAGGCTTCACCACAGTAGCAATGTCAGAAATCCCGCACATTCCACCATGAATGTCCCCATTTCTTGGATGGACGGAATTCAAGCGCGATATTCCTCCTCGCCCATGCACAGACCCGTTCTCTAAGCGATGGCCTGCTTTAGCATCAATTAAGCAGGGTTGACAGTGGCGACCTGCCTGGTCGACGATGTAGAGTCTAGGATGCTGCAGCGTTAGGGCCAACGCCATAATCTGGGGTGGTGTGGAGGGAATGGGGTCAAGCGCGACGCTAATATGGATAGCACCAAGTGTGATGCGGGGAAGTCTGTCCTTATAACTGGGCCGTTAGATTATCCTGTCTTCGTCATCCGCCCTCCGTTTCCTTCAACTCTCTCATCTAACTCCCCTTCATAAGGTGGCAGTATGGCAGAACCGACATCAACTCCCGGATCCAAGCCGACAGACACGGCGCATCTAACCATCGAAGCGTGGTCACAGGGGTTCTTGATTGGATCTCTGCTCATCATGGCCAGTATTACCCTAGCAAACATGCGGTCGGGGGTATTACTACATAAACTCATTCTAGTCGAGGTAAATCGCCACTTGGATACAAAGTCAAGCAGTCGCTTATAATGACTTCAGCTTGTTCTAGCGGCACCGAATGGCTTCTTCACCTTCTTTAACCCCCCAGTCTGGGGCTGGTATCTCTCTTCGACTGCTGTCCTCCTGATCGCATCCTGGACATTGCATAATGTCATCTCCTGGATGAAAAACAAGCCCTTCTTACAGCCAAGAGGTAGCTTGATATATATCAGCACGATATTTCTTGTCCAGCCGTACTGGGTGCTCGAACTATACGCAAACTTTACGTATTTTAACGGCATAAACCACCGTATTTTCGTGTCTACCAGGCCATTGGAAGCATTATGCCGGTGAGTCTCGTCGAGGAGTGCTTGATAATACTGGCTCACAGTTTATGTCTAGCGATCCATGGTGGGTCTTCACCACGGCGAACCTCTTCTGGAACATCAAATACCGCTACGAGTTCGGTCTAATCGAAATCATCCGCGTCTCGCCTCGTTTTGGCATTTTGCTCTTCAGCATGTGCCTCAGCCTCCTCTTTATCGCTCTAGACCTTCTTGCTGTGACACCAGTGCTGGCGCTCGGTGGCATAAATCCCTTCTGGAAGTTTGCGTCCGTGTTCAAGTGCTTGACGGACACAATTATACTCGACGACTTCAAAACGGCGCTGGATAAGCTTAGCCGCCATAAGATGAATCAGATCTACCAACTCCCCTTTAGTAACTCTGGAATGGGGTTACCTGTTGACTGGACTGACATGAACGGGAGAGGAGCTGTTCGGGTATCTCGTCAGGGAAGTGATGACTTTGTGTCAGTTCAGCAGGTTGAGAGAGTTCCTGAAAATGCATGCCTGAGCATATCGACTGCGGACGGTATTCCTTCGCCGCTACCTATTGCATTCATGCGGAGTGATAAGGGGTATAAGAAACGGGAGTGAAGATGGCAGTTCTCATACTAGTTAAAATATTTAAAAACTATTGAATAATCGAACAACATCACAGTATTCTCTCTGCTATGGTGGTGACATCAACGATAGAAGCACCGAAATCAATGATATGTCAGTGCAAGTCTCTGGCACCCGGGCCTCTTGCGTGAAAGCTCTAGTTGCCACGGCTCAGACATCCCTGAATAATGCTTGCTGCATTCAAACACTCTTCATCCTGCAGAGTGGGAGTAACAATCTGCAGCGAACATGGCGCGCCATCGATTGCCTCTGGGGTGTCTCCCACAAGTTAGCAAGTGGATATTGATATGGGTGGAATCTCAACAATCCTAGGAATCGAGAATGAACTTGAAAGGGAAAATTGATCACTTACAGTCAGGAACAAATGGAGTTGTTGCGGCCTGGGACTCGGGATCCTTGTTTCTGCAGACCTTGCCAAAGGGGATAACCGCTGCGGGATACTGTCAAGAACGTCAGGTCACACTCATAGTACAAGATAAACAGAAAGGTAACTTGCATCCAAAACACTCCACATCACGGTGTACACGGGGATGCCGTAGGTATCATGAGGTACAGCCGTGCTCACTGCACCGGGCGCGAGAATCACATCGAGCTGGTTGTCCAGCCATGACTGCTTCCAGGCTTCAGCGTACATGCCCCGTGCGATGTTGAGCGCATGCAACTGTTCCGGAATTCCCAGCTCTGGCGATACGGGCAGGCCACCTCGAGAAAAGAGATGCATCTGGCTTGCCACGGAAGCAACCAAAGGCTCTCCAAGCTCCTTTGAGAGATCTTTGGCGCCAGAAGCACTCAGGCCAAAGAACTGATAACCAATCCTAGCACCGAGGCCGGCACATCGCCCAGAGCTGGCAGGTAGGTCAACAACAGTGTGTCCCGCGTCGTGCAAGATGGAAGTTGCTTTGGTGAGAGCACGCCGGACTGGAGGATGCGAAGGATAGTCGGGATCTTCAGCCATAACACCAATGGTTAGTTTTCGGTCGGGGCTGGAATCAAGGCTTCGCCAGGGGATGTTTAGGGCCGTGGCGTCGTATTTCCACGGCACACATCTAGAAACTGTCTCCATGAAGAGGCGCAAGTCATCAAGTGAATTAGCCAAGGGGCCAATGACTGGCATCACACTGGAGAGCCAAGGCACTGGAAAGGGGTAGTGTGTCTGTCCCGCGAAGGGGATGCGGTTTGCAGTGGTCTTGAAGCCGTAGACACCACAGCAAAGGGCAGGGATGCGAACAGAGCCTGCCAAGTCGTTTCCTATGCCAAGTGGAGACCCCCGGAAAGATACGATGGCTCCTTCTCCTCCGCTAGAGCCACCAGCGGTGAGAGAGGTGTTGTGAGGATTCAATGTCCTGCCAAAGATGTTGTTTTCCGAATCGGCTGTCTAAAAGATGTGAATCGCTCTGTTAGATGGTACGAAGGAAGGGGTTTTGGGGGGCCTTAGGCGTACCGTCATGGTCTGCGGGACGTTTGTCTTGCAATATAGAACTGCCCCAGCATCAAGAAGGATCTGCACTAGTGCTGCGTTGGTGGTGGGCGGCGGGCGTTTGAGATATTCCACGTATCCAGCTGTAGCGTAATACCCTTTGATGTGAAAGCAATCCTAATTTTCACTATCAGCGGTGCAAAGCGAAATCGGTTTACATAGGACATTCCGTCTTTTACCTTGAGGCTGATTGGCAGACCATGTAGAGGGCCAACAACTCTGCCTGTCTCTCTCAGCTGCTGGTCCAGCCATCTCGCTCTTGCGATACCCTCACTGAAAAGAATTTCAGTCAAGCAAGAAGTCTGTTTGGAATGTTCAGCCTCAACATCCTATCGTTATAGGGAAGATGGACTTACCAGCTGTTGGGCCAAAGCGGCCCTCTTGCAAAAAGCAAGAGTGACTTCTTCTACAGAGAACTTTTGATGACGGATATGTTCCAAGATACTGGTAGCACTGAAGTCCTGGGTAATGGTAAATTCTTCCTCACTCAAGAGTCCAGACTTTCGAGCAGCATCCAATTCAACCAGGTGACCTTCTCTTGGTGTTCCTGCTCCACTGATTTCCCGCAACTTGGCACCGTCAAGGATCCAGTCGGAAGGAATGGAACTCAGCTGCTTGGAAGCATGAGCTGACGCAAGTGTCTTCCAATCAGTCATGGCTGAAATTGTGTTGGGTGGTCTTCAGGCTCTTGGCAGGTGTGAGGTGTGTTTGGAGGCTGAAGTCTTTCTTGTTCCCAGATGAACCAAGACGGAATGAAGGAGAATATTGTCGGAGTTACTTATGGGAAGATGAATGAGGCAAGATCAGACTTTATATAGGCGATACATCCCAGCTCAATGTGAGCTGGCTCTTCCATAATTATGACTTTGTAAGTGTGTCGAGACCCATTATAATGAGACAACATTATTGGCCCTATGGACCTGCCACAGCTAGAAGCTCTTAGTGGCGCATTTTGTGCCTTAAAAGGGCAACCACTCCACCCAATATCAATTCCCACTCCTCCCCTCGGCCTCTTCCCATGACAATTGCTCTTATACGATCAGATTGATTCACCACCGACTGGGTCACGCTCCGGCAGTTCTCTTCGGGTATACCAAACGCCTTGATCCCTGTCACACGTACCAGTCTAGATCCGCCAATTGGTGCTAGTTGTCCTCATGGGAGCTTGCTCCAATTGTCGTCGGCGCAAGAAGAAGTGCGATGAAGGGTTTGTTCATACCCTTCTTCCACCTTTTTATTATGCCTACTAATTAGGACCGGTAGGCGACCCTTTTGTCTGGCGTGCAGAAAACTTGGCCTAGTTTGTCCAGGCTACCAGAAACCTCTGCGTTGGGTGCAGGGGATTGCTTCACGAGGACGTTTTGCGCCGCATTCCCCGGCGATAATGGTTCCACAGCTGGCCGGAAATCCGCTTCTGATACCGTCGTGACAAGCGTTGCAGGTTCTACCGATGGGCTCAGAGCAACGATCGGCCCCTCCGGCTTTGATCAAGTGAGTGCGACTTTGAGTGGCCCCGGCATCTTTGCAAGTGGACTTGAGGTCGCAAGTGAATCAACAGGCTCTCCACCAGTAAATGACGCATTGTCCAGGGCTCAAGAAACCTTCACACGATGTACGTGGCACATACCGTTTTCGGCACTTGGCTGTAGACCACACTAAGATGTAGGAACAGTCTTGACGTCGGGCCTAACACGTCTTCACAAAACGGGAACTTCTTGCACAGTTCCGGACATGATGCAAACGTTAGCGACCCGCAGCCATGCTCTGCTGTTTATCGGGGTAGCCATTCAGCAGGCCTTTGATGATAAAGGCGAGGAATTTTCTGTGTCGACGTTGGAGCATCTTGATGTTGCTCTGAGCACCCTTCGCGCCGAGATAATCCAAGGACAAGGGACTCCACATGCCGGCACCCTGACTGCTGGCGTCTTATTATGCACCTTTCACGTGAGTCTGTTTCCCATCCTTCCAGCCATTTGCGTGCTGCAGGTGGGGCTGATAGAGATAATCTCAGTTCCTTCAGGGATGGCCTTGCACTCATCATCTACGCTTGATTTCAGAGGGTTACCGCTTCCAAACCACAATGAATACGGTCGCCACGGGTCTCGAACAAGATCCAAGTTCTCGTCAGGCACTAGAGTCTCTGGGTGTCATGGACTTGCCCTCGTTTGTCCTGGGCAGGAATAGCCCAACTATTGGCATCTGGAAAAGCTTTCGTATTGCTCAGGGATCATGGAATCAAGGCAGGCTCGACGGCGTGGAACCTGTCACCGGCATCCCAAGGTCTCTTCTTGACATCTTTGCCGCCGTGGCCGAAGAACCTGGGGACGACATTGCTTTACGATTCTGGTCGTGGCAGGACGGTGGAGGAGACACTACCCAATGCCGACTGTGGGACTGCTGGAGACTTTCCGGCATCTTGGATGTTCGTCGGCGTCGGCGTCGGCTATTCTCCAACGTCGATTTCACGCCCCTGGCACAATCCGACGACGAGCCGAGGGATTCAGCCCCAGATACAGACACGATTCTATGCCGATTGATGGCGGCCATTGACTCCGTTCACAAGGCTCTCAGTATTCCATGCCCTGAAAACTTGCCTTCCTACCATGGGCTTGTGTATCCGCTGGTCACCATAAGTCTTGAAGTCGCCCGCCTCAGGAGGCACCCCGAGTGGAAACAAACTCTGGATGAAGTTCGATATCGCATCGAGGAGAATAGCCCATTTAGACTTGCGCGAATTGCCTTTAAACTGCTGGACGATTCTTGGCGGGAAGAGTCTTCCGATTTTGACATTGAGGATGCAGCCCGAGAAATGGGTGTTGAAATTGCGCTCCTTTGAAACTAGTCGCCCACCAGTGATGATAACGATGGGGTCTTTCGCAACTCAAACTATTTTACAACTGGTTGGGTCACATCGATATCAAAAATAGTGTCTGCAGGGAAGATGACCAGCTATAGCAGCAAAAGACATAGTTATCAATACTTAAGGCCATGAAAACCAGATGCCTTGATACACAGCCATTGTGGCAACTATGATGAAGGCGCAGGCAAAAATAACAAAACAAAAGTGATCTAGTAGAGCCGGGCGTATTTGAAGAGTAGACCAGATGAGATTTAGGTACGAAGCCGAGGATGAAATAAGAGCAGCTGGGTAACATCGTAAATTGAACATAGATAATACAGAGGACTCAGGCACAGCCCTTCTATTGTTACTAAATTTTCATCTTTCTAAATATTAATAAGCCTCGTCTTTTTCCGGCTTGTCTAATTTTAATGAACCCGACAAAAAGAATCTTCAAACTTGAAATAGCTCCCCACCCCCATTTAGCAACATCACCTCATCCTGGCATCCCTCTAAGCATCCCTCTTTGGAAACGAGGACTTGTCCAACCACGTTTCAAGAGTCATCAGCTCTGGGTGCTCCTCCCTGAGTTCCTTGATGTTCGCTCCATATCCCTCCTTCTCGAAAAATGCAAACATGGTACCCATCTCCTCCGACAGCCAAAGCACCAGTCTTGCTACCAGAGCCCAGGTGGCTGGCACGCCTGACTGTATCTTTTTCGAATACACTGCCGCCATCTGCTCGTAGGTCAACTCATCTCCCGCAAGAGAAATTGCCCTGCCATTGAATTCGCGCGGTGACATGAAAGCCTTTGCGGCAAAGGCGCCAATGTCGGTAGTGGCAATGAGCTGAAGGGGGCGCGACTTCACGACTAGCCTCCATGACGTCGCAAACACCTTGCCTAGGAACCCGCCATCGAAGTTCTCCATAAAGGCTACAGGACGAAGAATAGTCCATCCGAGGGTAGCTTCCTTTGACTTCTGAACGAGGTGGTGCTCGATGTTGTGCTTGCTCTTGAAGTGCGGAATATTGGTGGCGTTTTCAAAGGATTTCGCGCCACTGCGGTCAACAGAGGAGTAGACAAAATGTTGAACGCCATGTTTCATGGCGGCATCAACAAGCGCCTTGCCCTGTCGTTCTTCGATAATGGGGCCGGTCTTGTTCATCGCAGGTGTCTATTCCGATGGTTAGCTACTACAACGAACCACAAAAAGAGGCAATTCTCACCTGAACGCTAAAGACGCCCCATATGGGAACCTTGGACGCTGCCTTGGCAGTGTCGAAAATACCTTCTGCATCATCCAAATTCCCCTGAACCAGGCTGATTCGAGGTGACTTTTCGGCTAGTTTCTTGGCAGAGGGTGAAGATGAGTCTCTCGTGACGGCGAGAATATCGAAATCGGCATTGGCAGCGAGCAGAGCTCTAATGACAGAGCCACCCTGCTTTCCGGTAGCACCAGTAATGAGTAAAGCTCGAGACATTTTTGTGAATAATGTGAGTGATAAAAGAAGATGTTATGAATTGGTTGTGCCAAAGAAAAAAAAAACAGTAGACAGTTGGCAATTTATATCCCGACCCTGCTTCAAGATCCTAGTTATCCTTTTTGTTTCTTGAGCATGAGAATCTACGGGTCATTACAAAGCACTCCCGTAGCTTACAAGGGTCGGCAGTTCATCGGACACCGATGTTTGTTTCCCCGGGGTGGTACGATATCTAATTGGCTGGAGCTTAGGAGGTGTTTTCGCGTCCGGGAGCTGGAGAATGCCAAGATGCCGGGTCGGACGGTTTCTACCAATCAAGGCCCGGCAATGACAAGTCTAGTTCCTAGGTTAGTCAGCGCAATGAGAGGTGTATCATTCAAGCTCAAAATTACTGTCTTCTTGCGTTCCTTGCAATTTCATTTTCATCCTATTTTACTTCTTTCTTTCAGTTTCAAATCTTTCCCACCAACTGCAAGCTTATCTCCAACAGCAGTCAAAATTTCAATCATCAATTATCTTGGATTTTCCATCCTTTAAGACCCTACATCAAGCGTAGCCTTCAGACTTTGTTGTGGAACCGTAATGCTTCATTTGATGGAAGCCATTGTTAGTATTTTGAAGCCATCTGTCCTTCGCGTTCACATACTTACTCCGGCTGCGCCAATATGAAATGATAGTGGAGATTGATCAGTACATCAAGCCGTACGGTGGCGCCGATCGCCTCACCAGAACTAATCTGTTCAGGCATTATGGGGGCTTTTCACCACATAGGACAGAAATAGAGACCTCGTCTCTGACTTCGGGTAGGACTTGCAACTCAGTGACATTGTAGTCCAGCACATCGTCTGGCTCATCGCGTCAGAGCCTGTGAGGTTGGTAGATGTTTATCACGTTCAAGAACGACCTGAGGGCCTTAATCAAGAAGGATTGTATGCATTCATCATTGAATCACCTTGCAGAAGGGCTGTGTTTTACATCCACTGAGAAATAGGGTTCACCTATCCTTCGAGGTTTGAATCACAGTCGGTCTTGACGCATATAATACCAATGTACTTCCCCCATCGTGCTCCATATTCCAATCGCACTCGCACCAAAGCAGGAAAACGAAAACAGCCATATGTTATCCACACCCATGAAAAAAATCCACAATGGACGGCTTCATGGTCTGGGCTCGCGAGGTCGACCTGACCCGCATTCGTAAGCTGGAGACTGTCCACTCCTTGATCAACATCGTCTATGGTACGGGGCAATGGGCACATCAGACCACAGGAACGAGAATGGTAGTTTGGACCAAGGTGCGAGAGCCCCTAGACCTAACGAAAGCGCTGTGGATATAGGAGCCTAAAAGTAAGGAACGGCGCTGGGTTCCAGGTTTCATGTCCCCGGGCAGGGCAACCAACAAGATACTCGCTAGGATTCTAGTCATCGACTACTATTAATGATACTTCCAGTCAAATTAATTGGCCATCTTATCCAAGTGCAGATGCAAACACGACGTAGAGAACCCAACACCCCATCTATATCAACTTTTGTTGTGCCAAGCTGTCTACAGTATCCCCCAAGCACTCCTCCACGGATCTTGGTTTCCATCCTAGAATTCTCTTTGCTTTGAGGTTGCTTAATGCCCTCTTCTGTCCAAGTTGGGGAACCAAACTTCGCACTTGAGGGTTCACGAGCCCGATTGTCTTCACCATCCAATCCTGCAGCTGTCTTTTCGGTACATTTGATGCTCTGTCTGGTCTCTGACCACGTATAATGTTGGCAACGTCCATTAGAGACAGGGGCGCTCCGTCCCCGCTTGCAATAAAACGTTCTCCGCCTGCCTTGGAATGTGTCATTGCAAGAATGTGCATATTTGCCAGATCGCGTACGTCCACGAGATTGAAGTAGATGCGTGGACAGGCCGCCATTCCTCCCTGAAGCGTTGTCTTGATGAGGCCAATGCTTGAAGAAACTTTTTGGCTCAGTACAGGTCCAAAAATGCCCACAGGGTTGATGACGACGAGTTCGAGCTTTGAGTCTTGCTGTTGATTGACAAAATCCCAAGCTGCACGCTCAGCAAAGAGCTTGCTCTTGTGGTAGACAGGAAGACCTTCTGGATCTGACCAGTCCCCTTCATTGAATTCGCCCTTGTCTTGTTTTCCGTAGCCAATCGCTGCAAAGGATGATGTGAATACCACTCGCTTCACATGAGCACGCGCCGCCGCCTGGAGGACTCTGAGTGTTCCCTCTTTCGCCGGTATCAGCAGCTCATTTTCGTCCTTGGGTGCTTGACTTGGAAAAGGTGACGCAACATGGTGAACGTAGTCGCATCCATCCATGGCAGCGTCCCAACCTTTGTCCCGAGTTAGATCTGCCACGAAGAAGGCGAGCTTGTCGAGGTTGCTTGCTCCTGCAGCGTTGAGATCCTGGCGAACAGCCGATTCTTTTGATGAGTCGCGGATTGTTGCACGGACATTGTAGTTGTGGGAGAGAAGCTGAAGAATGAGGTGTGAGGCGACAAATCCGGTCGCCCCTGTCACGAGGACAGATTTCGAGGCTGGAGACGACATTGAGAAAACTCAAGGGACTGAATGAGGCTGATTGGACTCGGAGACCAACAACCACGTCCAAGACAGCAGCGTTTTATACACAAAAGGTGGGGGGGCCAACCTCAGAATGTCATCAGTCGTGGCTTATGTTGATGATTATGGCTGACGGAATTTTCTTACAGGACTAGTGGCTTATATAAAGTGCCGGCGTTGGTCTCAAACTAAGGTAGTGGCTGGCCTGTTGATCAACGCATCGCAGAGATGCTCTCACAACGAGGCATTAAAATAGTTGCTTCATAGTTAAGAGTGATTTGCTCACACAAGATCAAGAACTCTGTTTTATTGGCTTGATCGATTCACATGGCACGTTGGAGAAGCACATTGAACAAAATCTACTGTTTCGACTTTTTCAGCCCCAGTCTCTCGTTCATCTTACATATATCGAGACAATGGTATCGAGGGCACAAGTAGTGTTAAGAGCGGTCTTGCCCCTCAAATGCGCGCACCGTCATCCATAAAACTCGCCGTGAGACCAAGCCTGTTCCGAGTAGAGGCCCAAGAGTCTGTCATGTTGTCACGTGTGCATACGCTAAATATTGAACTTGAATAGAGAAATTTCACAACTCAATAATTCTGTAGGTTTAAAGATCTATCTGACATGCACACTGGACAGGGTCGCGTTATGGGGGCACTCGGCGAAACCGCTACCGAGAACAAAATGGATATCCCATAAAATACCGATCCAGCCTCTTTTTGGACCATAAACATGGTAAACAACACGGTCTCAGATTCTCAAGCCTATATCATGATCACGTGGACCTTCACACCCGGTAAACCAGCTTCTCAGCACTAATCGGACCCATATGCTCCTCACCGCCCTTGACGTTTGATCTTTGTGACACCGACCCAGACCCCAGTAGAGTAAATCCGTCTGGAACAACTCTCTCAAAACCACCAGGCATAATCCTCACGGGATTTGGCTCGATTCTCGATCGTCCTGAAGACGTCCCCACAGCCAGAAAGTCAAAGTATTGCCGGGCAAACTCACGGGCCTCCTGACTCGCTGGGATTACTGTACCTATATTTCGCGGATTAAGAATTAGCAAAATGTGCACTCACATCAAAGCCTTACTCCTGATGCTTGCATAACAATGGAAAACACTCACCGTTATACCCGATCTCAACCCCCAGTCCTTCCCAGACGGCACCGTAGATTGGCTTGATCCTCAGTTTGGATGGGTCATATCGCCCACCAACTGGGCCACGAAATACGGCGAACTTGGCCCCAGTGGCCAGCGTTTCGTGGGTTCCGTAAACGGTTGCTCCTTCCGAGATGCAATCCAAGGCAAAATCAACCCCGTTGCCCCCCGTTGCAGTCTTGACTTGCTCAACCCAGTCGGCGGCGTGGTAGTCGACAAGAACATCATAGCCGTAAGGCTCTTGTCGTAGAAAGTCGTGTTTGGACCTACTCGCCGCGCCGATAAGCCGGATCTCGGTCCCAGATGCTAGCGCCGAGAGGTGAACGAGTTGCGCGGCGTAGAGGCCCACAGATGTCGAGGAGCCATAAATGAAGACATTAATCGGCTTGGCATGATCATTTTCTGCCTGCAAATCTGAGAAAGGATTCGGCAAGCCGAGGCGAGCATAAAGGCCTTGAGCAGCCGTTAGGCTGCACATACTAACGGTCGATGCCTCTTCCAAGGACATCCCAGGAGGGATCGCCCAGGTTAGGTCGTAAGGGGCGGTGATGTACTCGGCAAAAGCTCCCGGGCGATCATTTACAGAACAAGCTATACCTATCAGCTTAATCCCAAATAAAAGCAACCAATCTAGGCCGCTGGATATCGGGGAATCCATGAGTAAAATGTGCCGACTCGACACGCACCTCCTTGGAGAAACCCAGCAACGCGCGTTCCTGGTTTAGCCCGAGTGTCCGAAGACCCACCAAGTTCCGGGCTCACTTCAACGACTACGCCGGCAAAGTCGGTTCCTATGACCCGCTTTTCTTGGGTAGCGATGGGCGTCGAGACGTAGATTTGGTCGACTGGGTTAAGTGCTATCGCTTTCACCCTGATGAGAACCTCTCCAGACTTTGGAATGGGGCGAGGGATGTCTTCCACGGATGTGCTCCGGGTACAGGGGGTTAAAACAAGAGCCTTCATTTTGTCACTGTTGTTATGCATGCTGAACAAAGATGTCAATTTCGATGTCAACAGCGAGTCATCGTGGCCTTTTATATATTACCCTGTTCTGCTACGGGAGCGAGTTAACAAAATTCATCAACACTCGTTATCACTGGATTGATAATTGACCAAGATGTTTTATTGGTAAGCAAGACCAGAGAAATGGCACGTCGTTGAGCCGAACGGGGTCTCCTCGTCAGCCAGAAATGACGCCATCGTCGCGAACTCCCCAATCGCTCACGTCAGCCACACGCGCCACACAAATATCAGCCAGCTTGCAAAGCCATCAGGCCTGAGGTCTTCATTAAAATCCACGTACGGGGGGAACTGCCCTTTTTGTCGTAGCTCAAACTGATAAACAAGATACAACTCCCTTCATGTGTCTCTTTATACCCAACTAATGCCATCATAGTTGGGGCGACGTCGACACCCAGTGTCCAATCCGCTGCCGTAAGTGTTAAGATTGCTGATAACCCAATGCCTTGAGTAATCGCGAATTGACGTCCCCAGATTTCAGTATGAATGGCTGTACCGAACAAACAAAGATGAACATGAAAATGAAAACATTTCTTCTCCATTGGTTGTGTGAACCTGCTTGCAATCAGGTAAGCTTGGCCGATGGAAAGAATGCTACCCACAGCCACTCTGGACTTGCGCACAACATTTGGTAGCTCCTTGTTAACCCTCGCCATTTTGATTCAGATCTAATCTAAGTGACCCCTAATTTTTAAAAATTGTTCAGACATGCTTCAGAATGTTGATAGCTTGATCGGATCGTTGATACTCACGGTTGATGTCGCCACTCCTAGGAAGGGGTCACTCCCCCTTGTAGCAAGTCCAATTAAAAGCCCCTCTTTCCATTATCAGAGCTATCCCCGTGTCGCACTATAAAGCCGTTCTTTGGCCAGAGACGAGGGCGCTTGGTCCATTTGGTGTCCTCGGCTCTTTTGCCCCGATGTTGGAGGATGCTCCGGCGGAGATAACTGGAGAATAGCTATTAGGCCGAGCTTCACTCAAGCATCGCGGATGTTCCTTTTAACCACCCAGACAAAAACACTGATGATTCCTGTCTGGAATGAATGAAAGGGGGGATTCAAAGGGTACGGGTATTATTGAGCAGTTCTTCCACTTTCGTCGAGTGTACTGTTGCAAAGTGTTGGTTCATTTTTAAGATCCAAGATTGAAGTCCCAAAGCCATGTTCAGGAGTCGATGAGGGTGATCTGGCAGCCCAAAAGTCGATCATCTAGTAAGGGGATGAAAGTGATGCCGTAGACGGTGATTATAACTAATAAAAAATCGGAAACCCAACGGTCCACTCCCCAATTACTCCTCCTTTAGCATCTCCCGTCGGGGATCAGCTGCATGTTAAGCCTCAAACATCCAACTTGCCGGGAGTTCCATGGGGAAATTCGATGGATCGCGCCGTTCGAGGTTCCAGGGGCACAACTTCTAATGTAAAATTAGTAAGCATAGTTATGAGGTTCGCATCCTTCCTGGCCAAGTAATGACTTCAGGCTGGGATTGGATAGACTCCTCGCTCTGCGCCACTGCTACAAAGGCGCATCAGGTGCTCTCCCGATGTGTCCCTACCATACTACGTAAGGTTATCTGTTGGTGGTTCACCTGTCATGATTCAGGCATGCAGGTCAGGTACCTGGGGATGCTTCTCAGGCCATAGCCAATCTAGAAACCCCACGACGCAGATAAAATCCTGGCTGTGGCTCTTCCGGACGTTGTGATTGATCAGTGCGAGCCCTTGTTCTAATAGATGACGTTGGAGAAAGATCTTCAATACTAGTGGCCGGGGCACAACGGAAGTCAAAGCGCATCAGGGGCTGCCTGACAGGATTGTTCTGCACGCCAGTAGGTCGACTTTCCAGGGCCCCTGAGCAAGGATGCACCTCATCACTAGATTCTCGACTACCAACTGACTAGGCTTGGGTTGGTGCTACTCCGTAGTAAAGGCGCCACTCGTTCCACTTCTCGGACCATGGAATCGGTACTTCATTCTACCTGGAGGTTTGTCGTGTCCTCTTAGAACTCGTAGTAACTGTTTTTTGTGCAGTCAGGTTTTTCCAGTCGCCGACCTGGAGATAGCATCGCATGAGATGGCATGCCAGTCGGTATTCTCATGCAAAAAAATATCTTTGTCGGGGGCAATCCGGAAGGTTCCAGCTGTTGTCTTACTCGCGCCGACGAAAAGATGCAAGATGAGGGAAAGACGACCTAGTAAATGCCGAGGCACACCAGCGACTTTTGCAAACCATCATGAATCGGCTGTCAGCTATGAGACAACCGATAGCATCGCCCCTCTTGGTTGATCCACGACACTAGTATCAGGGTCTTTTTGCTGGTGTCGGGATTTCATGAACCGAGGGCCAGTGCTTCGTTTTGTGCAAATCCTCGCCCCAGTCCAATGTGTTGGGCCGATTCGAACGCCAAGGGTCTCAGGTACTGACTCGTGTCGGGTTATGGGTCCATCGGCGACGAGAACTTCTGACTAAACAGCCGAGACCCATCGGAGGCGTTGATCAATTCAACTACGTATGGGCCTTTCACATAGGAGACACCGTAGCCCAACCATCACGTGGTATCGTCATTAAACGTCCGTCTTGACTGAAGCCTCGTCGTTTCGTAGAACAACGGTAGAATACGTGGCGCTTCACTCCCCTCCCGGTTGGCCAACTGACTCGACAGCTCATGGCGCACACATGGGAGTCAGTCGTCTTGATGCACATCAGTGCGGCGCGGAGAAAAACAAAGCCTGAAGATGGGGCAGATCGCAGCCAGAGTGGCTAGTTTAGTTCCAGTCTCCAGACCGACCCCGAGCTTTACGAGAGATCTGGGTCAAGACATGAGATTTTAGCGTCTGCATTCCCCACATATTCATGACTCGGCACTCATTACACCGACGCGTCATGGAAGCCATTGGGCTTCAAGCTACCGGGGTCGGCGGGAGTTTGGCCACTCAACTGGCAACTCTTGCTCGGCAGAGAACCCGGTGATTTTCCTAGTGGAGCCGACCTGCAGGATGGTTTCTTATCGTGGGGATTGGTACTACACTACGGCTGTTGTACCATCGCTTGCCTTGACTTGAGAATCCCTGACGACGGCCAAAGGGTGACTCGCTGTCTTTCTCGAGTGAGATCGCTTCATGTCCACGCTGCTGTCTACCACACGATACAGCACTCGAGACCGAAACTGACTCCAGGAGACCAAGGCAACCAGCAAAGACCATCAGGGGCAATTTCAAATAGACTTTTGGCGGTGCACTCACCCTCGCCGTAGCTCAAGCCCCTCAGAGTCCGGCCCGGCCCCTAGCCTCTTCAGTTCTGTTGGCCGACTTGGTCCCAAGCCACTTGTGGGTTAGACGATTTACGGGTTTCTCGGCACGGGGATGCCTTCTTCCAATAGGGATCGGCAGTTTAGCAGAGCGACTGAATCAAGCTGCCCAGACTGCCGGTTTTAGCATCGAGGTGGTCAACCCTCTTTAATGGAACACGTCGTCCATCCTGCATTTGCTTTTTTTTCCCGTCCACTTATTCACATTCCTTCAACTCTTTTTCATTCTTCACCATCGGCGGAAAGGCCCGAGACTATCGGCAACATGACTGGCTTCTTGGTCCCGGACAACTATGTCCCAGACCTGCCAAATGATACCGACATGAACATTGCATCTATCGCGTGGGGCCTATCTCTCGGCATCACCATCTTTAACATTTCCAAGGCAGCCAGGCAGACGAAATCCGCATGGCATAGGAGGAAGAGAGTTACGGCCTATGTCGCCCTGGTCTGGGTTGAGATCATCTCGAGTTTCCTATTGGGTGTTATGTGCTGGTTCTATCTTCGGAATAAGATCGAGCCGAGCTTGGAGTTTTTCTTTTTCATCAGTAAGGCTACTCAGAGTGGGGTTTCCGGATTTGACAAGCTGACTCTTTGCCATAGTCGTGTGGTGGTCGACACAGGTCCAATGCTTGATCCAGATCATCATCAATCGAGTTTCCTTGTTGATGGTTGTTCGATCAAACGGTACCAAGCTCAAATGGATCTGCTTCCTCATCCTTCTTGCCGTCAACATCAGCGTCTTTTGCATCTGGGTCCCTGCCCGTCTGCAGATCAGCGAGAAATACATCCACCTAAACGAGATTTGGGATCGTTGCGAGAAAGTCATCTTTGCTATCATGGATGCTGCTCTCAACTTTTACTTCATCTACGTCGTTAAGCAGAGGCTCGTCGCGAATGGCCTTCAGAAGTATACACGCCTTTATCAAATGAACTTGTTCTTGGTTGCCATTTCGATTGCCCTGGACGTGAGTATACCTGGTTCTACTTATGGCCATGTTTGCTGACTTGATACAGATCCTATTGATTTGCATGATGTCGCTGCCAAACAGTTTCGTGTACGTTTTCCTGCCCACGCCTGCTTGTATGTCTAGCTAACTTATTGCAGGTACATTCAATTCCATCCCCTCGTCTACCTTCTCAAGCTACACATCGAGATGAACATGGCCGACCTGATCGGCAAGGTCGTCCGTGCCAGCAACAACCAGGATCACGACTACAGCTCTCGATCGAGGACCAACGGTACATCTCGCCAACACCCCAGCCGATTCGGCCACACACTGGCCAGCACTCACCACCGAACGCACATCGAGCTCGGCGAAGAGGATGAATACGAACTCAAGGAGCGAGAGAAGATAGAGGGTATCAAGAAGACGATTGTGACGCAAGTGACTCGCAGCGGCCCCGGCGAGAATGACGACGATTCTCACGAGGAAATCGACGACAGAGAGATCAGCGAGAGCAGTTCAACGAAGCAATTACATCAGCGCCAATACAGTGTCGAATAGAAAGACCATTATAAACGTCAGACATAGAATAGAGAAGGGGAGAAAGAAAGTACATAGAAATATAACCATAATGTATAATGAAATAGATGCCAGTCGGTACATCTACCGACACCTATCCCTTGTTTCCCGAATGGTGGAGCTGAGACTCTGATGCAATGGTTTTACTTTTTGGTGAAACAAGAGTCTGATGGGCACTTCCTTGAAGCATTTGTAAGACTTTTTGCCTGCGCGGTTCTTTTCCCTGTCATTAGCAGGGACATCACAAGCTTTTTTTTTCACTTCCGCGAGTCAGGGCCACAGACAAGAGTCAGAGCGTTTCAGGTCCCACTAACCCTACCTCGTCTCAAACATGAATCATTGAACAATCTGCACCCAGTCAGAGGAACATAAGAGTGACGGTTCATGGAGATTCTCGGGCGACGGAATGAGATAAAAAAGCAACGAATGGTACTGGACGATTAATGATGTTCTTCTCTTGTCCTTGTTATCAGCGACAGGCAGGGTCACGCATGTTCGTGGAAAACTCAGACAAGCGACTTGATGATGATGTACTTGTGTGAGATGGCAATTGAACTGGTGGCGCCACAGGTGAAAATATGCAATGCACGCCTTGAGTAGGTACATGACAGAATATCTTGAAGACCTTTCTCAAAACGGATAAATAGTGACTTTCCCTCTTCAAAATAAGTAGTCAGTGGCGAATCTCAAAACAGACAGCAGCTTGTTTAGGGTAGGCAGGATGAAAACCCCCCCAAAAAAGCCCGGTAATAAAGAGGAGGCGCAGCCACTAGGAACGGCGTATGATTTGTCACGCCTTTGCCTAGAAGCAAGTCTAAGCCACTGCGTCGTAAAGCGACAATTTTTCGTAGCTTTTTTTTTATCAGTGGCTGATGCGCCCAAGGGACGCAGTAAGCTGTAAGGCTTGGGTTCTGGAGCAAATACGCTCTGATACGCGTTGAATACGCCTCTCAATGCCTTGCGACCGGTATTTGTCAACTTTTGCACGTCATGATTGGTCAAAGCTGTCAGCCGCAGCACGTCCAGTACGCTCGTTCAATACCTTCGAGGCTGTGAAACGCTGGCTCTTGGTAAATGGAAAATGGGACACTTCGACGTAGTGCCTTATGTGTGGCAGGCACTTCTTTCAGGGCAATATAAATACGTCGCCTTTCCTAGACAACTTCAATTCGACGCACTCCCTTTCAGCAAGCAACTCAACTCGGCACCCGGTTCATCATCTTTACTATACTTTATTAAGACATCTTGCACCTCGAATACACCATACACATCAACATGGGCTTCTTCAAGGCGGCAGATATTCGTCACGAATGCGACAAGGCGGCTCAGATCCTCAAGTCGTTTGTTGGTATGTTTTCAACAGCACTTGGTATTCTTCAATCCTTCAACGACTAACAACCAAATAGAAAAGTCCAAGATTCCTTCCGACGTGATCGCAGGCGCCCAGGGGCTGGCAATCTTTACCGGCTTCCGTGCTGGCATGTACCTTGCTGGCGCTGGTGGTTCCGGGATCGTCGTCGCTCGTCTTCCCGATGGAACCTGGTCACCGCCTTCTGCCTTCTCGGTGCGGAGCGGTAGCATTGGCCTTGTTTATGGCCTAGATGTTTACGACTGTGTGTGCGTGCTCAATACACAAGCTGCCGTGGACGCATACAAGACGTCTGAAATGAGCCTCGGCGGCGCTGTCGCCTTGGCAGCTGGGCCAATTGGTGGTACCGCCAATGTGAAGGAGGTCAAGCCAGTCTGGACATACACCAAATCTAGGGGTCTTTACGGTGGCTTGACTGTGGATGGGACAATCATCAAGGAGAGGCGTGACGCCAACGCCGACTTTTACGGGTCCAGTGTTTCTTCCAAGCAGATTCTCGAGGGCCACGCCGAAATCGTTGATGGATTCCACGACTGGCGTGCTGGAGCGAAGCAACTCATCGAGGTCCTGAAAACCGCCGAAGGAAAACAGGGAGATGTAAAGATTCTTCAAGAAATCAGCGACCAGCCGACTCCTGGTGATCTGAGGGAGTAGTACTGGTGGAGGAGAATGGGAGCCCTATGGAGAGTCCGAGAGGAATTGGAGTTGAGATGTTAGAGTGCCAGGAGTTTAATATTGTCAACGAGGTGAAGGATGCGTGGGAGATTTGGAGGTTTATCTGTCACTTCTGCTAATTTATAGAGTTTCCATTAATATTTCGAGAGATTTGAGACCAGAGATTTGCGGAAGAGCTGTCCAAGTGATGTCTTTACTGAACAAACGCCGCGCTTCCTTAGGGCCTTCAAGGCCTAGGCAAACGACGAGACGACAAACACAGCCTGACGCAACGTCAAGCGACATCCGAGACTTGTCCGAGTGCCGTTCCCAAGTTGCTCAGGTGCATTGAATATCTGCACAAAATGTTGAGCATGACTTCAGAATCAGAACAGGACACAGGGCCTATCCATGTCGAAACTCTTCATGATAAATCCATTCCGCACTTCGTGGACACGAGAAACGGCTTACAATGGCCGCAATGGTACGCTAGTAGTTGGTTTGCGGCCCGCGGCGGCCCGCTGCGGCATCGTCAAATGGACACCCTCCGAGACACGACGCTGCGGGCCGCACGAAACATCCCGCTCTAGAACCCTGTAATGTCTTGCTGAGGCTCAACAACTATCTTCTCGGGCTTTTCTCGCCATCCTCATCCCTGACAACTTTACAACTTGCCTCTACCATTGGCCCAGGCTCCGTCTCAGCATGCTCTTCATCCTGCAATGCAGTTGCGTTTTAGTCACAGATTGATCATGAGCACATGCTGTCTGAACCCGCTCAGTCGTCATGGTTCATGATCGGAGCTGCCCGGAAGACACGGGCTTCTCGAGAGAGTGTAGGCTCGGAATGGGGCGAAGAGATGGAAACGCTGCTTTGAACTGGGTACGTTGTACGTTCGGGAAGGGAGTATAAATATCCCCCATATCCCTCTCGAATTGTTATCTTCCTTCCATCTCACAGACAAACGCAACAAACAAAGCCCTTCATCATCCACCAAACTACACTTTCAATCACCAACATGCCCATCACGAAGTACAAGGCGGCCGCCGTCACCTCCGAACCAGGTGTATGAATGCTTAAAGAATAATGGAAAACTTTTACTAATGAAGCCAGTGGTTCGATCTCGAGGCCGGCGTTGTTAAGACAATCGACTTCATCAATGAGGCTGGACAGGCGGGATGCAAGCTGGTTGCCTTCCCCGAAGTCTGTAAGTGTGCTCCTTATCTCTGAACTTGGATAAAAAGACTCTAACGGCCATTGTACAGGGATCCCCGGATATCCCTACTGGATGTGGAAGGTGACGTATCTTCAGTCACTGCCAATGCTCAAGAAGTATCGCGAGAACTCGCTTGCAGTTGACTCGGAAGAGATGCGCCGGATTCGTCGCGCTGCTCGCGACAATCAGATCTACGTGTCTCTTGGATTTTCCGAGATTGACCATGCCACGCTGTACCTGGCTCAGGTATTGATCGGACCAGATGGATCTGTGGTCAACCATCGCCGCAAGATCAAGCCCACTCACGTGGAGAAGCTGGTGTACGGCGATGGTCCCGGTGACACCTTCATGTCGGTGTCCGAGACAGATATTGGTCGCGTGGGTCAGCTCAACTGCTGGGAGAACATGAACCCTTTCCTCAAGGCGCTCAATGTGTCTTGTGGAGAGCAGGTTCACATAGCTGCCTGGCCCGTCTACCCAGGCCGCGAGCGCCAGGTGGCGCCAGACCCAGCAACCAACTACGCCGATCCAGCCTCGGACCTGGTGACCCCCGAGTATGCCATCGAGACTGGCGCCTGGACTCTTGCGCCCTTCCAGCGTCTTTCTGTCGAAGGGCTCAAGAAGAACACGCCCGAGGGAGTCGAGCCTGAAACCGACCCATCCGTCTACAATGGTCACGCGCGTATCTACAGACCTGATGGGAGCCTGGTCGTGAAGCCCGACAAGGATTTTGATGGCTTGCTCTTCGTCGACATTGATCTCGACGAAACCCATCTGACAAAGGTCCTGGCCGACTTTGCTGGGCACTACATGCGCCCAGATCTCATTCGGCTGCTTGTTGACACTCGCCGCAAGGAGCTCATCACCGAGGCTGACCCTGTTGGTACAATTGCCACTTACACCACTCGACACCGTTTGGGACTAGACAAGCCACTCGATGGAGAGAAGAAGGAGCAGGAGTCTGCTAAGGAAGGTATTCAGAAGCAGAAGAGCTCTGACCTGCTCTAAGCTAGATAGCTCGGACTATAGCCATGCATCCTACTTCTCCCCTCTCTAAAAAACACATTCTTGGCGTTGGCTCTGTGTTGGTCTACTATTACATCTACCGGCGGCGATCCTTGGGTCGACTAGTATCCTTGAGTTGATTGATAGGTAGTCAGAGCATCGCGTAGCAGGAATAGGTCGGATTAACTCAGCCCGCTGATCTTGTCATATGGACATTTAGATAGATGTTGTGACCATATAAAACAACGCTTTTAAACCCAATTCTCTCAGCAAACCTCATAACACCCAACACTGTAGCGGGGGACTCTGCTGACATGACCGAGGCATCCCTCATTTCTCTAGGCCTGTGATGGTTAAAGGAGGTACCAACTACATCCGACACTCTGCGGCATTCAGCTTTAATAGCGGAATTTGTCAATAACTGTAGCCTTTGTTATTGTGACTGATGGTTTTTTTTTAGGAAGTGTGACGAAGATCAATAATTGGCGCCTTGTGGCAGGGTTGTGCCGATTTCGAGGACGTGGTTTGAAGAATAAGTATTAAGAGCCTGACAGCATTATGACTGAAAGAGAAATGGGAAGCGATGCCAAACAATCGTTCTCTCGTGACCAACTACGAGGTAACGAGGCCAGCTTGTTTGGAATCCTCCACTTTATCGGCACGGGCAGGATTCTTTGTCCTGTACTACCCTTGACGGTAAAGAGAAATTATATCAGCTATGTGTTTTGTTCAATGGGTAACTACCCGTTCCCATGTAGAGGATTACCCCTTGACTTGACTTGACCTCCGCTGTGCGTTGGGGGCGTGAAGGTTTGTGAGCTCCCAATAAAAGACCTAGCTGGAATTGTCAAGTGCTTAGGAAGGTAATGAAAATTAAGGTAGATTCTTATTAATCTTCTTGTTCTGGTATATATATGACAGGTCTAGTCTAGATCGAGTCCACTGACAAGCTTGGTTAAGAGCTGAAGTGAGTGGGCAAAGGCCAATTTCACCTGCCATGAACTTTGAAGATAACCGTCTAACGATTCTGTGCTGCATGTTTGATAGGACGCATCTGGCAAAATGCGTACTCTCCTTGCTCTGGACTCAGTGTAATGGTTGTCCTCCTCTTTGAACAATGCTACATGCCATGTTAGGAAGATGGCAGCGGGAGCAGATGCCTGCCAGTTCAGTAAGTCCCACGTTGAACATAGCACAAGTAAGGGTATTTGCAGCAGGGCAAATCACCAGGCAGACGAATAAGGAAAAGTCCCAGGGTTAGACCCCGAGCCCAGCTCCTTTTAGGATGACCCGGCTCTGGAAAGCTCCTGTTGCGAACGATGAGAGGTCTGCATCAGACCACGGTCGTGCCCAGATAACGGCGAGGCCATGATATAGAGCCACAAAGCAATCAATTCTTTTTGTTTCATGGAATCGTACCGTGCTTGACAATTCTCTTTGTTACGATTTGAACAGGAGAAATCCGACCAGGTCAGAACCGTCACCGGCGCTCCCCGTAATCCCCGCCAGATGTTCAAGAAATGGCCGAAAGAAAAAGAGACGGTTAAACTTCGTGCCTATGCTTAGGCCATTCAGTCGATCCCGAGTGGTGAGACCCAGTGCAATTCAACAAGCTGTAAAATGATAAAAGCTCCGTCGTCGCATCAACCGCTTTGCTGCTAACACGCTGGAGGCTCCAACAGTGGAGCGGCCTCGTTAGCCAAATCATAATCGAATCATGTGGATTACTGATGATAATGATAACCCTCGTTACAGTTACAGAAGTGGGCGTCAGCCCAGGTAACGAAGAAAATTTTTATCAAAATATTGCAGTAATAATCTTGTCGATGGGGGCAACCTTTGGCGTAGCAGTGGTGGCGCCGGCGACGAGACCGAAAGAAGACAAGGGTGAAAGAAAAAGGGACCTGCATATAGCGCTAGTGGGTGGCAAACGGGCCGGAACACTCTAGACTTTTAGTAAAGAATCCTCGTTCTTAAGTGAGGCTCATGTGAGTTAGGCTAACGGCTTGGGAAGTAACGATATGCCGCAGAAGTTGACCCAAAGGGGGAACGTTAGAAACTTCGAGTCCAATTCTGTGTCACTCGAGCAAGGGTTGCTGATATTTCCGTTGGTGTGATTAGCAAGCATCTTTCACACGGCCCATCCCGAGCTGACTGTGGAAATTGCACCCTCGGTCATTGCCTACCTCTTGGACTCTCGAAGGCCGGCAAGGACAGAACAGCATCTCGCAAGCTGTTCTTCTTGGGTGCGATAACGCGGTGTATAAAGTCTTCGTATTTTCCCCCAAGAAGAGCAGCCTCCCTAGACTCCTATTCACACAATCACACGCCTCACCACTTTCATTTCCATCTCACTCCTCAACCTGTTTTCTTTGAGATTCTCTTCCAACAATCAGCTCGAACTGTCTTGTCCTTGGTATCAACTGGTTAAACATGGGACGCCGGCCCTACACCCATTACGGCGTACGAATTGGCCGCCGGATTGGCGTGTTTACCGATTGGAGCGATTGTGCTGAGCAAGTCTCCGGATACTCTGGCCAGTGCTGTAAGTAGTCGATGTCAGCTAGTTAGAGTGGACAAGAGTGCCGGTTCCCAGAACTCTGACAGCCAACCACTTGACTTTAGACCACGGGTTTCACTCCTATCGAGATGCGTTCGACTTTGCCTACGGCAAGCCTGAAGCATCACCCGAGCCCTTGACTTTCATGGCGCCTGAGCCCGAGTCTTTCACGATGCCTGAGCCTTTCACGACATCTGAGCCCGAGACTGCCATGGCGCCCGAACCCGAGCCCTTCACGCCTCCCGAGCCCCAGACTGTCTCGCCTCCCGAATCCCAGATTGTCTCGCCTCCCGAGCCCCAGACTGTCTCGCCTCCCGAGCCCGAGACTGTCACGCCGCCCGAGACTGTCACGCCGCCCGAGCCCGGAACCGCAGCTACACCGGAGCCTGCAACTGCCACAGAGTCTGAGCCGGCAAATGCAATTACACCCGAGTTTGAAATTACCACGGTGCCCGAGCCCGAAACTCCTTCTCAACCTAGGACAGTACTAGATGCTGAGCTTGGGCACCAGGAGCCGCCGCCAGCAAAGAAGGCCCGCCATAGTGAGGAACAGGCTAGGGAACCTTTTTCTGATACTCAAGAACACACCTTTGACAGCAATGGCATAGTTGGCGAAACGGGCGAGTCATCATCTAGTGCTACCGACCCGCCCGAGATCGTCTGTAACGATATAAGAGAGGCGCAAGAGCTACTGTCGGCTCTCATGGAGGGGGGTAGAGCAGTGAAAATCATCCCAGTGTCCCCGAAGAGGAAGTTGGAGGAATAGTTTGACTCTTTGAGTGTTATGTGAGCCCACTGCTGGGGGTAGGAAGGCAGGTTGTACGATTTTGTAGGAGGGACAACACGGCGGATCTATTTTATTCTTCATCACTGTCTGTCTTCTTCTTTTATACCCAGGCCGTAAGCCTCTTTTAATCCTAGTGTTGCCGAAATTATTGAGTCGTAGCAGACAGCCACGCCTCCGCTGAACGCAGACGTATTACATCCCATTGAAGCCGCTCTTCATGGAAAGCTGGAACCGAGGGTCGGGGATTTTCCCAGGACGTCTAGGTGAATGAGAACAATTGCCCCATGCGCATTACCTTTTTCGCGATCAAGTCAAGGAGTTAAACGACATCGAAGTACCCTCAATACTATGATACCTACCTACCTTGGTACCTACCTTGGTCAAACTTACCTACATGCGTCTTGGTTCCAGTGCATTCCGCCCCCTTTTGACAGATTAGCTAATCTTTCATATCAACAATGCCCAAGTCCCAACATAGTCCCCCGAGATCGATTGCCTATTGCACTCCCCGCACGGTTCCAGCTAGAGATAGTCGTCTTCAGTCTGAATTTCGAAGTTGTCGGAGTAACTTTTCGCAATGTCCAGTGTAGGAGGGAAGTCCAGGTTCCAAGGCTGGCGAAAGGCCCATTTGTTTGTCCAGCGAAGATTATCGAGGTGACTTGTCTCCTCTACCAAGTTCTCAAAGTTCCAGGGGTGACCCGGGTTGAAGTCGCTGCGAAGAAACGAAGTTTGGTTCAACAAGTGCTCCATGGCTTCCTCCAATCCCTGATCGACCACGCGACGCAATCTTTGGCTTGGCCTACACACTATCAAGCCGCGGTTGATGCATGCCTTGTACGCCCTATCCCAGGCGATGTCACGGTGGATGGCCTGCTGAAATATGTCGGTACAAAAGTCGGCATGCGGACCTGCTTCCAAGATGAAGGTGAAGGACTCGGCGGGTATTCCCACATCAGTCACGGCGAGGGCGTCGACCAGCCACTCGGCCAACCTCCAAGGGAATCTCAGGAGGTCGAACACCCGGGCGGGGTTACTTCTGCCATCTTTCTGTTCTTGGAGGCGTTGCGCCGCCTTTTGTGGATTACCGAGGCTTCCCTCTATGCAACCTAGCACACTGACACGACGTACAACTCGAAGCCGTGGATTCTCCTTGAAGAAGGGTGCCAAGCCTTGAGCATGGGTTGATGGTGTGCCCACAGACCGGTGGTCCTCGTGTAACACCAAGTTCCGGATTTGCAGGCGCTGACTAGCTGGGAGGCGCTGAAGAAAGCGAATGGCGGTAGCTGCAGCCGAAAACCGAATCTTTTCCCGGCAGCGGACGCCTGTTGGGGGATGCAATCGGTCGTACACTCCAGGGGGATTGTACGCCATCGGTGGCGTGTAGTACCACGGCTCCAAGAGCTTCCAAGCAACATCGGCCTTGAAGCGGCTTGTCGCCCTCGCGACTTCTGACAGCGAAGGAATAGCCCAGGGTTCAAACCTAAGATCCAGAAGCTCATGAGCCGGATAGGTATCAACCCATCCTGGGAGAGCCCCGTAGACCAATCTAGCGAATTCAGCGCGTTCCTTTTCCGCGAGAAGTCGTAAGCAGTAGGACATGGCTGCTTGAATTGCCCAGGAGCCTCCTTCCCAATCGTGCCGTAGAAGATGCCCAATCTTGTCGTGGTCTATCGATCCGAGGCTACGATAAAAATTCTCTGAGCCTCCCAGCTGCAGGTGTTTTTCATACCAAAATCTATAGCTCTGTGTCGATCGCCCATGTCGCCATTCATAACAACCATCCGAGGGATTAGTCTTTTCTTTCTCGGAGTCAGAGTCGGGGCCGAAAATGTCATCTAGGTTTCCCTCGGATTCGTAGTCGGAGTCGGAGTCGGAGTCAGAGTCGGACTCGGATTCGGAGTCACTGGGCCATCTTCCAGTTTCATAGTGGGCCAGACAATTCTCGTGGTGCCTTGACTCTTTTTGAATCTGTGGTGCAAGTGTCGGGAATTTCAGGGCAAGCTGGGAGTACATGTCGGGAGTCATGAACCGAGCGAGGCGTACCACTAAATCCGCCTCAAGCAAGCGGTGGTAGGTCGAGACGGCATTGAAGCAGCCAGCCAGGCCCCTCCAATCCTCGCGGTAAAGTGTCGAGAAGGTAATGGTGTTGATAGTGAGGGGCATGTTCCTCGTCTCATTGGCAACGGAGCGGCAGGTGTATATAAGGGCGAGGTCGATTGGGTTGTTATCAGCGGTGGTAAGCTTTTCAGAATCGCCATTGAAAACATATCCGCCATCCACCTTGAAGTAGTAATGGAAGATCCGCGCCCGTAATTCGAAGGGAAGGGTGACGAGGTTCGCCATGGTGTTGAGCTGTGTGGAGATGCTTGGCCTTCGTGCCAGTGGGTGGGTGGAACCTGGTGGGGGACAGGGGGTTTTATAGGTGAATGGGGCGCCGAAGATGGTGCTACGGGCGGGAGGTTATGAGTCATCAATGGAACTCTGGTCGAAACCTTGGTCCAGGGGCCACAGGGAATCACCAGCACAACGGGATAAGATGCAAAAGAGAGCGCAATGAGTTTATGGGGTATCATAATTTATTATTATTCGACTTTATTCCACCCAAAAAGGGGATCAAAGTATCTCAATCAAAATCTCAGTAAGTTCAACAATAAAGGCTCTATACCCAAAGCCTGAGGTCTCAATGGGCTCAAATCAATAAGGTTTATCCACACAATCATCGATACCTTCAATGACAGCTCTATTCGCAATGAACAGATTGCATCTTAACCAGCTGAAGAGGTTAATATCCTGACAAAAAAGGTTAGACATCAGCATTCAAGTTTACAAATCAGACAGGCGGCACATACTAACCTCTTCCCGTGGCAGCTCTCCCCTCCATCGTCGACCTTCCGATCATCCTTGGGATTCTCAACCACTTGAAGAGGTGCAAATCTTGAAGGATCACTGAAAGTCAATATTAATTGCAAGGAAGATAACGTAGATTGGAATCAAAGACTTACCGCTTCCGTTATCCTCGTGAGAGGAGGTTCAACCAACAACCAACAACCACAACCAACAACCACAACCAACCAGTCAACCAATCAACGACCGGCCAACTAGTCAACAACACAAAAGAAGATCACGATGGCTGCTTCTTGTGCATTAGTAGGTTATTAATGAGCTTAGACACTAAGTGATACTTACCCTTTCGCAGAGACCTCCAACCAAACGATCACAGCAGCGCGGCCAATGCCTATCGGCAGGCCTTCTTATATGATCAAGATGACCTTGCCGAAGAGGTTCGCAAGCTTCGCAAAGGCGCAAAAAGCACCCACAACAGGCTACGAGAGATGATCTCATATGGAGCCATTCGGAGCATTGATTTGAGCGCGCCGCTCAGCGATCTAATGCTGGTTGCTAGAGATAGTAAGCATCGGCATTAGGTCAAAAGCGAGAGAATTTTCACTGACAGCTCGCGATCTTCGGTTGCAACCTTCTTCTTCTTCTGCCTGGCCTCTTCGCATCCGGTTCTCACACCCATGCAAGGATCAACTTCATTAAAGAAGAGCTTTCCTTGCTCGAGGCTCTTAAGACAGAGATAGAGAAAAAGGAAGATCTTATCGACGAAAAAAGGAACTTCCTCGAGGATATGAACAGTAATCAGCTAGATTATAAATTAATGAGTGCATTTTTTCCAATTGTGGGTTCCTACTTACCACGGGGCGTGGCTCATGACGCTCGTAATGAGCGTCAAGACTTTCCGTACCGCCAAACTAGCATTTGGTTAGATGAGTTTGTGAATCAATGGTGTAAGGTCTCACTGAAGATCGAAGAAGTCTTGCTGCTTGACCTTGATTAGCAACACAACATGTGGTTTAGGTCATGGAAGGGGGTCATACTGGCCAGCCAGTATCTGGCCACGTAGCTGCAGGCGCAACTGCTGCGGCGAGCTCAGGTTAGGGCGTCTATGCAAAGGGATGGAAGGTGGCGAATCTCTCACTGTTGGGAAATGGAGGTTATCGAGGTTATCGGCGTCATAGGTTTACTGGAAGGATTCATGAATGAGCAAATGATACATAGAAACGGAAGTGGGAGCCTCGCAACATACATACCTCGGAGGGATCGGTTCCTGGAGTCGGCGGCGGAGTTCTACTGACGGGAATCAATGTTAGAGCTGACTTGCTTTGGTGCGGCGCTGCGCGTCGCTACTGTACCTACCAAACCTAAAAAGTGTCGGCGCCGGGGCTCGGCGCCGGACTAAAACTGCCTTGTTAAGCAAGCTGATGCGGGAAAATCTCTGGGAAGCATGAGGCACTTACCTCGGCGGTAGATGGAAGTCTGTAGGTTCAATTGATCAAACCCATCCGGTCAAATGCATGATGCGTAAATGTCGGCTCGTGTGAATGCTGCAGGATTGTCAGAGATGGAACCTCAAGTCAGGGGATGTACCTACTGCGAATGACAGTAAGTTCAACAGTAATTTCAACAGTAGTGTTGACAGTAATGTCAACAGTGGGATGCCCACTCAGGGGAAGGTTGTATGTTCGTCCGCCTGGGTCCTGAACTGAGAATCCAGGCGAGGCCACACAAACTGGCTGAGATTGAAGAAGGTAATGGCCCAGTCAGACACGACAGCACCCTCTTCTGTCATCAGCCTCTTGAAGTCGGTGTGTCCTAGCCTGGATCTCAACTGGATCCTCGCGGCCCTCAAGTCTTCACATTGTACAAACATGTGGAAGACGGTTTGTTTGGAGTGTCCGCAGGAACAGGCGGCAGAAGTCGCCAGCTAAGAAGACAAGGTCAGATGTGGATATTCTCCTCTCGGCGTGAAGGATACGTACATTTCTCCCATGTAGAAAGTGGTTCAGCCCAATAAATTCGGTCCTGCATTGTAGCAGCACGGTGCTTTGAGCACGAGTCAAGCCCTTGTAGTATTGGAAGCTCTTCGGGTCCCAATCTTCAACCAGGGCTCGAGGAATTCGAAGCTCCGGACGCTTCATTGCTCGCGTCCAGCGGTATGAGTTCCAGAGTTCGGCGCTTCTCTTGGCGGCGTCCTCCTTCGCGCACTTGGTGATGGCGTCTTTCCGTGTCTTTGGGTCAAGCCACTTGGCCGCCAACTTCTTTGCATCGCCGCCCAGGTTCCGCGCAACTCGCTGCCAGCTGCTGGCACACAGATTCTGTGCTTCCCGGTCAAGGAGTTGGCAAGGATGGACGGCCAAGGTTGGGGACTTGGTGGACACATGAACGGGGCTGACATATGGGGGTCGATCCAGCACTTGCAGTGACTTGGCCCGGTGAGACAGCATGACCCGGTAGAGATAGACACGGATGCTCTCAATGTTGAGCTCCTTCTCAACAACGCGGGCGCTGCAGTTGCCAAGCGCACCAGAAACTTTCTTGAGACAACTGTACTGGAGTCGGTCCAGCCTTTTCAGGTTTTTGCCGTTCAATGCCCAGTTCAGCTTCTGGTTGGGGCTGAAGACAAACCATGCAGCAGAAGCATAGGAAATGGTAGGGCGAATCTTGGTCAGGTAGATTTGCCGAGCAGCTTTGAGGTTCAGACCCCAGATGCTCCCCGATATACGCCGCAGGTACTTAAACTGCTTGTCAACCTTCTTCTCGATCTAAGATCGGCCGTCAGCTCAAAGATGATGAAATAAAGCTAGACCAGTGTGACTTGCCTGTTCAATGTGGTCGTCCCACCTCAATTGGTGGTCCACGGTGACACCAAGAATCTTCATCTTGGTTTTGAGGCACTCGGTTGGGTTGTCGAGTCCCGTGATCTTTGGAAGAAGTTTGCAGTCAGGATCCTTGCTCTTGGGATGCTTGAAGTGCATCACGTTGTACTTGTGCGGCGAAAATGCAACACCGGCCGGCCCAGCCCAGCTGAGGATGTTGTCGTGGACCTGCTCCAATCTTTTGCAGTTGTCGGCGTATGAGTTCGAGACTGCCAGCAGGTAGGTGTCATCCACATAGGCGAACGCGTAGATGGTGACGCTGTTGCTGGTTGTCTTGTTGATCTGCTCGAGAATGGGCGCGGCGAAGAAGAGGAAGAGAATGGGTGAAAGTGCTAGAGTCTTTGTTAGCTAAATTGTGGCAAAAGAAGGAGGGGTAAGATGCGTACGAGAGCCTTGCGGGATGCCAATGTTCACGAAGAACGAGTCGGTGGTGCTGCCGGGCATCTTCAGGACTGTGCTGCGGTTAGAAAGAAACGACCAGACGAACATGATGATCCATCTGGGCAATCGCTTCTGGACCAAGATTTCGAGGAGCTTCCCCCTTGCAATATTGTCGAAGGCAGCCGAGATGTCGAGCCCCATCAATGTTGCTCTCCTCATTATGCTCACCATCTTTCTCCTGACCCTCCTTCTCGTCTTCCTTGTCCAAGCTTCATAGACGGGATGAAGAAGGTCTTGGACGGCGTGGGAGGTCGATTTTCCAGCAGCACCGTACTGCGAACCGGGGAGGAGGCTGTGTGCGATGGCCAGGTCCCTGAGACGATCCGCCACGATCTTCTCTAGCAACTTCCCCAGAGACGGTAGAAGCGCAATGGGCCGCCAACTCTTTGGATCGCTGTACGTCATCTTGTCTTCCTTCGGGAGAATGACAGTGATGGCGTGCTTGAAGATGTCGGGGTGGTGGGAGAGCTTGAGGCAGGCTTGGAACATTTTGGTCAGGGCAGGGACAAGCTGGACGCGGGCCATCTTGAGAGCTTCGTTGGCGATGCCGTCGTTTCCTACGGCCTTGCAGGTTGGCAGGTCTCGGATAATCCGGTCCACTTCCTCTTCCGTCAAGGATTGGTCGGCGTGGTGCTCCATCCAAGAGGGGCCCAGCTCGGGAGGCTGAAGTTCAGGCGCAGACTCGCCATCGCTAGTTTCAGGCCACATGCTGTTCCTCAAACAGGATCCCTTCTCAATTTCGGTCGAGCAAGTGACGCCCTTGTCCTTGGGCTGGCATATTCGCTTGGCGAGCCTGGCCATCTGATGCAAGCCGCGTGGGTCCTTGGTCTTGCCAGACACCACACGACGCCAGCTTGCTTTCCTCTCCTTGAGCCCACCCCCGATGACTTTGTGACTCCATCGATTCCAGAACCGTCTCCATTTGCGACCTTTTCGTGGCCTGGACTTGACCGTGGGCGGCCTTTCGTTTTGCAGCACTGATCGCGCGGCAGCGCTCGGAGGCCTGGCGGGCGGCTTCAACGGGAACGCTAAACGTGTCGGCACACATTCTTGGATGGCGTTGAGGAGGGCATCGCGGATTGCGGCGGCGAGTGCATCGAGTTGCTCACACGTCTTGGGCTCGGGGAATTGAAGCCGTTTCAGAGCATCGGATACGGCGGCTAGGTACCGTTCCTTTGGGGTCTTCTTCCAGAGGAAACGTTTTGTCTCGTCTCTATAGGCCCCGATGTTCAACAACGTTAGGATTGGGCGATGATCTGACTTTTTCCAAGAGGCAACCTGTTCGACGGCGCAGCTCACAAAACGAGGGGCTATTTCCTCACTGATGAATGTGAGGTCAATGCATGATACTTCTTTGTCGACACTCTCTCCACGCGTGTACGTGATCGTCCCGGGTTTCGTGACGCATCGCATATTGGCCCTGAGCATGCCGTCATGCAGGCGATTAGCCTTGGAACAGTTGGACCGTGGCCCGAGGAGCCGACCAGACCACTGCGGGTGGTGAAGGTTGAAGTCGCCCACGATGATGTCGCGCCGAGAACCTGTCGTATGCTCAATGAACTGGTTGATATTGGCGCTCTTTTCCCGGTTGTAGATGTTGTGAATGGCCACCTGGCCCGCCTTTGTTGAAAGGTGCAGTGTGGCAGCCAGCATGTTGTTGTCCTGCTCATGGTATACCACATTCCATCGTTTCTTTGGGATGGACTCGTGAACATAGAAGCAAACTTTAGCCAGGGGTACGTGCTTGGTGGCATCCTTTTGCTCATCAGGGTTGTCATCTTCGTTAAGCGGTCTCTCGGGATGGAAGTCCACATTGTAGGGTCGACAGCCCAGCCACGGAACCTTCAAAGGAGTATCCTGAACCGCTATGATGTCAGGAACGCGTCCCCGTGTGTTGAATGCGTGTTCAAGGATGGTACGCGGCCGCTCAGGGGTTTGCTTCACGTTGACTTGCAGGATGGCCAGGTTGGAGTCCCACATGGCCTCAAAATTGTGTTCCTTCAACCTCGTCTGCTGCAAGGCTCGTTGACGGCCCTTGAGTCTAGCCATCTTGATGGTCTCTCAAACCACACGAAAACGCAAGGTTGAGCTCCGAAGCGAAAGAATCAAGGGTTGCGGCAACTGCCCCGCCCGATGAATATCTCGGGGCAGCTGCCGCAAAGGAAGAGCCACGAGATGAGGTGGCAGTCAAAGGTGGGATGAGTGGCAGCGTAGGCGCTTGTCAAGAAGTGGTAAACAGAGAGTCCAATGTTGAGAGGACAAATGCAGGAAAGTTGCTGTGTGTTCGCCAAAAGAAGAGATGTTGGAAGAGGGAAGAGGGACAGCCGGATCAGCGACTCCTCTTACCTCAACCGTATCTTCTCTTCGTCAATAGCAATACGAGCCACCACGGAACTCACGGATATCGCCGAGAAAAAAAAATTCTTTTCCATTATTATCGATGATGGCTTCGAGACAAGTCATTGGCCATGATAAGTAGCAAAAGACCATTATCAAACCATGACGGCATTAAAACCTAATACATCAAACCGCCGGGGCTTTCACGGCCAATTTTCTTCTTAGTTGCGCATGTTATCAAGTCTAGAACAGGTCCACGATCCGTGTGTGATGGATTGATAATTATTCTCGTTTCGGGGAGGGTCTAGATTTCGCTATGCAAGTTTTTCTGACGCACAAGATTAATAGTCTGCCAAAAAAAAGAGGTTAACTGAGTCCACTTGGTCCGCCCCATATCCAAGTCAACTAGTTCCAGCCCCCCGTTGTAGACTCCATATTACTGTCTATTCCGCCTTCAGCCCTGTTCCGTAATTGCTAATCCACTATTATGGAGTAGCTTTCCACGCGACCGGGTGGCCGATTTCTCAAACGTCGTCGGCCCAGCTTGACCACCAACCTGCCAACTTTGGTTAGCAGCCGCCGACATGTCTCTTGACCAAACAGCAAACTTTCACCGAAAGGATGACAGACAGTTATTACATTTTGACAGACTATTGGGGTGGATTTCAACGCTGATCTGACAAAGTTCGGAACACGCCGTCTCGTCCATCATGTTGGTATTTCGCTCAAGTACGTTGCGGGACCAAAGGCACTGGCAAAAGTTGAATTGGCTCTCGCGCATCGTGAGCAAAGCAGACCTCTCCGAAGCATCATTCCCATACCTCTTTGTTGTCAATCACAGCTATCCCACACATCCTCTCTGTTTTCAAACCTCCCTCCCTCCTCCGTCTCACAATGCCTGGCCCTCCAACCACACAAAGGGCGGCCAACGATGAACCCTCTCAACGCAATGGATCTAGGGACATCGCTGCCAGTACCGAAAAGCCCCAGTTCTCTAGTCTGTTCGAGCAGAGAATGTACCAAACTGTCGTCGATGAACTCAGGAGCCTTACAGCCATTGTGAGGGAACTCGCCAGTAGACTTCCCGCACCTATAGAGGTCGACGCAGATGAGTACCTTGATATACGATTTTTGCTCAGAACGCCCTCGGATGAGGAGTTGGTGGCCAGACTTGGAGTAGAAGGTATTCTGGATGCTCTTCGCGCACTCCGTGGGCCCTATCTGCAAATCAAAAGCATCCGATTCATACCCAAGCCTAGCCCTCCGGCCTCCGGCTCCGAGGGTCCAATGATGTCCGATCGCTGCGCATCGCTATTGATTATTGTCGAGACTTACCAGGCCGAGTATGAGATTCGGAATAGCTCTTCACAAATCAAGGAAGCCGTCCCGTTCTCACCCAATTGTGTTATGCTTCCGCGCAAGTATCAAGTCCTTATCCCGGACTTCGACAAGGACTGGGACAGGGGGACGTTCCCTGACTGGACAGCGTTTTTCAAGCATTACACTCGCCAAGACGACATTCAGGTCAGGGTTACCTTCCAGAGATTCCTCATAGAGACCACTTCCCTCGAGACCGCCCTGCTCATTTGCCGAACGTCTATCAAGGTCGGACACACGACGTTCAAAGCCATGTAAGCCCCTCCAACAGTGCACCCCAAGACGAACGCACTGACAGCAAATCCCCAGACCATTTGCGCAACAAGGCACCCCGATGTTCTGTTTCAAATGCAGCACGCCTGGTCACTTCAAGGAAGTCTGCGGATACGGCCAATTTCGATGTGGACGTTGCTCAGGACAACACAGCACTGCCAGTTGTCAGTCAGGTGACATGGTCCGGTGCTGCAATTATATGGGGCCCCATGCAGCTTGGGATCATCGCTGCACAGACCCAAGAGCGAAGAGAGAGCACTCCAAGGCCAGCTACCATCGCAAAGTTGGCCCTTTCTGGGCGCGCTGGGTGAACCCCGTGGACCCATCCTCCGCTTCGAAAAAACAGGCCAATCCAGTGGCCAATACCAGCGAGGAAGAGCCTCAGAAACGCCAAAGATTATCGGAAACTACTCTCACGAGCACAACTTCTTCCACGGCAAACACCTCGAACCCAGCCATCACTCCCGGCCCAGTTAGCAAGTCCTCGAGCAAGGCCCCCGCACCGAACACCCCTTCTTCAAGCACCGCGAAAAAACAGACGGCCCCCAAGAGAAAACCAGGCAGGCCTCCTAAGTCCGCCAAAACATGTAAAGATCCACGGCAAACCTCGATCATGCAGTATCATCCCCCAGTCACAGTCTCAGCTTCCACCGCCACTGCAAGCAAGCAGGCTGCAAACGAACCACACTCTGGCACGCCTGACACATTGGGAGACACTGTTATGGTGGATACAAAATCCGACGATTCGCCAGAGGGGGACATGAGTAGGATGGACACAGATGCTGCTGCTTCGCATGAGAGCATCGTGGCTCAAGGTCATGATGGAAATGGTGGTCACATTGCAGGATCCCAGCCCACCACCGAGATAGACATGGATATGTCTGACTACACAATGACCGATTCCCAGGGGAGTGCTGAATCCCAAGTTCCAGTTTCAGGGTCGGGTTCTGATACAATCAACCCTGAGAAGAAGAAGAAGAAGAGCCGGTGGGGCCAGAGAAAGAAGACTGGCAAGACGGCTGCTTTAGCAAGGGACGAAACCCAGGAACGGGCAGAAGGTAGTGAGGGTACCAAGCCTCAGGAGAAGAGCACTTCTGAGGCGAAAGTGCTCAAGGATCAATCCCAATGTTCCGGGAACAACAAAAACAACAACAACAACAACAACAACAACAACAACACGAAGAAGAAGGCGAAGGAGGGAAAGATGAAGAATAAGAATGACGCGAAACGACAAGGTGGGGGGGCTGCTACCTCTCAGGGGAACAACACAGGATGTAACGGCAAACTTGGCAACGCAGCGAAGGAGGTCGCTCAAGGAAATTTGACTCCCAGCAGCAAGACAGGGCAAGGCAAGGGCAAGGGCAAGGGCAAGGGCAAGGGCAAAGGCAAAGGCAAGGCTCGTAACGGGGCCAAAAGCCCGGAGAAGGATTTTGATATGGACATTGATACAACGACGGACTAGGGAGCCTAAGTTTGTGAGAGAATACATAGCTAGGGTAGAGCGAGAGCGAAGCACTGAAAACCAATCGGGAAGAATGACGAGGTCCAGTCGGACTGTCAAGAGTCAACTCACCACTGGGATCTAGGGAGAGTTTCGGTGGCGTGTGCAGGTAACGTACAAGAGAAAGAGTATAGGGCTTGGTATTTGGAGAACTGATAGAATCCACTGTTGTACGTTGTACAGTTGACTGCCTCATTCAACACGCGTTTTTTTTTCCTTGTGACATGTGCCAACAAAGCGGCAATTGGGGTCACTTGGCAGCCAACCGAGAGCCTGAGTGAAGTGATTGTTGGTCCAACATCCTTGCAAAGCATCTGATGAGAAAAGAGAGAAGAACAATTTTTTTCTAAACCTGATTGGCCCGAGTTGCAGCGTGATGCCAAGCAGCTGAGGTCTAAAAACTGGTCGTCGCCCATTTTTCTGGATGAGGGATATTGTGGCCCAACACAGTTTGCATGCTGTATGCTGTTTAAACACCCAAGCAACATACAGCCCGTCACTAGACACAACTTTTACTCAGGTCAATCATCATGACTGGGAGAAACGCTCCTGATCATGTTCATCTCACCTCCTTGGCATCAAACGAACAAACTCTAACTTTGCACCTAGGTTGCATCCGACCAGGACTCGGCGCTGGGTGATGTAGGCACAACTTCTTTTCGACGTTCTTTATAATGCCATATTGAACCTCGTTCCGTTAACACGGGTCTGCGTAACAGGATACGGCGTCTTCGACCGAAAGTCTCAGAAGCTCCATCATCGACTATCGACAAGAGAACGGAAGAACCTATCATCGGTACAAGGATGGAAGTAAGCTACTTACACCAATTTCTATCTGTACAGTCAAATCTAACTACCTCGTTACGAACCTCAGAATACAACCTTCCCAATGATGAGTTGGAGAATGAGAGGCTAGGTATTCTCATGCACCCCCTCTTGTAAAGATAGCACGCTCAGACTCTATCCAGACCTCCAACATCACATGTTTCTCCTGACTTTTGATAACAAACTAGGCCTCTCGCCTCCAAATCTTCCCGATTCCAAGCCTGCACGGATCCTTGACCTAGGAACGGGCACAGGACTCTGGGCAATAGATTTCGGTGATGAGCATCCTGAGGCCGAGGCATGTGAACGGACTTAACTTGGAGCTCGACCCGGGGCTAGAGGGACATGGCTAATTCTTTCTAAATTTATAGATCATCGGAGTTGACCTGTCCCCTATCCAGCCGGGTTTGTAAGGTGGCCACTTGCCCGTCTTCTTCTCTTTAACTGACATCTGAAACCAGCGTTCCCCCAAACGTTCAATTTCTCGTGGATGATATTGACGAGGAGTGGAACTATTCCGAGCCTTTTGATTATATTCACAGCAGAATGATGAACTTTAGCATCCAAAACTGGACCGAGTATTTGCAAAAGATGTTCCAGTAGGCATTCATCTTGGTTTGGTGTTTTTGATGTGCTAGACTGACCTACCTAGGAACCTCGTCCCAGGTGGTTACGCTGAGCTACAAGAGATGGATGGCTTTTACGCATCTGATGACGGCACTCTATCTGATGACCACGCACTGTCTAGATGGTGCACTCTCCTGGGAGAGGCAGCTGTAAAACTAGGCCGATCATTCCAACCAACCGACCAACTTGCCGCGATCATGAAGCAGGTTGGATTCATCGACGTTGTCGAAACGCGTTTCAAGTGGCCGATAAACCGATGGCCCAAGGAGAAGAAGTATAAAGAGCTTGGGGCGTGGAACAACCAAAACGCAAGTCAGGTTCTTGAGTCTGCTACGCTTGCACCCTTCACTAGAGTCCTGGGATGGTCGGCCGAGGAGGTCAATCTCTTTCTTATTGATGTGAGAAAGGACTTGAATAACCCGGACATCCATGCCTACTCGCAGGTGTATGTGCATAATCCCCTGATTATTTTCGTCCTTGCTCACTGATTCATAGCCGTTCAGTCTATGGACGAAAGCCACGAGTCTAGCTTGATTCCTCAAGTCAAGGCATACGAGAAAATCTGTCATTCCTTCAGTTGAATTCAAACCTAGTCAAATTCTTGCTGCATGAAGTCGTCTTGTCACGCAAGCCCAAGTTTCAACCTCTCGGGTAAGGATCCTCTATCAACGGTTGATATACCGCTCAGAGACTGAATTGAATCATATAAACATCTCAATGTCATCTGTCTCATCTCTCTTTATAACACCCCACTATCCATCAGCAACCATGTCACAGCGGAATGTGCAGAGGGTTCGCTGGGGGCGAAAGGCCAGATCCGCCCTTGCCCTGGAAATGTCCCTTTTGTGTGGTAAAGTTCTCAATGGTGCCCAGGTTCTTGATACGTCCCAGCAACAACTCCAACACGCGGTAACCAGCTCCCGCGGTGTATCCAGGCAGCTCGTGACCCGCCAACTGCACCTCGTAGTAAGTCAGACCACGCTCATGTCCCCATTGTCCGACGGTGCCCGCTTCACTCAGTCTTCCGCCATTGTACTCTGGGTGGAAGGGCACGTAAAACTGCTTGTCTTGGGGATACTTTTGGAAGCCCTGCTTGCCGTTCCAGGTGGCGTTCTGTAGCGCAAAGAGTGTGCCGTTGGGAGGCAAGAGGAAGTCAAGACGTCCAACACCAATGATGGTGTTGTTGGTGTGTTCGATCACACGGCGGAGGACGCTGTTCTGTGCTGGCGCAAGAGAAGAGTCGGTAGCATTCGAATCGGGATCACCTCCGCCAAACACATTGTTTGGTGTGCACTGGTACCAATCAACCTGCGGCGCGTTGAGGGCCTTCTTGACGTCTGTGCGGTTGAAGTAGACCTGTGCGCCGGGAGGAGAGTAGTCGCCCTGGGGATTTCACGTTAGCATAGTTGCACCGCAGATCTACAGGGGAATAACCTACCTGATTCACAATGCCCAACTGCGCATAAGTGTGAGGGCAAGTGTCTGTGATGTGGTAAATGTTGAAGCAGGGGTTGGAATCAAGAGCAGCGCCGTAAGCATAGTCGAAAATGTCGCAAGTGTAATTGCCCGAAGTATCAGCGTACGGGTCAGGGAGGACAGGGAACGGTCCCTTGGGAGGTGGGAAAGTTCCGTAGTGGTCGATGTAAGTGGAAAAGTTGCAGTGCTCATGGGTCCACCGGAGGGCGTTCAGGGCTGTCTGGTTGAGGTTGATGAGGTTCTGCCAGTACTCAATGTAAGGATAGATGACGGCCTGTTGCTGCAGAGTGCCGTCTCCGATGATGGGGTCGTTGATGGCGACACCGCCCAACTTGTAGTATTTGTCGTCATTGGCCGTAATGAAGGCGTCAGCGATATATGGGACATAGTAGCCAGCATACGATTCTCCAGTGATGTAAGTCGTAGCTCCTTGAAGCTCAAATGCCTCGATAAAGTTACGCCAGAAGCCAATGAACTGAAGGCCAAGCTCAACCTCGTTGGTGATGTTGGGCTTGCCCTGGCTGTAACCGACACCGACAGGCTGCTCAATCCAGATGACGTTGGTCCTGAATCGATGTGTTAGTTTTGACTGTAAAAGATCTGCCCATCAAGAAAATAATCTCACAGGTTTGTCCAGCTGTACGAGTTTGGAACAGGCGCCAGGGTACCATCCTGCCAAAGAAAAGGGCCGTTCTCAGTCAACAAGCCACTCAGAGAGCTGCAGCCAGGACCTCCATTGAGCCTTGCAGATATGGTCAGCGTGTCATTTCAGATGTTCTCAAGGCAAAGTTACCAAATAACCACTTCATCACCAGCATGAGGGTTGGTGCTGGGAAAGAACCAAAAATACAGTTCTCTGGACTCATCAGGGTCCTGAGAGATTGGCAGCAGACCGGCATACGACTCGCCAATGTCAAAAGCCACCTCTGGAATGGCAGATCCATTGACGACAAACTTCTCAGTGTGCTTGTTGAGGAACTTGGACTTGCTTCTGGTCTCTAGCACTGGGGCAGAGGGGGGAGCAGGAGCGCGCTTCTGATCATAACGACGGGGATGCTCCTTATTGAAGGCATTCAGGGCACCCCGGTTGAAAGCTGCCTGGGACAGTGTCCCAAAGGCAAGAAGAGCGCCAAACAATTTGAAATGCATGACGGAGAGGGTTGTGGCAGCGTGATCATGCCAAGAGAAGATGTCACCGAGCCAAGTCTCGAGGCTCTTTATAGAAGATCATACCAGCCGTCAATCATGGCTCATATAATCTATCTCGCTCGCGTCATCTGCAAGCTGATGTCACGACAGCGGATCACGGCACGTTGAGAGGGACGAAGATCTCATGTTTGGACCACTTTTCGTCGGGCGAAGCAACGCCGGCAAAGTCGGCAGCACGCATAGTGAGGACCTTTGTATCGCACTGCCCAATGAGGGACAGTGTGGGGACAAAAGTTCCGCCTCGCCGGGGGTCTCGAGTGTCGAATATATTTCGACCTCGGAGGGGACGTGATTCATGTACGACCTTCCTCTTCTGGGGTCCTTGTCCAGTGTTTCCGCCTTGCATAGATTCCTCCAGGTCGCCGTGATTGGCCTCTGCGTCTGTCGATGCAATGCCCTTTTGTGCATTTCTCCGCAGCTAGCGGTGAGTGAGATAAAGGCTGTCCAATCGGTTGCCTCGCAGGATTGGGATCGGCCACATCACGCACGCTCGTATAACCGTGACGCGTCGAGACCCAAACGCCTCCGATCCTGTCACGGATAGAGCCATCATCGTCTCTGCCTTGAGATGCAATGCGAGAGAGACATGAACTGCAGCGCTCGCTGTGCGCCATGGCAGCGCCACCGCGTGAACGGTTGGTTACAGTGCAGCGGGTGACGCCGGAACCTAATTTTAATCCAGCCACAGCGCTCTAGCCAGTGAGATGCGCATGTCTCAAAGCTGATTGTAATACTTGGATAGAGGCTCTTTTTCTACAGAAGCAAAGCAGGGGTCAATTGACCCAATTCTTCGGCACTTTGCTTTTTCCCCTCTTATCATGAAACCCCATCAGCCACAACAACAAAAGCCGCATTTATCAACAATGCGTGACAGCATCAAAACCCAATGCCGTAAAACACCGCAGCCCAGATATTGTGTTTCCATGGCTGCCGCTATACAAAGTCAAACGTTGAAAGACGAGTCTTGCAGATGCCACCTTTTCTTCCCGGGGACTACTCAACAAGTGGCAAGATCTTGGAGCATCTTAGCTCACACCACCACGATCCAAAGCCATGAGATTGGTCTCCATATCAAGATCGCGCCACGTGCTCATCCATGGAGACTTGGCAAACTCTAGGTAGTCAAGGTTTTCACTTTTGACCTTTGGTAGAGTTGTAGGGTAGGTTGTAGAGTCATGTTAAAGTCAGTCGATTCCCAGCCACGCCTCCGCTTGGACAAAAGACACTAATGGGCAACACGCTATGAGCAAGGCGAACGGTCAAGGAAGTTGCATAGTAGTGAAAAACCTTGTCGTGCAAGGCTAGGGTATTCTTTGCAGCAACTCATCCAGGACAGAGGATCATGTGGGTCACATCCTAGAGTGAGTCAGGCTAAATGAAAATGCACAGTCGTTACCGGCTGTGATAAAGTGACACCATGACTGCTTATATTTGATAGTAGCCTAATGCTAGCAAAACCCATTTGTACTATCTCTAATTATGTGATGCCGTTCCTGGGTTCCTAAACACACCACCCACACTCGAGTCTAAGCGTCGATGCCATCAATAATTTCAACCAGCCTGGATAGAAACTCCGGATGCAAATAAGGGCTATGCCCAGCAGCAAGTCGTTCAATCTTCACCGTGTCGCCCATGGCCCCTGCCATTGCAAGCTGGCCCTCAATCGGAATAGCTCGATCATTTTCGCAAGCCACGTAAGTCTTCGGAACCGCAATGTCCGGAGCAACAAACTCAGAAGGCGTCTCAAAGCTTGCTGTGCTTTGGTATACGCAATCGGCGAGCATTCGATTTGCCAACTCCGACTCGAGATCGTGGTAGAATGCGTTCTTGGCATTCTCATTCAATGGAAGGTAATCATCCTGATAGAGTTAGATCTCATTCCTCTCAAGTCTCCACGGCTAGCGACGTTGGCAACCCACTTGGGCAAGGGACGCCACTTACAGTTCGGTCCATGAAGGGCCCGTACGTTCCGCCGATCGCCGTTTTCAACGATAGACCTCTGGCTGGCAAAGCAAACGATGCGACGTAAACGACGTGCTTGATACCTCCCTTCAAGCCCTTGTTCTTTCTCTCATGGATCTGGTAGCCCTCCACAGCTGCAGATCCAGGAATACCGCCATAGCTGTGGCAGACGACAATTATTTCCTTTCTGTCGTTTAAGGGAGATTCCATGGCTTCGTGAATAGCTGCAACATCGTCCAGGTGAGTCTTGCCTTTGATGTCGGAAACCTGTCCAACAGACGCGTTTCTGGGCTGGATGACAGTGAAACCCCTCTCTGTCAGCTTGTCTTTCAGCATGGTATAGTGGCTGGGTAGATGCCAAGCCCCATGCACCAAAACAATAGTGGGCTTTTCTGGGGTAGACATGACTGGTGGCAAGTTGTTGGTTACGAAGATAGCAATGTTGAAAGATGGGGAAAGAGGAATATGAACTGAGTCAAGAGTTGGGTGTCGTCTTTTTAAGATCAATGCTCCTGATGAATCCCACGTCAGCCCTAGATCCGTCTTGACACGTCATGGTTGAACTATACACGGCGTTAAGAGCTCTGCTGACCTGGGCCCTGCGTTGGGGGCTGGGCGGTAGTTGCCGGGTTGGCGTTTTTGAAAATCATCAGATCACTTCATGTTTGAAATAATACTACGCCAGTAGGATAAAATACTTCTTTTGATTATCTCGAAAGAAGAAATAATTGGGGGGATAAGAGTTGAGATTTTTGATCATATGCTACCTCCTAGAATGTTTGTTGCCACCTCTGCATAGTCTCCCCTAGATGAGAAATCTAATCAGATCACAAAATTACTCTTGGGAGGCTCAGCCCCTAGAGCCAACTCCATCTCCGGATCTGATTTCTTCATGGCCTTTTGATATGCTTCTCGACTTCCCACGCGTTGAAGGAAGCTCAGCACATTTGGATACTCCCCCAAGCTGTACGGAGTAAAGTATCTCATCGTTGTGAGGGTGAACACGGCCATTATATCTGCCACAGTAAACTCGCGACCCGCAAGCCACTCATTATCAGCTAGTCTCTTCTCTAGAGCATCTAAGGTCAGATTGAACTTGTGCCGGGAGAGGACCGCGAGCGGGTGGTCGACGTCTAGCTTGGCTGCTTGAGTAACCATTGTGCGACCCAGTCCGGGTTGAAAAGTTCCATCAGCCCAGTGCCACCAGTACAAAAAGTCTGCGTAAGCTGGGTCGGCGGGAGTAAGAAACAGCTTCCCGTTGCCGTACTTGTGGGAGAGGTATTCGATGCAGGCGCAGCTTTCCGCCAAGGTCAATTCGCCATCTTGGATAACGGGGGCGGCTCCCATAGGGTGTAGTGCCTTGTATTCTGGCGGCGCCAAGAGTGGAGATCTGCTGTAGGTCTTGAGTTCATATGGGATGCCCAGCTCTTCGCATAGCCAGGGGATCCGCTCAGACTGGGAGACGTGGAGGTGGTGGATGACAATGGGCATATTGAAAGTGATTTAGGGCAACTGAAGGGATTCTGAAGATAAGATTCACAATTCGGAGTTTCGTTCAAAGTCCTAGTTAAAAGCAAAGACATCGACTCCATACTTATATCCCTGAAGCCGAGGTACCTTTCCTTTACGGGAGCACCTCCCGAGGCATTCTCCGGTCCCACCAGGTTTGCTAAAATTTCTAACCAATCAGCTCATTAACCGACACGGGAATTGGCTCTCGCCGACAGTAATCAGACGATGGTCCGGTTGACAAAGGTTTTTTCTTGAAGATCGTTCAGAGATTGATGACGCGTGGTTCCATTTAAGAACCCAAAAGAACTAACAATTTCAGTTTCCATCTCGTATTTTTAGATGCCTTCGGCTTCATCTTCGGCCCCTGTACGATTTGTCCAGTTACACATCAGTCCCCCCTCCTGGCATGTCCAAAAAGTCCCAAGTCAACGGTTCCGTGTCCAGAAGCGAAGGGTCAATGCTCATAGTGTCGGGAAAGAAATTGGTCATTTCAGCGTCGAACAAAGAGTTGAACACATCCAGAGTCGGCCATACGCTGGCAACTGCATCGAGTTGCTGGTGCTCCGCCAGGTTTTGCAGTCCGTTCGGTTGAGTTGCTTCTTGTTGAAGACCAGGGCTTTTTGGCTTCATGAAATCCAAACTCCTCCAATTGGTTGTGTCTGAGGATAGTCGCAAATCGGCCTCCGTTTCTTCGGTGCTTTTTGCTATCGCGTGGGCCAACGGTTCTGTCGCCAAGAACTGCGTGGATGATGGTCCACCGCCCACATCATCACTCTCGACCCTGAGCGTATTACTTTCCTCTCCCTGCCGTATGTACCCACCCTCACTCGACCGCAAAACTCCAGTGAACTCCAAGATAGAGGACCTAGTGAGGGAGGCGTCGGCCTTGAAGTTGGTAAACTCGGATATATCGGCATGCTTGGGCTCATTACTGACGACGGGCGGGTTTCGCTGGTGGATATCATACAGGCACCGGGCGTATATTTCCTGCCACACGCTTCAGTTTTTCTTACTCACTACCACCAGCCCAGAGGACTTACCAGCAGTGAGGCAAGTTTCCAATATGGGCTCATGGCCTTCATCATCCTGACGTTCGCCCCAACATTGGCGTAGGCCCTCTCTCTGATGGTTGGTTCAGAGCACCACAAGAATGGGATATGGATTGCGCAGCTACAATATGCCGCGTAAGCAACAAAACTTAGCATCGCGCTAGGCCGGGTGCATTTCGACAGGACACTGTTGATGAGTTCGGAGACTATGCCAGCATGCTCGAAAGCAGTTTGGGCAGATAACTGCCGAGCAGATGGCCAACTCCCGTCGCCTTTAGTCCAACAGAAGAGAGGAACTATAGAGGCGTGGAGAGCGCAAAGAGACTGGTGGTATACGAGGTTGGTTAGCAAAATGGTAGAGAATTCTTTCTGCTCAACGCCTCTCATATCGTGGGGATCCAGCTTGAAGTCTGGCTGCACCTCCTCCCACCAAGCCGATAGTTTATTCTCAATGGTGCAAATGCCAGCAATTTTGCTATCCATACCAACTTCTGGAGTTTTGACAGCACAGACAACCTCGCACCTTACGAATGAGTAATTAGTTTCGTCTGAATGAACCGAAGACATATTTCTTACCAAAGAGTCAACCCTCGGATCAACTCAGCAAAGATGCTTCTGCTGTTTCCTTTTGAGTTTAGGTATGAAGAGGGAGCTTTTGAGGCACCTTGTCGGAAATCTGGTTCCGGCCATGGTAAAGCCAAAGCCTGAATATCTGCGATTGAATTAAATCGAAACAGTTTTTCTGAGCTGAAGCAATGCATCAGATAGCAAGCCCAGCATCGTCTTCGTCTAATTTCCGAGCTTAGTAGCCCCGCGTTTCGTGATCTTGGCGGCCCGAGACCAATGATGTGGATCAGCTGGCATGCGTTGCCTATTATAAAATGAGACATGCCCGATGCCATGATTATGCGAGACAAACTTTACCTTTGTGAAGATAACTGACCCTCCATGAGCCCTGGCTGTGCCAGAACAAGGCAAGGTTGAAAAAGGTGACGAGATTGTCTTCGTGGAGCTCCTCGGCCTCCTGGAACACTAGTTTACCGGCTTTTTTGGCCCATTCGATCATGAAACCTTGATCCTTAAGGGTGAATCTACCAGTTTCATCGCAATAGAAGCTATGTGACTAATATTAGCCGCGAAATAAAATTGGAACCTGACTTACTTTGCTCCCCAAGCGCAGATGCTTAGAAGGACGTGAGATCTGACATTACGTGCTGCGAGTGTTTCGAGAAAAGTCGGTTTATGAAGTAGCAAGTCCGATTGATACACATTGCTGAAGTATTCTTCAACCAGTCTTGTTATGAGAGAGATCGGTATTCCGTGGTAACATTCTTCATTCGGAAGGCCCGGAAGAGTCTTCGGCTTTAAACAACGCCCTTCTGACCCAGCCAACTGCGTCTCTTGTTGCCTGGGTAATAATGCCAAAGGCCTGGGTTCTCGTTGGTCTCGGATAGTTTGGTCATGAGTGGTGGTTTCGTTGTAGATGCATCTATGGTTGAGCCGAGTACAGCGTCGACAACGTGGCCGCTCACCAGAGCAGCGAATCTAGGTTATGCAAATGTCAACATGAACATTTCATTGGATAGCTTCACAAATAGTACCTTTTGCCTTTTGCAAGTGCCACAGGCCTTGCTTGGCCTTCCTGGAGCAACTGGCATGACCACGCAATTGAGAACATGAATGTCATCATGTCAGCACCGAGAGTCCACAGTTGCTTGAGTTAGACTGAACTAGGAAAAACGATTGTCCGACGACAAATTGCAATTTGTTGTTTTATTCATCATTCACGTTAGTCTTTTCCCACTCTCCTGATGCCCCCACATAGCCATCTCGGTATGATCTCCAAAGCCTCAGAAGTTTCAGATTGCAATTAACAAAAGCATAAACATACAACCTTGTGCACTGTTTGATGCGAGTTTATACTCTCTCTTAAATGCTTGCCTGATGGGGCATCCTGCACATCTCTTTCCGGGGAGCTCCAATTTCGTACCCCCAACGGATACAATAACCCCGAGCTACCGACAAAAACATCAGATATAGCGAGCCGACTCAAAGCATGATGATCAGGCGGCTTGCTTCCCCTGCCTACTATACCACCTCCTAACCTTAATTCTACTGGGGTAAGCTGCTCATTGTGGGGTTAAGGTTGCAATGGAAACAGCCGAGGGACTTGATTGAAGCGCATCGGCCCCCAAACCGGCGGGGGATCGGCGTAATACCAGGAACCACACCACGACTGTTGGTCGTCTCGTTATTTATCCGTCGAATCCCCGCATTCATCACGCTTTGCGGTCAGAGAGCCCGAGCCTTGGCACTGTCATGTCTGCAAGGTTGGCGCAATTGAGCATTGAGAGGCGGAGTAACTGCCAGACTAAGACATGGTCACCGTTTAACCTGTCCATCATCGGGTCAAGATGTACCGAATGATGCTATAAATTAGGCAAGCTTCTCTGTCTCATGAGCCCCAGAATACTTGCCACTTGTTTCTCGTATTCCTCAATTGGTCCTCTACCTTTGTCAACATGGGTGTGAATATCTTGATCACGCTGGTCTTTGCCGCCTGCGCAAGTGCCAAGTGGATCGTTCCCGGCGCGAGATGGCTCGACACTGATGGCAACATCTTCAACGCTCATGCGGGAGGACTTTGTGTTGACCAGGAGAGCGGTAGATTCTACTGGTTTGGTGAACACAAGACCCAAGGCCAAGAGGAGGGTGGCGGTATCTCTGTCTACAGCTCCGATGATCTCGCCACGTGGACGTCGCACGGCCTCGCTTTGAGTATGTACCGGATGTTATTCCTGCTAACAACCGTTGTTAACAATCCTACAGAGCCCGTCGAGGACCATCCCTATATCTCCCCCCACAGCGTCATCCAACGCCCCAAGGTCTTGTACAGCAAAGAGACCGGCAAATATCATGTACGAGAAACCTACCGTCCGATCCATACCGTAAAAGGCTCCATTTACTAACACCATTAGATGTGGTGGCACGCCGATGACAGCAAATATAGCCTGCTCCTCCAGGGACTTGCTACTTCCGACAAGATCGCCGGACCATACAAGTTTGACCACGCTGCCGCCCCTCTCGGAAACTGGTCTCAAGATTTTGGCGCTTTTACCGATTATAAGACGGGAGAGTCGTATTCCCTCTACTCCAATGGCGATCGTGTCGAGGGTCGCGATGTTTACATCAGCAAGTTCAACAAAGACCTCACAGAGGTCGAGGAGGTCACCCACCGCTTCAACAAGTACGACTTTGAGGCGCCTACCATTATCCAGACCGACAAGAGCTACTGGACTCTGATGAGCCACAAGACTGGCTACCGTCCTAACAGTGAGTGCCAGAACTTTGAATGCACGTGCAGACACTCACCGTTTTAGATGTTGTGGCTATGCGAGCCGACAAACTCGAGGGCCCTTGGTCCCAACCCTTCTTCGTCGCTCCCGCCTACACTCGAACTTTCAGCACTCAATCTGGTTTTTCTTGGAGAATCAAGGGTACGAAGAAGACTACCTATCTTTACATGGCCGACCAGGTACATCCACACTTCATCGTCTTGGAGATCTGTTAACTGACTTGCTATAGTGGGATTTGCTGTCTCTCTGGGAGAGCCGTAATGTTTGGCTGCCCATCGAGATTGACGAGGACAACCGCAGCCTCCAGGTTGTGTGGCACGATATCTACGATCTCAACGTGTATGTAACAAGCAAGGTCTAAAAAATGCCTATGCTAACCACTTTACAGTAAAACCGGCGAGTGGAAGCCAGTCAAGGGAAAGACATATATCTCGAAGCAGGCAAAGCTGGCTGGAGATGCCCATCTCCAAGAAGCTGTAAGTTCCACTATGTTGCAAGAGACATGGAAGATGCTAATAGTTCGGTTCGTAGACCTTTGGAAGCGAGCATGTCATCGCAACAGGCATCTATGGTAACGATAGCACCGCCACTTTTACCGTGAATGGAGAGGGTCAAGACCAATGGGTATCCTTCTATCATCAGAGTTAGTGACATCTCTACTCTTTGTCTTAAATATCTCCCTAACAACATTCTTCTAGACATTGACGATATGGGCTTCGGCGACCAGCCCATGGGCGCACCCGATCGTATCAACGGCACCTGGCAGATCCGCCGCATCAGCAGCGTCGTCGTCAACGGTGAAACTGACAAGGTCCATACGCTCTATCAGAAGGACACCCACAAGGGAATCATCCTGTCCACTCCTCTTCTCCTTCCCCTCAAGAAGGGCAAGAACACCATCACTGTTGGAGGTCTGCACAACGGATTCGATTACAAGGGCGCGGATCTTGATCGCATTGTTGTTTATCCTCCCGAGAAGAAGAAGGGAAAGCGTAGCCATGCTCGCTGGTTCTAAATATAGACTGCATTGAAGCTAAAGATTCAAATCTAGTTGCGGCCAACTTGGTCATCTATTAGTCGCAAAATCTCGTCCGCAGCTGTAGCTCTTCCACCTCCGTTTCTTCCACAAAGCTCTGCCAGTGACCTTGCATTGGCTGTGTACTCGGCATTGTTGTCAAGAGCCACATCGATGAGCGCTTCTGTAAGCTCTGACTCGATCCATCGCGGACAACCTTTCTTGCTTCCCCATCGTCCAATACCCAAGACCTCGGCCTTGGAAGCAAAGTCATAGCAGTCGAACCAACAGGGAAGAACAACCTGAGGAACGCCAGAACTAAACAAGTCAGTATATGCAGTCACTCCTGGAAAGAGACACATACCACACAGCTTCGTTGTAAGAGTTAGCACCGCCGTGACTGACTGCACACACCACGTTTCCAGTCTCCAGAATCGAACTTGGCTCAGAAGCAACCCAGTTCACGATCCGGACCCGGTCCTTGTCTATCTCATCGCTCAGCACTGTGTGAACTGCCGAGCCAGGTCCAATGTCAAAGTCCCCGCTGCGCTCCAAGTCCTTCTTGAGTTTCCACAGAACTTGCAGTCCAGAAAGTTTCTGCTTCAAGGATGCTGTGTCGATGAGATTCTTGAGCGAACGCGCCATTTCTACAGCCTCGGTTTCGGATGTCAGACAGTGAGTGCCGAGGTTGATGTAAATGACAGGACCACGGCTCAGCCAAGCTGCCAGGTCGCTGTCGATATTCTCCAGCGGTCGAAGAATAGGTCCACATCCAAAGATCTTGTCCATATACGCCTTTGGAGGCCCCACCAGGTCTAGACAGGGAAAGTCGATCTCAGGACGGCCGCTAATGAGTATTCGATCAATACCGTCGAGACCAGTATGAAGCATGGACAAATTGTCAACGATCTCAAGTTGCGGAATGTTGGTAAGCTCTCGGACCTTGGCTGTCATTACTGGTTTGTGGTTGTCTCCTGCCATGATTACGATCAAGCGAAAGAGGAGATAGATGTTGAGAGGGACATAATACCATGGGACAGGCGTAGGAATTCCAGATCCCACAACAGACCATTTCCAGAACGGAGCGCCACGAGGCTCGATGTGGTGAACGTAGTCCTTCATGGAGTTGGGAGCAAAGATGGTCAAGGTAAACGCTTTCGAGACGCGACTCTTCATGTGCTTCCCTGCTGTGATACCCGGCGAGAAGATGGGATCGACAAGAACGATATCGGGTTCCAAGGTCTCGATGAGGGTGCAAATCTTGTTAAATATGGCCGCAAACTCCTCAGGCGTCCAGCACAGAAAAGCCCAAGTCGTGATGAACCGAATCGCTTGTGGTGCATGCCATAAGCCTGGCTTCAGTAGAGCCACCGAGAACATGTGTTTCGAAGGATCCTTGCTACTATTTAGACAGTTGAACATGGTGCGGCCAGGGAATGAGTGGAAGCTGAAAGGCAGTTGTTGCTCATCTTTCGCTAACGCCAGGTTGAGAGTCTTTTCGAGCTGTGGAAATGACGCGATGTGAAGCTCGACATTTGGATCTCGCTCCAGCAAAGCGTGAGATGCGGCAATAAAAATATTTGCCTGCCCAAGCTCACAATTTGTGAGCATAAGCACTTTGCGTCGAGCCATTGTAACGACACTGTTGGGAGTCAAATGCGATAATTGGGTATTGCGAAGGTCAGAAAGAGCGGAAATCAAAATAAGACGCGCGATAGGGACAGCTCTCTATTAATTCCCGCCTTTTCCATACCTGCGCTTGTCTCCGGGCCGGTGAGCTTCGCGTCTAGGGCTCTCAGCCACCGTCTACGGTCTAACTTGGAGCGTACTAAGTCGCATAGCCTGGCGGCAAGCAAGCCTTGATCCATATCGATTGGATCCACTTCAATGATCAATTTGCTCGGTTGATACGTGGATTGCAAGGAGTGAGACGAGCTATGCAAGGGAGTAAGCACTAGTCAAGCCAGGAGTGTCAGATGAAGAGGTTGGAAAGCCTGTGATCTTACTCATCTGCCCAGGCTGCTTGATACATTACTTTGGGATACATGGTGCGATAAAGGATGCACTAGGTGGATGATAGCACTAAGGACAAACCAGATGTCTTGTTTGAAGCATTCTAATCATTTACTCCCAATACGACTACATGTGGCATGATTTGGTGGCCTCCTTGTGAATATCGTGCCATTTGCGTCTTTCGTTCAATCTTGCCCTTTTTGATATTACTTGGTGTAGTTACATGTGTATCTAAGTGTGAAATAGTTCAAAGAGTGATATCCAAGGCTTGATCTACATGAGGCCAACACCCAAGCCCTGCGACACAAGCTTAATTATGGTCCAGCCCTGCGAAATTGCGGGGAAAGATGAGACATGATTCACTATTGCCAATACCATTGTTAAGATTTCCTTAATGATTCTGGCGCTCGCGTGAAGAATGATATATTCTCTAGTGCAGATATAAAAACCATTCATATTGCGGCCATAGAAATATCAAATTAGCTCAAGAGTCGCACTGGACTCTTTCCGCACCTTACACCTCATGCAAACGAAATGCGATTTCTTTTTATAGATAGTTATGTGCTTTCTTCTTTCTCTATCCGAACTTTTAATCTTTATAGACTATAACCCCCTCTAATTATTGTTAATCAAACTACTTCATCGACCCCTACGTCACAGTCTACAGAAAGACAGAAGAAAGCCCAGCGGCAATTGCTAAGAACAAAGGGCAAGAGATGTGCGAAGTAGGGTCATATAATAGATTCGGAAGAACAAAGCAGTTACACATGTACAATCAGCGCTCAATAGTAGTCGAGGGGAAATACTCCTTTGTTCTAGCTTTTTTGTTAACACAACTACTCATCTTTAACAATCAACGAGCCTGAACATCCCAAGGATAGACAGTTCTATCTGATCAGTTGATAACTTCATAAGACAACTATCGAACAACAGTACACAAGCAAAACCGCATCTGCATAACGACTTATATAAAATATGTCTCCCAAGTTTCCTCCGAGAAGGTCTTCCCATCATCTCCAAACAAGCCCATTTAACAGCTATTTCGATAACACTCACCTACATATCTCACAATGGCTCCGACTCCGCCTCCGCCCCCGCCTCCGGCCAAGAAGAGAGGCTTCTTTTCGCGCTGCTTTCCGTCTACCCTCTTGCTCGTTCTATTGGCACCCTCGCTGACTTGCATCTGGCTGTTCATCAATGACCTCTGGACCAAGATCTTCTTCACCCTCTTCACTCTTCGGTACGCTCGTCTTGTCGGTCATATCCTTGGCTCATGGATCTACAGACCTGCAGAGATAGTGCCCGACCCAGCCTTCAAACGGGAGGATGTCAGTGTTATTCTCCCTACTGTCGATCCTCAGGGACCAGACTTTCGAGAATGTGTCCTCAGCATCATGGCTAACCGGCCCGAAGCGATTTATGTCGTCACAGTTGGAGCTCAGCTCCGTGAACAGTGCAAAGCGGTAGTCGAGAGGCTAAGCAACGAAGCTAACTACAAGGGAGCTTACCTCGCAGCACTCCCCATCGCCAGCAAGCGTCGCCAGGTCGCCCATGCCGTGCCCAGAATCAAGACCGCCGTCACAGTTCTCGCTGATGACCACGTGTTCTGGCCGGAAACATTCCTTCCATCGGTTCTTGCACCTTTGAATGATGGCTCGGTTGGTATGGTGGCCACCAAGAAGCGTGTTCGCCGAACTACTCCAGGTAATTGGGGTTGGACCGACTTTGTCAACTTCATCGTCAACTTTATCGCCTGCAACTATCTTCAGCGTCACAACTGGGAGCTACGCGCTTCCAGTGGCATTGATGGCGGATTGTTCGTCATCTCTGGAAGAACAGCTGTATACAGGACAGAATTTCTCCGAGACGGCAACCTAATGGACAAGTTGTGCAGTGAAAAATTCTTCTTTGGACTCCTAGGAGGCACAGGACTTGGCCCCGACGACGACAACTTCCTGACCAGAGCGGCCATGAAGAAGGGTTGGCGAGTTTTCTTCCAAGATACCGAAGAAGCGACTATCGAGACAACTCTCGGTTTGTGTCCCAAGTTCAGCGACCAACTTTTGCGGTGGGCGAGAACCACATTCCGAAGCAATCCAGTGATGCTGAGGGACCCCAAATTTGTTGTCACATACGCGTGGAGCGCATTCATGGTATACTGGGCAGCTTTGGTAAACTTTGCTATCCTCTGGGACGCGGCACTGATCTTTTCGCTAATCAGCATTAAGAACGTGCAGCCTTATCAAATTGCCCTGGGTGCTGTCTGGATTGCATGGACAAAGGTGATCAAGATCCTCCCACACTTCTACAGGCACCCAGCTGATATTCTATTGGTCATCGTCCAAATTCTGTTTGCCTATATTCACAGTTTCTACAAGTTGTGGGCATTGCTCACATTCTGGGACTGTGGTTGGTCTGGGAGAAATCTTGCTGATGTCAATGGCAACCAGGGCGACACCTTGGACACATCATTTGTGTATCTGTGAGACTGAGGTGTAGCGACTAATCAGACTGATCTAGAGACAGGCCACCGATCCTAACAGGTGAGATCCCCTTTTCATCCTGATCAGTGTTGAAGTCTTCAATGTCATGGGTATGAGAGTCTTCGTTTTTGACCAACTGGGGTAAGCATTCATACATACTTTGTGTTTAATCTATTCTTTTTCTTACGTCTCGCATGTTTATCAACTACTGTTCCTTCCCTATAATTAGTGACTATCACCAAGACAAGGCAGGATTCTTGTAACTGAAGACCCACTGTGTTAATCGGGATACGACGCTATGATGTGTTTACAATGTGTTCTTTATTCTAGTTGAAGCCGGACCCTCGATAGCATAACTAAGCCAGAAAGCTGTGACTGAAGAGTACTTATCTGTGGTAGTTCAGCAATGCGTGACTTTTGTCCACCCCTCGAGTTCCCTATGCTTACCAGTCCTTGCAGGGAATTTCGGCTGCTATTCTATCAAGACAAGCGAGGGTCGAGGTGCGCTGGCAGATAAGCCCTAAATGCATTTGTTCCTTTCCAATGATGAGGAATGGCAAATTCAATGACAAAAACTGGTAAAAAAAACACCACTCTTACGTCTCTTTTATTCTAATTCGTGGAAAGGCAGCCGTTTATGCTTAGCAATGATTTCGACTTAAGGACCATGGATTGGACACATCAACCGCTATAAAAACCATGCCTAATTTCTGTCTCTCTTTCTTCTCAAAGTTAGGGTTGGAGAGTCTTTGTCATATGCCCTATAATGATTGTTCATTTTGCAATAACTATAACTACAATAGCCCGTCAGAAGCTCAATTTTTTCATTATATCCCCGTTTGGTACCGACAGAATCGTCTTCACCGGACATATAGGTGACAGCCTAGTTCTTGAAGTCTCCATTCGACAATTCATCCTCCAAATCATAGTACACTTGAAACTCGCAGTAACAGATCTCTGGGTCGCTCTCAACGTCAAAGTTGAAGTTGGCTTCCTGGTCTGTGATGAGAACTTTGGGGACGCCATTCGCAGCAGCAGCCTCGGCGAGAAGCTGCACACGGCATGTGTTTTCCATCGAGGTATACAGCCAAGCGGCCTCATCCACAGTCTGCCCAACGGTGAGAATGCCGTGGTTTCGTAGGATGCAGCCTTTTCCTCGGGGGCCTAGAGCCGCGGCGATGCGATCACCCTCTTCGCTTCCCAGTACCACTCCTCCGTAGCTGTTGTAAACGCTATGGGCATCTCCTCGGAATTTGCAGGCGTCTTGTGTCAGCATCTCGAGCCGACGACCAAAGACAGACCACGCCTTTCCATGGATGCTGTGAGAGTGGCAGATGGCATGTGTGTCAGGTCGAGCTTTGTGGACTGACGCATGGATGAGGAAACCAGCTGTGTTTGGGGGTCGAGAACGGTTTCCACCAATGACCTCGCCGTCAAGGTTGACAAGAATCATGTCGCTGACCTTGAGGAGTCCAAAATGACGGCCCAAAGGGTTCGTCCAGAAAGCGTTGGGAAACTCGGGGTCACGAACAGAAATGTGACCACTCATGCCTTCGACGTAGCCTTCTCGGTGCCAGTGACGAAAGGCGGCAGCCATATGCTCCAGCTGCCATTTCCGGTGTGATGCAAAGTCTGGGTGTGTTGGGATTCCTTTCAAGACAACATCGCCATGCGACATTGCTTGAAGTGGCGTCTTGTCCTTGAGTTCATTGCCATGAGCTGTGTGTGGAGTTTCTTGGGGCTGAATGCTAATGGTGCCGCTAGGGGCAGCCTTGGTGGTTGTCAGCGTTGTGGAAGACATTGTGGTGTGTGTTGATGATGGACGACCAGATCCGTTCTTCTGTTGCAGTTAGCACGCTTATATACTGCATGCCGGCTAAGTTTACCCCGCTTGTCAATTATGTGAAGTGCGCCCTCCAAGTATAGTTAACAGGTCAATGTCAATGTGCAGAACCGGGTGAGTTGGAGGAGAGGCTACTGGTGTTAGCGGCTGCATTATCAGTCTGTTAAGCGGGGAGACAGTGTTATGACCCTATCAAAGCACAGCTGCTGCTTCTTGGGCTTGGCAGTGATTACTTCCTTATCAGACATTCGGCAAGAGACCTCGCCTCGCCGTTGCTGACAATGAGGCTCCCAATTGCATACTGGGTGGCACCGGGCCTCAAAATCGGCCATCCCCGTCACATAAGGAACAACTCACGGGGATGACCGATCCCGAGACCCACCAAGCACCTTTCCTGGGCACTTGCATGTCCCGTCAAGACCTCAACCACATTTATTTTGGCTATCATCCGTCTTCAACAGCCAAAGAGCCGAGCCTTGCCAAATCGACTTGAAGACAGGGAAACTAAAATGAACATTCACCAGACCAAGTTTCCATGTGGGTGTGAAATATTGGCTTTCATACAACTATATACGGTCCTTGAACCTAAATATTAAACTATACTGACAAAACACATCCGGAGATGCGGGGGGAATAGCATCATAAGATACCCTCAAAGAGGTAGCCAGATCGTCCGTCTAATACTTGGCTCGGAGAGCCCTCTTCATACGCCTGGTGGCAGAGCTCACGCACTGCGAGTAGTAGTCGTTGTGGGCGACGCACGAGGTACCAGACGCGCACTGGGTAGGGCCAATGTAGTGGAGTCCGCCACACTGTCCCCATTGCGCAACCTCGCTGCCAGAGTCGGAGTCGGAGTTGTCAGAGCCAGTCTCAGCGGGGGCGCTTTCAACGGGAGCGGCTTCAGCAGGAGCAGTCTCGACAGGCGCGGTCTCAACAGGTGCAGCGGCTTCAGAAGTGGCGGCGGCAGCAGGGGCGTTCTCAGTCTTCTCTGCCTCCTCGACGGCGGGACTGCTCTCAGCAGTGGACGGTTCAGTGGCATCGGACTCGGTCTCATCAGTGCTGGAGGCGGTTCCAAGGTTGGCAGGGCCAGCTCCACCCTTGACAAGGCTGGAAACCTCGGAAGCAGCAACAGGCTCGACAAGGTACTCCTTCAGGTTGGACCAGGTCGACAGGGCGCCAGAACCAGAGAGAGATGGCCAGTCACCGCTGCTCGAGTCGACGCTGTTGATAGCACAAGCTCTGCCGAGGGATGACTCGCAGGAGCCGGCAGCGGACTCGTCGGGGACGTTGAAGAAGGTCGAAACGGAGGCGCCGCTCTCGGTGATGGGGGTGTTGACAGATTCGAATGCGTTACCCTCGATGAGAGCGGTGGCACCGTTGTAGCCGTCAAAGGCGTGTCCCTTCATGTTGCTGAACAAGTTGTTGGAGGCCTGGAAAGTGCAGGTAACGCCATCGGCGCCAAGCTTGGGAGCACGTCCAGAGACATCGTGGAAGTAGTTCTTGTCCAAGGTAACCTGGTCTCCCTCACCAATGAACATCATGGTCCAGTAGTGGTTGCCGTTGCAAGAAGCAGAAGTAGTGGTAACACCATCAAATTCGTTGTTGGAGAGTGTAAGGCGGGATCCATCGTAGTGAGAGACCACAAACATGCGGCCGACGAGAGAGAACTTGCAGTGGTCGACCCAGACACCATCGTTTCCACCCTGAAGGTCGAGGGCATCGCCACCCCAGACAATTCCGGGGTTGATGTCGGTGAACTCAATGCCCTGGATGATGACGTTGCTGGCACCCTTCTGGAGCGAGAGACCCTTGCCCTTGAGAACACCCTTACCGTTGGTACCGATGATACTCTTGTTGCTTCCAACGGGCAGAGCAGTGGTACCGGCGGTATCGTAGCTGATAGAGCTAACAGCAGTGTTGTCTGAGCCTCCACAAGAGAGATCTCCGAGGTAAAGCTGGCCACCATTGGAGGAGCTGCAGCTGATGCGATCACATCCCGCGCCAGTCGCAGTAGTTCCAGTAAAGTCGTACTCCTTGTCAATAACAATCACTCTCTCGGTATCGTCAGAGAGCCATTCAGCGAGCTGCTCGACAGAAGAAGGGATAGCAGCTGCTGCAGCACCACCACCGGTGACACCGCTTGCAAATCCATAGGCAGTTCCAACGATAGACTGGGCAGTTGCCACAGAGGCAGCAGCGAGAAGGACAGAGGCGACTTGGGCGAGCATTTTGAAAGGATAGAAATGGTCAAGAATAAAGCCAAAGGGTATTAACAAATGCACTGAGGCCTGCCCAAGTGCTGAATTATCGAGGATACTGAACAAAGAAACAAACGAATGTAGACTAAAGAGCAAAACACAAAGAATGAAGGTGCTTTGACCTAGGTATCCAAGGTTGACATCGCACCAAGTCTTATAATATCTTCGATTTTATGGTAATGGCAGGTATTGGAGGAAAATTGACTTTGCCAAGTAAATAGGCTTCTTAGTCTTCCCCACAGTTTCCCCTTAAAATCTCGTCCCGTTATCATGTTTCACGTGGCACAGGAACATGAAACACGGACCAAATACCTCGTTTGAAAGGCCAAGCCTTTATTCCGGTGAGAGTGCGCGTACTTTATCCTTAGTTACGCGCTTGTGTCACCACATCCAAGCCGCCGGGTGTTTCTGCCAAGCTCAATCGGCAAGGCTACTTCCGATTCTCTCAAGACTGGTCAGACGTCTGTACTACATTTAGCTTAGCCCCTGATCAAGGGCACCGCCACCATTGCCATAGGTCACCGCGTTCACCAGGGATGTAGTATTAAGGTCGGGGATGGTTTTTCGAACATTTCTCGAATGATCTACTTGATCGTTAGGCTGTATAAGATCAAGCTCTCCGCTAAGCTTGTCTCACAGCGGATAGATAAAGTTCTCGTTCTCCAAGTCAGTCAAGTCCAGCATTGCAACCTCAACCTTGACCTTGACCATCTGCCCATTCTCATCCAGCTGCTCGACATAGCCACTACCATCCTGGTCGCTGAGCTCGGCTAGCCTTTCTTTTCTGACCTTGTTTCTGCGGGCCAGGATGAAGTGGATGACCCACAGAATGACAGGCGTCCCAAACCAACTGACGACAATCATAGAGGCCCAAGCTCCGTAGTACCTGGGTCTGGCTGACGGGACCCAGATCTGGGGGGACACGAGATTTCCAGCGCTATATCCGATCATGAACATGACGTTCCTCGTCAGTTTCTTTGTATATCCGGCGGCAGAAGAGTTTGTCCATCCCAAAGCGATGATGTATGCAACACCATATGTGTGAGCCGCCAGGAACATGCAGGCGAGCAGGGATATGGTTCGATCCCAAGGTACAGTAACCATTCCGATACCACCAGCAATAGCTGGCAAGCACCAAAGGGTACAGTGCAGTGCAAAGTTACCGGGAAAGCGTCTCAGGGCAAACGCTGCGACGACGCAGTTGATGATACCAAAGCCGCCACCTGCAACCGCAACCAGAGTAGACTCGAGAGGTGTGACTCCGAGGGACGTGACGAGCAGGTTCTTCTGGCCGTAGGTAAGGTTATTGCAGTACATCAGGGTGAATGCCTGGAGTGCAAACAACCAAGATACCGGGTCTTTCATGGTTTCGATAAACTGCGAGCGCTTAAACTGCTTCTGCTCGATTGAGCTTTGCTGAGACTCGTGAACGCGTCGAACCACGTGCACCTTTTCTTCAAGCGTCAAGAACCTTGCTTCAGCAGGATTGTTGGGATAGTCAAACCAGACCCAGATGGAAAGCAAAAGGGTGATACCACCAGTGACGACGTGGAGTAGCTTCCAAGGGAGAACAGGTCCACTACTCCAAAGGAGGCCGTAGGCGACGAATCCAGCCACAATCGGGGCGCCTTGGCATGTGATCCACAGCACAGGCTGCAAGAAGGATTGTTCTTGGCGAACGAAGAACATGCCGATGGTGATTTCAATAGCAGGGACAACCACTCCTTCAGCAGCCCCTAGGGCCAGACGTAGCACGATGAGTCCTGCGTAGCGAGTTGCAACACAGTGGAGGAAGATGACGACGGCCCATGAAAAGATGATGCCAGCCACGAACTTGCCGAAGGGGAGTCGTTGCATGAGGTAATGTCCGGGCCATAGGAAGGCGAGGTAGCCTGTTAGGGTTAGGCACGCTCCTTTGTGGTTGGGTATCCAACCTACCAACGTAGAACATGGTGTTCAGGTTGTTATACTGAGCCTGAGAGATGCCCGTCTCTTCGAATAGGCCAAGGATGGCTGCATAACCCAGGGTGGACTTGTCAATCTACATGGCTCGTCAGTGACCATGTCGCAGTATTCCGGAGCAGGAAACGAACAAACAGCATAATGTTGATCATGGACAGCAAGCCCATCAGCCGCAGGTAAAGCTTCCTCTTGACTTTGGCTGCATGTTCAGGAGTAAGAGGAGTAACATTGTCCCCATGCTCCTCAATCAGGTGCAGGGTCACGTCGGCATACTTTTCAGTAACCGTCTTGCCGTTAAGCACCCGCTCGACCTTGGTCTGTGTCTGCGTTTCGTTACCCATGATGGCGATGGAGCATGAGATAAGAGTGCAGATCCAAAATGGCGATGAAACCCAGTTCTTATAGGATTCCATGCCAAGAACCATGGTCTGATGGATACGACACTGCTTACAGTCATGACAGCTACATAGCGAGCCAGATACATGGGAACCGCTGCACGTCTCGACCAACAGAGCAACGTGAAAATGACGACATGAACGCTATCTAGGCTTAATGAAACGCTTGAAAATAAGCTTGATTGAGATTTCGCCAGATTGGGAAGAATACGTCGGGAATGACGGGCGGAAGGATGGCCCCATGTCGCGATAACGCCATCGAGAATCCATTTTGCGCCATGCCAAATGGATCCTTTCTGCACGCGAGGACCCAGTCCGCTGGATCCTGCAAGAAGATTGATTGCGAATTATTGCCTTGGCTGGTCTATGCGTAATTCTTGGCACTCTAGTTTCCCTTTTCTGGTTCAGGGAATAACGGCATCTGACCGAGCTAGGTTCATATTTTGTGGCGTGGATGGTGGATCGCATGCGTAGCGCGATCGATAGAGTTATGGTTACCTTGGAAGAGCCTCACGATGGCATGAACACGTGGATGAGTGGTACGAGGTCCCTGGCTCGGTTGAGGTTAGTGAGGTTAGCCTCTGTAATTCGCTCATGCTCCGGCTGGGCCGGGCATTGTATGTACGAGTGGTCAGTCATGGTTTATGGTGGATGCTTGGCGGGAGACTATTGAAGGGACATTCCGAAATGCGGAGGAACTGTTTGATCTGTTCCAACAAGATGGGTTGCCCCGTGTTAACGGCAACGCATTGTGTGTAGTCAAGCCAGCATGGAAGGACAAGTCAGCTGAAATTGTCTAGTTTCATGATACAAGCAATTGTGTCCATAACCCTTTTCACTTCCTACTATGGCCATCTAGCAGTATCTCTGTTACTCTCGATCTTCTGGCTCAGTTCCCATCAAGGGCCGGGCGTTCGATTACTCTCAAGACAAGAAGTGAATCACGGTGAGCACACAGAGCTGGAGGATAGCACGGCAGCAACAGAATCGTGTTAAAAGAATAATTTGAATTTTACAACTAATAAAAAAGAACAGAGTCGCTCGTCTCAACCGGCTATTCCGACTTTTCTCTGGTGTTGAAGTGGTTACGACTTTGAGTGCCTTGAGTGTCGACCACACAACAAGGCAACCAGATGCACATCTTGAGCACAATCCAGAACCGCAGAAACCAAACAAATAATGAAACACTCCAGAAACAAAGCATTTTAGCCTAACGGTGGAGCACGTGGGACCGAGACGGACCCATCGAGTCAGTCTCTAATCAGCAACTTGGCCAGAAAATTTTCATGATAGCTTCAATTTAGGGCACCGGGCTTAGACCTATTTAAGGTAGCGCGCCCGCATTTCGCCCACTTTCTAGACCTACACAAATTTCTCCCCAACCTTTTCTGCTCTGAATCACCATCTCGGATCAAATTCAAAGACATCTCTAAAGTTAATCGACAAGATGAGCTCTTCTAGCGCCCTGCAGCCGCCGTCAAGCAGCTTACCACCCCTGTTCACCTTGACTAAACTCGCCGAGGCAGATGTCATTAACGCCCTGCACCAGTTGGCTGCCATCTACTGCCCCTTGTCATTTCCCTTTTCTCAGGAACTCAGCTCACAAGCAAAGCACGACATCACTCAACTGGACGTGGATTCCGGTTACACGTCTGGCAACGAAGACGAAGACACAAATAACTCAAAGCAGACCATCACCACACTCCGTGCGGATGCATTTGAGAGATCTTTCGTGGAACGCTGGTTAACGGGCTTCATTTCGCGTGCCGAGACCCTTTCCATCTTCAGTTCTGAAGAATCAAGCCAACGGGCTGTCGACCAGGCGGCGTACATCTTTGAGTCTCTGTTCACGCCGGCCGTGGACGAAGACGAACAAGACACATCATTTATGAGAAGCTTTTCTTTCGATACACAAATCCCAGGACAAGCCAAGGGAAAGATCAAAGTGCAACTCAACGACGAACTGGCGGGTACGACCGATACGGACTACCAAGACGTCGGACTGCAAAGTTGGGGAGCGTCGATAGTTTTCTCCGAAATCATGTGCGCTTCACCAGCTCGATTTGGACTTCAAAATATTCCTTCGACATCAGATACACGCATTATCGAGCTTGGAGCTGGCACAGGGCTTGTCAGCCTTGCTCTCGGAAAACTGCTCCCCTCCTTGGGCGTGAGGGACTCGAAGATAATTGCCACCGACTATCACCCTGCCGTCCTCGATAACCTGCAATCAAATATTGCACTCAACTACCCCAAAGATGGTTCTTCTTCGATCAGCGCCTTCCCTCTCGACTGGGCCAGCCCTTCACATGAACATCCATTCGATGTACCCGCCACAATGCTCCTGGCCACCGACGTAGTTTATGCACTCGAGCACGCACGCCTGCTGTGTCACTGCGCAACCCAAATTCTTGCAGAAGGCGGAACTTTCTGGATGCTCATCACGATCCGCTCCGAGGGCAAGTTTGCTGGCATCTTAAACACAGTCGAGGACGCCTTTGGAGCATCGGATCGACCTCGAGGCAAGTCAGGGCGTAGACTTGAGATTTTGGAGCACGAGAAGTTGGATAAACGTAGCGGCGTAGGGCGTGGGGATGAAAGCGGGTATGAACTATTTAGAATTGGCTGGTCATAGAGTGGGATTGAGTGGGAGGTTGACAGGAATACCCCCGATGGACTATAGAGGATAGATCATGTATAGATCCACCACAATTATATAAGACTCAAACTCGCATGCCTTACCATGTGACCAGATGTGCAGCATGGGAAAGGGACGTTTTCCATTATTGTCTCTATCAGATGGCATCTTTAATTCCCCCAATCGCTTCGGGGCTTCCTTGAAACCGGACAAACACAAAAATCAACAAGATACCAGTAAAATGTAAAGATGAATTGAATTATAATCATATGCCGCTGGGGATAATTCTAGTCGCTGAATGCTAAATATGGACAACGAAATCGCATCGTTTACACCCGTTCCACCTCCTACAAGTTGGCAACAATGTAGCCACTCAACGCCAGACCCAAGAAACCCCAGGTCCCAGTAAGCCTAGAGGCACCCGAGCAGTCGTCATCGTTGTTCTTGCTCTTGCTCTTGCTGCTCTGGCTGGTGGTGGTATCATCGTCGTCGCTGGTACTGGAACCACTGCCCGTCTTGGTGCCGGAGCTCGTGCCGTCGCTTGAATCCGAATCGCTAGAGCTGCTGCCAGAACTGCCGCTGGAGCCACTGCTTCCGCTAGAACCCGAGCTCGAATCTCCCCCAGAGCTGCCGTGGTGGACCTTGCGCTTGCAGAGCTTGGAGCTAGATCCCGCCGTTGGCGCAGCAGTAGCGGTCGTCTTCTTCTTCTTAATTGTCTTTTTCTTCTGGACTTCGAGAACGGTAATAGGCGTCATCCAAGCGGAGCTCTCGCTGGGAGCCAGTGTTGTGGTCGCTGCGTCACCCGATGATTGCGTCTTTGTCGCGCAGACAGCCGCAGTTCCCAATTCACAGTCGTAAGTGGTCGTGTTGAATGAGATGTCCACCATGGACTTTTCGTATGTGACAGTGATGCCGGTGAATTCGCCTCCGCACGTGTATGGCGACTTAAAGTTGGTTTGACAGGCGAGGAGGTATTCAGTCTTGGATTCCTCCTCAGTGATGATGGACGCGTAGATGTTTTTAACCGTACCAGTCTGACGGGGAGGAAGGAAAACAGTCTTGGTGGCTGTTTTTGTAGTCGAGCGACCAAGGGCGTCAGCCAGGAGAGGCGACGAGGCAAGAAGGCCCCAAAGCAGTGTTGATTGCATGGCTGCGGATGGTGTTGATGAGGTTGTCGAGCCTAGAGAGAAGCTAAAAACCGGGAGAAGCTGGGTATTTGTAAAATTTCCTCATCAAAGCGCAGGCAGATTGCTTCTTCCCTGCAGGGCTGGACCAGCCACGGAGTCAGCCTTACAGGGGTGTCTGATGGTGGGCGAATCACCCAGCCCCTGAGACATTGGCGATTTATGCTTGTTTACCTCTGGCACCGTGACACCGTGCTTACCGTGACACCACGTCAGAATTTAGCAGGGCCTACGGTTACTGTTCATGGTTATTCAGTGCGCCAAGTCCAATGACAGTTGACGGTAAATTCGTCACGTCCCGCTCCGTGACAGGGGTCACCCCTAAAGTCCCGTTAGTGTGAAGGATTCAGTGCCAGAGGGGATTTCTGTCACCGACCTGAAAGCTGAACCGTGTTTCCCAGCCAATAATATGCAATAATTGCCGATGGGCAAGCTGATCATTGCAACAATGGCCTGTCGTGACGTACAAGCGTTACCCCAAGCTTACACTTGACGAAATCGAGCATGTCAGATCCTCGCATTCTCGTACCGGTCTTGGAGCCATGACATCTTTTGGCGTCGGCCCTACCGGTATAGCCACAATGGTTCGGTCCATATGCTTGGCCAGGAGCCAAGTTTTGCCAAGCTTTTTCATCTCTATAACGAGTATCGCGGGCAACCGTAAAATGTCCAGGGTCTAGATGCCAAAGCTTGTCTCTCGGGGACCTAAAAACACGGGCCTCGTTCCACCAAGGTGCTGGCTGCGACATTTACCAGTAGCGGAACCCCACGGGAGAGCAGGAAATGAGCAAAATATGCCCCAAACCAGCGGATCGAGGTCAAGCGAGATTTGCACAGCCACCTTGGACAAATGTGCCACGTCTTTGCTGATCAGATCTTGGCCTGGTCTTGACCAATCATATTTCTTCCAAAGGAGCAAAAACTCCACTAACTCGGACTGGCATTGTGGCTGAATTCCAGCTCCCTCCTAGAACAAAATGCTTCTTCCATGGGTCCTGGTCAAAGACCCGCGAGACGGGGAATTCCACCCCGCCAAGAGCAGCTCGAAACAATTAAACGCCGATTTCCGACTCCCCTTGATATCGCTTAATGTATCCACTCTTGCTGCTTCTAGGCATATTCTTCGTCTTTTTCTAAACTCTATCATGATGCCCTGCGGATAGTTGCACATCATTGGTGATGTTGTTAAGCAATTACCCTGGAAGAACCGCACCAATGCACACATGGATTCCAGAGCATCTTGTGGCATGATCTGATTCCCCCAAATCTTTAGCGTTGCAGGGTCCGTTACATCGTAGTGAGGCTATACCAAAACGCCGAAGATAGGCGGCCTCTAGCCTACCCTGGACTGAAATGAGTAACCACCATGAGCAGCACCAAGACAAAAACACCATCTTGAGCGGTATTTGATTAGTGAAATTAAGTATTATCCTTAAAATTATTTTCTTTCAACTACTATGCATAACATTCTGCAAATGTCTGGGGAAGGCTGCCCTGGCTGGCAAAGAAATACCTCACATCTCCTGAATATCTCTTCCTTTATTATCTTGCGTGTCAAGGGCTATAACTGAAATCAGAACTCATTATGGTTGATGAGGCATGATAGACGCGACAGGCGTCAAGCGGAGAGGGATGTATCGGGCTCCATTCTTGGTCCAAGTCGCCCACAATCGCAGGAGAGGGACCTAGGTGATGCCTGTGATTTGCTCGGATGGGTAACTCATCGGGCTTCATCTCTTTCAACAGGGGTTCTACCAACGGCAGTTCCACAGCGTCTTGCTATTTGCTCTCTTTTCATGCCTTGTACCTACCCATACACCGACCCCCTTTCTGAATAGCTTCGCCTATCGGCTAACTCCTTTACCTCTGTTGTGGCATTTACCTCCTGTCCGTTGTTTCCTCCTCGCGTTCCCTCTTCCGACGCATCAGCCGTTCCAATCTTGATGCTGCATTAAATACACCCATGGTTGCAGCCCCACAACTCCTGCAGGTTGGATCCTTTCTGTATCTCTGAAGCGCACAAGCTTCGCAAAAGTAATGGCCACATTGGGTTACGATAGGGCGCTTGTAAGGCCCCTCGCAGATGGGACAGGAAAGGGGGACACTGTCCAGTGTCGTGTCGTCGTCTGCATTCCCGTTATCTTCACCCTTGTTGGTGGTGCTAGGGAGCTTCTTCTTTTTGTTGTGCACCTCCCACTCCCTGTCGAGCTGCCAGCCTTGCTGCGTGTCGCTTCGATCATGAAGGAATACGCAAGAATCTCCAAAGCCACACCAGCCCGTTTTCGCGTAGTCTTTGCACAAATCGCGAGCAAAGTCGGTGGTTGTGGTGATGCGCACGTTGGATGCGGCACGAGCTGGGCCCTTTGCCGTGGGCTGGTCGTACCAGTCTTTTCGCTTCGTTGCATCATTTGTGTCTGATAGCGGAATGTCACGGTTTGCTCGGAAGGCTGTAGGGCCGTGATCTTCACTCAGGGTGGTCTTGACATTTGTTGAGGTCGGGACAATACCCTTCTTACCGCGCTTGATCCGGGGTCCCTCTAACGTATCATGTTCGTCGCTTGAAGACGAGGAAGCATCTGGATTGTCACGCGCCGACGCTATTGTTGAGCTCGCTGGCCGTTTCCTGAAGCTCTCCTTTGCCCGTCGCCCTCTTTGTTTGAAGGTGATGGGTGCGGTCACTGTGGTTTCGGCCGGACCTGGGCTGACCAAGGCAGACATTTTCGTTTCTGAGGAGGGAAACACAGCCAGAGAGAGATCCTTTTGCCCAAGACTAGTAAGAGCTTCGTTGTGTGGTGACACCTGGGAGGTTGTGATTGAGTTGAGTGTGGCGGGTTAATGAGGCTTGGCATGGAATAACAAAGTGCATCAATCACGTGTCGAGTTCCTCTTATCTTTGCGATAAGATTGTTGAGTCAGCTTTCGTCACTCCCCGAGATGATTTTCCGGTCCGCCTCCAACTCCGCCTCCGTGCGGTCCCGGTCCCGGCTCCGGCTTTTAGTTTCCGCTGTAACCTTCACCGTCTGGAACAATGGCATCCAAAATTGAGTCAAGGCATGTTGCCGAAACTCTTCTCGCTCCACTCGGTCTGGAAGTCACTTCATGCCGCGAAATCCAGACATTGTGGGCTGGCTACGGCCACATCTGCGCCATCACGGTAAAGGCTGCAAACGAGACCGTTGCCGCTTCTGTGCGCCGTCTTTATAACGATTCAACCAATGGCAACACTTTCCGTCTGATCCTGAAACTCATATCTCCTCCTCCCGGTAAAAAGGACGAGGGTCATCTCCGAAAAGTCCTGAGCTATGACGTCGAACAGTACTTCTACGAGGAAATCACGCCCCATCTCGAAGATGATATTGCGGTAGCCCATTGCTTGACCTCAAGCAGACGCCCTAATGCCGATGGAAGCAAACTCCAAGGACTCACTGCAACTGTGCTCACCGACTTGCGCATCAAGTTTCCTGTTGCAGGCGAAAAGAGATCTGTTCTTAGTCCGCGCCAAGTTCAATCTGCGCTCGAGTGGCTTGCAAAGTTCCACAGTAGCTCCTGGAAATTCTTGCCTGCGAACCTGGAGCATTTTCTCCTCCCACCTTTTGAAGAGTCGAAGCGAAGAGAATCGCAAAAGGGTGGCGACAAGTTGTGGTTGAACGGAGGCTACACATATCTGGCAACTCGGCGAAGCGAGTATGCCTCTCTGGCCGAGGATGACTATTCGGAATGGACCGAAGCTTTCTGCGCCCCCTTTGAAGGCTCTGCCTTATCTACTGCCGAGGTGGTGGCCGAATTCCTCACGCCCCGTGGTCGACCTTTTGAGACGTTCATCCATGGCGACGTCAAGTCTGAAAACCTCTTCACCACCGAATCAGGCGATGACGTATGTTTCTTCGACTTCCAGTATGCGGGACTTGGTCTAGGCGTCTGCGATCTGGCCAAGCTGTTCACATGCTCTGTCCCCCTCAGCATGCTCACCGAACACGACGCGATTCCAGATGAACTGCCGATGGATAAAGGGGAGGAGGCGCTGCTACAGTTGTACCGCAAAACCTTGCTCAGTCGGCGATCTCCGGAAAAGAAACCCTTCAACTACGACTGGGAGGTTTTTGTCAAACACTGGGAGGCAGCTCTGGTTGATTGGTGTCGATTCCAGGCGTCATGGGGATTCTGGGGCAACACGGAATGGCTCGAAGCAAGAGTGAGAAGTATTCTCAAGGATGAATCCTGGAGGAAGTGGTTACGACAAGAAGTTTCTGATCGCAATGGAGCCTGATAGAATTTCTAGACGGAACGAAAGATAGAGATAAACGTGGATCGCTAGACAAGAATACAGCTTTCGAATATCCATGGATTTTTATGCATGGATTGTGACAAAGCAAGACTGGGCGGAAGGTAAAGGGAATGAAGATCAATGTTACTATATAATACAGAATTAGCAGTCGTTTGCTTTGCCCTGTCCGTTCTATGGTATGCCCGTCTAGTGTCTAATAACCCAATTCTATCCCAGCCAAACAGAGTCGTGTCAACTCAAGTTGTTGAAAATATCCATCACGTCTATACCCAATAAAAGATCACTTCCTCCCATCCATGAATCTTGAGGAGCAAAATAGAGAGCCGAGCTCATGGAGGCAATGTCCTGACTTGTCTCCAGAGTCGTGGGGGGCTAATCAACGATTAGCATGAGTGAGTAAGTGAAGCTTGGTAACTTACTAAAAGTACATCAGTCCCTTTATCAAGCTTACTCATAGTACGATCTGCTGATCCTGGGACTTCCGGCATTTCTAGCGAAGACATGCCATCACCGTGCGATCGCTGGGGGTGAAGCGAACCCCCAAGGTCAAGACCTTGTGATGTTGTCTCATTGACGTATTCTCTGGCGATGTAGGCAAACTCGGCAATGAGGGATCCAGGTAGAGAACCTTCGCTGGCAAATTCGATTCGACTAAAGTGACCGCCTGCGATGTCGAGAAGCGCAAGGTTGCTCCTTGTATCGGGATGCGTCGGATCGTTGATCACTTGGTCAAAGAGGACGAAAAGAGCACAGATCGGAATCCCGGCCAGAATCCTATGTCAAGTTAGCAGGGCTCGTGAATATGTAGCCGATTACAGACCACAATGGAGTAGAAGGTTCCACATCGACGTAGGTGATGATCTCTAGGATGGATCTCGACACAGCAATGAGATGCTCCCTTGAGAGATTCTTGTTCGATTCGCTTTGATCGCGTTCCCCGTTAACTTGAAGATAGCATCGCAATAGGATCAGCTTGAAACTGTAATAGAGGTAGTTGATCCAAATCACGGATGGACCTGTGACTGGTCGACGAAACAGGTGAGGTTGACAAGAAGGCCCTGGGCGGAGTCCTTCGGGGATGGAGAGCCTCCACTGCTCGAGATCTTCGAAGAGTTGACTAATGGTATTCGTGTAGTAGTCCAATCCCTTTTGACAAATCCCTGCACAGAACAGAGTGGTCATGGCCCGCGAAAGCAGCCGGGAATGCCGAGCAAATGTGAGGACCCAATTGAACGACCCAAACATGGATTCAGGGATATGCGGCATGGGCGTGATGATCTCGGCATCGACCAAAGTCTGCAATGTTATTAATGCAACAATCAAGCTGGCGGACTACTTACTGAGCTGCGGCCAAAGTGGAAACTAGACATCTTTTCGATGCAATACATGACCCAAAATATTCGATGAAAGGCTTTGGCCGATGGACCTTTGGCGATGGCTGGTCCAAGATCTTGAATCATTCTACCAGCTTGGGTCATGATCCTCTGTTCAATAGAGAGACACGAGATGCCCAAGGCATAGACGGCTGCGGTAGTGATGGCCTGGAGGGCTACTAGCGGATCATCGGACTTTTCCAAGTCAGGGATAAGAGGTAGGGCGACTGAGAAGAGCTTCCAGGCCTTGCCCTTTCCAGGCTCAAAGCTACCGCCACCAGTGTGCAAGCAACCTAGTGCAAGAACCAAGTGGTAGAGTGCTGAGAAAGCGGGTTCTTCGGCGAGGATGTTGGGTAGATTCGGAGAAGAGATCTTTGCCTCGAAGGACGCGCGATCCAGGTGTGGAAAGAGAGGATGAACACGCTCGTAATATGCTGAAAAAATGAGAATTGCGCATCAAAATGACACGAAACTTACCTGCAATGTGTCTGGCCGCTGATGCATTGTCCACGTAACCACTGTCTGGCGGGCTCGACATGACGGACTCTGTATCGGGCGATCTCACTCGATTCTTTAGGATGGTTGAAATCCTCCGAACAAGATCATTAACCTTGTGATTTCGCAGCTTCGTCGAGAGAGACTCGAGCCTGCTGTCGGAGAAGAAGGTGAGTCTGTACGTGCCACCTAGGGCTTTCATGTCAAAAACGGCCCATGTCGATCGATTCCTTAACCTACTAAAGAGGCCGTTGCCCTGATGGTTTTAGCGCAGGACTGGTTGAGCATCGCAGAGAAAGGGTTTGAAGTGAAATGGCAAGACAGCTCACAGTTGCAAGGAGTTTTCTTACCTTGAGAGTAATGCATTGCTCTTGACTTTGGTTGTTACCTGGAGGTGCTCCGAAGAGTACGCGGTCGATGAAAAGGTCTCCTTGCGCAACTTGCAGGGCGACCTTTTTCTCTGGAACGTGAAGGGCATGTTGTGTTTCCTAATCTATTAGCATCAGCTTGGTTAGATGTGTAGAGCTACTCACTTCGATTGCTGTCGATTCGAGCTTGGTCAAGACCCCGTCACTTGGAATCACTGGGTTGCTCAACAAGTCCTTGTTGACTGAAATAATGTCAATAGCATATCAGAAGAACGATTCATTTACTCACCATTCTTTCTCAATGGAACCTTTCTTCTGCCAAAGTGACAGGTGGCCCCTCGTTCCTAGACGTGTCAGCGATGCTACCCCAAGGACAACCACTACTCACCATGCAACTTCCGCAAGGGGGAGGATATCCTTGAAAAGATCTTAGTAAACTGCCGTCAGATCTCAAAGGGTACGTACCGGAGCAGCGGATCTTTCTCATCTTGCATTGGTCGCAGGCCTTGGACCTCTTGGGCCCGCGCAATCTCGTCTCGGATACGGGCGGAGTTTCGGGCATCGTGTAGCTTCCGCGGCATCTGCGCGTGAATTCAGCTTCGTCTGCATGAAAGACGGGAGGAGGGAAGTGAGCGGTGTCCGGAGTAGGAGCGGCGTTCTTTAAGGCCAAGCCAAAGTTTGCCTCTTGGAGAACGCCGTTTGGCGTCGGCGCCGACATTCCTAGATTGGTTTAGTTCACGGAGAAGCGGGTCTGTTATCTCGCAATTCCGCGCCACTTGCTAGGATCCTTTGTGGGTAGATCCCGTTTTTGGGGGTTGGAGGCATATGTCACGACGCCGTTGATGACGTCCCAGCTCAGGAGAAGAATTTGTTGTCTCGGGATTCTGCAAGAAGAAGCGCAGCAGTGAGATTTGAGCCGCATTTGTCATGGATATCCTGTTTATATGCTCTGAATCGTACCGAAGCTTCCGAAGGCCTCCCACCGATATCTAGTCAGGGCATGTAGATAAAAGCGTTCCCCCCAGGAGGTTTCTCTAGTATTGTGAGAATATCCAATCGGGGACTCTACAATTCAGACGATTCTTAATACTTTTCTTTCCGCGGCCTCTGCCGCCTGTTGTCTTGTATTCCACTCTTTTACCCCTGTCCCATTCTCCCTCCACCATGTCTCCTGCGTCTAGTACCCCGATCGAGGATTTCACTGGCATGCACCAGGCCAGTGAAAGCGAAACCGAGAATGGCAACAACACTGAGCCAATGGCTCAAATCGCTCGATCCTTCTCCCTCACGAGAACATACTCGACTCTTTCTGCCGGCGTCAGCCCCTTTCTACTCCAAGATACCCGCCTCGATCCCAAGTCGCCCAATTTTCACCCCGAGTTCTGGGTCAAGGCCATGCTTCATGCCTTTTCCCAAGACCCCGAAAAGTTCCCACGTCATACCGCCGGCGTATCTTGGCGAAACCTCAACGTTCACGGGTTTGGTGATCCAACCGACTACCAGAAGGATGTCTTGAACGTTCTCTGGCGTAGTCCTCTTAGTGCACTCAACTGGCTCGCGAATCGGAAGCGAAAGATTCAGATCATCAATGAGTTTGATGGTCTTGTCGAAAGTGGGGAGCTATTGCTTGTGCTCGGACGTCCTGGAAGGTACAGTATGAAGTCATCCCTACCAATGCTCTCTCTTACCCCTGTATAGTGGTGTCTCGACCCTGCTCAAGACCATTGCTGGCCATACCCATGGCCTCAACATGGAAGACACCTCTGAGTTCAACTATCAAGGTAGGTATCAACTCTAATCCACCTTGACATGATACTAACCCCTAAGGTGTCCCATGGGACCTGATGCACAGCAACTTCCGTGGAGAGGTGGTATACCAAGCAGAGACCGACATTCACTTCCCTCATCTTACCGTCGGAGAAACCCTCCTCTTTGCAGCCCTTGCACGTACGCCACAGAACCGTGTATCCAACACGTCTCGAAGAGTCTACGCCGAACACCTTCGCGATGCTGTCATGGCCATATTTGGAATCAGCCACACCATCGATACAAAGGTTGGCGACGACTTTGTCAGAGGTGTCAGCGGAGGTGAGAGGAAGCGAGTCAGCATCGCCGAGGCTACTCTCAACCAGAGCGCCATCCAATGTTGGGACAACAGCACGCGAGGTCTGGACAGTGAAACCGCCCTGGGTTTTGTCAAGACACTTCGTCTGGGTACAAAACTGGGAGGCACCAGCGCTATTGTTGCCCTCTACCAGGCCAGTCAGGCAGCCTACGATGTATGTGACAGCCAGGCACTCGTTCACAACTCATAGCTAACTGCCGTGTAGGAATTTGACAAAGTCTTGTTGCTGTACGAAGGTCATCAGATCTACTTTGGTCCCCGAGAAGAAGCCAAGAAGTATTTTGTTGACATGGGCTACGAGTGTCCTCCTCGTCAGACCACGGCCGACTTCCTCACCTCCCTGACAAACCCTGACGAGCGCATTGTACGGCCTGGCTTTGAAGGAAAGGTGCCCCGTACCTCGGAGGAGTTTGCCGACGTTTGGAGGATGAGCGCGCACAAAGCCAACCTTATCCATGACATTGCGGCGTTTCAGACCCGATATCCCGTGGGTGGCGAAGAGGTTGAGAAGCTCACAAACATCAAGAAGGCCCAAAAGGCACCATTCATGTATGGAACTCCCTCCTCCCCGTGTATCGTTCATACTAATCCTCCCAAGGTCCAAGAAGAGTCCATTCACCATCTCCGTACCCATGCAGATCCGCCTGTGCATGACCAGGGGAGTCCAGAGGCTCCTCGGCGACAAGACCTTCTTTGTAGTCACCGTGGGAGGAAACTTGTTCATGTCATTGGTCCTCGGTAGCGTGTACTTTGATCTCGCTGAAGCTGCCGAAACCATGAACAGCAGATGCTCCGTCCTCTTCTTTGCCATCCTGTTCAACGGTTTGAGCAGTTCCCTGGAGGTATATGATTAGCCGCTGTCATGAACCAAGCTTACACTCTTAGATCCTGTCATTGTACGCCCAACGACCAATCGTAGAGAAGCACTCGAGATATGCAATGTATCGCCCCCTCTCAGAAGCTATCTCATCCATCATCTGCGATCTGCCATCCAAGATTCTCTCGGCCCTTGCCTTTAACCTCCCGCTCTACTTCATGGTCAACCTGCGTCGCGAGGCCTCTTACTTCTTCATCTTTCTCCTCATCGGTTTCACAACTACATTGACCATGTCGATGATCCTGCGAACGATTGGACAAGCATCGAAGACGGTCCATTCAGCCTTGGTCCCTGCTGCCATCTTCATCATCGGCCTTGTCATTTACGCTGGTTTTGTTCTGCCTACTCAGTACATGAGAGGATGGCTCAGATGGCTCAACTACATCAACCCAATCGCCTACGGCTACGAAGCTCTGGTCGCCAACGAATTCTCGGGCAGAACATTCCCTTGTCAGACCCTGATCCCTGCTGGCCCTCCCTACGAAAATGCTGGACCCGGAGAGCAAACCTGCTCGGTTGCTGGTGCCGCCCCCGGAGAGAACTTTGTGTCTGGTGATTTTTATATCGGTGCCGTCTACGAGTACTACCACTCTCACTTGTGGAGGTGAATTTTTGCCGCATCACATTCCATTGAACCAGTATACTAACTGGATAGAAACTTTGGCATCCTGATTGCATTTATCTGCTTCTTCTCCTTCACATACCTCATTGCTGCCGAGTTCTTCTCCATGAGCCCATCCAAGGGTGAAGTCTTGATCTTTCGCAAGGCTCACCCTCTGAGCAAGTCCAAGGTGGATGAAGAGACAGGCAACGAACCTGTTGCTTCTTTTCGCGAAAAGAGTCCGGACACAGACACTCTGAAATCCCCTGCGCACTCTCAGACTGCTACATTTGCCTGGAAGGACCTCTGTTACGACATTGTCATCAAGGGACAGACTCGCCGTATTCTTAACTCGGTTGACGGGTGGGTTCAGCCAGGAAAGATTACTGCACTGATGGTAAGCTGCACACAGACATGACAAAACATTGCTGACTTCAAAAGGGAGCTTCTGGCGCCGGAAAGACTACTCTGCTTGATGTGCTCGCCGATCGAGTCACGATGGGCGTTGTCACTGGTGACGTGTCGGTCAACGGATACCCACGTGGAAAGGCATTCCAGCGAACAACGGGATACGTTCAACAGCAGGATATTCATCTTGAAACGTCAACTGTGAGGGAAGCTCTCCGGTTCAGTGCAGTTCTCAGACAACCAGAATCGACCACTACCGAAGAGAAGTACAAGTATGTGGAAGAGGTGATTAGCTTACTGGAGATGGAGCTCTATGCGGATGCAGTCATTGGAGTCCAGGGAGAAGGTTCGTGGTATATACTCCCGTATCGAGACAACTTGCTAATAAGCCAGGTCTCAACGTGGAACAACGGAAGCGCCTCTCGATTGGTGTTGAACTCGCAGCCAAGCCCGAAGTCCTCTTGTTCCTCGACGAGCCTACCTCCGGTCTTGACAGTCAAACCGCCTGGGCTGTTGCCACTCTTGTCCGAAAGCTCGCAGATCACGGCCAAGCTATCCTGTGCACTATCCACCAGCCTTCCGCGGTTCTCTTTCAACAGTTCGATCGTCTTCTGCTCCTCAAGAAAGGCGGCCAGACAGTGTACTTTGGTGACATTGGCGAGAACTCGAGCACCATGACGTCGTACTTTGAGAGAAACGGAGCTACCCCATGTACGGAGGATGAAAATCCAGCCGAATGGATGCTCCGTGCGATCGGCGCTGCTCCTGGCGCTCATACGGACGTGGACTGGGCCGAGGCATGGAAGAACAGCGCCGAGTTTGGCGTGCTTCAGGACGAACTGAAGGTCATGATGAAGCCGACAGCCGCTCAGACGGAAGCTCATACAGTCCAAACGAGCTACGCTGCGTCATTCTCGCAACAATTTCTGTCCTGTACTATGAGGACTGCTGAGCAGTACTGGAGAACGCCCACTTACATCTACTCCAAGATGATTCTTTGCTTCGGAACGGTATGTTGACCCCCTCAGGTTCTGATATATATCTAACAGCAAACAGAGTCTCTTTATCGGCCTTTCCTTCCAAAACTCGCCTCTGTCACTCCAGGGTCTTCAAAATCAGATGTTCTCGACCTTCATGCTCGTTGTCACTTTCGCCTTCCTCGTCTATCAGACAATGCCCGGGTTCATCTCTCAGCGAACCCTCTACGAGGGTAGAGAGAGGTCTTCAAAGACCTACGCTTGGTACAACTTTGTTCTAGCGAATGTCGTTATCGAAATGGTATGGAACTCGGTTGCAGCTCTCGCTGTATACCTCCCTTTTTACTTCCTCGTCGGAATGTACAAGAATGGAGATATCACCGACACGCAGAACGAGCGGGGTGCTTTAATGTTCTTGTTGGTTTGGGCTTTCATGGTTTATGAAGGAACCTTTGCGCACATGGCTGTTGCGGGATCTCCGACTGCCGAGGTCGGAGCTACCTTTGCACTGCTCCTGTTCATGATGACTCTTGTTTTTGCTGGGTAAGTTCCAAGTCTGCACTCATGTATTCAGAACGATGGCTGACCTACTACAGTGTGCTTGTCCCATACTCGGCCCTTCCTGGGTTCTGGACGTTCATGTACCGCGCCTCGCCCATGACATATCTCATCGGAGCCATGCTCTCCACCGGCGTAGGCCTACAGAATGTCAAATGCTCAAACGTAGAGCTCTTGATGTTCAACCCCCCGGCCAACATGACATGCGAGACATACGCTGGACCCTTTGTGCAGATGGCTGGAGGTACTCTACAGAATCCTCAGGCAAACGACACCTGCTTGTTCTGCCCTATCGCGTCAACCGACACCTACCTCGCCACGGTGGATATTCATTACAGTGAACGCTGGAGGAACTTTGGATTGATCTGGGTCTACGTGATTTTCAATGTCTTTGCGGCGTTGATTGCTTACTGGCTGTTGAGGGTGCCAAAGAAGCGTTTTGGGCGCTCGTAATCGGGACTTTTCCCTACTACCACTCCTTCACTGCACTCTAGAATATAGATCTCTGTACTGTTCAACTAGCCAGCCAGCTGGCAAACACTCTTTCTTTCATTTCCCTCCTTTTCATTCTGGTCTATCTAGACTCTTAAATAGAAATTGTCTCAGCAACCCAGAGAGATGTTGCACGAACTTGAGCACCCGGAAACCTCTACAGCTCGTCTCCATAGTTCAAAAAATCTATGTCTATCTACTATCTATTTGCAGACCTGGCTCCTTCTAAGCTACACTAGGTCAATTACTCTTAGACCCACGAGAGGAAAACCCCCGCGAATGGAGAGAGAGGTATCAAGAAGACCTAAGCGCCTGTACTCATCTATTCCTTGAGAGTTTCTGCCAGTTTCTTCCAACAGCATAGCATAGCTGCTAGTCTTTGAGTGTCCCATCTTGAGCAACGTCATGATGCTCGATTCGTCATATTGTTCCGGCGGAACCCCATCCCAGTAAAGGCGCCGTTTGTATGAGTTTGGCAGCCCATATGCATACTTCTCATCGTCCAGGGGGTATAGCTCTAGTTCAGAAAAGGGTAGTTTCCAAATAGCACCCCGAAGTCGTAGTCGCCCCTTGCCATGATGTTCCATGTTGCCTTCCAAGGTTAATTCTTTCGTCCATTCATTTCTGTCATTGGACACAAAGATCACCCCGCATGGCCTTGACGCCCAGGACCAAGAAGGTACTGTGGTTTCTTTAGGATTTAAGCGGACACCTCTTCCTGATCGCCATGCAAGACATTTATCAATAGTCTCTAGCCAGCAGCCACTCGCGTAGTGCGCTCCAGTGATGCCTTCGATCTTGTTGGCCAGGGAGGATATCGCAATCAGCTTATCACTGAGAAAAGTGAACTCCGCCTGAGAATACTGTATTAGCATCTCCATCCATGCCCCGGCAATGAGCTCGTCCTTGGGAATGTTCAGGAGGGTGCCCTGCTTCATCAGATTGTCGTTCCCTCTTGGCGTTGTCCAGACCTCCCATTGTTCGCGTGTCTGATCGTCCGAGTTCCAGTTTGGCTCCCATTCCAATGCCCTATGCTCAGCACACTCCCAGACCAGTGAGTCGCGGGCGAAATAGAGACACCTGGTTGAGAAAGCTCGCTCTTGAACACACCATCCCCTCTTCAGCAGAGGTGAGTTGTCCACGCAGACAGACCGAATTGGCTTGATGGGTAGGATATACATGTACTGCTTTTGCCCGGAGTCGGTGTGGTACGAAAGTGTCACCCCATGTGTGGGGGGATCGACCTGGGCCGGCCGGGCCTTCAGGAAGCCGTCATCGCAGTCTCGTGAGCTGCTCGCACCGATTGTGTAAAAGGCATTCTGATAGTAGGTGCTCATTTTTCCTGCTTCGGTAGCCCAATCCGAGCCTGGGTCTCCCTGATACTCGGACTGGATGATGCAGAGTGCGTCCACCCACAAATATCGGATGCCCAGACTTCTCGTAACCTTGATTGCATCTTGTATGGTACTTGGCAAGGTCTCAGAGCGAAAACCGCCCATCATCTGGCTGTAGTTGGAGCGGGTAGTTCTAACATTGTTGCCCTTGGATCCCCAGCAGTAGGTGAGGGCAATGTACTGATCTTTCTGGGCAGGATGCGTTTCAACCAGGCGCACAGTCAATTTATCTGGATACTGTTGCCCGGTCCCAACGTCGATGACTCGGGTAGGCATTGTGTAGAGCCCTTGCTGCTGACAGCTCTTGTGTTGATCTAGGCATACCTGGCCCCATTCTTTGATGGTAGTAATGAGTGGCTGGTACGAATTCCCTTCGAGAGTTTCTTTAATAATCCTCTTTGATTAGTGTTGCCCTTTTATTTTATTTTATAGATGAAGTACTCACTGAAGACTTGATAACTACCTCCCTCATTGGAAGGGTATTCGGACGATAAGAAGACGGGCGCGTAGCCACCACTGACAATCAGGGCTGGGTGTGACTCGGGATCGAACAGAAGCCAGGTAATTTCCAAAGGCCCCTCCAGCCCTTCCAGATCCGGTGTGTTATAGACCATGTGCTGGTAGATGAGTCGACATAGATCGCATCCATTGGCTTGGGCAGATAGCAGCAAATCAGATAGCTTATCACATATATATACGTTTTCCCCAGGCGATGAATAGGAGGCCCGAAGAGCTGAAAGACATCCTTCGCAAACCTGACCTTTTACAATCGATAGCGGCTTGGCTTGGAGGGTGGCCATTCTTGGGGTGGTATTCATGACTGGAAGGCTGGCGTTGTCGTTGGGCTGAAATGGGAACTGACCTGACATGCACTCGCTGACTAAGATACTCATGCATTGGATAGCACTACAGATTGCTACGACTGAGACAACCTTATATTTAGGGTATTTACTTGCAGAAAGCGTATTCCTAGTTGTGAATGAGTGAGTTAATTAGCCTAGCCCCCGTGTTCACATAGAGTAATATTCGTCCAGAATTGCATGTCTGCTAGGGAAGGCCTGACGAGTCCGGAAATGTAAAGTTAATACTTACCTTACCTGAATATTAAACATTTATTCTTTACCTTAATGATAATACCCATATTACATGGCTGAGAGCTGTAGAGACCAATGTCACCACCCAACACCATCCTGTGTTTTTATCATGCCACACTCGTGGCCCCATCTTATGCACGTCGTCATCTGGCCATCTTGCGGGGTTCCAGGCACCAGCTTCTGTAGCCTCACTTTTGGCCTTTAATGAGGCCCCCCAATCTCTCAGAAGTGACGCGACGATTGGTGCATGACGCCACGTCATACTGTCCAGGATTTCCCGAATCGTAAGCCTGCTTTCAACCCGAATGTGTGTCCGACTGGCGGCCAAGGCGGCCCTCAAATAAGGCGCCTGCATAGTTGATTTGCCTTGTGCAGTGATTGATAAATTGCCTCGGTTCCCCAAAACCAACGTTGAGAAACACTCTCCTAGACACAACAGCCTTGTAGTTGCAGATAAAGGTCAGGATACTAGCCCCTCCATTGTCTGACTTGACTGATGCCCAAGAACCGTAGATCGAACACCAAGAACCGTATCGCAATGTGCACCAAATACCTTCAGTCAAACGCAAAGTGTGCTAACTGTCCAATGAGATGGACAGATGTTGGATTCCCTATGTACTGCGGGCAAGTAGGAGTCTTCTGCGCCAATGTCTCAGAGGTTACCACATATCCACACGTTATCACTAGCATGTGTCAAGCCTGTATAGCACGGGCTCAGATGGCCAATGCAGCTTCTAGACAAGGTTCTGGAACGCGGAGACGCTCAACACGAAGGACCACAAGGAGCTCTACTCGAAGATAGGATGGGAAGGAAGAAACATCTTTATGTAGTGTATTGAAGTGGTACAGATTGAGAACCATATCATTCCACCTCCCAAGGCACAGTAGACCTAGTCTGTATGATATTTGTCATGGAATCCTTAAACGTCTCCCAACGACTAACCTGGTCCATACTGTTGAATTCTGCGACAGCAGGATTTCCACGCTCAAGGTAAAGCACCCCAGCTCTCGCCCAGGCTGAGGTAGTCTTACGTAGGATCCATGCTAGACACTTCCATTCCTCGCTCGAGTACCCCACTAGAGCTAGACTATGATGTCCGCTCTGCAGACTCCCGAGGAGATCTGTAGGCACGATAGGCTCCGTCTCATACAGCCAAGTCGAGAGTCCGAGCAACTGCCACTCGTCCAGGCCAACATTGAAGCCCAGCCAGTCATGAGGTATCTGTAAGGCGTCGAAGCATAGGGTCACTGCTTGAGTGGTTGGTTTGACCTCGGATATGGGAATCCACGTTTTGCTTCCTTTTTGATGAGTTGTTACGTGTGTATTCTCCATGGCCGAGTCAAAGTCGATGTTGTGCATCCATATCCAGAGCGTCTCGATGGCTCCCTCCCATCCCGCCCAGGTCCAAGACGGGTATGCAGTCCGTCGACGGGGAATTGCACCTTGTAGCGAGCGCCCTCTGCCGGACACAACATGTACCCACGACATTCCCGTCACGAGGGTTTGTTGCAACACAGGCTGTCCGTTATATTCTCCAACAAGGAGCGGGATCCCGACAGCTGATGTGAAGAGGACTGAACCTCCTGCCGCTCCGTACTCGGTTCCGAGGTGCATCTTTTGCGAAGAGTTGAGCACGCCTACCACGGCGTTGAGCGAGTCTTGATCAAATCTGACCTGCCGCATGCTGAAGCTGTGTAGCAGAGTTCGAACCTCATCGATATGAGCCGACGGCCACAGGAGACTTGTCAACTCATCGAAGCGAGAAAAGGGCCCAAACTCGAGACGTCTAAAGTTCCGGGGCCTATCATCAAAATCCCAGATGCACTCTCCATAATCGAGACTCTCGGCGCAAGAGATGGCCTCGCATTCAAAGTAGCACTGTTTGTCTGTAAAGACTAGAAGTCTCCTCGATAACCAGGCTTCCTGAAATGTCCATCCACGGGTGCTCCATTTGGAACTCGCCGTGTCTGACAAGGCATCAGGGCCTAGCTCCACGACTTGGTAGTTCCCCTGCTCAATAGGCTGCTGAAATTGCTCTCTGGATCGCCGGTGAGACACGCCGGGCAGACCGTAGGCGGCACTGTCGCCACATGCAGCCACGATGGTCAGCTCAGCCTGGCCATACACCTGGTCCATCTGATTGATTTGCCTCATCTTGACGACTGGGTCCGTTTGATTAATGCAGTACTGATCTGCCCACAGATAGCGAAATCCGAGAGCTTTTGTGACCTGGATGGCATCTAGGATGACTGCCGAGGTCGTGGGTGGTACCTGGACGCCGTTGATCAAGGGTGTTGGAACCACGTCTCCCCACACGTAGCTCAGTGCTATATATGAATACGACATATTCAAAGACTTGATCTCATAGTCGGTGCAGTCGATCAGAACGATCTCGGTGTTGACGTTTGGTTGTGGACGGCAAGATCCATCATGATGCGCCTTGCATTTCTGCAGCCAGTCGGAGGCCAACCGCGAGTCGAAAGTGGGTGGTAGCAGCTTCGGCATGTATAGCAATGAACCGTCTCGTCTTTTGTCGCGAACCGTGGCAACGGGCATGTTATTATCTCTGTTTAGAGACAGCTTTTGGGCCCTCTTGTCTGGAACACTGAAGTCCCTGGGAGTATAAGGATCCGGAACCACCATGAAGACGGAAAAGCCAGCTTCACGACCGAGTTTGTAGGGAATGGCTGAAGTTTGGATCGAGTGAGGGCCAAAAAGTTTGGCGGAGAAGGGCAAGGCCCAGAGGGAGTCACTGCCAGCCATGGTGAGGGTCTCGTTCAGCTCTCCCAACCTGGCCATGTGCTGCTGCTTGTTTTCCCACATGATCTTGCACATTCTGCAGCGACCAAGAGGCCTGTCTTTGAAGCTGTCGCCGAGACTGGCAATGAGTAGACCCCGGCTATCGGCGAGAGCCGTAGGCTGGTAGTCATCATCATCGTCACTTGAATCCCCAGAAGTGGATGAGTGCTCAAGCAGGTTGACTGCCTTTTCAAAATCTATCGCCTGGCAGAACTTGCACAAGTTTTGATCGACGGTAAGCGACTGCCATCTTCTGGCGTTCTCGCAAGTGTTGGGAACAATAGACATGATGAATTCGGGCATAATTTAATAAAAGAGTGAGATTGGATGCAGCCTGACGATGAGGATGAGGTACTTGAACATTAGTCAGGAAGTGCTGTAGCTGCCTTGTGGACTGGGTCGCCCGCCATGCTCCAACAGAACTTGGCATTTTCACAAAAAAATTGAACCTAGGATAGAATTATGGTATATTCCTTGAAATAGGAGGCAAGACGAAGAAAAGAGATGAGGATGAAACAGCTCCATTTTGAGTGTCAAAAGCAAAAGAGACTTTATGCGTGAACCCCCTCCTAGTTCGGACCTTACCCATGCCCTTTAGCCGCCTGGAATTCACTATAGCTATCCATTTGTCGACTTTGCAATGCCCAGTGGAGCGCTGTATAACTGTGACATAGCAACCCATAGGCCTTAGTTTCCTGGCAAGCCCATGGCAAGGATGTGAGCAATGATGAGGAAGCGTACCCAGTAATCAAGCATGTCATCAACTAGGTAGAGATAATTCATGAACAGCTTGCATTCTAGGATCTCTGGATCTAGTGTGGTGATCACTGCTTGCCTCACTGGATTGGACAGGTTTAGAACCGTTGCTGCGAGGAAAGTCACAGTGGACTGATAAGGTGTCAGAATGCAAGTTTTTTTTTACGGCACAGGGGACATTAAATGAAAGGAAAAACTGCTATAACAGGGGGTTAAACTTACGTCGAGAACCTGGGAATTCTCTTTCGCCTTGTGCCAAATAAAACATGCGTACAAGAATAACAGAAACGAAGCGGCCCACCACAACGCCAGGAGTGGTGTGTCGCACTCCTCCAGGCTCTCGATATCTGCCCGAAGTTGAAACTCGCCGTCTTCGTCTGTGGAGAAAGACTTTGACCAGATCAAGTAGCTTTGGACATGAGTGGCAATGGTGAGGTAAAGAATAATTGCGGCGGGAATAAGGAGCGTGTGTCGAACAACAAGGTGGAAGCTTGAGCCTCTCCCAGTCACATGTTCCAGAAAGCCACTACCAAGCTCAAAAAGCGCCAATATCAGAAATATGTCCGCGATATCGAGGAGTGTCGAGGATAGAGCGTCAAGGTGGTTGCTCATGTTAGAAGCCATGTGGTGTGGTTTTGCTTGCGGAATCTCATACGGGCCATGGGGCATGGGTAACCATCGCATCGCAATTTCGAGCATGAGATGTGCGAATTGAAACGTGAGGGCTCTATATCAGTCAGAAAACATGTTAAAATGTCGGAGGGGAGTTGGACACACAGGAAAGCGACTGGGTAGACGATCTTCATGTATGTGAAGGCCAACAGTGCTGGGTTATCCTCGCGACAAGCAAGGGACAAACTCGAAGTCCATAATGCTAGGAGAGGGAGAATCAAGACTCCTAAAGAGATGGTTTGGATCATGATGGAAGACATGCCGTCTCGAATTCCTTCGTCAGAGTCCATCCTAAGACTACTTGCGGGGATCATTTGAAGAAGAGTTGCGGTTTTAGGGTATACTAAGCTGAGTTGGTAAGAAAAATGATCAGTTAAGCACTCCTCGGTCAGGTTTTCTGCTTTATCATCCCCACGGACCCCTCAGTGTTGACATGCAGGCTGTGATGGATGGACTGAATACGAGGTTTCAGGTTTCAGCCATGGCGTTGAAGGAGAGCATATAATACGATGCCAGGCAGCAAGGTACCGGCATGTATTCGTGCCTTGTACTACAGACGTTTCTGTCTTACCCTGCGTTTCCTAGCTGGAGATTCATCCTTTTCGTTTTGAGACTTTTAAAGCGCTGTAGCCACCTGCTGTGACTAATAGATTCAGGCCTGGTTCGTGCCAAATGCCTTTAGTATGGATTTTGGCTCAAGATTTACAAGACACCCCGTTAACTCCGATAATTCTTTGTCCTAGTTCGGTTTCCGACTATTTACGGAGGCTCGTTGAGCCATCAACAACGTGCAGTCAGGGGTAATGTCACTGATGGTGCGTCACCGGCACTAGAGATCCTAACGATACGATTCTGCCCTTGTATGTAGCCGTCTCCGCCATTTCACGGTAGTTGATTAATCCTGGGAACCAATCTTAGAATGGCATCTACCGAGATCTAGAGTGAAGGGACCATGCGGCTGAGGCACTGCCACCACTAATTTGATGTTGGCGTTGGAGCTAGCCTATCAACTCTAGGGACGGACCAGCTTGGTCGCTGCCTAAGCAAACTGGCGTTTCACTTTCCTCCAAATTCATCTTTTCTCTAGGTCTTTCTCTTTTCATTTCTTAACCTATCATCAACGGTATCGGATCCTGACCAGAAATATCATCATCACCTCCCCTCTTTCTATCCTGTCTGAAGGCGCCCAGCAACCACACGCAGAGTCTCATCACCACGCACGATGAAGGTATCAAGAGAAACGCTTTCAGTCGCTGCGACAGTGGCTATCTACCCCGCTCGACTGGTCCAGCTCGGTAGCCTGGTCATCACGGGCTACGCAGTGTGCTACCTCGTTTGGATGCATCACTTTCATTACTGTGCCTTTTATGGCTGCGGAACAAGGGTCCCTGACAGCGTCTCTGTACCGATCGGTGAGGTTCTTTTGATCACTGCTGTAAGAAACAATAACTCGACTTCCCCTTTGTTGTCCCTAACTCTCTCTACCAATACTTGCAATGCTATACGAGGCTGACCCGAACTTTACAGTCCGTCCTCGTCACGCTCGAATGGATGCTATTTGGAACTATCCTGGCCTTCAAAGCACATACAGGGAAGCCGGCTCTGGTCGATACGTCGGCACAGTTTGCCTGTTCCTGTTTCTCGCTGTTCGTCTACTCGATCGGTCTCGTTGCCTTCACATGTATCCCGGCAGTCCGAGCGACATGGCCATATTGCTACGATATGTGGAGGAGCAACGTCTATGACCCGCCCGAGAAATACTTCTGCATTGTGACGCAGAATGCCGTAACATGTGGACTGATCGCATGGTGAGTGTTTTTTTTTATCTGCTGCCTTGCTTAACCCTTTTTTTACGGAGTTAGTTTAGACTTGTTAGCGGCTTAAACTGACACTGGCCAGGATCACCACCATGCTTGTTGCTTTGCTAAGCTTGATTCAGTTCAGAAAAGATCGTGCTATCGGGGCTATTCGACTTGGTGATGATACCCGGTCGCCTGCTGATGCCGACGCCGTGTCCATTCGAGATGTGGCTCTCGATCAATCGACGTGAGACCATCAAACGAATCATCGCTAACTTGGCCGAGTGGTTAAGGCGCTGTGTTTAGGTTCTCATCAGAAACCAAACCCGCAGTGGGAAACCGCGGAGGTTCGAACCCTCCAGTTAGCATTCAGCGATTCAATTCTTTTTTGTTTCTACTTTTTATCATCGTTGAAGTCCGGCTCTTGATTGGATAACTGAGCGAATACTAAAAGGGTTGGTCACAGCTTACCAGGAGGAAGGTATTCCCGCGGTTGAGGGTTGCCAAAGCAGCTGCTTCATTAATGCAAACCTTCCCTATATATCCCGCTCCGTATATTGAACGGTCAATTATATCCGTTTCTTCTCTTTTGAAGCATGTTGACATTTCCGGTTGCCTATCCGCCCTTCACGCATTCCCCTTACCTTACCCGCAAGCCATCAATACGTACCCTTGCTATCAGTACGTGACGCAAACATCAGGTCATTGCAATGCAAGATGTTACCATAGAAGGCTTAGGAAGCAAAGCGTAAGCACAAGTTTCTTCATGCTCATGCGGGCGTAAAAAGAGGGAGCCAACAAGCCCCCGCTGTCTAAAGAGTGTTGGCTTGAACCACGACGGGGAAAAAAATACATGCATAATTCAATAAGGCTATACGCATAGTCTTTCTTATATTTAGCTATTAGTACGCTCATAGCTAAACTGGAAGTTAACTAGTCCTTCTAATCGTCAAGACATGTTGGAAGACCTGCACCAGGACGATACTGTAGACTGTTCCCCGCTCAACAACCCTCCGCTTGATTGGCTTTAAACGCTCACAACCTTGCGTAAACATGACCGCAGATAACTGTAGCTGCATTTCGGGTGTGTGTCGGGTATGCCACTTTCACTGGGAGACGTTTGCCTAGCAGCGGCTGCTTTTGCCAACTGTCCGTAGAAAGCCACGGTTTCAAATGGTTGTTGTTAATTAAATGATTAGTATACAAGGTTCTCCTTCACGTATAAATACGAGTCAAATCGCCCCCCAATATCTCCCATTTGCTATTTGCGTTGCTCTACTATTTGTTCATCATACCGTCTCACCATGTCTTCACCTAGAGTTTGGCATATCAGTGGCGCCAACACAGGCCTCGGCCTGGAACTCGCCCTGAAAGCCCTGGTTGAGGGCGACCGCGTCATTGCCGCCGTGAGGTCACCCCACAAAGTACCCGACACACTGAAGCGGGAAGAGGTCAAGGTGCTCCAATTCGACCTCGGCTGGTCGCAGGATCAGATGGACGCCTATGCCAAGGAAGCATTCGAAGCATTTGGCAAGATCGATGTGCTCGTCAACAACGCGGGATATGCCTACATGGGAGCCATTGAAGAGTCCGAGTATGTCATTTGTTCCTTCATGTCAACATCTACTAAGGGAATATTAGGGATTCGGCCGTCAAAGCACAGTTTGATACCAACGTATTTGCTATGCTGAGAATCATCCGTGCTACACTTTCCCATTTCAGAAAGCAGAAGAGCGGCTTGATCATGAACCTTTCCTCTGTCGGCGGTATGCGCGGGTATCCTTCCAACGGCATATACTGTGCCACCAAATCTGCTGTCGAGGGACTCACCGAGGCTCTGGCCGCTGAGGTAGCTCCATTTGGCATCAGCTGTGTGATCGTCCAGCCTGGCTACTTCCGAACAGCCTTTCTGTCCAACCCATCCTCAGGAGCCAACCTTGCACCGGCCATCGAGGCTTACAAGGGTACACCGGCTGACGAGGCTCGCCAAGCATTCGAAAGGTACAACGGAAGGCAGCCTGGTGACCCAAAGAAGGGAGCGGCGCGTATGTGGGAGTATGGAGCCGGGGCTGGAATGTTTGCGGACAAGAAGAAACTTTTGCGACTGCCCCTTGGGAGCGATTCAGGGGCTATCATGAAGGGGCTGAGTGGGACACTTGCCGAAACAGCATCTACCTATGAAGATGTTTGGAAGAGTACCGATTTCCCAGTTTGATTACAGGAGAGGGAAGAATATATTCAGAGGTTTCTGCAGTCGGGATATATGGCAAGGAAACTAAATAGTAAAGAAAGTCAAATGGAACATGAAAAGCACGCCCAGTTTCAAGATTCAACAGCCACATCCACAGCTCTCGCAGTCACCAGTCGAGCACCGCGCCCCCTTTTCCGTATTCCTAAAGCAATCAAGATCCGTCTTGCAATTCGACCAAGCTCCAGTCCCATAATCAAAGGCCTCCCAGCACCACTCGCCCTTTTTCACTTTGCCACAATTCATCCAGCAGTATCCAGTCTTCTGATCACATCCCCACTTCTGCTTCTTTTTGGGTGGAATGCATCGTCGTTCCTGCAAGGTATTGTCCCTCTCCTTGGGGCTGGTCAGAGTGGCTGGATGTTCCTTGCATGTTCGGAGGTTGGTGCGGTTGACGGCATCTGGGATTTCCACGTTGGTCCAGTCCATGACGCCGAGCTCTCCACACTCATCTTGAGCGCTTGATGCAGGTAGAGACAGGGCGCATATCGCGTGATATGCGAGGAGGCAAAAGGTAGTGTGCTTCATTGTAGAGAAGTGTGCACGCGGACTCGTAGATGCAGTTGCTAAAACAGGTAGAGTAGGCATAGTACAGAGGGTTGTGCTTGCATTGGCCTTGAAAGAAGAAACAAGTTCGCTTGAGCTTTTCAGGCTTTTATATTTCGCGACCAAACTGATGGATCAATCCATCGAGGCTGTTCACTACACGTCACGCAACGATGAAACCACCCTATCCACAGTGTTGGTTGGTAGTTTACTTGGCGTTGAACCCGTCCAATAGCGACATGACAGCAATGTTCCAGAGAATTTATATGTACGTTGAGGTCATAGCATCTGAAAACATTTATGCAACCTTCATCCACTCATACAAGAGGTCGTGCTAGTTACCTTGTCCCTGTCATTCAACACAGCCTCTGATCCTCTGCACAATCAAGACCGAAAAAGCGGTTGAATGAACTCGGGACCAACACTGCCAGTGAATAGCTCACCATTTTATGGCATTGCGTTAAATAACGATCCCATCTCGACACTACCTGCTAGATCAAACTGACGTTGAGTTCGAACCGCAACAGCTATTCTGGATTCTCTGCGGCCGTTTGGTTCCATGGGTCATCACTAGAGTGAGGTCTGCCGGAGGCCCGTTGTCCTTTGCAATTTCCCAGCATCACAAGGTTTGAGGTTCTTGAAAGACCTGAGTGCGATGGTCAATAAGCAAATATCTAATCGTAAAACACTCATCTCAGGTGGACAGCCCCTGGAAGTACACCTTAGTCGCTCGGCTTGTCACTGCCGTACTTGGCCTTCCAGTCTTCATTGATCCCCCGGTAATCCTTAGGTCCATACGGACTCCAAATCTCGGACCAGAAGCTGCCTTTGCGGTGAATCTCCAGTCCAAGGTCACGCTGAAGCAGGTCAAGATACGGAACTGCGTCAAAGATGAAACAAGGGCTCCTGTGGCCCCAGTCGGTAGGGTAGCGCCATTTGCCGAAGCGGTTGTGTAGCATCGTCTCGTATTGCAGCTTCGACATGGACTCCTCATCACCGACGGCGGCAGCAGGATCCTTTACGAGTCGACCCGAGAAGTAGGCGCTGATCCAGAGGCCCTGGATGTGGGCAGTGATCATGTTACTGAAGTTGCTGATGACGCCGATGAAAGCGATGTCGCGAGTCCGAAGGAGGCGCTCAGACGGCGGCACTAGGAAATGATAGAGCATGTACGGAGTGAGGGGTGTGCATGGTGTCACGTCGTCGCTACTGCTGATGCCTTTCTGGTCGGTCAGGGGAACGTAGTTCTTGTTCCAGACAGGCTGTTGCTTGAGGCGAGGGAAGCGCTGAAAAATCTCGTCGTCGGCCTTCTTAATGAGCGAATGGTGATTCGCGAGGTCCTCTTCGGGCGCTCTCTCGGCTGGTGCATGCGGCAGACCAAGCTCCTTCTCGATCCCTTCCGGTAGAAACTTCATAGGCGGTACGTGTTTCCAGCCAGTATTGGCAAGAAGAGCGTCCGATTCAAACTCGGTACCGTCTGATAGGTGGACCTTTCCAGGGCTGAGGTGGTCAATCTCGCCAATGTGGACTTTGACCAAGTCACTCTTGACGAGCTCGAAGATGTCGGTATCATAGTTGAGGATGCTGTAGCTGGGGCCCGTGAACATAGCCTCAGTCCAAGGCTTCAGCTTGGCCGTGTTCGGGTGCGAGTCGTACTTGTTGACCCTTATTACATCGTCGCCGAGGAGGCCCCAGAAGCCGTTGACAATTGCTCGGCCCAACGCAGTGCTATGTAAGAATCTGCGAATACCTCCATAGCCGTCAACCTCACCCCATATACAAGGGCTGAACCAAGTGAGGAACCGAATGTCTGTTTAATCCTGTCAGAAGCTGGAGCAGAGAGGGGAGGGGAGACTGAGCAACACATACTCGCCAGCTCCTCGATCCATCTCAAGAGTGGCGTCACATACGACGGTGACATCCAACAGGGACCATGTCCAGATGCTAGTTTCTCGCGTCAGTTTCGACGAGTAATCAAGCGCAACGCCAGGACATAAACATACACCGGATTACCCAGTTAACCTTGACACCAGCTGTGACATACGCATAGACTGCATCCCAGGCGAACTTTGTCCCGCCAAACACAGTCACGGACTTGCCTGCTTGTATCGTGTCCTTGTTCTGCAAGAAATACTTGCCGTGGAATATCTTGCCGCCAAACACCTCTTGCCCATCAAAGTGCGGGAGGAAAGCCTCGGAAGTCAGGCCGGTCGCGATAATGAGGCGGCGCGCGTAGACTTTGGTTTCCTCTTTATTAGAGCCGGCGACCGTCAACACCCATCCGCCCTCGGCCGTGTCCTGATGCTCAGCCACAAGTACCTTTGTCTTGACGCGGATCAAGTCGTTGAGACCGAACTTGGCTGCGTAGGCGTTGAGATAGGCGTTAATGGTGGCGCCGGGGATGTGCTCGTCCCGCTTGATGTTGAACGTGGCGCTATCCATGGGGAAGTCGGGGTATTCGAAGGTTCCCAGGAGGTTGTTGCTCTTGAGGCCTGGGTATAGGCGATGTTCTGCCCATGTGCCACCGAGGGTGGCTTCTGATTCGAAGACCACCAGAGAGTCCTCTGGGCAAGTGCAGTGATACTGCTTTGCGGCGGCCAAGCCGTACCATCCTAACAGTGAGGTCCAAATTAGCATCCCATGCTATACTCTGGAGAAGCCACTCAATTCGCCTTATCTAGCTACCTAGACGTGAAGGATACTAGACCACGGCATGAGGATCAGCATTGGCGTTACTTACCCGCACCAACGACGACGCAGTCGAACTTCTCCATTGTATGCCACTTTTGGTCGTCAAGATGCGTGTATGGGGCTAATTCTAAGGGATGGCCAGGCTCAAATGCCCTGACTTTGTGTCAGTTGCAGGCGGGGAATTTGGGCACACCGCAGCTGTTGAAAATCTTGATGATGTAAGGTTAAAGGTTTTTTATTGAAAAGAAGAAAGAAAAGGCCAGCATTATATACATGCATAGTCCTCGGGGTCACAAAAAACACGGGACTCGTCCCCACCTCTTTGCTGCAGTTTTCTATGGGAGCTATTCCTTTGTTTTTTGTGACCCCCTTGATAGTATAGTATAGTGTTAATGGCGCTAAGTCGTACTAGTAGAGATTAAGTATCCTAATGCAGGCTTATTCTGCGCTCTGTGTGAATTGCTTGTCTTGCTTATCCTATGGCTATTCGCTCTTTTCTTCGAATCCTTCCAGGCAGCGATGTTGCCTTCCTAATCAAGACTAGTCAGCTGAACTCGTCGGAGGTCTTCCGGCGGTCAATCGCACGTGACCACCCATTGAGCTACCTATTGTACAGTAACCTAATTTAAACAAGAAACTTAGAAGTGGCGCAGTAAGATAGTTAGACCCTTTTAACAAACTAAATCAACGTAAATCCCAAACTCAAAGATTCTTGGAATGACGACTAATGAGATGGAAATCCGGGTGTGATGTGGATGAGGACGATACCTTGACTACCTAAGAGACACTGGACTCTTCAAAACACTTGTCAAGGCTCACAACGATTAGAAGGGAGACCCCCACAGAAAAATTTCAACAACAGCAGCCAAGCATGGCGGAATGCGCATATTTTCTCAAGGGCCTACGTTTTGTTAAACGACGCTTTGTAGACTTGAGCAGCCACATGCCAAGTGAACGGCTCACTGGAGCAGTAAAGAGCTCTCAAATATTTAGAGTCAGGTTATACAAGATAGACTAAAGTTATGAGGATAATGCAATGAGGGTAGATAATGCTTTGGATCTATTTTATCTAACATTCTGGAGCAGCTCGTGGCCTGGTCAAAGAATGACCGATTTGCGCTAGTCTGCGCCCTGCCATGCCATGTTCTAGATCCTACCTACACCTTGCAATGAAGCACAAGGTGTGGTCTGCAAGGTGCCTCAGTCAGATGTGCACAGGGCTATGCCAATCCTGGGGCTTGGTCTCTTTGGTATAGGCTTCAAGGGTGTTTGGCTCCCTACCTAGATCTATATCCTAGATGCATCCTCTCGATATGCCGCCAGTGCTCTTGCTGCATCCTCGATGATAAGTAGCATAGTTACCGCTTCCTACCTTTGGCCGGGCCTATGATGTATGGGCGGTCAGGGGTTGATTGGGGAACTCGGCTCTGGGGCTCGTTTATTTAGCCATGGTTCCTATCCCGGCCTTGATATACAAATTTGGAGGGAGGATAAGAAGGAGGAAGAATTTCAGACTTTGAGAGACCTGTTAGGGTTCTTGGATTCGTCTATAAGAAACGTCTCTCGGATAGGTAAATCACAGCCTAGCAGAAGATTAACGCGTGCAAAGACTAGCAGCCTCATGATCATGCATCCAGCTCCATTTTCCCTTGCAGTGCCTCGGTACTTATTCCGGATGGATCGCCCGTCCACTTATTCTCGACAAAGATGCTCAGCAAGATCTTGTTGCCAGTGCCGTTCCTTGCCTTCACAACTAGGACAAAGGCTGTCATGAGTTCGAATTCCCGCGGCCCTAGTAGTAAATCTAGGGATGATGGCCTTGGTGAGGGTACATGATTCTGGGTAAGGGCACCTTTCCCAAACAACACTGAGAGCTCAGAATGATCACTACCAAGGGCGTGCCAGAATTCAAGATGGAAAGGAGGTAGTGAGTCTGTGCCACATCTGGTCCTGAACTCAAGTGAGAAATATAAATACTCGCGCGAGGGCCAGAAGATTCCTTTCCAAAGAGTGATTATCGTTCCAATTGAACCTGGGTGGGTTTCATTATTGTGCCGGTATATCTTTGAATCACGATTCCCCCTATCCAGTAAAACAGGTGTCGTCATCCGCAATCCATACTCGGCTGGGAGTCGTCGAAGATGGAGTGTTTTCGATTGTTCAATGATTGGAGTGTCGTTTATGAGTGAGCGAACGTGAAAGAGTCTTTCCTTGAGATCGGCATGACCTCTGCAGTCAATTACTCGGGGAAGTCGGAATCGCGAAGGACCATGATATCGGTAAAAGCCAGAACTAGTTCGCCTCAAAGCAATGCCTATTGTTCCATCCTCTTCTGAACAGTCCACCAGAAACACTACCCAGATACGCGATCTCGCATACGTACGATTGGCATAGATCTCCTTATAGACGGAAGTTAACCAAGGGGGTTGTTGCCGATGTTGCTCTGATCCTAGCAGTGATGGGTTGAACGATCCGTCGTATGGTATCGATAGAGCTTTGAGTTTGATAAATGGGCCGACCACTTGCTGGGGCAACTCGGGTACTCCAGAATCTTGGTCGGTTCCTAATTGCCGGGGCGTGTGCCTGATCCTATGGCATCCCTCAAAATCCCCCAGTGACGTAGCCAAGATACTCGAGTAGATCCGGAAACCATTTTGGGGGTTGTGCTTCCATGCGAAGATGCTCTGGTCGCTAACGGACTGCAGAATCTCCATCTGAAGGCGAAAGAAGGCCTTATTTCCTTCACCGTAGAGCAACGGCATGTTGACGCTGAAAAGCCCCATCAAGCTATAGGCTCGGTCTTCAATCCTGGTCGTCTCCCTCGTCGCTGCCCATGATAACTTCTGTGCAGCGCAAAACTGATTCAACCGCGCAGGGAAAAAAAGCAACTGCGGGTCGATGTTCGTGATCTGCCCAATTTCGCTGGCAAGACTGCGCCTGGTCCCAAACTCCCTCCATTCGGCTGACAGGAACACCACCTCGGCGGGCGCAATGAGTTCCTGGAGAGTCCATCCCCGCGTGAACCATTTACTCTTTTGAAGCTCGGTGCTCCCAGGCTGGCGGACAGCCTCGTAGCTGCAGTCGTTCAAGTAGGCGAAACACGTGTCTGCGTTCTGGTACCAGCGGTACATGGAGTTGATGGCTTCGGAAAGCTCAGCACTTGACGACTTGTCGATACAGCATGTGTCGATCCAGACGTAGCGGAATCCTTCCTTCTGAGCGACGCGGCAGAAATTTTCCACCTTTTTCCAGCCCCTTTTCAAGGATGCCGTTCCCTGCGTGAGATCCTGGAATAGGACCTCATCGTCCTCCCACCGGTGTGAGAGGATGGCATAGGACACGCGAGTTTTATCACTAAACTCCTTCAACGTTCTTGACTCAATTTCGAGTAGCCGCATAATGTTGTCTGAAGGAATTCGCCCCCAAATATCGAGCAGCCGTTGGCGAAGCTAGAACTGGGGGTTTTGAGAAATAATTCTGGGTTGGACCGCAACGCGCGGGGTTCGCAGCCTGATTTTGAGGGGCATCCGATAATTGCTGCAAGGTGTCAGCTTCCGGAATAATATTGGGTCCGATTCATGCGCCCTGCCTCAAGCAATATCAACCTGAATCACTCACCCATCACATCAGTCTTGCATCTTTTATCATGCGAAGCTCTGGGTTGGGGTAAACTTACACCTTCGAGTTGATCGACCATTGAGCGAATCACAGCGGCTGCAACTCTTGCGCCCTCCTCAATATCTTCCTTGGCTGTCTTTTTTTCCTGCGTGGTAGAGGAACAAAGCGCGGGGCGGCTCTTCTCGTCTGTACAAGGCTGCCAACGAAGTGTAGAAGATGAATTCGCAGTATAGGAGACCAGCCTCGGTCGACGTCTTTGTTGGCGTCGCCTAAGATGTGGCAGTCAGTCATTGCTCTGCCTGATCCCAAGGTAGTGCACGCCTTGCCGGAAGTTCTTGGTGCAGTCGATCTACGATGCCATCAACGTCAAAGACAGGCCGCAACTGGTCAGGCAGCCCCTCCCATCGCCCGCCCTTGTCGCCGTTGTGACTTGGAAGAGGTACCCCGTCGTCGCCCGTCCAGTCGTAGCCGTCCCGACGAGCTCTCTTCTCAACCTGCCAGTAGTCGGCAAAGTTCATGCCCAAGTGAAGCATGGCGTCAATGTGGATCTTTTTGCCCTCCTTGGCGTCGGGCTCATAGACTCTCTTGTCCTCAATCCAGAGCTGCGGGATGATATCCATGTCTCTGATGACGTTGCGGAAGTCGGTGTGATACTTGATGATCTTGATAGGCACGCGTCCTTCGCGCTCGATGCGATCAGGCAGCGCCAACTTGACATCTTGCGTGGGGTTCTTCTCGTTCTCCTTGAATGGCTTGCCAGAGTGTCGGTACCCAGGTTTACCAGCCTGCCGCAAGACAAGAGGGGGGTACCCACAGCGCAGGCCGTAACGACGACCTTGTATTCCTTTTCGCAAATCATGGTCCTTGGTGTCTGTGGGAGCATACGATCAATTTTGCCGTTTCGATGTGGGAAATTTTGTAAGCTGAAGTTGAGTTGCCAAGCTGTGCTTGAACAAAAGAACACGGCAGAGCCAGGCCAGGAGGCTGTTTTTGATGTAACCTAAAGGCCGCCTAGTGATGAAGCGTGACAAGGAGAGGAAAGCTGACAGCAGTTAGTAACTATCGGTCGCACCCGGGCGGGGAAGCCCCGCGGACGACCAGGTATCTGCTTGGTGGACCACCTCAGTCTACAAACGTAACCTCAATGGTTCATATCGACGATTCGTGTTCCAACAAGTAGACCTCGGTTACTTATTAGACAGCTAAAATCTTACACCACGTGCTTAGACATACGTATAAAGAACAGCAACCCACCCCTCTGTCATATCCCTACTTGCTGAATTTACACATCTGTCACCATGGCACTCAGCGAAAGCTCTCTCTTGTTCAAGCACCTATGCGAAATCTACCACCAGTATCGACAGACCAAGGATAATAGAGACAAGGGGCTCTTCTACTCTGCAGATTGCCGCCAGATATGCCGGCAAGACCCTAGCTACGCTGCTCAAGATAGAGACACCATTGTTCGATATCTGGATGAATCCGGAGAAATGGTTGAGCGCATTCTCCGAGAAGCGGGCTGGGACTTTAAAGGCGCGGAGGCGACTACAACCAAAGCCAGCTATTACACCGTTCGACCCCTTACAGGAGATGAAGCCAACGAATTCGGAGACGCAAGGCACGTCATTCCTGCCGGATTTTCATCTGTGGAGGAGCTACAGGCGAGGGCGAAAGCAGAGAACTGGACAGGTTTAAGAGTAAATATGTGGACGGATGACGGTGGTGAGAGAGGCTTGTTAGTGAAGGTCAAGTACTGGTGGCGTTTGGAAAATGTAGAAAATGGTGGTGATAGTGCGTGGAAGCAGGTGTTGCATGATATCTTATACTTGGGGCCTCGAAACGGAACCGAAGAAAGCGACGGCAGGTCCCGAGTTCAGGATTAGCCATGACAAGGCCAGGGCTTATCTCTCAACGGCAGTTATTTTGAGAGTATTGCTGTTTCTTCTCTTTTCAAGGCACCGCTAGTCATGCTTTGATCAGTTTTGCTGCTGTTTGAGCGAGCCAAGATTCAATAGCGCACCGGAATATGGTAACGGGCCTCACAGGAAAGAGAAGAGTTCCTGTTGCTTATATGTTATACAGCAGCTATCACAGACGCAACCTTTGCTGCAGGTCCTTCAATAAACAGTCTATCTTTTCTCCAACAGTTTCCTCAAGAACTACCAGATCGACAACCTTCTGCTCAAGAACCTCGCCCCTTGACCACCGAAACGGTAAAGCTGACCCCAATAAGCCAAATTAAACCTGGATATAAAATCACACCTTCCTTCGATGTAGACGTCGCACTTCATCCTCAGTCACCGAACTACCATACACCTTCCCAACGCTTGGCTTGAGGTTGGCATCTCGATGATCCATATGATCCCTGAATCTCATTTGAAGCTCTCTTCCCGATTCGTGTCCTGTGCCTCCTTGTTGCGGCGCTTCGACCCATGCGACCAGCTTCACCGTCTTGAACGATCGTATGCCGGCCGACGCGTTCACGAGGAGAGATTCCTGAGGCGGCGACGACATCTGTGTCAAGATGACAAGCTCCAGAATTGTATCCCATGCACCACTTGTCTTTCCGTGATAGACCACAAGGATAGTGTGCAGCAGCGCGATGATAGCGTGGAACAGCAGTGCGGCGATGGAGAGGTAGTCGAACCAGCCTGTCGCAGACATAACGTAGCCCTTATAAGTAGCTTTCATCTCCATCCGGGTCATATTTCCAGACTTGAGAATCGATGGTTCTGGAAAGCTCTCCACTGGATTTCCCTTTCGAATCATTGTCCTTGCCTGGTCTTCATTCTCAGTATCCCAAGCACCAAATTGCCAGGCCTCAAGGAAGCGGCTGCCGTTATGGTTTGGTATGAGGCCACAACGAGATAAGCCATCCGCCAATGTCGTGGCGAGAAGACCCTCAAATTCCGTCTGTCCGCTGTCGACCGGTTTGTAAGTCATGCTCAACACCGCTTCAAGAGCGGTTTGTTTCGATCCTGAGGCTGGCATCCAGGGAAGTCCGGCCGCTGCAGATGACTGAGCATCGGGCAACACAGGTGCTAGTAAGTCGTACCAGCTGGGAGACATTCTAACCACCGGCATCGGCGGAGGCTTCCAGCGATAGTACCCGATGAGATGCGAGAATGGCAAGTCAGTTTCAACCAAGTTCCTCACCCTGCCTAAAGTGTACTCATGATCCAGTTGGGTGTTCGCTGTCATTTCCATCACTGTCTTCGCGTTGGCCCACCGAGCATCGACAGAACATGCCACCGAGTTTGATGGTAGTAAGTTGCCATCAACATCTATTCGATTCTACGTAGTTCCAAAGAACATAGCCAGGCCAAGCGCAGACTCACTGTGTTCCTTCATATCGACGGAGATGATGAGCGTCGAACGATTTTGGCTGAAGATATCATCGCTTAGGAGCACAGTCATACAAGGGCTAAGAGGCGAAATGCCAAAAAGTTCACAGGCCGTCTTCCGTGAGTTCCACGACGCATGAATGATTGCAAATCTACACATACATTGGGTCCCAGGACACCAAGAAATCGAAGGAAACAAGGAAGCCGACCGTCTGGCAGCGCTGAACCTACCGTCGGACTGCCAACCGACCTATACAGGCGCTCTTGACCTAGTCCGCGCACGCACAAGGGACCAGTTCTCCGCGTAGTGGGATTCAGAGATCACTCTGCATAAACGATATCAGACACTAGGCCTTACCACAGCTTCCCTCCGCTACCCGCAGGAGCTAGAGCTACCACGGCCCATCCTACATCGGCTGCTCGCCTATAGGACCGGACACGGCGACTTTGGCTAGGATCAGAAGATACATGATCACGACAACACAAGGAACTGCACATATAGAGGTATTAACACCACAAAACACCTCGTATACTGCCGCAAGACTAGGAAATTCAGAGCGCTTTAGCCGAATTACAAACCTAAGCCTCAAACACTTAAGGAATATTAGCAACATATAATAGCTAGCCTAAAGAATTTCGCCGCTTTCCTAGAGATTACAAGCTTTTACGAAAAGATATGCCCCCGCTAGCCCGATATGCAGGAGCTATCTAGCTGCTTACTCTCATTTCATTTCCTTCATTTTCTTTGCCTTTTTTTCACTACGAATTACGAGTCTCTACTAGCTAGGACTCAACGCCAACTACAGGACATACAGTCTCTACTAAAGCAAGACGGGGCATATCAAAAGGTATTCTGCCTCTAAGCCCCTAATAGCCGGATACAAGCTCGAATAGAGAAGATTTGGAACGGTATAACTTTCAAGTGCGCCACTGGGTTTGATTTGCAGTTTTTCTAGATAGCCAAGGAATTTGTACAGTAACTACGTCTCTAGACAGCCTACTGCATGCCATATGCCCCTCGGGAGGCTCGAAAGCACTTAAGTTGGTTTCCCAGGCGTTTAATATACTGAACTGAACTGAACTGAACTGTCCCTCGGGAGACTTGGAGAGCTTCGCACTCCCCCTGGCGTAAAATACAACCAACCAACCAACCAACCCTGCCCTATGCCTCAGCCTCGCTTGAAGATGGTCTTATCTCTTGCGTTAAATTAGGTTGATCTTATTATCTCATGGCTAATTGTAGGGTTTATCATATGTTTCGTTGGTTCGCGTCAGTAGAGGCTCATCTGAATGCAACGACTGTCCTGTCATAACCCTTGGCTCTCTGGTTGAGTTGTGTAGGTTGTGATTTTATAGCCGGTTGAAAAGGAATAGGATTTCTAAAGTCACCATCAATTGGCCATGGCGCGCAAGACCCCATCACAAATACAACACTTTCAAGTAACTCCTTCAAAGAGGTGCTCAGAGGTCAGATTTATAAGGCGTCTCTTGTGAAGGAACAGAGAATTATTGGGATAAGACTTATAACATTGAACTAATATGAGAGCCAGTCACCATCGTCATGTTTAAACCATTTCCGTAGCCTTATGCTGGGGGTTAATTCATAATGCTTCAAGTTTGTTGTGGCTATTGTGTAATTGTTACAGTGAGAGTTCAAAAGCCTGTTTCCACCCCCACCCACAAGCAAATCCTCCATTTCCAATGCACAATTTTGCTTCACATGTCTCAGCCAAATGAAGCTCAATTTAAATAAATCATATACCAATTTGTAGTCCTATTCCCGCTTTTTAATATTTTGTATACCAGCCCCGGGCACGGATGCAGGCACGCAGCCGACGCTCTAATGAATCTAAATAGTTCCGAATCTGCTCCTAGGGTATTACTTTCCACATAAGATCAACGCATCTTATGAATTCGGCCTTATCTACTTCGTTGCATTTGGGATCTCGTAAATAAAGGAAAGTTCTTCGTAATTTCCTTTTTAAAATACTCCAAACATTCTCAATTAGACTGAGATCCGGGGAATTGGGCGGCCACTCCAAGAGCTCGATTCATTGGCCATAAGCCAACTCATTGATGCTACTGACGTATAGATTGATACCTTATCTTGCTAAAACATTCTAGTGCCATCATATAAGGGCAGAAGTCCATCACGGAGCGCTACTTAGTAGCTCTAAGAGGAGTATCCCTTCTTAGGAGCGTTTAGATCTCTAGTAATAGGGATAATAATAGTACGACCTATTAACTAGATGCCCGCCCAGAATATCATAGAAATTATCGGTTTTACATAGTCAGTCTTATTAACCAGTTCCTTATTATACTTTTTATAAGCTATCCGGAAGGCCCAGGCATTAGGGTTGCTACTTTTATCCTAGATTGAAGGTTCGTTAGAGTCAATCATCTTACTTCGGTAAGTAACGCGACAGAGAGTTTACCTTCGAACGGCCATACCTCTAACAATTCTTCAATATCTTCTAACCAAGCTTAACACCAATATAGCTTGGTCTTTGCCATATCTTTATCTAGTTTTGGTCTCTCGAGAGCTTTCTATTTGCGTTCGTAATAGAACTTAACAACTGGCTTAATTATACTTCTAGACACTTTGCCCTCCATAGAATTCACAAGGGCATCCCAGAAGATACGGCGGTCTTTACAGATAGGTCGTAGAATATATCGTCTCTGTGCCCGGCTAAGTAAATAAGGCCGGCTACTTCGAGGAAAATTGTCTACTATGCCGGTCTCATCGAAGCGTTTCTTAATCTTTAAGATTGCCGTGCAGTTGGTCTCGAACTCGGTCGCGGCAGCCCGCACGGACATAACGACCGCCAACATTCCCAAAATAGCTCCTGTCGCTTCAGGAGAAAACTCATGACCTTTCTGACGATTTTCACTTATAATGGTACCAAAACGACGCGGAGTAGACATTATGGGACAAAGTTGTGTAAGGTTGAAGTTTAGAAGGGTTTCGCGGTCGCGTGGCTATTGTGGGTCAATCGCGTGGGGTGGAAACAGACTTTTGAACTTGCACTGTAACTGTGTGCCCTGGAGGATAACTTTTGGGTACAGTGGGGTGCGAGTTCAGCGTCAGTGACTTGACATTACAATTTTGACGAAAACGGACTAAGCACAGTGCGCAGATTCAAGGCCCTTGCTGGTTATAAGGTCGATTTTGCTGGAAGACCCACCGTATCGGGACGGTGCACAGGCCCACTCAGTAGCCAATTTTAGAATGAATTCGAGAAAGCCCAAACCCCACACACTGACGCTAATCCCGCACCCCACTGTATGTAATAGATGGATGATATAATAAACAATGTTGGAGTTAATTGTGGTCTCCCTAGGCTAATTTTGTGATGTTATCAGGTTCACAGACAGCCACATCACTGAGAGGGAAATTTTGACCGCCGGCCCAAAACAAGGCGAAAGAACAGGGTCTATAACAGCCTTGCCCTGAAGAAGCTTCACAGACGAATGTTGGTCCTCCTCCTAACATTCCTATCCGCTTAGATGAAAGAAGTTGAGTTTCATGGCGTCTCGAACACTGCAACAGCGGCTTCAGCCGTAGAGGTCGCGCTAGCTGGGTTCTGGCCCGTCACGAGACGGCCATCAACGACATGGAAATCGTCCCAAATACCGGGCGCACGTTGATCTGAGACGGGCTGATCAGTAACCAGAAACCACATTCACAGTGCAGGTGAAACCTACAAGTTGCACCAAGGCGAGCGGCAACTTCCTCGACCATCTCGGTGTTCCAGCTCCTGAGCTCGTCCATGATCTTCAGGGTGTATTCAGCTTCGGTAGTGAACCCAGTAATCTTCTTTCCCTTGATCAAAGGCTCATTGGTGGTTGGATCAATCAGATTGGCGAAGATGGCAGGGCCGTGGCAAACAGACGAGACGACGCCACCGTTAGCCCAAACCTGAGCTGCAATCTTTTGAAGTGAGGCCGCTGTGGGATAATCGATCAATGCAGCATGGCCAGCAGAAGCGTAGAAAAGTCCATACTTGGACCCATCGAGATCTGCAGCCTTGGGCATGTTGTCGAGCTTCTTTCGAAAGTCACTATCTACATCGTTCCAAGTGACCAGGTCGTCGCCGTTGAGGAAGTCAGGCTGCTGCGAGAGCCAGTCAGCCGTGTAAGTGCCCGTTTCCGATGCTAGGTCGACCTCAAAGCCAGCAGCCCGAAGGACTCTGTAGGGGTGCAGGGCTTCGCCGATGAATAGTCCAGTTGTCTCTTTTCCTTGAAAAAGGGTCGCCTTGGCGGAAGTGACACTGATGAGTGCTCGGCGAGGAGGGGACATGTTGCTAGTATGATGTTAGTGTAGTAAATGAGGACTTCTGATGATGGGTAGAGGTTGTTTAAGCTGAATCGTGTTCGGTGGCTTTTCGAAGTAACGGAACCATCATTATTCTTATGCGTTGAAGAACGAAGCGACGAAAGGTCTAGGTTCTACCCCTCACCTTAAGACCCCATTCCTTTGTTCTCCTGTCCAAGGTGATTGGCGGTATACTTGTTCTTCCATATCAGTTGGTCGACATTGTTCCCATTTCGTATCCTTCCGAATAAGAAGCGTTGTTGCATTACGAAACCATGATGAGTTTTCGCATGAGTGATCTCACTCACCCACCAACCCTGGTAACTCTGCCTGGCAGACGGCAATGAATTCACTATGAAAATTGGCATGTGCTAGCAAACCACGTAACTAACAAATTTGGATTCAGAGGCGATCTGTGCGACGTGATTGGCTCAAAGACGTCGGAACCTCCTATGAGAATTTGCTTCCCTGCATCATCATGACAGCATAATGACTTGACCTTGGCAGCCCTATCTCCTGAGCGCGTGTAGACCTCCGCGAAGTAACTCGCCCCAGTGTTAGTCCTTTAACAATTGGCGTCGGTTTTAGGTGGTTATGGGCAGCTTATCGCTAAGATCTTATCATGAGTATACTTTATTCTTGACCAAAACGTAGACTAGAGGAAGGTACTGCGGTTGTCAAGCCCTCCGATTGGCCTACTACCCCTGCAGTAACCACAGTGGAGGTCTACACGCACTCAGGAGATGTCCCGTTCCCACCTGTATTTAGAGGCGGCTAATGTTCGGACACCCGCCAAATAATCCAAAGCCGAATCACGTGACCTTTAAAGTCAGGATAGTTGCCGTGTCAGACAATTGGCTCCACAGGGATCATAGATGGCACCAGTCAATTTATAAGAATTATCTAAAGAACAAAGAAATTAAATAGCCATATATTCGGGCATAGCTATTTAAGCTCATATCGTTAGGATTAGAATCCTTGATGCGATAAGTTAGATGTGAAACCAGATACACGACCCCAAAGTACGGGCCGCGTTTCATATCCAGTCGCACGAACCTAGTGATATGCGACAGTTCGCATCTCCCAGAAGCCCCACACTCCCTCGTCTGCTGCTTGATCTCGCCTCGCTTGACTCTGTGTGACAGGCCGATTCCTGCAGGTTTAGGGCGGCTTTCAAGCCTTCCAATGCCCTTGTGGCTTCGGCATCAAAGACCTCAGCCGGTCCGAGTCGACCTGATCCGTCAAAGACCGGGAGGCTGTTTTGGTGGATGGTAAAGCCGTAGCTAGCGGCTCCGTCCGAGGACAGAGAGCCATCTGAGTATACGACCAGGGTGAGCGGGTCGAGTGTCTGGGCCCAATGAAGGAAGGCTCCAGCCGTCTCTTCTTTCGATGCTATCTGCAGCGGCGTCATTTGCTCATCGCCAAAGCGTTGCTGGATGAGCTTTGGTCGTGCGCAGGGTGCGAGGAGCTCGTTGTTGGATATCACAAGTGTGAGGCGACCAAGTCGGTGGCAAGGTGTGGAAGAAGGAGGAACATTCTACAAGAGATCGTGCCTGTACATAAACAGTTGTTCCCCTACTGCACATTTAGAAGGAATGAAGCAATCTGAATCTTCTCATTGCGCGGAATCCGGCCGCGGCGCTGGCGCATTCTTCGGTCCACCAGGGTGCAGTACGCGCTCCCTTCCGCGAAGGTCGGCCGGCCGCTCTCGCCGCCGATGTTAGGAGGTTCACAAGCTTCGAGGCGAGCTCGTCAAGCTCTGATGGGGTCAAGTCTGCGAGGGGGATTTGTGCAGCCCCGAGCTCTACGATTTCGACGAAGCGTTTGAGCTCGTCATCTGTTGTCACGCGGATCCGGCCCGGTTGCATCGGGACCGGTGTTATGTCGGGGAGGGTGAGTTTGAGTGTGAAGTGATCAGAGCTGGTCGCGAGATGGTCCTCGATTGCGGCTTCAGCCAGTGGAAGGGAGCATTAAGGTAACGCAGCGCCGATCCTTTTGTCGATTCAGGCATAACCCGTAAAGGCCCCATCGCTAAAACGGCTGAAACCAGCGGGAGGGTCCTGAATGTACCAGTGGGTAACTATTTCATCGAGGCACAGATTTATGTTCTAACCCTTGTTAACCTTATTACCGATCTTGTTTCCCTTTTAAAGTCTGCCTTCTTGCGACCCGCAGAGTGATGCTCTATGACGAATATGGTAGAGGTTGGATAGGAATATGAAACACTCCTTTCACTCTAAGGAATCACCAGGATACCCGTTATGAAAAGCTAATGGACCATTAGGACTGGGAATATCCCAGCGCTGACGACTGCGACGATTCAGACGGGGATGCCAAGAACTACCCGTAAAGACCTGCGAGAGACCATTAACGTGAGCTGTCGCGACTACATTGTCACCTTTACAGCCCCCTCTTCAGACTGGTACTTTCGCCATTCCGATCTCAAGGGAATCGAGGCTCATGTTGGTTGGGTAGTTAATCTCATGACTTACGACATGCCCGGTGTTCCGGGACAGCGGCAACTCTGTCATAAAGCAAGTATTGTCGCATACCAACCTGACCGAAATACACTCAACATCTATCTGGCACCTTTGACTGACCCACGAGCTCTCTGCAGCTCTGGTGTGTTGGCGTTGAGCCTTGCGACGCCATTCTCGGCTTGGGCTTCTTGGCCGATACTTTGTGTTGAAATGAGCATGTTGAGTTGATTAGAAGATAAAGAGACTAGCGCTAACCAGCGGAAGCTATTGACAAGATGACATCCACATCCCAGCCACCAATGGATCGGAATAGTCATTGATCCGTTAAACCACGGATCTCAACACATCAAGCTGAGTACCCCCAAAACCTCGGTTGTCAGGCGGATCTCCGACCGGAACCGGGGTTGGGGTGGGGGTAAAGACGCAAGGGCAACTTAGCAAGTCCATCCTTGTCTACTGAAGACCAATGAAGTCGCGGGCTGATGAGTTGGGGCGTGGGGCTCATTCTGCTCCTCCTCCCCGTGGCAGAGCCTTAGCCACCAGACTGACGTCCGAGATTCTGGATAAACAGCTACTCGACATGAGTGATAGAAGCTGCCTGTTGTGAGTACGGTGCGTCGGAACACGGCTACCGCGATGGTGTTGGTCTGTAATGGGCCTGCATCCTCACTCAAGGAATATATAACCAGAACAGCAACTGACAGCCTTGCTGCGGCTGATTTTATATCTAAGGAGACTAGAGATGCTTTTATCCAAGATAGCAAGGTACCTCTTTTGTGACAATTTATATTTGGCCAACAATTTCCGCTTCAAGTTCTCCTATTCAGAAAAGAGCCCGAAGTACCTCAAACCTATCCAAAACCTTACTACTCTTTGATCCAAAGAGCAGCATACATATCTTGATTTGAATTCAACGTATACCCACTTACCAGCGTCAACCGATATCCTTGACCCACCCAGTTATCAAACTCATTCTGGTACTCCGCCGAGGACATCCGATGTCTCGCAACCCAAGGGCCACTTGGCGATTTGTCCCAAATCGCAGCATAATAATCCACATTGTTGACCACATAGCCATTGACATGAACAAGACGGAAGCCCTGCCCCACGTACTTATCAGAAAGCCCCTGATAGTCAGACGACGCCATGCCATGATGTGCAACCCATGTAATGTTAGTCGTCGACTTTTCCCACAGCGCCGCATACGAGGCCTGATTCCCCTGCGAGCAGCCGCTGACATGCTTCAGTCGGTACCCCTGTGAGGAGAAAGCATCAAACGCGCTCTGGTATTCCGAGGAGCTCAAGCCATGTCTAGCGACCCACGCGGGACCCGCAGATTTGTCCCAGATGGCTGCGTACCGGGCGTCTCCCGCAACGGTGTATCCGTTGACGAGACGGAGCCGGAAGCCCTTGCCAACGAGAGTATTGAACTGGCCCTGGTATTCCGCACCGGTCATGCCGTGCCTCGCAGCCCAATCCGAAGAACCATTTTGGTCCCAGATGGCTGCGAAGCGTGGATCATCGTCGATGGTGTAGCCGCTCACATAGGTGAGGCGATACTTGTCATGTACCAGCTTGCCGAACGTGTCTTGGAAGGCGGAAGAGGTCATTCTGTGTCGAGCTTGCCACGGCGCAGCAGCTCGAGCAGAGATGGAATGGTATGCGCTGGTGCCGTCTGATGCTATCGGAGTGGCCTCTGAGAGAGAGCCGATCACGATCATGAGGGCAAAAGCCCAAATGATAGTGCATCGGAAAGCTGAAATCATCATGGCATTAGCTGGACAGCTTGGACGTTTTGGAACAGGGGAACAAAGCGAGGAATAAGATCTCTCGCCTATGCCTATTTTCAGGCTTTTATGCTGGAGCGGCAGGCCGTGATGCCGCTGACAGAACTCCACGGTGCTGGCAATGTTCAAATTTAGACGAAAGCTGCTATAAATAGACACGTCCAAACTTGAAACTTGAATGCACCTGCAGGACACCGAGCGGGCGTGCCATGATGTTTGAGAGCCACGCGTGCTACTAGAAAGGGGCTGAGCATTACGTCCGAGGACATCTGCCAATAGGATTGAGACACAGACAAAGGTGCTGCTGGTCTCCGTAGATTTCAGGAAAGCTTGCTATGAATAGTTCTCGTTCTAGTGCCGGGCCCTCGAATCGTATTCAAGAAAGTTACCATATATAGCCCAGGTGTAGGAGTTTCAGCTTGGACTGGGGAAGATTTCAGTACATCTACGGATCCAGGACTTCTAAATTAGCAGAAAGGTTCTATAAATAGTTCAAGTTCATAATTCTGGATTTGTAGCCAACCTGTAAGTCGCCGCTGAGTCTGTATTCTACTACGAGAGAGCTTTGAAGTCGACTGGTAGTTTAACGGTTACTGTGGCACATATTCTATTTCGGGCTTCTAACCTGGCCGGTCGACGTAATAGCATGCTTTCATACGTACGAGATTTCCTTGGGGTGCTGTCCGAAAGAGGGATGTGGCAGATTGTCTTTTTGAGATGCTGCTGGTTCACAGAGTCGCCCTTAAGAGTTGGTTGGACAATATTCGCGACATGTTATTTTCAACGAAATCTGGACTAAATACTAAACACGACTCAGTTTTAACGGAAGCCTTGAAACATCTACAGTTGAATGAACTTGAGTCACCATCGGTTGTCGTAGCCTTGGTGCTACCCGAACCCGAAGCACCCTCCACAAACAAAGGTCGAGCAGCCATTGTTGCAGATCAAGAAAATGCCATCGCAGTGGACATCTGCCGGTTTTGGAGAACACGGTGGGCCTCCACCGCCGTTGCACTCACAGAGTCTCTTCTTCCCAGTGACGCAGTAGCCACCGTCGCCCCAGTCACTTCTCCCTGCCTCGTGCCATCCAGCCGGGCACGGCTCCGGAGAGCAGAACGGCGCAGTCCCGCTCCAGAAAGCCGCGCAGCCAGGGTTATCAATGCATTCGCAGTAGACTTTGTGTCCAGTCGCGCAGCAATGCCCATCACCACAGTCATCGGTTCTCGTCTGGCGGGTGCCGGCGGGGCATTCTCCGTCACAAAACGGTGCAGTGCCGTGCCAGCCAGGTGAACACGCCAGGACTCGACCTAGAATGACCTATCAGATCCTCCCTTGGGTGTGGACCAGGAGACTTGCTTACCAAGGCCGAGCAGACTGGATAGAATAAAAAATTGCTGCATTGTGGGACCATGGACAGGAACATTCGTTTGAATCAGTGCGGTCGATCTGCAGGGAGGTTTGGCTGTACTTATAAAGTCGTTTCCTTGAGAAGTGCGTCATCAGACACCCCGCAGCCCAGATGTCATTACGAGGATCTGGAATATGTTGGCCTAGAATACCCAAGTACTCACTTCCGGTCTCTCGTAGCCACGAATTAGCGCATGTCCAATGACAGACTTCCTGAGTCAATCTATCCCAAAATTAGTAGCACGCTGCCTTTCCCGGACTGACACCTAACTAGACTCAGCCCCTTTATTCTGCTGCAAGTGCCAAGTTTTCGGGGACAAGAGTATAATAGCGTGTACGGGGCTTCAACTCTGTATCGATGCATTCTTTTGATCGCACGCAGCTGAAGGCTGTAACTAAAATAGATGTCTCTGTGGCTTGTGGCTGAGACCAGTCGCCGTGTCTTGTGACAAGTAGCGCGTTGGGCCATTCTTTTTATCGCATTACAAGCTAAGGTAAAAGCGAATGAACACTCTGCTCTGCAGTCGCTAATAATAGCTTATGGCCTGAAGTTGATATATGCCCCGGGATTGCTGAGACTTTAAAGTGATCTAAAAATAATGATGTACCTCCTGCTCTATCTGTTCTAGAGCCAGGGTTGCAAACCACTCCACTAAATCCACCAGCGGGAGCAGTGACTTGGATGGACCTTAATCTACGAAGCCTGTTAGTGTAGTGGATCCATTTGAAGCGATCGTGGACGTGGAATGGATGTAGTGGTTTAGCGGATGAGAGTGGCTGGACATGCTGCTCGAAAGGAAATCGGATTCTGGAGCACCTGTCTAAGACTACGAGCTGGGGTATGCCTACAACGAGATTGGCGTAGCCTATGAAAATGCCGACATGATTGACGAGGCATCGCAGCCTTTATCAGATCGATCGAGATTTTCCAGGGGCTAGATGACTACGAAGACACCATGCTTGGGTGGCCTAAGCCAAACTTCGGCTTCATGTATTGGCTCAAGGGGGACCTCGCGGCCGCTAAAACAACCTTGGTCGAGGTCCGCGATATCCATGCGGCCGCCTGGGAAGCTGATGATACTCGCTCTTTCAAGTCAGACACCTCCAGGATGATCAATGCTAACAGGTCTTGAGGACGGGCAAGATTCTCTACGGCCTCTGCAACCTGTTGGAATCACTAGGTCGCTTCGATGAGAGCCTTGACTTCCACCTTCGCTGTCTGGAACAGTACAAGAAGGTTCTCGGCATGAACCACCACAGAGTTGGAGATGTGTGCCACAGGATTGCCGGACATTACATGCGAGATGGATTACATAAAGAAGCTGCGTGCGTGATTTTCCCCGCTCCTTTTGAATGAAGCTAATTAGACTTATAGCGAATATCTGGGTACCTCTTTGCGAATATTCTAGTCCCGTCCGTACCTGGCCAGCGAACTTGCACGGACTACATTCAAGAGGAGCAAGCTACATCGATTAATGGGGGAGAACAAAGACGCAGACGAGGTTTTGGACAAAGCTTACAGTATAAGGAAAAGGTTGAGCCCCGGGGATACCATTCCGAGCGAGAAATTCACAGAGGAGTATTTTGACACTCTAGTTTCTTTTTGGTCTAGATAATACCTGTTCGAAGCCTCGGGCAATGTACATAGTCTCAGAGGCTACTGTGTTGGTTAGGATAGAATGCTATGAGTCTATGAAGTTTTAATATGGTGCTCTTCGTTATAGTTGAAGCCCAGCCCTCGATGGGATAACTAAGCCAGTAGATAGTACGTAGTCTCTAGGTGTAGGTTGATGTCAATGTCGGCAGAAATCAGCCTCGTTTCAAGGTATTTTTACCCGCCATAGTTGGACCGCAAATGTACACATCTAATGTCCCTCTGTCCGCGTTGACCGCCCGAACTAAGCCTAGGCTGAGCAGTGGCTGAGTAGGGGTAACTGGCTGAAAATCCGAAATAGCTCATGCACAAGGCAACAAGGCTCTGGCTCAGAGCGAGAGGGTTAGTCGCGTCATGTGACTAGAATATTCTCACTTAATGGCTGCAGAGCCTGCTATTTCTTTCTACAAGGCTTACAAGTGATCAAACTTCGTCAACGATGAGCCTCGCACCGGCTGCTCCTCGTCTAAGGGGAAGCCAAGCGAAGGCAACGAAAAAGAAGCAAAACCCACAGCCCGATAGGTTACGTAAGTTTCGTTTATCTGGCTTAGATCTTTTTTCTAACTATTTCACTCAAGGCCCGGAAGAGTATGCAAACGCTGTCCTCGGATATTCCAAGCTCTCCACTGGCGCAGGTCAAAACCATATTTCGCTTGCCCAGTACCTCCACGATCGTCCAGCCACGGTGCGGTTAGACTTGCGGCCCAACAGCGAAGAGTTTGTCACACTCTATCTACTAGGCATCGAGCAAATTGCCCGGCAATCTTCATCACAATCATCTAGGCACCACTCACCATCTGGCGGAGATGTAGATGGAGAGGCTGAGTCTGCAGATGAGAACCGTCACAACGGCAGACACCCGTTTCTTTTAAAGAACCAAGCGAATTCTACCACTTCAACTTAACCAAGCCTCCTGAGAACTGCATCATATTCTTACGTGGCTTCATGACAGCGCAATGGATCAACAACATCGGCGCCCGGTACCTTATTGATCCAGAGTTCTTCTGTCGTCACCTAGATTTTAGTCCCGTTGACGATAACGCAAGCGCCTTTTCTATCCCATCCCTACCATCTTCATGTGTACATCTAATCGAACTGCCCGTCTTCACGATAGGCAAGCGCACGGGATCTACGTCTCAATTGCGAGTAGATAGGATCGATCAGTTAAGGAGAGAGGGTGTAATATCCCTGTCCTCTCACTATCACGAAATCTCCAAGCTGTCATCTTCGCAGATGCAACTTGGAGACTCCATGGTCCGGAATTTTTACGTCTTCGATGAGACATACTTTGCAATCGAGCAGCGCATCTCGATTTGCCTGCAACGAGCCAGGGGTCAAAAGTCCTTTACATGTTCGTCAAGTCATACGTCTCGATGAAATACTATACGCATACTAACTCTTGCAGTGCTTGTCTGGCTCGACGCTGGGACGGATTTTCCTAACTTGACTACCATTCCTTGGTCCGTTCGAATGCCAGAGTCTTATTATCTCCCTGTTATCCGCCATAAACCGAATCTTGCTCTAAAATGTCACCTCTTCGCTGGTCAGCCATCTGATAGAATGGGCATTTCCGGTGATAAAATCCAGTCACTATCAAACCTTTCTCACGACTATGGACGTTCGCTTCGCCCGAAAATCAAGGCCAAGGATGCATTTTACAACCTCAACGAGATCTTCAACTTTGCAGCGAGCTCACAAGTGCAGTTCCTCAACCTCATTGACGCCAAACTCGACAGCTACATATCACGACCTGCTGATCAAGAATATGAGAGCTTGCCGGATCTCAAGTACACAAAGGAGATGCTGTACCGTCATCTTCAAAAGACAAAGCAGGTGCTTGAGAGCATTAGGAATACTCGGCTCTCAACATGGCCGAAAGATGGTTCTGACAGCAGTAAAGCTGACATTGCCGCAAAGAGTGTGGAACAAGACTATGAACACATCCTGGAGCGCACGATTAGCCTCCACATACGCACCACCGAGGCCATCACAGTGCTCATGTCTAGCATGTCCATCTCAGAGTCTCAGAGAGCAATCGGCCAAGCGCAACGCGTCGGGAAACTGACGTTCCTGGCCTTCATTTTCGTCCCACTGTCTTTCACCACCAGCTTTTTCGGGATGAACGTGACGCAGATCGAGGATACAAACTTGGGGATTTGGTCGTGGTTTGTCATGTCGGCACCCATAGTAGGGCTCGTATTTACCTTGTATTTCGTTGATGTAGCATTTCTCTGGGACAAGCATGTCCGGGCTAGACGGGGGTTATCATGAGATGTCATACATGCACATGAGTCCAGAAATAATCACCCAAACACCAAAGAAGCTTCGTGGCCTCGCCCCATCCAGTAAGGATGCGCTCATATCTATCCTCTTTTGACACGATAGGTCAACCTGCATGACAGACGGGAAAATTCCCCGATGCAAACGGCCTCGCCCCGTCCCGTGGATTCCGCGCGTGTCGGCAGTCGTACATTACGACGTTTGTCTCAAAGCTCCGTTTTTTCGCCTTCTACGAGAGGCCATATCCCGGGCATGGACCACAACTGCCGACTCCGCAGCGGGTAACATTGGCTCTCTTAAGGAATGATTGACATAGGCAGGTCCACAAGAGAAGTATAGAATGATGATATGCCAAATAGTTGTCCAGGTATTCGTCGAGCTTGGGGATTGATCCACTCGTTCTCGGGCTTTGGGAGCATCCCGATGGCATTGAGAACGTCCCGAGCGCATAATACTTCAAGTATAAATAGTTGAAAGCAGGAACTATATCATAGAACAGCATTCGAAAAACCATCATCCGCTTCAGAGTCCCTCAAGATGCATTCCATGCTGTGGGCTGAGCTCTTGCCCAGGCTCGATGCCATAGGGAAACCCCTTCCACTCATCGTCACGATTGCCGTCATTCTCTTTGTTTATCATGCCTTCCAACCTTTTCGATCCAATGTTCCAATCTTGAATGGTAGGAAAGGATTGGAACTCACAAACCAGAGACCCAAGAAAGAATATGTCTCTCAAGCAACCAAGCTGGTCGGCGATTGGTTCAACTCAAACCCAAACAAGCCAGTTCGACTCATCTCGGACGTCGAGGAGATCACTGTGCTCCCACCTAGCCTAGCCCAGGAGATTCGAAGCGACAAACGACTAAGCTTTAGTCAGTGGACTTTCAAGGTATGCTGGATTGCCACACTGCTTCGGCTCAAGAGTTGACATCGCAAAAGTCATTCCATGGTAACTTGCCAGGCTTTGATGGTTTTGCCGCGGGCACAGGAGGTACAAATTTGGTACAGACCGTTGTTACCAAGGATCTCACCAAATTTTTGAGTGCGGTCCCCTGCACCTCCGGATTTTCGTCGCTAACTGAAAGTCTGTAGGCAAGGTTACCGAGCCTTTGGCTGAAGAGACTTCCTTGTCGTTGGAAGAACTCTTCACAAATGAGACGGGTGGGTCATCTCCAGGTTTTATATGAGCTACGCTAAACTCACATACTCACATAGAGTGGCACGATATTCCAATGAGGGACAAGGTCCTACGACTAGTCGCCCGGATCTCTTCACGCGTCTTCCTCGGTCCAGAGCTTTGTCGCAATGAGAACTGGCTTCGAATCACTCGCGATTATACAGTCACGGGGTTCTTTGCCGGCGAAGATCTCCGTATGTGGCCAGAGTTCGTTCGTCCCTTGGTACACTGGTTCCTACCCGGCTGCCGCAAGCTCAGGGCAGACGTCAAAGAAGCCCGTTCAATGATCAATTCTGTGGTTGAGGAGCGAAGGAAGCGAAATCAGGAGCTTACTGCCGCTGGACAAGATATCCCAGACTACAACGATGCCATCGCTTGGTTTGACAAAGCGGCCAAGGGTGCAACCTATGACCGAGCAGCCATGCAGCTCAGTCTGTCTCTTGCTGCGATTCATACAACCACCGATCTCCTCACCCAAGTTCTTACCCGGATTTCACAAAACCTGGAAATTCTCAAGCCTTTGCGGGAGGAAATGATCTCGGTGCTTCGAGAGGAGGGCTGGAACAAGACGTCTTTGTACAAGATGAAGTTGCTTGACAGTGTTATTAAGGAGAGTCAGCGAATGAAGCCTACTGAGATTGGTAAGTTCGGCATACCTTTAATGAAGGCATGTCGCTAACCATTTTTGAACCAGTGTCCATGATGCGCCTTGCCCTCGACGACGTCAAGCTATCAGATGGCACGGTCATTCCCAAGAACACTGGTGTGGCAGTATCATCCCACAGGATGTGGGATCCCAGCCTTCATCCAAACCCACATCAGTGGGATGGTACCAGGTTCTACAAGATGCGCGACGATCCAGCGAAACAGAACTCTTCTCAACTTGTCTCTACAAGCCCAGACTACCTTGCGTTTGGTCACGGTCAGAATGCCTGCCCGGGTCGGTTCTTTGCGTCAAACGAAGTCAAGATCGCACTGATTCAGATTATTCTCAAATATGACTTTGAACTGAAGGAGGGGGCATCACCCCAGATCTACAAGCATGGCTTTACCCTGACCGGTGATCCATTCTTGGAGTTGAGGATTAGACGGCGTAAGGAGGAAGTGCCACTCTAGACTCTAGGTAACATAGACAATGTATGAAATGTGCATTTTCCCTTGGAACATCTCTTACTGGAATCATGGGCTCTCTCGTGTCGTAAGATCAACTGTATGGTTGCCTTGCAACATCTTCCCCGGGCCTCTCACTCTTCCCCTGCTCTCATCATTGCCCACATCTGCCCATCGCAAAATTGCGGCTATGGGGCATACGGTTGTGTCCAGCCAAAAGGCAGTCAATCAAATATTGTAGTAGACAAGGGCGAGTGTGACGGTGTGAAAGAATAGCATAACATGTGACGAGAGTGATTAAAGATGAGGCTGACAGTCTAAGACATCGGCTAGTTTTTTACTAATTATATGATAAGTTTGTCTCATTTTTATGCTTATTATTGTCACATTCTTAGGTAGGTATTCAGCGTGCTTCCTACATAAAACCAGTTCCATCAATGCCGGGCGAAGGCTCAGCCTCTTGCGCTCCTTGAAGGTCTTCTTGCAAAACCGGCAAGTGTTTTGCTTGTACTTGCCAGCTGGAACGCGAAGTGTCTTGTAGTCCTCGTCGTCTCTCTCCTGCTGTAGAACAGCCTCTTCCTCCACAGCCTGCTTCTCGAGAAGCTCCTAAACATCGTCGAGGGTGGTGGTGGAAGGGTCTATATTAACACACTTAGCACTTCCTCGATCCACGACGCAAGTTAAGACATCAAAAGAATCCCACTCACCAAGAAGGGAGGAAGTGCCAGCATGGTTAGACACAGGTCTCTCCTCGAAAAACTGCCACAAGGGCACTTCCTCTGCCTCTGTCCCAGGCATGGGGAAGATGCTCACCGACTCCTGCTCGCCGCGGCTATTAAGGGTAGTGGTACCGGGTAGCTTGTTGGACATAGTGATGGGATGGAGGTTGAGGATAATGTGATGATGGTGTGTCTGGTGAGATCGTTCTTGCTGCGGATGGAGATGAAAGAGCAACGTTGTGAGCTGCTAGAGTGTCTCTTGGATATACATCGTTGAGAGTTGGGGCGGTGGCATCTTCATCATTATTTAGCGCTCACACTTTGGCAACAAGAAGACGGAAGAAAATGACTTACCGGGTTGCCTGGGGAAGAAGAGCCGTCGGCGCACCTGGGCGAGTGCAAAAGAAGGTCGTGATGCGGCTTCCATCATCAACGAAGGGAAACGGTGGAAAGAAACGTCGGAGCTTCGGCATAAGCTTGTAGCCTGAAGAGAGGCCTGCGAGCCATTGCATTGCCTCTGGCCCCAGCTAAGAGGAAGCCGTCCGGTTCAAGGCAAACATTGGGGAAAGGGCCGCTCACTCATGGCCAAGGGCGCCGATATCGGTCACGCGGGGTAGATGGTTCGACATGATCAAAGAGATTAAAAACATCGCTCGGGCAGAGCGCGAGAAGCTGGAGGATACTGTGAGAGAAGAGATGTTGAAGTCCACGGGAGAGAGGATGCGAGAATGGTCGTGCCGGAAGTACCGCCCGCTGGACAACGACCCCCACCCACTGTGGCGCATGGTTCTTGGACGCCACTCTGTGCTGTGACTGTGGTGGTATGGCGTACCAGAGAGCAGAACGTGGCGCCTTATCGATAAACCCAAATCCTTAGTCAGCAGTCTTCCACTTCAACTTTGACTTGCTCCTCGGAGTCTACGATCAAGTCATCTGAGAGCAGGGAGAAACTAGAAGCACTTCCATACTGTTGATGCGTTTTCTTCTTGGAAGGCGAGGCGGGTATCATCATCTTTTTGTAAAGTGTTGGTGCTGGTTGCCATCTCGACTTGCTTCAACTGCACTGTCTCAACTAAAAAAAACTTCCAAGTTGATGAACTTCAGAAGCCTCCGACCGCAACTTACATACATAATGCGGAGAACCCAAGAAAGCAGAAATATACTCTCGACATAAATTGGAGCGTCGCATTTCTTCAAAAGCCTCACGATTGCGGCGTCATGTCATGCATTAACAGATGTTCACCACGCCGCGGATAGCACTCTAGATGCTATAGGGTAGGCATCAATTTCGCGAAGCTGTTGGTGGCACCCGACTCGACCAGTGACACAATTGACGCTATGCTGATCTTGATCAGTGATGTTAAAACAGGGACACGACCTGAGCTAGAGAGATCTATCTAGATGGAATCTCGGACGCAACGTGTGAAGTCGTGCGGACCATCACCTCAATCCAGATCACTCGGCCGGTAGCTCACATCGGAGGTTTAAGTGAAGTGATGGCCTAGACAGGCAAATGCTCTTGTGACTTTGATGCTCTAAGGCCTTGGCCTCTTGTCGCCAAGGTGCTGGCCGAAGACAAGCACTCTGGGCGATGACGCGGCGCAGCGCGATCCCTCCAATTTGCGATTATTCCCCCTTTTGGATGGCGATCACCCGCTCTGCCAAGGATGAAATCAACTACATGAATATTCGGTTCGGCAGTTGTGTACGAAATCTGAACATTAACGCGCTCTTCTAGCTGACTCTGCTGTGATGAAGAGCATCAGAATCGGCGACACCGATCAAACTCTTTACCTTGCGCGCCAATGACGACACACACAGAGACCCACAAAACAAGTTCTGATTGGTGTTTCACCTGAATTCACCTGGCCACCTTGATCTCACCGTCCCTGATCAATCACCATCTTGAAGAATCTTCTTACCGCCCCACGCCATCATCCAAAGAACTCTGTCAAAGAACTTTTTAGAACAACTTTATCGATTGTGGCAAGACCCTCACTTTCATCACTCTGCCAAGTCCGAAACCTGGCATTCGTCGGTCCATGACCGAACCACAAAATGTCCGCCCTCAGTCCATCCTAGAGAACACAATGACGTTGTCCTACCCCATGGTTGACCCTCATGGCCCGCAACCGCCTGCTACCGTTACGTTCGGGCTCGTTTGCTATGCTTAATGGAAACAACCATGCCACACCGCATTCGTGTATTCGTCCGAGGTGCTCACCCCCATTGCGGAGAAGATCCCCTCCCCCCATTTCACACACGTTGGGGGTCTGCTGGTCCCATGGTTTAAGCGCTGCTTCGCTCCCCGCGGTTTCATTGCATTTGCATGGACAAAAGTTCTCTGTCAGCCAACTTTTTTGTCTCCCTGGGGCCAGAAATCTGCGGAGCTTTCCCCCACGAGTGAGATTACCTGCGCTGTGATCGCCCGACCGTGCGCCTCAAGATCAAGCCATATTCTTCACGTGTGAACCTTGCCAGTGTTGGTCGAGATACTGCAATACCACCCGACCGCGGCATGCTATCAGGACACATCGAGACACACAGCAAGGTCTGCGCTGTCAGTCTTGACCAACATGATCCGTTTATTAAGCTTGAGTCGAGCCAATGATGCCTTTGCCGTCTGCGAACAGAGTGCTACCATGCAGGGTGATGGGGGGACCCTCATGTTTCACTCCATCCTCCACAGGCCCAAACTCCCAACTTCTGGAGTCGATAACAATAATTCTCGCGCCTTTGCCGCTTGCCATCACTCAAAAACTCTTATCCTCGGACCTCTGCCTGACGTCATTCCCTCAGTAACACCGAGCGAAGCCGTCTAGTCGTCTCCGCTGCGGGGCCGACCATGTGGACCGGGTCCGGGCTTGGCAGATCCGGAGGGCCACAATCAATAACATTGCTCGGGTGCCGGCACGGAATGACGACACGGGGGGCCACCCTGTAAGGCCAGTCCCGCACTCCGACTGGGGGAACCGCACGACTCAGAACGGGGGTCCTTTTTTTCGCTTCGGCTCAAGGGTTGCTCTGCTTGCGGAGCTCCATACCTCGTCACATCCTTTTCACGTGTGTGTGTAATAACATCTCCGTACGTCGTGCGAAGGATGATCATCCTGAGACGTGGATACAGTTAATTCTTGTGGACCGTCGTGGAGTTCAGGGTTCAGAGTTTTTTCTCTCGTACAGACCTTTTTCGGGTCCCTGCCATGTCCATGTAGCAGATATAAAGTGACAGATGGCCTCGGTCTATTGATCTGCAAACCATAACCGTAACACATACACGACTGTTTTTATTGCTCCTGGGTGAGCCTTGTTGATTTTGTTACAAGCAGCTGGTTTTGCTTTCCCTCATTTGGCATCGTTCAATATGGCGCCTCCAACATTTGCCGGCCTTTCTGGCAAGAAGTTGTCGCTGGCCATCTCTACTGTGGCCACGACTGGTTTCCTCCTGTTCGGGTTCGTATTATCTTTTTTGATACTGTCTTCATCATAATCCTTCCCATAATTTATCTTGAGCGCCTGAATATGATAATCGAAGTCTTATTCGGGTGTGCCAACCCTGGTGGTTGGGCATCACCAGATCACTCAACACCAACCCCAGACACCTTACGATCACAAAACTTCATCTCTAGATCATCAACTAACCTCAAAAACACGCCAGATTCGACCAGGGGGTTATGTCGGGAATTATAGATGCAGACCCTTTTCACGATTATTTCCCGGAAACCAAGAATGAGACCATCCAGGGGTTGGTCACCGCCATCTACGAGATTGGCTGCTTGATGGGAGCCATGTTTATTCTCTGGGTCGGTGATCTCCTCGGTCGACGACGCGCCATGATCATGGGCGGTGTTATCATGATTCTCGGTGTCATCATTCAGGTCTCTGCTATCAAGGGTCGCTCCCAGCTTGCTCAGCTCATCGTCGGTCGTGTCGTCACTGGTGTCGGCAACGGTATCAACACCTCGACTATTCCTACCTACCAGGCTGAGTGCAGTAAGACTAGCAATCGTGGTCTTCTCATCTGCATCGAGGGTGGTGTCATTGCCTTCGGTACTCTCATCGCCTACTGGGTCGACTATGGTGCTTCTTACGGACCCCAGGACCTCACTTGGCGATTCCCCATTGCCTTCCAGTGCATCTTTGGCTTCGTCCTCTGCATTGCCATGATCTGGCTTCCTGAGAGTCCTCGATGGCTTCTTACTCACGACAGACACGAGGACGCTGAGCGTGTCATTGCCGCTATCCGTGGTTACGAGATCGACAGCGACGACACCCGCAAGGAGCGCGACTCTGTCCTCGACTCTATCCGCGCCTCTGGCTTCGCTGGCCAGAAGTCCACTCCCATCAAGGCTCTTTTCACTGGTGGAAAGACTCAGCACTTCCGACGTATGATGCTTGGCTCTGGTTCTCAGTTCATGCAGCAGGTTGGTGGCTGCAACGCCGTCATCTACTACTTCCCCATTCTCTGCACCAAGATCTTTGGAGACAAGAACCTCGCCATGCTTCTCGGCGGTGTCAACATGATCGTGTACAGCATTTTCGCTACTTCGTCTTGGTTCATCATTGAGCGCGTCGGTCGCCGAAAGCTTCTCCTTTACGGAACTGCTGGTCAGATGTTTTCCATGATCCTGACCTTTGCCTGTCTTATCCCTGGTGGCAAGCACCCTGAGGATGTGGCTTCGTCCAAGGGAGCTCTTGTTGGTCTATTCACCTACATTGCCTCTTTCGGAGCTACCTGGCTGCCTCTCCCCTGGCTCTACCCCGCTGAGGTTAACCCCCTCAAGACTCGAGGCAAGGCCAACGCCGTCTCCACTTGCACCAACTGGCTTTTCAACTTCCTCATTGTGTAAGTCTTGTTACTCGCGAAAATAGACGACATGAACTAACATTTTCTAGCATGGTTGTTCCCGACATGATCAAGAGCCTCAGCTGGGGTACTTACCTCTTCTTTGGTGTTGCCAACGCTTGCTTCTTCCCCATCCTCTACTTCTTCTACCCTGAGGTAAGTTCCCAACGCCTATCTGCAAGAATCCCACCTAACATTTACAGACTGCCAACCGCTCTCTCGAGGAAATCGACATCATCTTCGCCAAGGGTTATGTTGAGAAGATCTCCTACGTCAAGGCCGCCAAGGAGCTTCCCTTCCTCACTCAGGCCGAGGTCGAGCAGGAGGCTATCCGCCTCGGACTTGTCCAGTCCGCAAGCCGCGGTGCTATGTCCGAGAAGCCTGATGCGGAGGATGTCCGCAACGACTCTGGCTTCAACTCTGACAACTCTGACAAGTCGTAAACTGTGGGATCACAGGAACCGCAAGATTACAACAATCACAAGAACCATAGAATCACATATCAATGTGATGGGAGGATGAACTGGAGTGGAATTGTGTTTTGAAACATTTTGGATACCCATAGACAGACCTGGCTGTTAGAATAGACCAGCGATACTGTCTGTGCTCATAGAGCATGACGAAATTATAGATCTCTCATTGAGAATTATCTTGTCTCGTATGTGGGGAACCCTCTCATGGGTTGAATGCTTGTCTCTGCACCATATTGCGTCTCTCACCCTTGCGCTCTCGTACCGCGGCATTTAATAATTCCCAGACAGTTCTTATCACCCACCTATGAAATGCACACCTTGAGGGACCATGGTTACATAAAACGTGGGTCCTATTATCTTTCATGGCACGGGGTTCCTGTCGATCATCCTTGTTCTGTTAGGCAACCGTATATTTAAACTGGAGAACAAATAACTGCGGAGCCGCTCCTCCGACATGACTTCTAGTTTATGAACTGTGTGGACCCAGCACACACACGTTCGTCTCGTTGACATATTACAGGCCAAGAGGTTGTCTCAGATATCCATCTTTTCACAACCAACATGTCAGCAAGCCCACTGTTTAGTGGGTTGTCGGCTCGAGATATAGGCTTTGAGGGAGCGCCTTTAGTCAGGTGTTCTCCCCTTTCCTGCCTCTCTAAGTAATGGGAAGCGCGTTTTGCTGATCTATCTCTGACTCGGCTATCAATAACTCTGGGGTTCGTTATTTCACTCCACCAACCCACTTCAACTGGGACCTGACGTCATGTTATCAATTTGTTGATACCTGGCACTTCGCTTCCTGAACAAGAGGACCTCGGCTGCAATATTATCTCTTCACCGTTGATAAAGAATGCAGTGGCACCTCACAAATCTCTCAACACCCATAGGCTAGGACCAGGCTCTGCCTTTGGGTAAGCTGAGTCTATCACCCCTGAACGTATCCGCAGCAAAATCCGGTCATGCTGATTAGATAGTCGCCGGGAAACGGTCACCTGACTGTGATTGCCCTTCAACTCTGTTCGAGGTTGGCGGTGAGACGTCTTTAGGTAAGTGAAGGTTAAAATAACCTCAACTACGGCACTGCGCACCAACACCATAGGTTCCATTAAGGTTAACTCAACGGGACCACATTCTTAGCCCTAGAACTTCAACGGCGGGCCCTGAGGAGAAAGTCCACAAATCCCCGCAATGTGCTTTATTTTCCCATGGGGTTTGAGAAGAACACGTTTAGCGAGAGATATGCAGTAGTGCTGAGTAGCAAGAGACGGCACTTGAGACAAAGTAGTCGGAAAAGGGAGCTTTAGGGATTTCAAGAGGCGGTCATCTTTTGACGACGCGAGGATTGTAGAGTGAAGGAGAGTGCCGTCTTTAAGAGTTCATATCTGATGGAGTGTTTTGCATCCATGAAAGGGAATAAAAGAAACCCGTCAAGGCATTTGACCAACTGTATGCTTGGCCCGGGGGACTCAGTGAAGCTCCCGCCACTACTGTAGCCTTCGTGAAGCATGGGACTCTCTACTATGATGCTAATCGAGGGGGAGGGGTCTTATGCTTCTAGACCGAAAGCAATCTCTGGGTGAAAAGACTAAGCTCGTAGTAAATCGCCATAGCATGTCTTGAAGGATCATAGTTGGACATTGTAGAATTGTAGAGTGTATCTTTGAGACGTCATCTTACAACTTGTAAGCTCGGATTAGACCTTGAGTGCTCATGTTCAACTCGGCGATCTTCTTTCTTCTCCTTGGGAACATTAGTTGGTGGAGTTCGAGAGCGGCCAGGGTCGGTGATGAGCAAATGTGCTGGAGGCAGGGACCTGGGGATTTGGATCAAACATCTTGCATTAAACCTCATTTATTTTGATGTTCTCGATGATTGGCAGCCGGACTCGTAGCATTTGTGAGCAAGTCAGCGTCGAGGCGGTTGTCTGGTGTCGCCACCCTCATCACAACCACCAGCCCTCCAGGTTGGCCCGTTCATCAGTCATGTGGATATGTTGTTTACTTGACCGTGGCGTTCTATCAGGAGAAGTGAATACGTCTTGATGACCTACACAAGCTCTGCAGGCAGTATTGGTTGCCTGTTACACCTGCGACGCCGCGAAGTACGTTGGCATTTGGGGCAGACATGTTCAACAATCGATGACTCAAGACAGGACAGGTATATTTATGTCAACGCTTTCAATTAGGGCATCAATGAACTCCCTAATGGAAACAGACGCCCTGGAATGACAATTTGAGAGAGTCTGCAGTGATCCATCTTTGCCTTTAACCGCGCATACATTGACCATAAAACCCAGGGAGTGAGTCCAGCAGAACACAAGCTGCAAACTCAAGCAGAAAAAGATTGATACAGGTCCTGTAGCTGATGCCATTCATCAAGATCTCGTTCATGTCCCTAACAAAGCCACATCCCGTCTCTGCTGCTTGACGCCCTACTCGATCCAGCAACCCCCAATCATCTCCACGAACTCTCTGAGACCCGCCTCCTCTCCCAGATTCATATCTCGCGAAGGGCCATTCCCGGGCTCGGCTTGAGGCCACATAATGATGTGAACTGTATTGCGATAAAAGCCCGTGAGCCCAGTATAACCCGAGTACATTCTCACAACCTGACTGGACTGCTTTTCACCGGCCATGATGCTACATAGTAGGCGCGTATCGTCTTCTCCCAGGATGTGGCGAAAAAGCTCATCACAGAGATCCGTGCAGCTGAGTTTGGCCACCCACATATTGGTAAACCCATCAAGCTTTGCACAGAAGTTGGTCTGGCAAGTTGACCCGAAGCTGATGTCCAGGACTGAGAGCTGGCGCTGATCGGAGAAGGGAATGGGCTGGCAAAGGACCGTGGCTCTTTCAACCACCTTCAGAGTAGGGGCCCTGGGTACTCGATATTGCCCGTTCCCAATCGACTGGTGGTAGCCCTGGTAGGCATTACCAAGGTTCCCATGGTTGGGGGCGGTCGCTGCGCTTCGTCCGTCCGACAAGGGGATCGTCGATGGGTCGGATGGATCGGCGGGGATTCTTTGCGATTGGGCGGAATCATCGTAGATTCGCGGGCGCTTGTTGTCGTTGGTGTTTCGCTCTTGGCTGTCGATTGAACGGCGCCTCTTGGAGGCATGAGAGTGATGTCCGCGCATTTCTCGAGAGGCCTCTGGAGCTATTGCTGGGATGGATGGTCAGTGCAAGGTGGGCTTGGGGCAGAGAGCGGATCTTACTGTGTGAATGAGTGTGATTGACTGCCGATGGTGTGAGGTTGTGCAAGTGAAGAGAGGAGATGATGTTTGTGCTCGCGGAAGTTGGTAAACAAAGGCGTTTTCGCGTTGCCAGCTGTTGACACTGGCAAGCCGGCACAACACTGCAAGCCTGAGTTATCAGCAAATGAGCTCTCGAGAAACTGAAAACGTGTAAATTGAAACTTTGGCCCTTACGACTCGCGCAACCACTCTCCAAAAAGATTGGCATTTCGTTACGATCGGTCGTCAGTGTGCATCCGACCGCTGAAGGACGCCCTGAATGCTGTGATGGTGAGATGGTGAAAACCTCGTGAGGTCGTAAAATTCCAAATGAAGCCATCCAGGAGTAATCAGCCATGACGTGCCTTGTAGTGATTCTTTCGTCTTCGAGAGTTGCGACCGGAGAAAAACGTCAAGGCGATCTTAGATATCAGCGCAAGGCGTTTCTTTGTGAAAGATGGTCATGTCCAGCGACCAAGGAAACCTAATCTTATCAGCGCAACTTTCGAAACTAGAAAAAGAGACAAATACCCTCTTGACATCGTTGGAGTCCCTGCAGAGAGTTTCCACCTCGAGTAATGGGGAGTGACGCATGATGTTGGGTGTGGTCATTGTTGGTGTCTACATTTCTCCTCTTAATCGAAGAGAGGGTTGGCCGTAAGAGCAAGGGGGAAAAGGGAGGCTTAATCACTGACTGCATCTGAGCCCGACGCCCTTGACTAACAAAGTCCAGATGTTGTTCTTCGCATGGAACTTGTCGAAAGTCCATATCCTCTCCTGGTTTGACGGCGCCACTTTAACAGCTCGTAACCGGAACCTTCACATCTCTGTATCCTCATAGAGAAGTTGATAAGAAGCAACTAGGCAATCATGTGCACCATGTCTTCGGTGTAGTTTCGCCAAAGCTGTCGTCCTTGATCGCCGTCTCATGTCGAAAAAGGGCATGTTCCGGCGAAATACTCGAGACTGGAGGATTTCTCCGAATTACTCCGTGAGCCGAGATACCTGGACCCCTGGTCACGATGGTGCAGGCAGAGCCACAAGCGATTGGTGATGCTGCCCGGAAGGAGGCAATGACGCGGGAATAAATGCACTATAATGCTTCTTATTACGCAGCCCCTGGGTAGTAACTCCAATGACCCTATCATAGCCACCTCTTAACATGTCGGGTTGAGATTTCAGAGATAGAGGAACCACGTTGGGCTTTCGATTGGTCCTCGCGGGAACACAGCCCGAGTTCACCGGTTCGAGTGGAACTGGAATGTACATAGATAATCTTTGCTCCACAATGCCAAGGATGCTGTCTGCATCCGTCTCTCTGTATCAAACAGTGAAAATACCGGTTGTAGGTCGGGGAACAACATATTCAAGATATTAAGTGCTCTATGTATTTCTCCAGGCCGAAGTTTACAGTACCGAAAGGACATTAGTTGTTGAAGTACCATTTTTTAACACCAAAACAGAGCCTCAATCCTAAAGAAGAGCCTCAATGCCAAGATGGCACCCTGCTAGTGCCAAAGACATTTCCGACGGATAAGTGGCTTATCCGTCGGAAAACGGGAGAGAACCGGAACAAACCGAAACCAACGACCAATCATCAGAAACGTGCATGAACGGACATCGATCGGACCTGATGACCGAACTGTGGGTTTCAGTCAAGTCTCACTCACGCCAAGACCATACATGACAAGGAGGTTGGGGTCTCTTGAGCCTGTAGCGAGTCAGCAATTGTCTCCATCGGGAACCCACTGGGAAAAACTCTGGTCTTGGCATCACGTTGAGATAGATGGAAATATCCAGGCCGTTTCGATGCCCCGTTTCTTGATGCACAGTCGGCCGCTCAGCTGGAAGGATTCAAACCAACAGCCGCACTCCACGCCGGACCCAGACCGGTGATAACGGCATCTCCACTTTGATGACCTATCGCCTATTAAACGAGCCAGAGAATGTGACGAGAAAGGGAACGCGCCTTGGCAATGCACCCTGAATTTATGGCTGATGCTCGTGATAGATCTATTTGAAAGCTATTCTCTGCCAAGAAGCTGGGCAGATTTGTTATCTGTGGCTGCCGGGGAGTTGATCTTGTTCAGGAAAACTTTTGATACTGGCATCTGGGGAAAATTGTTCTTATGGATTTGAAGTAATACGAACATAGCAACAAGGATACCCTAGGCAGGTAGTATCCAACATGGTTCTCTTGAACTCAAAACAATTGCTACAGTTTGTTGGTTCGGCCACCGAGATTAAAAGCCGCACACGAGGCCAGCTTATCAATCTACGATCCACAACGCAGGGTCCCGTCAGCAACTAAGAGCGGACTATGTGTACTTAAAGATTAAGCATCATTTTTAAGCGATCTTGGCACCCATCTCGGTACGAACCGCTCCAATCGAGCCCTGCCTCACGCAGCCGCTGGCCGTGCCTCAAGAGCCTCTTTTCTCTTCCTCACGAGGCGATGATCCCCCACGCAGCCCACGCCTTACCGGGTCAGATTCTTTTTCGATAGCACCCAGCGGGACGGAGTCGGCTCCGATTGTGATGCAGTAGTGGCTCTGGGCGAAACACGGACTCCAAGGAGGCTCTTGTGGGATGAGGTTCGAGTGGGATGAGGCTCGGGGTAGAGATCTCCCGAAGTGTTGATAAAACCAAGAGGTTGGACGAGTGTGAATCACATCGATGGGCAGCTCATTCTTCACCATCTTTGCAAACCCCACAATGGCGACAGAAAAGTCAGAGCCTCACCAGAGGGCTCTCTACGATGAGAAGGATGCGACGGTCCAGATCTCCGGAGCTCCGAGCGACCAGGACAGCAACTCACCAGCCGAGGACGAACCAGTGGACAAGCCAATCCCATGGACCTACAAATGGATTGCTCTAGCTTGTGTCATCGCCTTCCCCATTGGCCAGAACTGGACGAACGCAAGTCTGGGTCCGTTGAAGAACACTCTTCGTGAGGAACTCAACATCACGAACGCCCAGTTTGGAGTCATTGCTAGTGCCGACTCGTTCGTCAACTCCATCTTTCCCATCTTGGGAGGGATGATTCTGGATTGGTGGGGTCCTAATCCCGTCACGATCTGTTGTACTGTCATCATCTTTATTGGGTCCGTGATTGCTGCTGCTGCTATTCACGTCACTGCTTGGCGGATGCTGGTTGCCGGTCACATTGTCATGGGCTTTGGCATTGCTGTTCTTGACCAAGCCCAACAGAAGGTACCGAACCTACAAACAACTTTTACTTATGCACTGATATTAATATTCCTCGCAACTTAGTTCATCTACCACTGGTTCGGTGCCGGTGGTCTCGCCTTCGCCTTCGGTCTCGAAAACGCCCTCTCCAGTACGGTCGGCCTCGTCGCAGGCATGGTTGCTATCCCGATCCGAGACAAGACTGGTTGGTACGGCTGGACTTTCTGGGTCCCCGCCTTCTTCTGCTGCGCCAGTATGGTCATCAACATCTTTTATGTCATTTTTGAGAGGACATGGATTCCCAAGTCATACCGCCTCACTTCGGCAAGGGCCAAGGCGGTTGCCAAGAACCATGGACTTAATGTCAAGAAGACATGGTCTTGGGACTCGTTGCTCCATCTCCCTTGGCAGTACCTTATGCTTCCCGGTACTCAGATCCTGCAGAGTGGTGGAGCTAATGGCTTTGGTGTTTCAGCTGCCGACATGATTCGCATGAAGGGATACAAAGAAGAGACAGCAGGCTTCATGACCACTGGGCAGAAGGTTATCCGGATCGTTGGTGCTCCTATCATCGGATGGCTTATCGACAGATATGGACACCGATTCCACTTGGTTGCCCTGGCTCCTCTGGTTTATATCCTTGCCAACTCGTTGATTGGATTCACCAACGCCCATCCGCTCGTGGCCTTGGTGTTTCAGTCAATTGCTGGACTGATCAACGGAATGCCTCTCAATGTCAGCATCCCTCTGCTTGTTGCTGACCAAGACAAACTTGGTACTGCCTTTGGAGTGTGGCGAGCCTTCAACAACTCCGGCGCGACTATTGTGAGTATCTGTAGCCTCGTCTCCGGCCCCTCACTGACCTGTTCTAGATGGAAGTTGTCTACGGCGTCGTGCAAGACGGCACTGAAAAGATGGGCTACGGCCGAGTGTTGATAGTGTCGTCCTGCATCAAGGCCGTGGGTTTCTTTATCGGCCTGTCCTACATATTTGTCGACTACAAGAAGCTTGGCCGGGGAATCACCATGACCCGAAAGGAGCGAGAGAGGCGCGAAGGAGATATCACCGACCGGGACAGTGATCCACTCACCAAGAGAGGAGTGTACAAGCCATGGACCATATACACTCTGTCGGCATTGGTTGCTATGATTGTGACGGGTTGGACACTGTTCATCAAGTATCTCAGCTAGTGTGGTCATAGCTTTCGTTGATCTTGTCGAGTACCGGCCGTTACCATGGCCAAGACGGAGCCGGTAGATAAGAAATACTATCACTGTTCTAGACGAATCTAGGCCGTGATAAAATGAGAATGAATTGAATGGAAATTTGTTAAAGTGATCAAGTCTGAGAAGCTCGTTAGTGACTAGGGCGTTTGCTAGGTGTGCCTGAATGAAAGACTTGACAATTCTCTACGGTGAAACAGAGACACAATTCCAGCTGATGTAGCAACCGAGTCAGTGGTTGGCGGAAGTTAGTTCTCAACTTTAGTGTTGGATCAGAGCCACTGTGTTGGGTGTATTGAAAATGTGTTCCTTGTTGTGGTTGAAGCCTGGCCTTCAACGGGATAACCGAGCCAGAGGACAACTGGATCAGAACCGGCTCTGTCATGGAACAGGTCTCACGAACATATCCTTCAACGCCCGTGATCACTGCATAGCGCATATATATATATACCTGGCCATATCCTCTTGGTAGCTCACCACTTTTACAACTTGACACAAACCAATTCAGCAGAGATCATAACCCAAGCCCTTCTCACACCTACACAACCCCATTCCAACACTCGTTCAAAGCAGTTCAAATGGCGCTCACAAAAGAAATCCGAGACGACCATAAGAAATGGCGTTGCATGCAAATGTTCGGAACCGAGGTCCGATGCTATCGTTACAACAGTATGGACAAGAAGCAGTGTGATAATTGCAAGAGTAAGCGCGACACTAATGATGAAGCTATCAATTCGTCTTTGGACAAGATCGGAATACTCAGCAGGGTTGACAAGGATGGAACAGAATGGTGGAAATATGACTGATAGGCCTAAGAGGACAGTTTCATGATTTGGTGGTTTGAAGCGGTATTTCAGAGCATCGAATATATTCTTTCAACGCCAATAGAACTTGCTTGGTTTGAAGAGTGTTGAGAGGACATCTGAAGGATGAATCCGTCTCTGTCCCAGTTTTAGCTTTGAGACATCATTGTAAGCAACACATGAAACTTGATTCACCTAGACTCTGGCCATCAGAGTGTCCCATTTCATATCCGGCTGGCTCTCATCCTGATACTCTCGACTATCACAATCCCACTTTGCCCACCTCACTTCGTTGGCACCACCAATAAACTCTGTCCATCGACCTAATCTCGCCTCGCAAGTGACATTCAGCTTCTTCAGGAGGTTCATGAGACGTCCGCCAGGGGTTGACTTTGAAGGTTTCAGAGCTGAGTCCTGACCAACAGCAAAACCATAGAGGTAAACGCGCCCTAGAGACGGAAAGGCACTGTCTTGAAGCAATATCTCCTCAAGCATTTCCACAAGAGCTCTATTCCCAGTCCCCAGGCTGTTCTTCAAAATGAAGCAAACTTCGCTGTGGAATTGTTTCTCAAGTACTTCGGCCCCGGGTCTCTGTTCCAACACTAGAGTCTCCAGAGTCTTGCTGGAAGCCAACAGCAAGCGTCTCCAGTCGGCGACGGCTGCTACCTCGGCATGAGATGACCATCAGTGAACCTGGTTTGTAGTAGCAGGGTCGTTCTGACAGGGTTGACAGAGGTAAAGATGTGTTAGATTGGGCAGGGCGATCTCCAGTTGAGTAAAGACACATCCAAGTGGCTGCGGGATCAACCACTCTTCATCAGGTCTCCCAGAGTCTACGAGATTTTCACTCTCCAATTCTTGTTCCTCGGGTAAAGGACAATGAGCTTGACGTATTGATCGGAATTTCGAGATGGGCCGGTCAAGCAGGCCCAGCTCCAAGCGCTCCAAAGCGTCGGTACTCGAGAGTATCCACTTGATAGCTGCGGGGGGATATATTCACAGAGCTTGATGAAGCGGAGGCGTTCAAGAAATGGGCCTCGTATTTCGGTGTCGAAGGAACAATGTTCGCCATGCAGCTCGAGGACTTCCAAGTTGGTGAAGGATGGTAGAAGGTGCCAAAAGGAACAGTTGGACCAATCCACGACAGTGCATAAGCTTTTGACTTGCGAGGTAATCTCGATGAATCGTTCTTTGTCGGAGGACTCGATCTTGTCGAGCAGTTCGAAAAGTATCGTTGAACGTCGGTTTTCATATCGATCCCTCAAACCCGGGCCTAGGTACGGTCGTTTCGAGGAAGGGACAAAGGGCGGGGGGCAGTCGAGCTCTGATGACGACTCATGGTAGCCTGAATAGTGTAGTTCAATGTTTTTCCATAGACAAGGCCATGCGATTTCATTGATGCACTTGCACGTTCTGATTAGCTGTGTGAGATCGTGAGGGGAAAGATATGCGATGATCTCGATGATGACATCGGTGGGGGATGCGGTGAGAGACATGGTCCGGAGCCAACGGAGACGTTATTTGAAAGCAAGAAGAGTGGAGGGCCAAGAGGAAGATGGTGTACATCTCGTGACGTGGTTGTGTTACACTAGAGGAATCCTTACTGTTGCCTAACCTGTTAACACCGGTTAAAGACCGATTCTTCCTTTTAATCTTTCCCCACCGTGTTGGCATCTTTGCTTTGGGGCACATTGCCTGGATTTTCTACAATAATTCTTAACCTCTCTGCAGAATAAGGGCACGGTAAAGTGCTGATGTCAGAAGTGGCTATGGCTGCGCCGCCATCCCGCTAAGTAAGCTCTATTGCATTGGCGCTTTGTGTGACCTATTTGAGGCACTTTACTCTCAGGGATTTTCAATTATTAATAGTCTACCACACGGCGTTTCTTGAAGAGCAGAGCAAACGTGATCTAACACGACAAGGGTGGAAGGATAGTAGAAGTGAACGCTCCAAGTATTAAAGGCATCATACCTCCTCACATTGAGATCTTTCAGATATCCAAAGTAGTAATTAACTGTTTCTTTTTTAGTACCGAGTCGTTACATAATCCGCCATGCCTCGACCCTCATTGCTCATCGTCCCCGGGGCTTCCGGCCTCCCCGAGTTTTATGACCCATTTGTCGAAGCTGTGACAGCAGGAGGCTACGATATCAAAGCCTTGCATATCCCCAGTGTTGGCCTTGTGACAGGTGCTAGGGAGGGCCCACTGCCGACAATGTACGACGATGCAGAATTCGTCGCAAAGCACGTCCGCGAACTCGCCGATCTTGGCCACGACGTGATCCTCATTACTCACTCCTACGGCGGAACGCCAGCTACAGAGAGTGTGAAAGGATTAACCAAGAAAGAGAGACAGAATCAGGGTCTGAAGGGTGGAATAATCGGGCTTGCCTACATGACATCTCTGGTGCCCAACATCGGGGGGTCAGCTGGAGCCGTCAAGGCAGCCTTCCCGGACGAGGAAAAGGTTCCCATGGCAATAGATGTTTGTTTAAAGTGCTCAATGCTAATCAAGATCACCTAACTGACAATAAATAGGAAAATGGCTGGTTTTATTACCCAGATATCCCAAAGCTCGCCGAGCTGTCCTTCTCGAACATGCCCAAGGATGAAGGCGAATTTTGGGCTGCAAAGCTAGCGAAACACTCATCCACTAGCTTTGCCAATCCGTTGACATATGCTGGTTTCAAGGATGTCCCGGTGTCTTATCTCCTTTGTGAGAACGACAGGGCAATCTCGCCCCAGGTTCAGAGAGCTGGCATTGATATGATCGAGAAGGAGAGCGGTAACAAGGTTGATGTTACAAGCATTCCCGGTGACCATGTGGCGCCTTTGAGCTCCAAGACTGAAGTTGTCGACTGGATTGTTGGTGTGGCTGAACGTATGAGTGGTCTGTCTTAAAGCTATGTCCCTTGGGCAGTCAAGGCGGGTGTCTGGCCTTTGAAGACTTGGCCATCCTTTCAATGTTCTTAGTAATGGGACAATGCAATATATCTGCTATGGGTTTACTCATGTTGCCTACTTTTGTTGGACAATAAAGAAACCATTCCTTAGAACCTGAACGTGACAAAGGTTCAGCACACCGAGGCAGCTCTTTGTTCCTTGGACACAAAGACATCAATGCATGGGCACCCTTCATCATTGTTGACCACCCTTTCACACTGAAAGGGTTAGTGAACCTTTGGAAACAAGCTCTGAGGGGACGAAGGAAGAGTTCATGTTCTGACAGAAATTTCACGTAGAAGTACATAAAGGACAACGCCATGTAATCCTTGACCAACGACTCTGGCTTTCCTTCCAATTATCTTCCTCAACTTCAATATCAACATCTTGCTACAACAATCATGGCCCCGAATAAAAAACCAGCCCATATCAAAGTTTTTCCGATTCCCCGACTTTCTGACACGCGGACGGAAACAAACGGACGACGGTTCCAATACTGCGACGAGACTCATGGCGCCATCTTGAACGCTCTGCTGGACAAAGCCGACGAGCCCAACAATCTCGGCGTGGTTTTAAATCAGGGCTTCGACAAATTCCACATCCTAATGCAAAAGTGCAACCTAGGTCCTAGAGACCGATGGCATAGGAAGACGACTGCCATTCGGGATTGCGTCGACTGGGTTCGAGCTCGAGCCCGCGAACATGGCGCCTTAATCTTCGAGCAAAACAGATGGGTCCGAGGACGTTCATTCAAATCTGATGCCGAGGCGACTGAATGGCTTGACACTAAAATTAGTGGAAGAGCGCGACCTACTTCCCTAAACCAATCACTCCCTGCTCTGGATACTCTATCGCTGGCCGATAGTGAACCTGATGTAAGTTGGTTTACCTATCATGACTACTTTGAGGACCTCTGCTGACCGTATTGTTCAAAGGAATATGTTACTCAGAATACCGGAAGACGAGTGAGCTTCTCTCAGCCATCACCTAGCCGCTCAAGGTCCTCTTCACGAACACGCCGCTTTGTATGTCGTCGAACTAACGAGATGAGACACGAAGGACGAGCTCTCAGATTTTAGACAATACTTAGGAAGTTATTACTATGAGATGAGCAGAGTCTTAGGAATCCTTAGCTACCTATTGTTAAAGAAATGTGTTCATTGATGTCATTAGAACTTCGACTTAATCGTATGGTACATAAAAACGATAAAGAAATGTCACAAAGGGCCTCCCTCCGTTACCTCCATTCAACATGACCACCATGCATCTTGTCCATGTGATTGTAGACAAGCTCTCCCGAAGAAAATGTCATCATGCACACCCAGCACATATGGGCTTTGCATCCCACACAAGTGATATGGTTGCATCCTGAAATCTTCTCAAGTGGTGTCTTGCACTCGGGACAATCTTTAATTCCAACCTCCTTCTTCAACTTCTCAAAAGCAGCGTATCCCCCTGACTTGATATCTTTGTACTCGGCGCATGTCATCTCGACATGAGGCTCATGGCACGAGGAGCAGGTTCGTTGCAGACAGTTGGAACAAGTATGCGTCCCGGCTGATTCCGTGGTGCGGTAGATGTACCCGCAGTCAGGGGTAGGGCAGAACCGCAGCTTGTGTGGAGTGCGTTGGACAGTGGACATGAAGGATCTCTCTAGGAGACCTTCAAAGGCAACTGACGACAGATGTGCATGCAAGTCCTGGAGGCTGACGGCTTGCTCGCATCTTCCCTCGTCTCCGTGGCAGAGAAAGCCAGAGGTCGAAAGTGCTGCACAGCTGTTTTCGAAGCAATCTTGGCAATACACATGGCCACACTTGACCCGAACAGGAGAGTCTGCTTCAGTCCAGCAAACAGAGCACTCTTCGGAATCGTTACTTCCAGAATCTCTCTGCGTTGTCTTTTGTCTGACAATGCCACCGCCATTAGCAAGTGTCAGTGCCAGATCGTAGTCCTCCAAGGACCCCGTGATCACGATCTTGGCTGAGACAATATCCAGAAATGCCCGTTCAGCGCCAAGCTTGTCTAAGATTGCTTGAAAACCTCCCTTCAAAGCCCAAAGACGTTTCTCCGGATCCAATTGAATGACATGGTCCGAAGAGGCCTCCTTGGTAAACAGACTGGCGAGGTGTCCTTCCGCCTTGCTGCATGCCTTTTCGGTTCCAAAGAGTCGTAGAACATTCTTAGTCTTGTCTCGAACGACAACGACCCCAAGGTCTTGCTGTTGCTGCTTGATCAAACGCCAAAGGTGTCCGTTTTGCTTGAGAGAGGGATCCCAAAGGTCCGATTGGCCGCGTTTGGCAACCACACCACCGAGGAGGCCTTCTAGGACTGACTTCGAACTCGCCACTTCCGTATCGGACTCTCCCTCGAGCTTAAAGGTTGAAGAGGTGGGGTACGCACGGAAGTACACGTACTTTTCCCTCCAGGCACTCGCCTGGCTGTTGACCCGAGGCAAGATGGCAGCATAAATGTCGCTCCGGATCTTGAACTTGACTGAGTAGACCATCTGGACGGTCAACTTGCCAGGCTTATGGAATGGTAGTGCCGTTCCATTTAGCTGAGAAGCAGCATCTCTGGCGCCCTTCTCATCGAGAAAACGGGCCGTAGCCTTGACACGCTTAGCAGTCGATTCAAGTGTTGTCTCCCAGTACTCGATGGGGCCAATTCTTGTCAAGAGCGACCGAACCATGGCTGCAGCTTGCTCATCGTCGATAGAGTAACCTGGCACATGCGGCACTATCTCCCGTGGTTTGTCGGCATGTAGCGAAATGGCCTGAGATATCTCCGGTTTGTCGGCAGACCCAGGGACATCCGTCAGTCTCATCATCCAAGGAACGGGGCTATGAGAGCGGAAGATGGCAGCTGGATTCTCGTATGGCGCTTGCGCCTTGACCTTGCAGCCCAGTATCTTGTAGGCTCCAGTCGTAAACTTGCGGTGTACCCGTGCAGCAATGTCCCGTTGGCCAAACTTTAGCAAGACATCCCGGACGGGCTTGTGCCAAGAGATGTGGACTTTCTTGCAGTCGAGGCGCCCGATGGTTTGTCTGGACGGCATACGAGCTGCCACTCGAGTTGCTTGGATTCTAGACGTTCCCCAAGTGAAACCCCCTGACGTGAGAGCGCAGAGTTTCTTGGAAAAGGCTGGGTCCTCTGCTCGGATGTTGGCACCCAACCTTCCATCCTGGCTCATAACCCAGATATTCTTCTCGGGGACGTCAAAGCCTAGTTTGTCGAGCAGGCGTTTGATTGCTTGTGAAGAAGTGCCTTTGGGCAGGCCACTGAGATGAACGGCCGAGAAATCGTTGGGAAGAGAGATACTGGAGACGCGACCCCCATCTTCGAATCGAACAAAGGCGCCGGCAATGGTGCGACAAAAATCATCGACCTCGTCACGATCTTGATCTATCTGTACAGTTCTTAGCAAAATGTTGTTAATGGCAATTTAATCTTCGAGCTTACATCGCGGGAAGCTGCTGGAATGGAAGGGGACTGGGTGGTTGGTTTCTTGTCGTGGCTGAACGGACAAGCAGCCCCCTTTAGGCATCTGCTGCTCAGAAAGAACCTGCAAGGCACAGAAGATCTGCTGTCGGTGTTAGACTTCGAGCCTGCGTACGGCCGAAGGGGAATAATCTCGACTCTGGAAGCACTCATGGTTTCCTGTACGCCGCGTTGCAGGAATTGGATGAAATGCGAGGCCTCTGGCGATTGACGCACCTGAATTGGGCCTAAATATGTAGTTTTTTTTTTCGGTATTTTAACAAGCAAAAGTGTAAAAAGTGCATTGTTATTGCTGCCCAAAGGCGGCAGCTGTGGACGGCCTCCCGCATATGCCCCTCTTCCCCCTCAACTACCAACGCGTCGGCTCGACCTCGCTGATTAGCCAATTAACTCGAGTTCATCATGTCAGCTGATATTTTCGCGCTTTTGGTAGAGTGCAAATGTTTCCCTGGGATTCTTTGTGCAGTTCTATCTTCTGGCTTAGTTAATTGATCAAGGGCCGGGCTTCAACTGTAATAAAGGCAGTCCAATCCACGTCCACCGTTGACAGCAAAGACGTCTTTGGCGGAGGAAAGGACCTGGACCTCGTGGAAACATTTCAGTCCAATACAATTGCCTAGTTCGCGAGACCGCTAGAATAACATCACGTATGCCGAGAAAACATAGGCCTGGGGCCATCCCGCGCATGTTACCTTGCCTATATGGGGGCGCCTCGAGATCTCCTCAAGCGAGCTAACGTGACTTGTTTGTTTGAGATCTCCGCTTCTTCCCTCTGGGTATTGATACCCTATATATCCAATGGATGAGCTATCCACCCTGGGAGGGCGCAATATTGTTTGCTGTAATGGGTAACGCTGTACATCGTCCGTCAGTGGAGGGCGCAGGGCGTGATTGACTCGGCTCTGTGCTCCACAGCTTGTGCACACGGGTCTTCCTCTCGATGCCATGAGCTCTACTACTCCACGAATCTTGAAGCATATTTGCAGTAACATGGTCTACTAATAAATTGGCCTCGTCCCCCCCGTACCGCGAACTATCAACCTCTGCGCACGTTCTATCAACTACTTCCGCCAGCACCTACAGAATGACTTCGTCCCGCAGCTCAACTCGTATTGTTGAGCTAGAGTTGAGTCATATTTCAAGCCTTCCTCCCGCCGACGGGGGCCGAGATGCCTGGAAGTTCTTGATCGCTAGCTTCATTATCGAAGCTGTCCTTTGGGGTGCGCCAACGCCCTGGTCCCATTTCCTTCGACAAAAGCTCACAATGCATCTTTAGGCTTCCCTCTGGCATTTGGCGTTTTTCAAGACTACTACCCGCGTCTACCCGAGTTTCAAGATGATCCTAATATCGTCGTGATCGGTACTGTGTGCACCAGTATCTACTTCCTGGGCGCACCATTTGTCACGCCTCTGGTCAGGAAATGGCAGCGATGGCAGAGACAATTTGTTGTCGCCGGATGGGCTATATGCGTTCTCTCGCTACTGGCAGCCTCATTCGCAAACTCGGTACCAACTCTGATTGCCACTCAGGGATTTATTTACGGCCTTGGGTTCACTATTTTATACTTCCCAGTCTTGAGCATGCTCAATGAATGGTTCATATTCCGACGTGGACTTGCCTTTGGGGTTCTCTCAGCCGGGGCAGGTTTGAGCGGCGGTGTTCTACCTTTTCTCCTTGAGCTCTCGCTGCACAAATACGGATACAAAACGACACTCCGAGCTGCCGCTGTCGCACAATTTGTCCTTGTTGCGCCTATCTTGCCCTTGCTCAAGCCACGGTTACCACCTAGCATCCGAACACAGCTGCCCGCCATGGACTTCAAGTTTTTGTCACATCCGTTGTTCTACTGCTTTGCTCTTTCTAACCTCATCCACGGATTCTCATACTATGTTCCCTCTCTGTACCTCCCGTCCTACGCTTCGTTACTCGGGTACTCGTGGGCAACTAGAGCTTTGATCCTCTCTGCCAACAGCCTGGCCAGCATATTCGGACAGATTGGTTTTGGCTTTCTCTCTGACCGCACCCACAATATCTTCATCCTCATTTTCATCTCAGCTTTTACATCTGCGTTGACTGCCTTTTTCCTCTGGGGTTACGCAAAGTCTTTGGGGCTGCTCTTGGCCTTCTCAATCCTATATGGTTGGTTCGCAGGTGCTTATGTCGTCTTTTGGCCAAAGTTTGGATCGATCCTTTCTGAAGACCCCCAGCTCGTGTACAGCCTGATGGCATTCGGCAAAGGGATTGGAAATATTGTTACTGGACCAATCACGACTCACTTGCTGTCCCGACCAGTGACTTCGGGATATGGGATGGGAAAGTATGAACCATTGATTCTGTATCTCGGTATCTCCATGCTTTGTTCCTCTCTTGGCATCCTGGGTTGGGCAATCTAGCAAAAATATGGGCTCCAATCATTTGGATAGCAGGTTCATAAAGACTTTATCATTACCTCTAGAAGCAGGCTAAGGGGTTGCTCCACAAACTCTTAATACCAAAATCGAGGTAGTCTTCGAAACCAATACCTTTCTGATATAACAGGTAGTAGAGTTTCGACCCCTGTGTTCTGGGATTCCTTGACCTCCTCGTTACCACAAGGCTTGCCAAGTAGTTCGTCATGCCACTTCTGGGACCGGTGCCTAGCTCGGACCTGCTTGGGATCGGAGAACCATTCCACGTCATCTTCTGTAGAGCCCCACTGCTCTCCCATCTCCATAGGATCTGGGAAGTGTGGTCCTGCGCTTGACGAAGGGTAGAATCGGTCGTCGTCAAAGAACGCCCACGCCCTTTGTCGGTATATATCCGAGTGTAGAGAAAGGTTAGCTGAAAAACGAGAACAAAGCATCTGATACATTCCTGAGTCCTCCTCGTGGGGTTTATCCCTTACCTCCCCCGTTTCGTAGTGACCATAACCGTAATGGAGCGAATAGATACTTGACCGAGAGTTCATCCTCGTATTTTCAAAAAATCTTTTAAACCAAGACCGGAGATGATCTCTTCCATCTTGACCGGCCATGGCAGACCTTATAAGGACTGCGACAAGATCAAAGCCCGCAGCTTCGATCGAGATTTGATGCAAGGCTTCATTGGGTGGCAAGCCCATATCTGAAGCGTAGGCGCAAGCATTGACGTACAGAGTATCCGGGTACAGTAATCCTGTGCTGTAAGAATATGGAGATCCTACCGGTATGTCTGGCAGCCATGAATTACTGCACTGCGCAAACATGGCCGCGTAGAGGGACCTGACGTATTGATGGACGCAAAGCATGGCCTCTCTTTCCGAGGGCCCCGGTCTCTGGACTTTACACTCATATGGTTCCCCTAAATCCCATTCAGCCATGAATCCAGTTATTGGATGGGGGAAATTCCATCCAGCCACGAACGAGGCTTCTTGATGGCGAATTACACACATCATCTCATATCGTAGAAATGCTGCCAGGAGTCGCTGCCTTTCCGCATCGGTAAGCTGGGTGGCGTCGAACCTTGGGCTGACAGCTTCTCCTTTGAACATCAGGTGAGTTCCGTTGGGCGATAGGTCGGGAAGACAAAGATACTCTCGAGGTGTAAAGATGGCCGTGGCCTTGGTGAGATAATCCTCGATGAATAGTAATAGTCGGGCATATAGTGTGTGAACTTTATCAATGAGATCGCCATCACGAGTCTTGAAGGAATTTGGGAACTGGTTTTCTGCCCAGCAGACGTAATGACGACGGAGGACTTTCGAGTAGCGACTGCGGTTATCGGGTGGAGGAAGTAGAATGATCCCCATGGCGTCTTGTATCATCTGATCGTCAAAGTCCAGGGCAACCAAAGTTCGTGTAATATAGGTTTTTGAGGTGACGTACTGTCGTAGCATAGCTGGTGATGCCTGAGCGAATCGCAGTATAGAGCGCCTGCTGCGAAGTGAAATCAGGATCTGTACACAGAGCTCGGAGGGTAGCTTGTTGAAAGGATCCATCTTGATGGGGTTTGGCCAAACTCGGGTCTGGAGCTGAAGATCTGAATTGAGTTGAACAGGTAGGTAGTCAGAATATTGTTAAACAGTGAATGTGGGCTGTCGTGGGTGGATTCTTGGAGAAACTGGGTGATTCAAACCAAGAAGCCTTCGGCGGAGGACTTTTTATATCAAATTCTTGCAAGAAATTAGGCATCCAACGTTTGCTGTGAGTCACATGCGGGGGAAACTATAAGAACAGGCAAACACCTGTAACTTCTGCACATACCCCAGCTGGCCAGTAGATAGAAACTGAAAGCATATAAAAATGGGCCCGTTCAAGTTAATAAACCTTTCGTTTTCATACCTATGTAGAATGGTGGACCAATAGCGTCGATAAGTTCTGTCTCACAACGGTGAACAATCGTGGCTTAACGAGGAGTATAAAGCAAGATCTAATATGGATGGTAGATCTTAGAAAGCTTAACTAATCTATCCCCATATGTTTTAATAGTGTTTTCTTAGCCGATAGTTTTTCGTTTAACTTTTTACTCAGCAGTTTCTCCCGCCACCATGTCCAACGATAGCGCCCACCTCGTTGCCATGGGGTTCCCAAACCCCCGAATCCCTACCCTGGAGCCGGAGCCGGCAACGACCGCCGAACAAGCCCAGGCCATTCAAGTTCCGAGGCTGGCAGCGGGAATGACTGACCAGCAGTACGATGGCAATCGGGAGGCCCAGAGATTTGGCCAAACTGCGGTGGATTTGGCCTTTCAACGTCGGCGGCGTCGCCACAAGGTTATGCAGTATACGGACGAAGGCGTTCGGGGGGAGTACTTCGAGGGGATGGGGCATTCAGGTTGAGACAACGGAAGAAAGACGCCAGAACGAGAATGAAACTATAACTCCTCCCTAAGCCTACGGGTTTTATGGTAAGAAGAGTTAGAGAAGCATTATCATAAAATGGCATAATGTTATCTATATATCATATATTATTTTGTAAAGTATATATTGAATTTCATGCCCCCCCTTAGACCAGTATCTTCTTATGTCTTGACCTGCCAACATTCCCTTTGGGGATAGTCTCATAGCTTGTGTCCCTCCTCGCCCACAACACGTGGGGATACGTGTATTTTACCCTAAGAAAGCGCCGAAGGCATGAGGGACACGCTCGTCGCGCTCGCAGGGCCGCCATTGAGTGGCCCAGGATGGCCAAGATGTTTCCGGATGCCGAAGCCCATGCGATAACGGCGAGGATCGTTGCTCTGAGGGACGATCTCGAGATGCAGAGGCCCCGGATCTAACGATCCGATACCCCCCCTCTTTCCCCGAACGGCTTGGCGACGACTTGGTGAGAGCTCGATGGATGATGCCCACACCCACGAGAAAACAAGTGTGTGTGTTGTGTTCCTTTCATTATACAAAAAAAACTCAGGACCCCCTGCGATCGGCCAATGGCTTGTTTGGAGGTCTTCACGCCTGAAGATTGACGACATCCCCAATCTCGATCTTCTGGCTCAGTTAACTCATCAAGGGCCAGGCTTCAACTATAACAAAGAGCACCCTACCCTTTAGTCTATTATCCATGACAAGCCATTTATTAACCGCTCTTTCAAGGCTTCTACTAGGTACTGGACCTCACTGATATAACATCCGCCTTTCAAGGAGGTACCGATTGTTATTGCAGGCAAGGATGACAAGAAGATCTCAGCCGCAACGACAAAAGACATGGTTATCAGTACATGACGGCATTAAAACTCACTACTGTAAGGAGGTGGCGATCAGCAGCAAGTCAGGTAGGCCCTTGTCATTCTCATCAATAACCCTGCAGTTTCGGGGTCTCGGGTCAGAAGAGTCAGCTTTCTGCCGAGCAAGGATGCCTAATTGTACAGTTTTAAGCATAAAGAGTGCCCACAATGCACCTGTAATTATTTCAAACACCCCGAGGGCCTTGCGATGCTTATTGGTTAACCTCCGATGTATGATAGCGTGAATCACCGACACACCGATCGTGACCTGCCCCCACAACGAACCCGTTAGGGCGTCCTAGAAGGAACAGAATCAAGTCAGGACCGGACTGAAGGAAACAGTTTGCTATAGCTGTTTCTTCTCTAATATATGCAACGCGTAGTTTCCCCCGAGTTGATTCTATTTACCATCTAATACCCGTGCCTCCTTTGATGCTCCCACGGAGTCATGTTTTTAGACACCCCGACATCGCTACCAGAATGCAAATCCGATGTGATGACGGTCACATCCATCGTCTGCGTTACCTGCACGCCACTCTTGTAGTCCTGCTCCTCTACACCACGAAGCTGCTCTTGTGACTCCGACTTGTCAAAGTTGGTCATGGGCACGCCATCCTCGTCAAGTTTGTAGTAGTTGTCCGAAGACTTGCCGCCCGACTTGACAACGGGCTGCTTTGATCCAGAACTCGGTCCCATGTCAGAGTTTTCGTTGGAGGGGCCCGAGGACTTGTAGCTGATGCCGAGGGCCTTCTTGACCCGCGTCGAGATGCCGCTCTCGGCAATGATCCTGGGGAGCGTTGTGACACTGAGGATGAAGAAGCCGCACGTCATCTCAGCACACGCCCAGAAGAGGAGAGGGCCAATGTACCACATGGTGTCTGCCTCCCTAGAAAAGGTGACGGTATGATCTAGACGGAAGCATGCTGCAACGCAGGCGCTTTGGTCTTGGTAAGTCTAGGTATAGAGATAACGTTTCGAGGGGAAAAGGACTCACATGACACCAACGCCAAAGATGAGGGCCACGCCCATCTTCCTCTGCCAGTTCATCTTAAGACGCCAGATGATGTGCTGTGGTAGCAGCGCCATGCAGATATCCGTGATGACCTGGATGCTGGCCGACCCTAGCATGACCTTGGGCAGGCTGTAGCATTTGCTGGGCAGGTAGAACTCCCAGATGGCCCGGTGAGGACGGCACTGGAGGTTCAGCAGCAGGATGCAAAGGACGCCCCAAACGCACTGGAGGGCAATGACTGCCATGCACGCCCACCAGAATGGACTCTTTGTCTTTCGGCCGGGAACGAAGACGCGGCACCAGTCGAGGAGAATGGCCGTCTTGAGTAGCGGGAGGACTGCCGAGTAGCAGCATCCGTAGACGAGGATCAGCTGTGAGTGATGACGTGTTAGTTATTGTCATATTGCGAGAAGTGGAGGCAGTGTCTTGACTGACCCAAAGTGGCCGGACGAGGTCACCATTCCGGAGGTTCCATGTATGCACGTAGTAGCCGGGAGTCCAGATGAGAGAGTATGCAGCAAATGCTGTGCCCCAGTAGGCTCCCTTTCATGTACTCCATTAGTATAACGTGTCGTGGAGGGAACATTTGGAGGAACGAACGTAGGCACCTATCATCAATACTGGAGGCACCATTGTCAGTCTGTTGCGTAGACACCATCAATCTTTGAGCACATACATACCTTCTTCAACAAACACCTTTCTCTCGAGCCACAGCCTGCCGTACGCTCGGAGAAGAAGACATAGAGTTGCAACAACCATGCAAAACGTTGTGACGCCCCAGGCGAGGTTGTTTCCATTTGGCGGGTTGTCAAACTCGGGGTCGACACCGGGTGGCGGGTCGAGCGCCGGCGCGGCAAGCAGCTTCTCGAGCTCTTGCTGAGACAAAGCCATTGTTGGTTATGAGTTGAGCGACACCTTCATTGCAAAGAGAAAAAGGAAAGACATGAATGAATAAGAAGCCGGTTTCTTGGGACCGGTTGGTCCGGGCACCATTCAAGACATGTTTAGGTTCACGAGCAAGAGACCCAGGTCCAGACAGGGGCCTCATTGAGAAAAGAAGGCTATCTGCAGGTCCCGGGGAAAGAAGCAGGGGTCGAGTGTTGATCTTGCTCAGCTTTGAAGAAAAGGTTCCGGGATGTGGGAGGGAGGTTGCAACGGATGCGGGGAGAATCCAGGGTCCTGGACAGCAAGCACTGGTAATTGAAGCTCCTGGTTGGTGAATTATGGGGCCTGAGGCATTGGATGAAGACTGAAAAAAAGACATGTTGGTTGTTGGTTGGGAACTCACATCGTCACTGTTCCATTCTTGAGTTGGTTACCCCCAAACCAACTGAAGCCAAGAGCGCAAGGATACGGGCCGGGACTGGTTCCCCGAATGAGCTTTACTCGAGTTGAACTAGATTAAAATTCACGGATTGGGATCTTGAAGCTCAAGGCTCCTCCTCATGAACTCAGTTGGGCTATTTTTCTCTACCCCTTGTCTTTCTCCGGCCCCCCGTCGGTTGAAGCTGAAACCACCCTGGAGAATCTTATGCATCTTGTACTTTATCTTGCTTGCCGAGAAAACACCCTGGCGAACACAACCAACCTGTGGGCCTGCAAGCTCGTCAACTCCTGGGTGTACCAACAGTCTGCCGAGCAAGGATACGACAGGCATCCTGATACGCTTGACTGCTCACGCCACGCTCGGCCAACCGGTCTCGGGGAAGATGAGTGCGAGGCTGATTAAAATACTGGCTCCGCCGCTTTCAGTTCATTCTCCTTGCCCAACCAACCACTTCTCCAAACTTTACAAACATGGCTACCAGTGAGACCCAGGCCCCTCCTGTCGATCCTTGCAGGGCTAATCCACAGTGCACACAGCTATCAACTCCATGTCCCTGCAAGATGAGCATCCCCCTCCAGCGAGCCTGCGCCAGATGATGAATGAGCAGCCCGTTCCTGTCCTCGACCAACAGACGGTGGACCTGGTCTCCCTGCCAGGCGAGAGTGCCGCTGAGCAGGCCCTTGCCGTGCTGGACGCGTTCAAGACTGCTGTGGCGGCTGAAGATACCGGTGCCCTACGGCGCCTCTTCTTTGCCGAGCAGGCCTACTGGAAGGACATCCTGGCTCTGACGTGTCATTTGCGTACCTTTTTCACCCCTAGGGTCATTGTCGCCAACTTTCTCGAGACAAAAAAGCTTCGGGGTGTCAATTCCGAGTGGAAGCTCGAGGGAGCGACTTTTATCCCTGCTACCCCAGCGTTGGTAAATGGACCAGAGACGGCCGCTTACGTTGATGTTGCTGACTAGGGTTTACAGCAATTCATTGATGTTTCGCTCTCCTTCACGACCACTGCTCCAGCCACCAAGTGCAGCGCAAGATTCCTGCTCCTACCGGTCAAAAATGAGAAGAACTCACTAGACTGGAAGATTTGGATCTTTAATACCAAGCTTGATGGTCTGGATTCATATCCAGAGGACGAATCGCTGCTCCGGTCTCCTGGTAGGAAGCTGGATGGCCTGGATGATATCAACACGGATGTATTCATCCTCGGCGGCGGTAACGCGTAAGTGATCGCCGAGTAAGATGTCCACGACTGAATAATTTGGCTCATCAACTCTCTGTCTCTAGCGCTGTGGCTCTCGCCGGTCGTCTCAAGACTCTTGGTGTTGATAGCGTTATGGCTGAGCGGAACCCTCGTGTTGGCGATAACTGGGCTCTTCGCTATGAGTGCATGAAGTTTCATATCCCAACTTCGTTCGCAGAACTTCCTTTTATCAGTAAGTCAAATGCTACTATTGTGTATGATGAAGTATACTGACTCACGATGCCAGCCTATGATAAGGAACTCCAAGCTCCTCACTTGCTTACCAAGGATGAACTAGCCGAGCAGGTCCGACGATTTGTGTCCGCTTTTAATCTCAATGTCATCACTTCGGCCCAGATCAAGTCAACCATATACAATCAGTCAACCCAGCGATGGACCATTAAGTTCCAGACCCCGGTTGGCCTGCGCACGGCTGTCTCTAAACACCTGGTACAGGCAACCGGAATTGCATCTCAGAAGCCGTATATACCGTCTGTGGCAGACCAGCACCTATTCAAGGGCATTAATATCCACTCGACCGCTTATAGGAGCGCCAAGGATTTGAGCGAGCAAGGCATCAAGGTGTGTACACTCCCCGCAATGGATGCAGCATCTAACCACCTCTAGTCCGTCATCATCATCGGCTCCGCAAACACAGCCTTCGACGTGCTCCAAGACTGCTACGACGCTGGCCTCCAAGCAACGATGAACGTCCGATCCCCAACATACATCGTCCCCCTCGACTACGTCTGTCACTCTAGCAGTCTCGGGGCTTACAATTTTGGAGTCGAGGCAGCTGACAGGATGTTCCTGACGCTGCCTGCTGCCGTCGATGGCCAGCTCGCACGTAATCTCTTTGCCATGTGGGCATCCAAGGAACCCGACCGCTACGCCGCCCTCTCCGCTGCTGGCTTCCCTGTACTTGATAGCGCCGACCCCAGTCAAGCCTTGTACTCCAACCTGGTTGAAAAGGCTGGGGGACACTATGTCGATGTCGGCACTACTGACCTCATTTCCGAGGGCAAGGTCAGTATCAAGGCAGGAGTAGAGCCTGTTGCGTTCACTGAGACAGGTCTGCGCTTCTCTGACGGTAGCACTGTCGACGCCGATGCCATCGTGTGGTGCACCGGATTCGCCGACATAAACGCGCGTACTATCACCGCCGAGGTCCTTGGAGGAGACATTGGTGCGGAATACAAGGCTGACAAGGACCTGTTGGGTCCTCAAGACATTGCGGAACGCCTCGAGTCGACCTGGGGCGTCGATGCCGAGGGTGAGATCCGCGGCATGTGGAAGCGCCATCCGCAGCTTGAGAATTACTGGATCACGGGCGGTTATACGCAGCAGCATAGATGGCACTCCAAGACGCTGGCGCTGCAGATTAAGGCTGCTCTCGAGGGGATCCTGCCACCGGCTTATCGGGACACTCTGGGAACGGAGTGAGCAGGTTCGGGCTTGTGCAGAAACATTGTGTATCACTTGACAAGTTAGACATATTTATACATCTACATTGAGCAAATCCTTTCAGGGTGCATAAAAGTAGTCTCATCTTGATGTATTGGTCTCCATTGATGCATGAGTCTACCCACAAGGGCAACACTTCTTCCCGATATTAATCATCTCTTAATATCCAAATCATATTCAACCTCGCTAGATGCCACTCAATCAAAGCTCACCATAGTCAGTAGCAGCATCTTGGTTTAGTCCCTGAGCCTCCACAATCTCCTTCGCCAAAGTCGTCCAAAAGTCACATCGCTCTCTCCCGTTTTGCTCATCTGAAGCCAACACCAATGCCTCCTGGTTGATAGGAGCCTGCACTGTGAGGACCTTTGCGAGTTTATCGTCAGAACCATCCGCAATCGGCCACTCAGGGGGTTGCTGGCCGGCAACTAATGGAAGACTTAGACCGTTGGGGTCACCAGAAGCTGCAAAAGATGCGAAGTACGTCTGATATGCCGTAGAAAGATTTGTGTCGACCAGCAGCCAAGCGTAGGCAATCGCCTTCAACTCGCCTAAGCTGGGGGCCAACATCTGCACCACTTCATCGTACGAATTTGCAAAGAGAGGGAGAAGATCGCTGGCGTGATTGGCAAGCTCGGGAGAAGGAAAGCCGTATTGAATCATGTGTGACTTGCTGGGATACGCTGAATACAGATCTCGGGTGTTGCAGGTAAAGGCCGCATCGCGGATGGTTGTTGTGATGCACAAGGTATAGTTACCATCAAAGAGTTTGGTACAATTGTACTGCTCAGCGATCTGTTGCCGTTGGCTTTCCAACTTGGCGCCAGGTAAAAAGGAAGCGAGGAAATGGTCGAAAGCCTCTTTAGAATTGATCCGGCTTAGTGCGAAGGATGCAGCTTCGTTCATGGTATGGGAAATAATAGTAGATCTTATTTCTTTCCAGAAGTCACCTGTTGGATCCGTGAGCTTGCCGTAGCCAAGGCATCAAGGGAACAATCACATACCGTTTGCGAAGGAGATAGTAGGTAGTGTCTTTACCCAAACATCATCCACCGCTGGGCCAATGGGAAACAGTCCCGTCTGTTTCACAGTGCTGAACAATGCTTGATTGGCGTCTGAGAGGTTCTTGGAGGACCTGAGACAATCAATATCAAAGTTCCGGCCGCAACCAGCAAGCTCTGAAAAGTTCTTGTAGATCTTGTCCAGCTGGCCGTTTGGCGAGTTATCCCAAGCCCACTCGAAGGCTGGGCTCTGAACAGCAAACCTGGAAAACGTGGGATCAATTGTTCCGCCTTCTCGGATCAGATGGTGCAATATTGAGCTTGCGCCGGCTGACTCTCCCAAGGCAGATACTTGATCCTTGTCTCCATTGAGCTGGCCGATATATAGCTGCACCCAGTCGAAAAGCAAAGCCTGGTCGTATAAACCAGCATTTGTTTGGCCGGCGCTTTGCATGTAGTCGCCAGCCAACCAGCCATAGGCACCTAATCGATAGTTGCCGGCGGCAAAGATGGTCTGGTACTTGCTTGCCCTCAGGATAGATTGCCCGGTGCCAATTGGGCCTAGCCGGTTCTTGCTTCCGAACGCAAAGGCACCTCCATGTATCCATACCACCACTGGTACTGGAGTGCCATTTGGGTTGTCGATCACGGACTTGGGCACATAGAGGTCAAGGAACAGACAGTCTTCACTAGTATTTGGGTCGGAGTCGAAAGGGTCGTTGATTGGATTCTCTCCGCCGGGAGGCTTGTCGAGTTGAGATGTGTCGACCAGGATACAGCTCCGTCCATCCAAAGGAGGCTGAATAGAGTGATCGGTCCACCACGGAAACTCTGGTGCGCTAAAGAGTTCAGGCTTGGCACCGAATCTCACGTCTTGGAAGAGGTAGATCTGTCGTTGGTTAATTTGGTTCCCCTGCGTTCAATTCCCCTTGACTCACGTTGTCGTCTTCCTGTAGTGGGTATCCCTCGTAGGTCCCCCAGGGTAGCTTCAGAAGGGGAAGGTCTTCGTCTGCATGCCTTGCAAAGTCGATGCCTCTGACGAGAGCACTGGTTTGTGTGAGGAGGATGAGTAGTGAAAACCCGAGTGTGTGCATTGTGAAGAAAGAATAGCGGATATAGGAGTTGAGCAAACAAATGTAGCATATAGAACATAACAGCCTTTATATGTAAATGATGACCGTAATGGCATGGGATTCGCATCGTGTTTTCTCCGCTTCCATCCAGACCGGGACGCCGTGACATCGACCTAGGGTGTAGCGATCCAGGGGCAAGATGCGACGAAAACAACTTGATCACATGTATCACATCGTCAAAACAGGTCGGATGAGATCTGCATTCCAAAATTCTTTGTTCCGAGTCGATAAAACCCCCGCCTTTAGTTTTGGGCCGAGCGCATACTATAGTTGCACAGGTTACGAAGTATCACCAACGCCATTACACGCCCACAACAGACGCAGATCTGCCTGGTGACACTTTACATCAGTTTTAAACCAAGAAAAGTCGGTTTCACTTTGTACACAGGCGGCAGATATGGTGCAACAGAGCTTGTGCAACAAATGAGCTTGTGTTCTCCGAGACAGGCCCGACGAAAGTGTCACCGCAGACTCAACGAAAAGCAATATGCGGTGCTCATCGGCAATGGGGAGCACCTTCAGAGGTTGATCATCAAGTGTGATGAGTTCCCCCGCTAGAGAAAAAAATAAACCAGTACACTGAGATGAGGTGTTTCTGGCACTGAGACAGACCTACCATGCTAGTCCGTCTTATCTGCCAAGAACACGAGCCATCTCAAAGCCAAATTGTACTGTTATACCTCAGCCCATGAATCTATGTTCAGGGCAAACTTGTCCTCGGCAAGTCTCGCTTCTGAACGAACACCAATGTTGGCGAGTTGCCCACATCTAAGAGCTTTAACCGGCGTGAGTGTTGTTTTCTTGAACGGTTATAACGCGAAGTAACTACATATTTGCACTTGACTCGATGTGGCGTTTGATCTCTTGATTTTCTCAACATCTGGGGTAATATTTTACAGATTCAGTTTCATGCACATGCTTAGTCCTCGCTCTGTTTGGTTGGCCAGGTACACAAGATTCTACTCTTCTACTTTTCCACAGGCCACTGTGTTAACATCGGGTCATGATGTTATATTGTGTTTGAGATCTGTTCTTTATTATAGTTGCAGCCCGGCCTTTGATGGGTTAACTGAGCCCGAAGATCCCTTCTACTTTTCCAATGACGTATTCGTCATACGCTCCATCAAAGAACACATAAAGAGACACATGTACTCTTTCGGGCGTACGTTGGCCGTCGAAGTTCCTTCAGCTTGTTCTGTAGCTGTCATGTGCTTAGGGTTCGAGGTAGGTACTGGAGCGCCAATCTTTGAGACACGCTGATGGACTAATCGTCGAGGCTTAGAGAAATGAACTAAAATATGTTCAGTGATGCATTAATAATCGTGGCTTTTAAATATCAGGATACGTGTTGTTCTGCTACTGATGAAGTTCATTATGAAGTATACACAAGGGCTGAGGTAACTTGCTGCTTTGGTAGAAAATCATGTTCATTCTATCGCCGAGGATGCTTGCCCCGTGTGTCATTTCCGTTCCATGTCTATTTCCAAACTGTTTTATCCGCCAAAAAGCAACCTCAGGCCATCAGCAAGCCTCTGCATCATGCTCTTCAGCAGAGCCAGAGCCAGAACCAGGACCGGACTCGGAGTCAGAGCCATAGAACTCAGCCGTAGCGCGTAGGGTCCGAAAGGCCGGGGGGCTGCGACCCGACTTAGGCAGCTTTTGAACCTCACGAATCCAATCAAAGCCACCTTGCTCCAACTTGCATCGCCCGAGCCGCGTTTCATCAGCTTGTGCCGCGAAAACATCTTCTTCATTTATGCTTTCCAGGACATTTGCATCTTCCGTCAGAGAGAGGGCAGTCTCATACCATTCTAGAAATGGTAGCCTCGAATCCGCCTCTAGACTTTTGTCAGGCTGTGGCGCATAGCTGAATATTAAAGCGGTGATGCTCTGGAATGGGCCTTGGTCCACGACCCGAAACCAACCGCCTTGTCTGGACCTGGGATCGAAAAGAACCGAGCATACTCGAGCCACAGGGTTGGTGATCCTGGCCTCTAGCTGTTGCACCACAGATTTCAGCTCCGTTCTATCGGGTGTGGACAAACTATCCAAGACGTGCTTTAAGAGGAAGGACGTATTTGCCTCGAGGACCAGAAACACCGCAGTTCCCGAGCCAAAATGGCATTCCCATCCCACGTTCTTGATTTCCGCTAGTTCGCGGGTTGAGTATAATTGAACACCGCTGTCTACTCCCAGCATCAAAGGTTCCAGCAGCCCCCAGTTGTCAAAGCCGGGGCACTTCTCCAACATTGCTGCAGCTGCCTCTGTAGCGCGGCGTGCAGTTACCGAGTATCTTCTACGTGACCATTGTCTGACGAGAAATTCGTCTAGCAAGTTCCAAATCGCGTTTCTCCGGCAGATGTCAGTGAACCTGCCATGGCCATAGCTCACTGCATGTGGGCTGACGGCAACTGGGTCAGCACCAACAGAGACCAGGTTCGCCGCTAACTCCCGTGGTTCGTCTGTTTCGGAGAGAGATGACCATGTCACTCCTCTGAGTATGTCCGTAGCGAGTGTAGCATTTATGCTCTCTTCGACTAGCGCGAACAGGGTCGGCTCTGTTTCTAATACGTGCATTAGAAATGGAGTGCGCGGCCATTGGATCTTCCAGTGATCCAATAAGCCTTTCTCATAGAATGACTGCGTGACGGACAGAAGCTCCATGGCTCTACATGACGGGCCCTTGTACTCGTCTTGCAATTTGAAAAACTTGCCCAACGCTCTCAACTGACCATCAATGTCGTAAGAAGTCTCAAAAGCGTCTGACACCAGTTGGATCCAGCACAAAGCGCCCTTCATCGTCTGGAAGTACATTTCCGACCTCGAAAGCTTGGCGTGACTGAGAATCTGCTTTCCCTGTTCTGTGTCGACTAGAAAGTCGTGGGCGGTGCGGTGGATAAACTTGACTGAATTGAGTAGTTTCCACGTCGGATTCTCCTCATCTGGTAGTTCGTCCTCCAGCACTGGTTTGGGTGCAGTTATCTCAACAAGCCCAGCACATCGCGTACGTATCTCGCTCTCGGTTTTGCGGCAGAGCTCTCGTATTTGACCTTCAAAGTTCATATCCATGTTCATTGGAAGCATTGTTTCTTGTAACGTCGGTTGGGTTGCACATGCAATATGGAGCGATGTGATGAAACGGCTGCTTACTATCATGCCATCGCGACGACCAAAGTTCGGGATGAAGTATTCTCCCCGGCCGATTCCAATTATGAGTTGGAAATAGGTCGCTGCCGATTCCCGGTACAGAGGCTGGTCTTGGTTCAGCCTCTTCCACATATCAGCGTACAGGTCCTCGAGGGCATTGGGAAGTTGCATCACTCGAGCCGCCAGCTCATCCCCCGAGTCTCCATTCTCGATTCCACGTACAACGGTCCGTAATGCAAGGCAGACCCAGAGAAAGACACCCTCGGCTTTCCAAAGAAGACGATCCGCCAGTACATTCAATTCTTTGACGGAAGGTTTCCTGTTTCGTACGCTTTTGTTGAATGTCGTTTGAATGTGGTCTCTCATGTCGGGCTCAGTCAGATCCTGAAGCTTCAGATAGGGTACTTCGTTGAGCCGATTCAGCAGTCGAGGCTCTGGTCGGCTGGCAACACACAGTTTAACTTTGTCAGGTTTGATGAGTCTCTGGACTCTGTCCATCAAACCATGGTCCCCGTCGTCGCCGTTGTACTCATCGAGGCCGTCGATAAATATGCACACCGGCTGTGCAACTTCCTTTGCTTCGAGGGCGGTAAGAAGCACCCGCTCCAGATCTCCATCTGACCAGTCATGAGGGTAGTTCTTGGACTCGGTGAATGGGAATGTACGAATGAGAAAACTGATAAGTTCCTTGTTGTCTTGAAGCAGCTGATAGAGAAGAGAACAGAATAAACCCTTCTTGTTGTTCTGCATTGGCGTCCCGATCTTCCAGAAAAAATGCGAGATTATTCTGGTTCCAGAGTGCCATTGGTCGAGGAGCGTTTGGGTGGCCTTATCGTTGATGATATACCTGACGAGCGTGCTCTTCCCCGAACCTGGCTTTCCCTGGACCCAGAATAGACCTTCGCCTGATCGGAGCCAGTCAACGAAGCGTTGCCAAACCACGTCAATTTTGTCAGTGTCATCCTCGTCGGTGTCATGTCGAGACTCGGTCGTCTCTCCGACGTTGGTCGTGCTCTCATTTGCCCGAAAGATGCGTTCGAAAGTAGCTTTTTCAGGATCAGTAGTTTCATTCCGTCTTTGATTCATTTCTTGGAACCTGAGGCTTCCAAGGAGACGTTCCCGTTGATTCTCAGTCGCTGCCTTGAGCTCACGTTCTTGCGTTTCCTTGGTAACGTGCGCTTCCACGGACTTCACAACTCGCGTGCCTTCGGCGGTAACATGCTCTCGAGTAAGATTTCCCTCGGTCCGCAAGAGATCCTCCATCTTGGTTCGGCCGGCAGCGATATTTGCTATGAAGGATTGGAGCTTTTGGTCGAGCTTGACAAAGTCTTGGCGTTGTCGCAGTTCAAGAGCCTTGCTTTGGTTGCTGTACCCTGCCAGTAAGCATGATGGCATCAATGATGAATGGTGATAATTCAGCAAGTCTTACCAGATTTGGTTGATGAGGAGGGTCTGCATGGTACCTCTATAGCGCTGTAGAGTGTCGTCAAGCTCTTCGATCTCTCGCTTTTTCCATAAAGACCTAGCTCGAGCGCGCATCGCTGCTGGAAAATCGCCTTTCTTGTGAAGCTTTGTGATCTTTTGCACCTCTCCCTCAAGATTTTTGGCGGCCTCTGCGCACTTCCCAGCAATATTGGCCAGACACTTCTCTTCTGGTGTGGATATCACGCTGCAGGATGCTTTGACTTCATCCGCAGCCTGAATCATAGCAGTGGCGTTCTCTTCGAGCATGGAATCTGGAGTCTTCTGGCCTTGATATATGGCCTTGCAGACGCTGGCGGTCTCACGGGTGAAACTGATGGTCTGGAAGACACAGCATGCCAAGCCAAGTGCCTCGAACCCAGACATGGTAGACGGCGCGGGACATACGACAAGGGAGTTCAGACGTTGCTGGTTCACACTCAGAGGTTGGCAAAAGAAGATGATAATTGAGCTTGAAAGAAAGACACAGGAAGAGGGGAAGTTCAGCCACAATCAATATCGTGTTGGTTTCGACCAATGGTATAAGTCTATGTAACAAGCATGGCGCCGTCTAGGCGCACAGGTCCTGTGTGCTCGGGGCACAGCCCCCCCTGTCGGCAGGCTAGGGGCACAGTCCCCTGACTAAGCATTTCCTTCCGTTGAATCAGGAACTGACTGAATACACCAACGCATTTAACAGAGTCGATTACTACCTTTCAAATATGATTGCTGAAATGGGGGTGGGGAGAGTTATCCAATCCAAATTTACACAGCTACGGCAACTAGAGGATACTCGACAGCTTTTGTACCAAGTGATCGTCTAATACCCATTACTTCCAACAATGATACAGTCTTCTGTGCGCCCACGAGCTAAGTGCAAAGCATCTTGTTCCCTACTGTCCGCTTCGATTCTCCCCCAAATATCTTTGACTCCCCTTCTTCTATTCGCTAAAGGATCGTCTCCCATCTCCTCGGCAACCTGTGCTTCAACTCGCTCATCCTCCGCTTTACTCCAGTCCAAATACGCCATCATCTCTTCTTTCGTCCAATCTCTTGATCCTGTTGACGTGACACAGCGCTTGGACATCTGCTTGTAGTCCAAGCACCACTCGTAGCTCGGCTTGTCATACCTTAGTGGGAGTCCCATTGCCCTGCGATATTGTTGGTTCGTCTTGATGCTGCCAGCCGGCTGCGCTGCGTACCACGCGCTCCTTGCGGCGACATATCGTCCATATATGGCCTGTGGCGAATCGTACCTCGGTGGCGATGGCGATGGCGGGCCAGGCAAAGGAGATGGTTCATGAACAGGGGATCCTGGCCGCCGAGAGGCGCCGCCGGTCGAGTCTTGCAGGATCCCGGTCATAGTCCCTGGCTGATCAGCGAGGGCTGTCGGTGCCGTTGTCATTGCCGATGCTTCTGTTACTGCCAGTGCCTTTGCCTCTGCTGCTACCCTTTCCAAAAGCTCTTGATGCCGCAAGGGACATGCCTTCGAATTCATTTGGTGACCAACTTCATGGCATCTACTACATTTTGACGGGGCCTTCGCTCTTGCCTTTCCTATAGCCTCAGCGGCCTCAAAGGAGCTCGGTAGTCTTCTTGTGCTTGATTTTGGCAAGTTCGATACGGCGGGCCTTGCATCTATTCGAGCGCGAGGCTCAAGAAGCAATTGTTGCTGCCCTGAGCGCTTGAGGTGCCAATGCTTGTGGAAGTGCTCAAGAAGAAGAACTTTGCCTTGTTCTTGCAGGGTCTGAAGTAAGTGAGCGCAAGGCAATCCCAGTGTTCGCATAAAAACGCCAGTGCAGCGGGGCAGGGGGAAGTTTTTATCCAAAAGCCGCTTTCGTTGCTCTTCAACCTTCCTCAACGCCTCAAAAGATACCCAGCCTTGAACAGCGCTATATAGAGCTATACGAAGCTCAATTGGTTGTCGAAGTTGCTGCTGGGCTTGGTTTGACTGTAGCTGATGGACTTGGTTGGTAACAGCTCGTGTAATGGCACCCCAAGCCTCAAATAAATCTAGTGTAGACGTATTCAAATAGCTTTTAAGCAGGCTATGAATACCTTCCACACGGGAGGTAACAACAGTACCAAAGTGGAGATGTTGATCAACCCAAGCTTTTACAAGCTTCTCCTTGTGGGGGTTTAGCCACGTTGCATGCAAATATGCAATCTCATTGGCGTAGGCGGGTAGATACCGCTGCTCAAGCTGCTGAACCCGCTGATCGAAGGTTATCTGATCAGCTGATTGAATGATCGAATGCCACTGGTTATAGAACTCCTGCCACCTAAGAAGCCCTGCCTCCATTATCTTTGGGTCCGTCCGGTATTGAATAAAGGCTGGTCGACAATAAGCAAGGACTGCCTTATTGGCATGCCAAAGGCACAGCAGAAGGACTGCAGAAGGAAAGCAGATAGCAACTGCATTTATACAAGCTAAAGCGCAGTCTGTAATAATGACAGATGGAAAGCTTGTATTGCAGATCTCATATAACGACTTCAGTCGTTCGAGAGCCCATAGGTAGTCTTGTTCCTCTTCGCCGCTGAGGAATGCAAAGGCAACGCAGAATGATCGTTGACAGGCATCAACGCCGATGATGTCCAGAAGCGGCATGCCATATCGGTTCGTCTTATATGTGCAGTCTAAAAGAAGAAGGTCGGAGTACGCTTGCAGATACGCAAGTGAGTCAGGATGAGCAAATAAAACCGCCGTAACCCTGCCTTCACTATCCACCTGCATACGATTCCAAAAACCCTCTTGGTCTAGTTGGTTAATGAGAGCATGCATTGTATTTTCGCCAAAGCGAGATGATCGTCGAGCTTCTGCGATACTGTTCGAGATATCCTTCTGGGTTGCAATGGAATTTGAATGTTGCCGCATATAGGTCCTGATCTCCTTTGAGCTGATTCCAGCCTTTGTAAGATTGCTAATTGTTGATTTGTCGTCTTTTGAGAGCCTTCGTAGAACAGGATGGGCAGTCGGGTGGGTGCTTGGCGTATGGTTATGTACAGCATATTGACTATCCGATCGATGTCGTACAACCCAGCCAGATGCGTCCGGTAGTTCCTTTGCGATGACAGAGAATGGGCAGAGAGTACTTCGAGTGCAGGTTGCCCGAACACGGCTTCTTGAGGCGCTTGGAGGCCGACGGGCACGATCGCAAGTGAAGTATACTGTAAGCCTCCCAGACTTGCTTTTGTTGGACCTTCCAGTAACAAAGGCATAGCCTCGTGGCGATGCCCAGTCATTGATCGCTTGGAATAGATCATCTCTGGATGCATATGTATGCTCAGGAGGTAAGCAGTCTTCCGGAAATTGATCCATTGAGGTTGATTGATGACATGATGCAGAGGTCAGGATAAAGATGCTTAACCCCTGAAAATTGCTCCCTTGGAATTGCGTCAAGACGGATGCTTAGTCAAGGGACTGTGCCCCTAGCCTGCCGACAGGGGGGGCTGTGCCCCGAGCACACAGGACCTGTGCGCCTAGACGGCGCCTAACAAGCATATGCAGCTTACATAACTCCTCCATTGTGCATGTCCCTCACGTGAGACTGTAGGAGGGTTGAAAAGAGCGCTGTTATAGGTCGTGATAATGATAAACAAGAGAGGGTTGCTACGAAACACTTTGTTGAATGTGAGCTAAATTGTCAAATCTTGGGCTAGGCGGATGCCGCCTCCCACAGACTTGCATTATTAAAACTTTCTGTACATAAATGTCTTGTTCTAGCATCAATATGCTTACTATCATGCTCGTTCCTTCAGCGTGATATCGTCAAGAGCAATGTTAACCCCGTCAGGGCCCGTTCTAGCATTGCAAAAGGCGAGAATCTCAAGTTTAGAGCTGGGTCCCGTAGAATCGAAGGAGACATGATGCTCCGTCCAAGTGTTGAGGGGCAGAGGGGCAACGATTCTGTTGTCCTTGTAAACAACTCTCTGGCCAGCGCTGTTGGACACGATAACAGTGGTGTAACATCCCCAGTTGGCAGCGGGCTGGCCCTTGTTGAGGAGCCACCAGTAGGAGAGGTCGTATGTCTTGCCTGGGACCAGGTCGAGGGTTTGTGCAGCACGGCCTCGTTGGGAATAAACGACTATGGTGAAGAATCTGACAGGTAAATGTGTTAGCATGCATCATAGCAAGGGTCGTCATGAGATAGGGCATACGCTGAACGGGATCCTGAACGGGAGAAGGCAGGGTTGGAGTTGATGCTTCCACTCTTGATGCTGTGGCTGTCTGACAGAACCCAGGGTGCGCCGGTATATTGACCTTCGCTGTCTGGCTCGTCGAATGATGTGTTGACGATGACGTTTGTAGGCTCGGGTTTCTCGGACGTGGTGGTTGTTGTGGAGGCGACAGAAGTGGTTGACTCGGTGGAGAGCGTGATGAACGTGGTAAGAATCTCGGTTGAAGAGGACGTGTCGGTAGACGTGGAAGACTCGACAAAGGAAGAGTCTGTGGCAGATGAGATGGCGGTAGAGGTTGAAGCCGTAGCATCAGTGGTGGGCCCCGAAGACTGGGGAATGCAAGGTCCAGCATATCCTCTGCCGCAAAGGGCGAGGGCAGCAAACGCTATGGAAACGACAGGAACCTTCATATTAAAAGAAAGCAAAGGCAAAGACTGTAAGGTTGAAGGCTGAGTGCTCCTGTTCCTTCGCCATTGGGGCTGCTGGTACACTTTTAAGATCGGGAGAGGCTTGGCACTAATTTTGACTACAGCCGCTAGTTTCCAATAGTCTCTGTGAGCCCAGATCTTAGCCGTCAACAAACCCACGATTGCCTAATAATAAGCTCGCGTTACAGTGGGCCCAGGGGTCTAGAACTGACGTCGACTAACAACAGCTGACGATTTGGACATTTTCTTGGCGTCTCTTGATGAGCTGAAGAAGAAAAAGGAAAAGGAGTCAGGGGATGGTTCAGGGCTTCACGCCACCAACGCGGCTGAACGGGTACGCCGGTCGTCAGGCTAACGGCGAGCTAACAGTAACCTTCTTTGAGAGTTACAGCGCGAGATCTGGTCCAATTGACACGCAAGGGTGGGGGCCATACGTGGATGGCGGTTTAATACTGAGGTGTAATTTATCATTACATGCTCAATCACCCATTTAAGTCAAGAAGTAGGCCGTTCGTGAACGATCTTTTGGATCTTGTTGAACATTCAAGCTTTATTTCCACGTCGTGCTTCGCCTTGTTATGGACAGTTGAAACCAAGTCAATGCACTCTTTTTGCCGTAAAGCAATAAACAGTGAATTCTTGAACCGTCTCTTCAGTAAAAAGAAGAACGTGACGGATGTTCTCCTGCCGACACAGTTGTTGCTGACTGTTACATAGCCGGCCCCCGAATATAAAATCCACCTCACGGGTGCGCAACTGGCCTTCAGCTACCTACCCTGTACCTAACCCTTAGGAGCTGGGGTTTTTCCAACTTGACATAAAACATGACTTCTGAGGATCACAAAGTGAGATATTTGTCAGAGATCTTATTCGGTAAGTTTATACAAGGCCGCTTCCATGCTTGAATGGGTTAGGATAATGACTAGACCGATAATAACTCATTGTCAAAATAAACCATCACCAACCCTTCATGCACGCTCTTGGCAAATGTCTTGAGCTCAGCGTGGCATGGGCACTCATTATCGTAGTACGCCATGTCGTCTGAGTTGTCAAAGCGAGAGACAGCCGCCACGGTGAATCCTTGGGCACGTTGGTCAGGCTTGGGTCTGCCGACAGTCACAAGTCGAACATAGGGCTTTCCATCCTGTGTATTATTCGTTAAGCCTCATTCATGGAAAGGATGACGATTAACAAGACCGACCTTGATGACCTTCGGAGGCATGCTGTTGTAGATGTTTAACACCTTTTGCTGATCCTCCTGACGAGGGATCTTGAACAAAGTAACTCGGAAAATTGGCTGGCTCATGTTGAGGCTTGATATGAAATGGAGAGTTGATTTAGTCATCCAAATGATCTGGGACGAGGAATAAGTAGAAAACGGCATATTTATCTATGTATGGGCTTTCGGGTTAAGAAGAGCTGCGGAAAGCAATCATCATGTCGGAAATGCTCCGCGCCAGATCTTTTCGGCCGAGGCCATCCGAAAATGGCGGTAACTTTCCGAAAGACCAATTAGATTGCGTATCTCCTTGCTTACGCGAGGGCTACTAGAGCATATTAACCTCTACTATTAAAGCACTATCTAAGCCTCTCTAGAATTTAAATAATAATTTATAAATCTTTAACCTATATTTTAGTAATTCTAAGAAGAATTTAATTATAATTAGTCTAGATCCTCGCTCGGTATAGGATAATAGTCCCCGCGTAAGCAAGGAGATACGCGACGAGAGGGAAAGACTAGACCACCTCTAATAAGTTATCCCCTTGGATAAGGTGAAACTTTGCCCCTGTTTCTTTTAGTCTATACACTTTCTCCGGTGATTCAGCCCACGCTGTAGCCTTCGCAATTGGACTCCTAGCTGTTTCTGTGCGACCCGCTCGCTGTGTCTATCGCCACATCCAACGTTCCCGTGTCGTCTTGCCCTGGGGTATTGATTTTCGCTTGATTTGGCGTTTTGGATTCTGCTGAAGCCAGAGGGGGCTCACGACGACTTGATACAAGACCACTGGGTGGGGGATATGCATCAAGGTCGCCGCCGCACTGTAGATATAGCCTGCGAAAGTCCTCCTGAAGGTTAGAGCAGTATGTTTTATCTGCGTCGGTTGAAACGACAGACAACATCCTTTTCTCAATGATCGAGAGAGTCTCTTCAGTGAAGCTGTTGCGGTTTTGATGGAGGCGCAGTTGCTCAAGGCACTACAGATAGTTAGCATAGATCATAGATGTCCAAGATGAGAGTGACCAACCTCCATGGCCTCACGGTTAGGAGGCGTAACACTGCCACTAGGTGGTTGAGATATCCATTGGATCTCAAGTAGATGAACAAGTTCGCGTCCGCCCAGAAACCAGGCGACAAACTCCAAGAAGACGTATCCGAGGGACCAGAGGTCGTATGTTTGTGATGACGTATCCCCTTGAGAGTTATGTCTCAGGCGCCAATAGCGGGGAGAGACATCACCAAGATTGATTTTGGCTCTATTTGTGGAAGGTATGCCGTAGCTACTCAGGACCATAACCCCCCTGGGATCATGATTTGATCTAACACAATGGATCTGTTGGGGCAGATGTCCCCGTGGTACCCTCGTTGCGTGTGGACGGTGCCCATGGCTCCCGCAAGCCCCGCAAGTTGTCGTATGAGCCATCGCATCTCTTCCAGATCATGAGGCGGTCGCTCTGGGTGTCAATCCTTCCAAAACTGTAAGAGGTTACACTCTGCGTAAGGGAAGAGGAAATGGTACCTCCCGTTGTAGCTGATTGAGGCAAGGAGGGTAACGAGGTGCTGATATCTAGTAACGTTCAGCGTCCGTAACTGATCGAGTTCCATACTAAACGTGTCCTTATCTCCGTGTTCCATAGATAGTGTTTTGAGGGCGAAGAACGTGTCGTCTAGGCCCATCTAAGGAGAAGGGTCAGCCATGTTTCTCTTGTACGTTGGTCATGACCTACCTCCTGCAGCGGCTCCCACAGTCCTTGACTGTCGGGGTCAATGGTAATGCGATGCACTTCTGAAACTTCCCCATCGTTGTCCCCGGCAATTTCCAGAACAGGATATGTGCTATCATATGCCCAAGGGATGATCGCTCGTCTATCCAAGTCGTAATGATTCGGAGACCCATCAGGTGCAAGCCGTAAGGATGGGACAGCAAACCCCCACTGCTGGGAGTCAAAGAGGCTCCTCTCTGAAGGCAACTAACCCTGGAAACATCTCAGAGCTTCTTCCTCTCGGAAGAAGTCGGTACCGTCGAAGCGAAGTGGCAAGTCTTTATCAAGCAGCCCTTCCTCGATGAACACTAAGATTTGGTCACTCTTCCCTAGCAAGATCAGAAGCGCATAGATCTTAATCAACCCTCGGCCTGAAAGACTTGGGTCCACCTCCTCTGGTAGAACGATGATGTCAATAGACTCTTGGGCGTGTGAATCAAGACTTTCGAGGACTCTTTCTCTTGTCATGATGCGTTTGAGGAGCCCGTCCGGCCAGAATGGGTCTCCACTGGCACTTAGTCTTTGACATCGATGCAAGACGGATAGCAGATCTGCAGAGAACCCAGTTTCTGCGTCTTGCATGGTAGTGTCTAGGGATGTGTGTGTCCCAGAGCTTTCCTGATCAACGTCTTTTAGGTCGCTGGGTTGGGGAGGAGCTAGCTTCCAACTGACTAGGTCCATGTATTCCTTGACCTTGAATGCTGGGCCCTTCCGCTCTCCAAGATCTATAGCGATCTGCAAAGAATTGGAAAGCTCGCACAAGTTCTGGATGTTGAGGCCCAGTCGGTCCAATGCATTCCTGGTCGGTGTTAGCCTGATATACTTAGTTGTGAGGGCAAGACGCACTCCGCCGATCTAGCTCTGGGCTCCAGAAAAAATAGATATTTAGCCACGGCGATGCTGGATCGTATACGATCGAGGTCGCCCCTCACGATAACCGCCTCCTTCTCGCGCAGCTTTTGCAGAGCTCCTGATTCAACATCCAAATCACTTCCCCAAACACAAAGCTGAACCAACCAGTCGTCTATGCGAATCTCGTCCTCCAGGGACCAGCGGTGGTGGTCAGGGTCACCGAGGAGGTGCTGGAGCTCCTCCACTGTCGTCTCGTAGAGGTCTTCGAGATCAAGGATCGGAGAAGTCTGACCTTGAAGGACTCCCTTTCCAGACATTTTCGGCTGGAAGAGGACAATTTATCCACCTATACAATTAACGACCAAGATGAAGGGCAAGGGCAGGATGACGGACACTTGCTCCTCCATGTTCAGTCGCAACGTAGAGATCAGGCTCTGGGACATGCCGCGTGTTGATGCCCTAAAAATCGTGCGGGGTAGCATCTGACAGGTACATGGGCTTGAACATGCCTACAAGTTTCACTAACAGAGCAGTTAACAACAATACAGTAGGGTGCTGCTGAAGCCTTAATAGTGAGCTTGAAGTGTTGAAAGTGGCATGGCCGGCAGCAATGCTCCACATCGTCATTGATCTCGTTTGGGAGCGTCCAGTAGAGATTATCCGGTTCAGGAACCTCGTGGGAAACCGATTAGTGAGCTCTGGGTGGTGTCAATCGAGATCAAGATGGTATTGTCTGTTAGTGAAAGAGGGCTGCATGATAGCAGGCTGCCAGTTTTGTGTACAGTACCTTGCGGAAACCGTGTGGCCTGATACCTGTATGCCGCCGCTGCGGCTGAATTTCTTGGGCCTCGTGTCGGCTACCTTCATTTTTTATGCTGATGCCGAGAGAACTCAAGTGCTTTCCCAGCAGTCGTACATCCCTAACTGGAGCATCCAACCTTCAAACCCACTTGACCCCCGTTCTACAGAGATACCGATCGCTTCAATGGCAGAAATTTTGTCTATTGTCAGCGCGGCTGCCGGGCTGCTCAGCTTCGCCGTGGCAACACTCCCAAAGCTTGACCAATTTCGTCGCGACTTCAACGGCACCGATCTGCGGAAGGAGTGGTACCGAACACAAATGGATTCCGTTCACATGAAGCTCGAAATATGGAGAGAACTTTGGTGTAGCCAGACCTACACACTCCAAGACTATGAGTACTTCTGGGGGACACAGGGCTACGAGAGTATGAGGACCAAGATTCGACTAATCGAAGCCGAGTTGATTGCCATTGGAAAACTCTTGGAGCGCAAGGTAGACTGGGCTTTGGAAGTTGAAATGGATATCAAGTGGAGCGAAACGAGAAATCGCCTGAAGACGAATGAAGCGACTCAGATGGTAGAGACCCATGCCAGTCTTCGAAAGCGATTCACCTTTGCCCTCTTTCGGGGTGCAGAGCTGGAGGAGAGAATCAAGAGGCTTCAGGACAAGGTCAAAGATCTCGAGTCCTTCTCCCAAGAGAGATTTCACGCTATTCAACTTTCTCTCCCCCAAGGTGAGACGCTCAAAGACACGACGCTGCATCGCCTCCTCGCCCGAAGAGATTGGATGGATGAACAGGAAATAACCCTCAAATACTTGTACAGCCTGTCCACTGAGCATGCTGACATGGGCTGGTCTTTGGTTCTTGCGGTTCCCGGTGAAGATATGTCACTAGATGACGACGCTGGGCTCTGGACCACTTTTGACATCCAAAGATGCCCCGGATCAAGAAGGGACTTGGGTCTTGCGTCCTTCTATTCTACTGGCCGGAGGGCAGCTTGCTTGTGGTTTCTTGAAGACCTCCGCCGCAGAAGAAGCCCGAGAGACCCTCTGAGGAGAGATCCATACCTTAGCAGTCGTTTTGCTGAGCCACGTCGCCGCGACGATGAGCTGAGAGTTGCACTATCCGAGGCAGCTATTGGAATCGTCAACTGGACCATGCTTCTCTGGGGCACTCCATGGACTGACGGCGTCTGCACCTGCGGGTTGCGATTTGTTACGGCGACACTATCTAATGGCTCAACACAAATGGCTGTCACCTTTCAACGCAGGATGCGTTGTGACAAGGACCAGTTCGGGCATACGGGGACCATCAGAGCTCGCAAGGCGCTGTTACTTGGTATTTCCCTGGCTGAATTTGCCCTGACACAACCCATCAAAGTCAAGATGGGGGAGAACGGAGAGCCTCTGTTCTGCACCGGGGGCAACTGGGGTCCGGAGAAGGATCTTCTCGACGATGTAGCGGCACGAGCCGGTCGCCCGTACCGCGAGGCTGTCTGGTACTGTTTTAAGTATGACCGAGACCTAATAAATAATCGCGATTTCCGGCCTCATCACTTTCTCTTGTTCCAAGAGCACGTTGTCAAGCAGTAAGTAGCTCTCTTCCTGCTCATCATTTTCCACTTTGCTAATACTCCAACAGGCTGGACAAACATCTAAAGGGTGTATATAAGCGGATGTCTCTGATGGGCCGCAGACAGCCATGAGAAGGAGTGCTCAAGTTTATTAGGAAGAATTCGATATAGAATTGATTCCATTGCCAGTCGCTTAGACTTGAATCATAGTCTGATCTTGAAGCTGACTTATTCGTTGTCCTCAGCATCTATAACAAAAGCTCTAGACCCCCAGGACTTGTCATATAGCCCACCTAATCCTAGATATTACCACTTGTACATATCTCGGTTTACTCCTGGTCTCCTGGACTATACCACCTTCTTGGACTCGCGCGTCTCCCGAATCATGACAGGCTCCTCCACTTTTCCTCCATCAAACGGCATCTTTCCAACCTCTACAAAGCCCATCTTTTCATACAAGCCCTTGCCCGCAGGACTGGCCTCAAGCACCGCGGCAACACCCTCCTCCTCGCTGCGGTCGAGACCCCATTGAACCAGCTTTCGACCAATGCCCCTTCTCTGATGATTTGGGGACACGCTGATAAAGGCAAGGCGCCATCTCTCATCAGGGTAGAATCGCTCCGCGTTACGGGTCTCGGCCATGATTTCTTTGGCGTGGCTGGCCGAGACACCTTCAGGTGATTGGCCAAGAGCAAAGCTGTAAATCCACTGCAATAATAGTCCAAGCCTGATGAGTTCTGAAGCCACAATCTTCAGTCGGCTGTTTTCTTTCCTGATTTAAGAAGTGCATAAGAACTTACTCTTGTTCAGAGTATCACCTTGCCAACTTCGTGCAGTCTCGCTTGAACCGTGACGATGCCAAACAGCAAACCCAACAGCATCAGCAATATCGCTACTCGAGCCATCACAAGCAACCATGACAACAGCGCCAGGTGATGAATATTCGCTGTGAAGAAGAAGTTGCCAAACTTGTCGATATTGGTCAGGTCGCTCTCGACGGCCAGGGACGACGCATGAAAAGATGGGATCGTCGATCCATATCTCACATGCGAGATCAATGAGTTGATCAATTTCCTGGACGGAATTGACCCTGATGAGTTTAAGAGAGCTCATTGCGAAGAATCGTGAGATGGACGGTTGAATTCCAAGGCCTGTCTTGTTTATTATCTCCTATTATCTCGAGATACCTTTTGTTATATATTTCTCCTGATCGTCAGTGCCCATACCGAGTCTCAGGGAACACGCGTTGAACCTCCCGAATGCGAACGAATGCGAACGATTATGGAAAAATCACGGCAAGCAGTTCATCCGTCTCGCATCTTTTGATTGATCAGGGGCTTACATCTTCGTTATGTGTGGAGTCATTCTACGGGCTCCGCGGATTCTTGGCAGACAAGGAACGAGCCACAACCTCATTTGGCCAAAAGTCGGCATCCTCGGGTTCCGTCTTACTCCTCCTTGGCTGTCTGGTGACGTAGTTACTTATAGGAAGAGAGCCGCTTACACTAGGGTGGGACTGAGACATGTCACCATTCTTAGGGAATCTTGTCAAGATACTACCCCACAACAGGCATTTATTGAAATAATCAAGAACAGTCGATATCCCAACATCCACGTTACCCGTTAAACGATCCCTCAGACGCAGACTCGGCGCCACTATCCAAACCAAGCCCCGTATACGCCTCCACCAGTTTGCTTAGCCTCTGCTTCTCTGGATCATCGGCAATGCTGATGATGTTGATGGGAAAGACGGATTGAACCTGAGTCGCCACAAGCTGCTTCCTCTCCTCCTCATGCTCGATATGGGCAAAGTCCTTCAAAAGGTGCGCAGAGCTAGGGTCCATGCTATCCCGCAACACCATGAAGATGGCCTCGGCGATGTAATAACATCGACTCTGGTCACGGAGACCTTTGGCGCACAGCACCACAGTGGAAAGGACAGCGTCGTGGTCCTCGCGGTCGGTAACGGCCAACGTCTTTAGGGCAGTGAAGCCCAGGAAGAGAAGATATATGACCATCATGGTGTCCCAGTGCTCAAAGCCGTGTCTTACGTAGTAAAGACGAATGATGGAATCCATGCATGTCCTTGATGAAGTAACGATATCTTCTGGAGACGGCATGTTTTCAACAAAGGGCACAGTGCCCACCAAAGGCTCAAACAAGTTTATCATGAGATTATAGAGATGCATGCTATAGAGGTGATTAGTTGAGAACGCTTAGCTGATCCAAAAGACATACTGAAGCTTTAGCTGCGTTGGAAGGACAATCTGACCAGGCGACAGAGCAGCCGGTAGGTATTGCATCCATCCCAAAAGCCTAGCACGATAGTTCAGAGCTTCAGCGAGGCTCACGGGACCTTGAGCCTTTCCGGGGCCAAAAGTACGGTTTCCGATCTCGTTCATGATGGTGCGAAATTCAGCCATTGCCCGAAAGACTGAGCTGTGCTGAATGGGTACCGGCGACTGTGCTTGAGGATACAAGACGAATATCTCTCCTAGATCGACCGGTAACTGAAAAACCGGGGGGTTTGGGATTAACGGCTCAAGGTAGAAATGAAACCGCTGCACACTGTTTCAAGAGTTAGCCGCGTCACGGCCAAGAAGAGACACTTACGCCTGCCATGAGAACAGACTCCAGGCCGTCATGGCATACACCGTCCGCTGCCTCAAACTCCGTGATTCAAATGTACCGGAAAAGAGTCCCATATCAACGCCCATGGCAATCGACTGAGCCAAGTAGGATGCCCCGACTTTGTCTATGCCGTCCATGTTGCATGCGACACATATCACACCACCAGCTTGGAGCGTCGTGATGCGTTTTCTCGAGTCTCTCTCGAGTTCCCAAAGCCGTTTAGCTTCAGTCATGAACTGGTAGCCAAGAGTCTGCGGCTTCCAAAAGGAGGAGCGGTCAAGTAGTCCGTGTTGACCATGCTATGAGCAAAAGTATAAGTTTACAGGACCTCACTAGCTCAGATGTGCGATGCTTACACATGCAGTTGCAAGAACTGCATTGACCAGGAGAGAAGAGCAGTATCTCTCCCGGCCTGACACCAAGTCGTCAAGGAAACTGTCAAGGTGGAAGAAGCAGCTGTAGGGAAACTCCCACTTGAAGTATGTCTTGAGCAAACTTTGGACAATCTAGTCAGAGGAAGTCACATTTGTCCACCGGGAGGCTTTTACATGATCGAGGCGAGGCTCCACCAGAGTTGCGGCATGGTATGGAGTGTCATAAACTCTCAAACGGCCAAGAGAAGAATCACTCGGTTGTGGACTCGACGTGTGGGCGATGGTCCGACGGTGTAGAAGCGAGTCGATATACGGATTCCCTGGTATATAGAGATGCCTTGGCATACCTCGCACAAATGGGAACGTGTATCTAATGTACTCTTGGGGGTTTAGCGCGCATTGGAGCAGCAAATCACCGTCGTGTACGAGTCTCACTAGAGCGCCGACATCCTGCCCAGTTCTAAGACGCTGCAGGACAGAGCTGAGGGTGTTTTCGTCTCTTGTGCGTAGAATTTGAACGAGCTCCTCGTGGAGGCTTAGTTCGTTGAGTCTGCGTTTATTCGCCTCGGTTCGCGTTTCTCCGACGTTTGTTGTATTGTACTCGCACTCGGCGTTGACATGTTCGCATCGGTGACACTGAGGACGAGTTCCGCTGCACTATGGAACAGGCATCATATGTTAGGAACCAACATTGACCTGAACACTTGACGTAGAGAGATCATACCCTGACTTTCACCTTTCGACACAGCTTGCACGCTTCCGCGACCACGACGCGTTTCTTGGGCAGCCTTGAATTAGGCTTCCTCCCACCAGGATTACCTTCTCCTCCATCTCCATCTGGCCAAGGCCGCAAAGGGCGTAGCGAAGGCACAGGTTGCGATGTCTGCATACCGATTCGAAACAAGAGTTGATGTCAAGGGAGAGTGCGGAGAATTGAGGCTGAGAGATGGCGGCGATTGACGGAGTCTTGTCCGACAAGAATTCTGTGGTTTCATTGGATAGATGTGAATTGACTTAAATATGCTTCTATGCAGTAGCCACAGATGTGGTTGGAGTAGCTTGGCTGTCTTGCATGCGCAGGAAGTACCTTGCCGCTAACATATCCACAGTGATTGATTCCAAGACATGGAAGACGAATTATTTTGCATGTACCCGAATTCATTCCTTTACCGTTTAATTCATTTTTTTGGTATTTGTCTATTAGAGCGGTCATGAAGCCGTTCGATAGTGTACATAGGTATCTTCCAGAATAGATATACTATTGCGTCATAACCGCCAAAGGAGCGTCAATACCCTGTACCTATCATTCCACCACATGGGGATCACCAACAAGTAAATCTGCGGTTGCATGTCAAGATTGCCAGCACCTTCGGCGTGCTTATTCAGAGAATCTGCCCACAACGTGATAGACCGCCAACTTGATCATATCAGTCGGTGAAAATTCACCTAGGTCACGTCCTGACTTGGATGGAATGACGGAGAACTAAATCTGCTATCCCGTGCCTGGATCATCGGGTCACGCTAAACTGATCAAGGTTAGATGGTCCGGCTTGCATCATCCCACAAGCGGGTCTCTGTGGATTTGTCAACGAATGCGGCGACGGGCCGATATCGATATCTAGCCATGCCGAGGCAAGTGGCTCGTATAAGAGAAGTGTTGGCCCCGAGTGAACTCTGGCGGGTAAGTTAAACTTGAAAAAATATAGGCCTACACTGTCACCATGTCTCTACCGACCACTTTCAAGGCTGCCACCGTGGCTGGCAAGGGAGAAAATCACATCACATCAGAACGATCCCTGTCACCGCTCAAGTCGGGCGAGGTCGCCATCAAGATCACAGCGACCGCAATTAACCCCGTCGATTGGAAGATCCGCGACTATGGAGTCTTTATCCAAGAATGGCCCACCGTTCTAGGCTCCGATGCCGCTGGCGAGGTTGTCGCCCTTGGCCCAGATACATCCCGCGTGTCGGTCGGCGATCGCGTGTTTTTCCAGGGAATCATTGGCAACATTGAGTCGACCACGTTTCAGCAATATTGCAAGATGCCAGAGGCTTTGTTGGCCAAGACCCCAAGCAATATTTCGGATGAGCAGGCTGCTGGTATTCAGTTGACCACTATCGCTGCTGTTACCGCTTTTTACGATAAAACTGGCCGAGGACTGCCAGCGCCGTGGGATGAGGGTGGTGATTCTGTCGGCAAGGGCAAGGCTATTGTCATTCTCGGCGGCAGCTCTTCAGTTGGACAATATGCCGTTCAACTTGCCCGTCTATCAGGCTTTGAGCGTATCGTTACAAACGCCAGTTCCGCACACCACGAATACCTTAAAACTCTGGGCGCCCACGCAGTTCTGGACCGCACAAACACCTCCCTGGAAGACTATGTCAGCACCATCGGAGACTATCCACTAGAATTCGTCTTTGATACAATCGGCGCCCGAGTTACGCAAAAGCTAGGAGTCAAGATTATCCAGTCCCTCAAGGTCGAGGGCAGCAGGGTCGCCACTGTTAGCCAGGCAGACAGCGAAGCAAAGGAACTAGGCGAGACGAAGGAGCCCAAGGTTGTCGTGCAAGGTGTCGTGGGCTTTGGCAGCGCTCCGCACTTGAGATATCTGAGTGAGCCTCTTGCTGAGCACCTTGGTGGAGAAGAGGGATGGATTTCAAAGGGCCTGTTTACTCCGAACCGTGTGACGGTTGTTCCTGGTGGACTGGATAATATTGAGGAGGCGCTTGCAAAGAACAAGCGGGGTGTTTCTGGCGAAAAGGTCGTTATTCGACCATGGGACGAATAGTCTGGATAGATTAGAAGTAATAGATATAGACTCCCAATGGCACTTGATGAAGAGAAGCCTAAAAGCTGTTTATTTGTAGCGGGTTCGTCTTGACTTCCTCATTTGAGCTATGATTCTCAAACAAGAGACTAGTTTTCTCATTGCCAGACGCAAAGTCCGCAAGCAGAAGCCAAGTTGTCTTGAATAAGCCAAAGAGCTTCCAATGTCCAATTTGCTCTCTTTAAGTATCAGATAGAACTCAATAACTCACCAAGAGGTTTGTACAGGTATGTCTCGTAGCCTCTCTAGCAGACATGCTGGTTCTCAGAGTACGATTTACAATCACACTTGCCGCTGAGTCCCTATCAAGATGATCAGCTTTGTTGTTCATCCCACACAATTTAGGAACCCTATGGGTCGAAACATCCCCAGGGCTAAATCATATCTTGGCTTGCCAGCAGTTTCCTCTTACCCCGCCTTGAAGGAAGGCATCACGAACCTCCACCCGAAGAGGCGTTCCTTGGCGAACTGACAAGCACCCTTTGTGGAACGAGAGGCAGACTTAGCGCTTCGGTTCGAGTTAGTGGTGTCATGGCCGGGCTTTAAAAGCCTCCCGAGACCGAATGCGAAAACCAATAGAAACTCGATATCCCCGCGCATTCCGCGGCGAGACAACAAAAGCCATGATCTGATGGTTGGCTTCTCCGCCACATGCATGGGTTTAGAAGGTGATATAATGCCTGAATGGTCTCTGGGGCCCCAGAGTGGAATCCTTCAAGTGGAGTTGATCGTCGATACAAGGAAGCTGTGAAATCGAAAACTCAAGATGCCCTTTTCTCGAAATGGATTGCTCGTTATCGGCGCTGGGGGCATGGGCCTTGCCATCGCTCGTCGCCTAGGTGCAGGACGTCGTGTCTTTCTCGCCGACTACTCCAAAGACACATTGGAGTCTGCTGCAAACAGTCTACGAGATACTGGTCACGATGTTGAAACTCAAATAGTCGATGTGTCTAGCTTCGAGTCAGTTACAAAGCTGGCCAAACATGCGACCTCAACCAGCACTCTCAACACTGTCGTCAACACAGCCGGTATCTCTCCCTCCATGGGAACTGCTCGACAGATCTTCGAGGTCGATCTGCTTGGAACTGCCAATGTCATCGACGCTTTCCTCGACACTATGCCTGCTGGCTCCTCACTGACAACTGTCGCAAGCATTGCTAGCGCGTTGTACGGAGGCGTGATCACACCAGAGTTGGAACAGCATCTCGCCACAGCCCCGAAAGATAAGCTTCTGCAGCACGCCAACATTGACTTTGATGGAAATCCAGGCGTCGCGTACGGAATCTCAAAGAGGGGAAATATTGTTCGAGTCCAAGCCGCTGTCAAAAAGGCCGGAACAAAGGGGATCAGGATCAACAGCATCAGCCCGGGTGTCATCACAACAGCGATGATCCGCTCAGAGTTGGAATCTGAATCTGGAGAGAATGTTCGGCAGATGGTAAAGGCGACACCTATCCCGAGGGCTGGGTCTGCGGATGAGATTGCGAGCATTGTCGCCTTTGTGTCTGGCCCGGAGGCTTCCTTTGTCAATGGGGCGGACTTTATGATTGATGGTGGCTTTGTTGCTTCGACCCGATTTAATGGTCCGGCTGGGGCATCAGAGGCTACTTAGCCGGTTTCTTTGACTCGAGGTAGTAAGACTATGGGTTGCTAAGTATTTGGAAAGCAAGGAATGTCAATAATAGTAAACAAGTATTCTAGAAAGCTCCTTTGTCTTTGCTGCCACGGGACGTGATGCTGAATGAAGGCGAGTTCTTTGTGTCATGAATAATACTTGCCAAGGATAAACCAACAGTGAACAAATGGTTGTTCGCGGACAGTGAACATAGGCTCACGCTTTGTTTGAACTTCACACCGAAGCCAAAGAAGGACCAGTGAGGATGAGACAACCAGACTCTTCAGGGAATCAGATCATAATGGCGAATGCGACGTCACTGAGACAAAGAGGAAACTTACACGGATCACAAAGAAATAGAGATCCAATAGGTATATAAATCCTCCTCCATCTATCACCTCCGTTAAATTTTGCAATCCAATATCTCACAATTTGACTTAAAACAATATTACACATTTCACAATCACAAACATCAACACCAACATCATCAACATGGACAACACTCAGCCGCCCCGTTCCGGTCCGAGTATCATTCCCGCTGACTTTGACGTTGAGGAGTACCTCAAGAACGTTGAAATCGCCACCGTCGAAGTGGTCAAGGTTGGAACGCCATACGTTGTCGATTACAGCGTTATGGGCGGCAGAAAGTTGGAGAAGCGTGACGTTCCCAAGAGTTCAAAGTAGAGTGTTGGTGCACTCTGTCTACCTAGATGGCATGCTACTGTCGAGTCCATATTTGGAGGACGGACGGAAATCTTTTTAGTTACTATCGTCTTCCAGACGATGGGGACTTGACAGAGATGATCTAGATAAATAAAAACACAACTTTGTGCTGAACTAGCAAGTACGCCTTACATCCTTCTCCCGTGCTATGACTGGGTTTATTATGACCAGTACTTCGGACGTTGAAACATAGGTTCGATCTTCGGGCTCAGTTAACCCATCGAGGGCCGGGCTGCAGCTATAATAAAAAACAGATTTTCAACACATCGTAACATCATGGCCCGATGTTAACACAGTGGCCTTGAAACATAGGTTCAAATTGACCAAGATTATCACTAAAGGGGCAGAGACTAAGCCCACATGGAAAAGCTACCTACTGATTAGCGTTCATTGGTAGTAAACCCTGCTTTGATAGATTAAAGAACAGTCCACTCTATATACGAGACACGCCCGCTATCTTGTTCCAACTCATGATAATGTAACTTCTCACGTGACTACCCGAACGGCCAACCTCTCCTAACTCACAGTTGTTGAAAAATTGCAAAACCGCGGAGAAAGGTCAATCGACAATTCATGAAGAAGATCTGAGCTACATAAAGTACTTAGCGCCAGTCAATTCAACATCATGTATTGTAGCAGGGACAGTGTGGCTGGGACACTCCAGTAGTCTCATGCACTAAACAAGTACAAGACTTTCTTCCTCAACGTCATCAAACATACTAGGAAAGATGGAACACACTCCAATTCGTCGATACTTGTTAGCTTTTCCTGGCTCTCGTCGCAAAATCAAACTGCGAGTGCCACGCGAGCCACTCCTTCTCTCAGCAAGACCAACTTTCAGAGCTACGAGCCAAAACTCTGCCAGCTCCTCATCGGAGTATTCTAAAGGCTGTGTGTCTGCAAAAAGCCGTTGTCCACCATCGGAACTGTGTGCCCGGACGTAAAGCCATGAGTCACCATCCGACTGGTGTCTGGATAGCTCAACTGGCACCACCGCCCCAATAATCGTGATTGCTGCGTATTCGCATTCCCCGTACGGATCATCACCAGCCAGCCTGTATTCTATGTCCGTGATTCTCAACCCAAGTCTTTCCACATCCCCTAGGATAATGACCCTACCCTCTATCGAGAGCCATGACCACGACGGTAGGCGTGTGTCGCTTGACCGCGTGTGCGTCGGGTTGCAGATTCCTATACGGGGATACCCAGAGGTGTCTCTGTAATCAGAATACCATAGCAAGTGAAGCGGCAGTGTCTTCTCCCACATCCCGCAGACATATTGCCCCAGCAGCACTCCTTCGCCGCTGCCAATCTCCTTTGCGATGGAAGACAATGCAGGCAACCTGTCAGTGTGATATGTAATGTCTCTTGCGCTGTATTGAGCAACAATATAACACCACAGCGTGATTCTGTCGCTTTCGCTGCCCCGGTTGATACAGTGTCGGTATTTCGTCTTGACGCTTTCTCCTGCTTCCAACTTGGCGTAACGAATCCTTTGATCTTGCAACTGTCCGCACTCGCATTCAATGCATGTTCCACATTCCCAAACAAGCTCGTGTGCCGTAAAGTAGATGGTGCGCTTGGCCAGCATTCTCTCTTGAAAGACCCAGGCTCGAGAGAGGAGTGGGATGTCATCGGATTCCCAGAAATGCTCGGCATTTTTCCAAACCTCATGCTCCACTCGCGTTTTGGAAAGATCTTGAACGAGGGCTCTGATAGAGTTCCCTTCCGGTGTCTTGAATTCGACGCGATACCCTGTTTGTCGAGGGGCGTAGAGTCCTCCATTGCCGTCTTTTGCATACGCCGCACCTATGACAAGATAGGCTTCCCCGTACACATACGCCATCTTGGTACATTCCCTGTCCCAATCTCCTTTATCTCCTTGAATTATACACAGTGAGTCAATCCAAATGTACTTGAGGCCCAGCTTATTGGTCAGATCGACTGCGTCTTGAAATGTTTTGGTGAGTTTGGAGAGACTCAAGACGCTTGATAATCGTTCCTTGAGGTTGGTCTCGTTCAAAACTGGAATCTTTTGTGCCTCCTGTCGCGAGCCCCAGCAATGGCTCAGTGCGGTGTATCTTTGCTCGCTGTTTGTTGTGTCTCTGAGGATAAGGCCTAAGCTGCCATCCATGTTGACGATCTCCAGCAATCGGCTGGGTTTCTGATTCCCCTCTCTTTGACCGCCTGTGGATCGGTTAAATCTCGAGGCGTTGCAGATGTCGTGGCTATCACAAGTATCGAGATGAGATGTGATGAACTCGATACACTCTTGACTTCTTGGATTTACCGGAAGATGCTGCAGAACCCCACCGCTGGAATAGCCTGGGTTTAAGATCATAGTTGGGTCACCTTGAGCGTCTAGAGTCCAATGCTTTGAGAAGAGTTCCGCGGATAGCGTCAACAGTTTGCAGCGCGCACAGCCACTCTCTCCAGAGGCTTTGAGCACACTGAGAGGGCCCTCTACGTCGTAGTCGGCACCCAGCCCGCAAGCTAAACATTCCCCTTTTTCTCGCGATGCGGGCCTATCTTGAGCCATTCTTGATATGCGGGTGTTTGTCGACAAGAAAGCGTTGGTATGAGCTGAGGGGGTAGAGACGCACAGCTGTGCGTTTCAACAAGAAGAAGGAGAGGCGTTTTTTTCCCCGCAAGTCTGCCTTGGAGATGAGTTTTGCAATGCCACAGGTCTAACAGAGCCAATTAAATACTGCTTCCAGGAGCTCACAGGTCAGCACTTTAGCAGTACTTTAGCAGCACTTTACCCGCAGGAGTTCGGTCACCCGGGTCAAAGTACACCAGTATATGAGATATTAACTTATCGTCGTCTAAGTGTAGCAATAAAAATAGGGTAAACTTACAAGAGAATAAAGAAAGTATTACTCAAAGTCTCATCTCCATAGAGTATCTTCTTTAATTAGGTATTTAAATGAATTTTAACCCCTCTCCTTATTAATGCTGTAGTGTTCTCGGCTATCTTAACCACTTGCAGGCATGCCACAACCTGATCTTGGCAAACGCAGTGAAACTCGGCAAGCCACATGCAGGCTTCGCCTCAATGCTGCCTAACCATTCTCGCCTCACTGACAGCGAAGAATGTCTTATCGTGCCTAAGAAACAATCCTCAAGATCCCCTCAGGCGCTACTCTTTATGCCTCTACCCCAAATGCCCAAGAATGCAGGGGCATCTCGGCGCTCACAATGTCAGATCCTTTCTCGATCGCAACAGGCACAGCTGGGCTGGTGTCCCTCGGGCTCACCCTATGCAAAGGCCTAGCCGAATACATCTCGGCTGTCAAAGGCCATGGTGAAGATGTCAAAAACCTCGAAACTAAGCTCAATACCCTTCAAATGTTTCTAGCGGCTGTCGATGCAACTCTGAAAGAAGTGCCTCATCTGCAGGGCAGTCGGCTGTCTGGAGATGTCGTCAGGGTGGTGAAAGCTTCGCTAGACCAATCCAAGGATGGGATGGTGAGACTAGCGGAATTCTTGGAAGAATGCTCAGGGAGAAGTAAGTAGACTTGCCTGGAGTAAAAAAGACCAGCAAAGTGACTCTTGCTAACTCAGCTCGTTCAGCTCATTCCCCAAGTTCTTCAGCTGCATGCCCATCAAAGCTCCAGAATATGGGAAAGAAAGCAGTATACTATTTCCGCAGGGGGGCATTGAAAGAGCTTGAGCAAATGCTCGAGTCTGTCCAAGGCCAGCTCAACCTCTCTCTGAATCTCCTAAACGTGTGAGTAACCAACTGACCTGAATCTTACTGTTTATTAACATGAAGTAGACGTCTCTTAACCTCCCAATCTCAAGAGTGTCGCCAAATCAGTGAGTGTATGTCGTTATCGACTGCAAGACTCGCCGACCTCCAATCCTCTGTCGCTGGCCTCGAGAACAAACTTTCAAATACTTCTGAGACAGTCACCACTCTGTCTGAGAGTCTCACGATGGCTCAAGGCGACTTTCAACTTACTACTACGCAGTTTCACGAGGTAGTAAGTAGCAAATTAGGACGGTTGTGAGAATGAGGCTGATCACTGAAGGCAAAATCATTGCAGGGTCTTCTCCAGACGGTTATGTCGCTTATTGCGCTTATTGCAATGTATCGTACTAGCTCTTGGACGCAGACATTGTGCTAACAAGCTATCATACAGCCCTTTCCTGAACGGGACCTTGACCGTCTTGAGACGTGCCTACCGAGCCGTACCACGAAGCATTCTTTCGCTTCCTACAGACAACATCATTTTTGAGGATATGCTGGGTCGGTCATTCAGTCTTCAATTCAGCTTAGTCTGTGAATGGCGAGTACGTTGTAGCGCAAAATATTTGAGAACCAACACACTAAACCTGTCCAGATTTTCGAGGCCTTCCTCATAACCCGCTTTGAAGATATCCCAGGCGAGTCTTTTGTCAACTCTGGTCAATATCATCTGCTTCATGGAATACATAACATGGTACTCCCGAGGTCACGACGAGGGTGGGCCAATTCCATCTCGCCCGGCTCCAAGATAGTCATGTCTCTACGAGCTGACAACCACTTCCCGGACCACTGCCCAAGGTGCGGTGCCGCGCTAAACAACGGACCAGGAAGCCTTTTGGTAAAATGGTTCGTGACGAGATATAGACGGGTGTATATAAAAGAAGCTAACACTCATAGCACCACTATTGGATGCTGGACCGCTTTCCAAGAGACCGGAGACGCGATTGCCAACTTTCTAGAGAATGGTTCTGGCCTGGAGTCTCTGGACTGTTTCTCCAATCGAATCACCAAGACCCAAGAGATGGACTTGACACCATTCACACGGATTCATTTTTATAGCCTGTATTACAATCCTGAGACATCTTACTGTCCGAAATGCTTCTTGGGTTTATTCAAGCTTGCCCGTTTCCTCACCAAGGAGAAGGGGTTTGATTCATTTATTCGAGATCAAATGGCTTGCCCAGACTTATAAATATATTGCAAGTCATAAGAGAGCTTACAAAGAAAAGGTTGTTTCACTAGATCCTATAACCCTTTCTTCCCTATGTTCTACTAACCAGGTACAATCTACGGGCAAGATATACCTAGTAACTGTATTAACCTCGCTAGGCAATATAATAATATACCTCACGCTTGGACTCCCTGATCTGAGGTTCTTCTAGGCAAGACATGTCCAATATCGTGATTACTAGGCGTCTTGTAAGGCGTCTTGTAAGAGTGGTAAAAAATATAGAAAATAAAAGATTAAAGCTGAAAATAATTAATGGTTGATAGATACCAAAGCTATCAGTAGCATTACAAGCGATTAGACTCTTCATAAACTTTCCTTATAGGCACTTCAGCCCTCACTTTGTCTTGACTTTTTCTGCCCAAGAAAGCAGTGGCGAATGAGAGGGAGGGGGGTGTCACGAGAAAGAAGCGGCACCAACACTAACCAATTTGCAAGGGGCCTCACCACCTCCCTCAGCGTCTCTCCTCACTCCTGAATGTAGGCGCTTCAGTAAGGGCCCTAACTCACTCATCAATTCGGATCAAATTAAGCCCTCAATTGGAAAGCATGGCCTCCCCCGGTGACGGCGATTCTCAGGCCCCGCCTACATCCTCAGCCGGCAATGACCTCGGCAAGCGCAAGAGGAACTCGGTGAGTAGCTCACTCATGGCGATTAATGACTTGGAAACTGACCAGGTCCATCTGTATTTCTACAGAGAGCCTGTGACCGCTGTCACCGGAACGCTTGCAAGGTGTGTTCTTGTCCCATTGAAACGTCAGAGCCGACAGCCGCTGACCGTCCCCGCAGTGTTCGCCAGGGATTGAGGGCGTGCCATGCACGCGATGCGAGGAGCAGGGCATCGCGTGTACTTATAATCGCCCCAGCAAGCGACGCGGAGTAAGAAGCCCGTGTCGATGTTGGGCTACCTATTCTGGAACACAGTCAGTTGACTTCTTGTACAGCCCCCTCCTCGTCGCTCGCGAGTAGACAGCGATACAACGACAGCTGCTCAGCAACCCCCGCCGGAGCCCGACGCTCCAGATGACAGCGACCCCGGGGCAACACCAGTACAGTTTGATGCCGATCAAGAGGACCAGGAAAGCCCTCCAGCGCTGCCAGTCCAGCCGCCAGACGCGTCACTGCCAGAATGGCTCTACAACTTTACCGTCAAGCACCAAGATATCGAGAGCTTACTCGACGTCTTCTATCAGAGTTGCTATCCATTGTAAGCGCCGGGCATGTTCCAGTCCATTCCCCGCTCACACGTCGCAGAAGACCCTACTTCCACTGGCCTACGTTTCAATCTCAGGTACACCAAAGTCTATATCGGCTCGACCGTGGTCTTTTCGCAGTAACCATGGCAGTTTGTGCATTGGCATCTGGACGCTTACACAATGGGATGCCTGTTCCCGAGAGCCCTCACCCCTTGCGTCTTGAAGCCGTCCCGCTTTTCACCGCATGTTATTCTGCCGCCATTGAAGCCATCCCGAGCGATCTGATGGACATTGAAATACAGGACCGTTACCAGATGATGAAAGTCAAGGCAATGCTGGGATCATGCTGCCTGCAGAATGGGGATCTCAAACGAGCGATAACACATCTAAGTGACTACACCACGCTGATGAGCATTTCTAGCTTCAACATTGAATCAAATTAGCCTACTAATATCTCGGAGCGCGAGAGACAAGAGCGACGCAGACTCGTAGGTTTCACAACCTTTTAGAAGCCTTCTTAGACCACTGCTAATGTCTTCACTTAGTTATGGGGCGCTTATCAGCAAGACCAATACATATCGAACAGTTTCGGCTTCATTTCATGAATTCGCGAGGCCAGAACATCGGTCAAGTACCCAGCCGAAGTCATTGACGACGCCGACATTACCGAGACGAGTATCCTACAGAGGCCTGATAGAGTCTCGTTCCTACGCGGTTGGAACTTCTGCACAGATCTGTACCGTCTCCTGCAGTATTTGGATGATACGTTCAAGACACAGCAGCAGTTTACGCGAGATGAGCCTGGGTCTGAAGTTGCAAACTTGCTCTCTCTAAAACGTGCAAAAGCTGATCCCGAGAAGCCGCCAATATCCTATCACCACACAGACCCTCAAGATGGTTCTGGTCAGCAGTGGAAACCCCAATATCCACTTACGCTGTGCGGCTGCGAGTGAGTTGCTGGATGAGCTCAGTACAATCCCCATCGAGTTCTTCTACGCTATGAATACCGTCTCGGTAGGTTTCTCTACTGTTCTGGCCAGTCATCCTCTCACCATACCGGATAGTTACATCACTTGGCCAATGTTGGCCACTTGCTAGGGAACGTGACCCAAGGCTCGCTCTCGGCATGGTCACACCTACAAATACGCAACATCCTCATAGTTCTAGCCGAATTTCTCGAGAAGATCGAGGCGAGACGGGATCCGCAACCTGGTCTCGCCATCAAGTTGCGGAGTGAAATCGACCAACGCATGAGGCAGAACCCTTCGACAAGCGGTCAATCAGGTCTTGGGTGAAGCATCATCGGCAGCGCCAGATGCTTCCAGGCCTACTCAAAACCTAGACGACGACCAACACTCTGCATGGCCTATGCCTCAACCTCACATATTGCCGTCCATATGGAACGACACCACTCAGTACCCATTGAACCCGATCTCAGGCCCCAACCTACCAAACCCGACTCACGATACGGCTACTACCTCAAATCACCCACCAAGGGACCAACCACTCTTTGATGACTTATTTCACACGTGGTCTTTTTTGATAGGGGAACCGGACAATTTGGATCCAGCGGACTCATTTGCTGCCCTTGGGATGATGCCACGGGATGCCTACAGAACGTCCCTGGCACCAAGGTCTACGAATGAGGCGAATGATGCATCCGGAGGCAATATGCAGGGGATATGAGAAAGACTACCTTACGAAATCGGTTACTTATGCTGTGTGATAGCTGTAATTCTGTAAAATAGTGATATTTTGCTGCCTAAACGAAGTCCTCTTCACGATGGTATCGAACATGGTCACAATCCATCATTAATACGAGTCGCCTCTAACGAGGGATTTTCTGATCAAATGCATACTTTACTGTTCATCGCCGCTCATCTCCTCACAGAAGAGGAAGACATTGAGCACAGAGGCTCGATGGACAGCTTTCACTACAATAACGGCGTGAAAGTCCAACCATATAACTCGGATAAAGCTACCTCGAAGCAAGAGCGGGTTCATAGAGTTATAATGAAAGACTTATTTGACATCTATCGAGGCTACCATGGCACGTTGTGCTATTGGACGTGATGATGAAATGTCCTCAATACTGGTCTCGCCCCTTTTCTTGTGGGCGTACATCCGTGGCGACAGCCAATTCCCGCATAATACCCTCTTCCAAGACTCCAAGATCAGTGATTATAGAAACCATATCAAATCCTTCTTGTGCCCGAGAGCGAGCCTGAGCCCCATTCGTGCCTGTAATGACATTAGCTTCCTACCATCCATCAAGTGACAGGGTCCTCGACTTACAAAAGATGGCAGTTTTCTTCCCAGCATTCTTGGCTGCTTTGAGAGTCCTCTGGATAGCTTCTTCATGCTCTGGCGACCCTCTAGTCACTCCCATTTGCTTGGCGAGATCAAAAGGCCCTGGAGAGTCAATCAGTCTGCTGTTCGATCCCCACGTCAGGTCCAAATTCACCTATCAGCAGAACATCAACCCCCTCCACCTTTGCAATCTCCTCGACATTTTCCACTGCAGATCTAGACTCAATCTGCACAGCCACTAGCAAGTCCTTGTTCGCCCTCTCGTCGTACTGACCGGCAAGCAACCGATAGAAACTGTGAGTCGCAAACATTGGCCCGTACCCGCGAGACCCAAGTGGAGGGTACTTGGAGTACTGAACGATCTTCCGTGCATCATCCTACCCGCGCACTTAGAATAAAATTGTTGGTTGAAACAGGTTTTCACGCACCGCAGAATGGCACATGGGTGTCAGGACACCATGGCAGCCAGCGTCAAGAGCACGCTTAATCATCCACTCTTCGTTCCAAGAGACACGAATTATCGGGCTCGCTCCTTCAGAAGCTATCGCGTTGGTCAACTGGAACTTCATGTCAGTGTATGCTCTGGTCCAGTCAACTCGGCATAAATACCTCATAGTAGTCCTTGTCAGAGATTAACCCATGCTCGGCATCAATCAACACCCAGTCAAAGTTGGAGGACGGGGATAAGGTGTAATTTAACCGCCGGTTGATGCAACCCACCATTATGCTTATTTGGGGGCGGTAAAACTCAATATCAGCCTTATCAACTCGTTCTTGACCTTCCCCTTACCTACGTACTTACAGGTTTAGTAGAGTAGTCTTCTTCTTTCCTAATCCCTACTCCAAAAGTTAGGTAGCTCTATGTCAAGTATCCATCAACCAACAATACACAAGCACTTTACACTCGAGACCCTGGGAACCAGAGCCTAGTTCTACGGTCCTCGGCCTGCAGCCAAGAGCACCCCTCTGCCGAGTCCCGAGCCTGATTTTAACATCCTCTCGACGCATCCCAACCATCAGCTGAAGGATTCAGTTGCCAAGTCAGCGTATGCCTCGCCATGGTCAGAGGCTTGCATGCCTATGACAATCCTGCCGTATTGGGTTATCAGGCGCGTGGGTGACAGAAAACATGGGCGGCCCTCACATACAATTTCTCTGGGGCGAGTGGTCTTGCAATCCTTCACCCACATCTGCTGTGACATGTGAGCTATATAAAGCAGCCCTATCGTGAGCCTAGTAGGGCATCAAGTTCCCACCGGGCGTTGCGGCTATGCATCGTAACAATAACGCATCGGCGCCGCGTTAGAGGTGACTTGATTGACCATTATAAACCCATGAAATGGTCACTCCCATGTTAAGTCAACCATCGATGTGTACAACATCTTTCCACCATGGCGATGGAGCTGAGTGAATTGTCCCACTCTCGATCGAGTTGGGCTTTACTCCATTCCGACGACAGAAGCGATCAAACCGAGTCTAAGACACCTCGTAAACCCCAGTTCCAATCAGGCTGGAGATTCAGTCTCTTCCTCGGTACCACCAGCTGCGTCGTCGTCTTCGTCATCAACCTCGTTGTCACCATATGGGCTACCACACGGAAGAAGAAGAACATGATCGGTCTCCCAGTTCTTCGAGAAGGCCGGTGTTCAGACATGCGCCATTGGAATTCTGGACTACATCTTTTAATCAACGCTCTCAGCTCCATCCTACTAGCCGCCAGCAACTATGCCATGCAATGCATCTGTGCCCCCACCCGGGCCGACATCAACAAGGCACACTCTGAGGGGAAATGGCTAGACATTGGCGTACCGAGCGCACACAATCTCAATCACATTTCCAAGAAACGATACCGTCTATGGCTTGTGTTGGCGGTTACGTCATTGCCGTTGCATCTTGTGTACGTCTAGATTTCTATTTCGTGTCACACCTAAGCACTAAGTTGGGACTGCCAGTTATAATTCGGTCGTCTTTTCATCTCTTGCAACAGTGAGCTACGACATTTGGACTGTCGACTCTCAAAAAGAAAACTTGGACTGGGAACAATCCAAATTCTTTAATCGCCACTGGACCTTCACTAACAATAGCCGTACCAATGAAGCTAAGGAGAAATGGACAACATTGACAGGGCTGGGTGTTAACAACATGCTTCAAAAACTCACCAACTTGGAGTGTATCCGCCGGTTTGCGACTTCCTTCCAGACCTCCCACCAGAATCTTATTCTCGTCACATCCACTGCACGGGATCCCAAGTTTCAGGGTAGAGCTACCTTTCGAAAGAATATCACCATCGTCCCCCAAAGTCTCGAGGAGATCTATTCCTGGATATGTGGCGATTTACCTTGCGCCGGGAGCTACGAGGGCCCTTGCCACGGCAACATGCCCGCCCTGGAGAAAGCGGCAGATACTTGGGCACCTTGGTGTGACAAGGTCGAGTATTGCTACAGTGAGCCAATGGAAGAAAGGTGCCAACTTACCTTTAGCCCTACCTTCATGGCGTTTGTGCTAGTCTCGAATGCCCTCAAGGCTATCGTGCTATTTTACATCGTCTCGAGGCCTCCATATGAAGCCTTGTTCGTTCTTGGCGACGCAATCGAGTCCTTCATGGCTGTTCCGGATGTCTTCTCGACTGGGCTTTGTCTTGCTTCAGTTGATGACATCAGGCAGAAGAACCCCCAGCATTGGCCCGGACCTCGGACATGGTCCCTAGACAGGGGTTTATGGGGATCGACCGTCAGCCCACGCCGATGGAAAGCCAGTATGCTCTTGTGCGTCCTTCTCCCAACCGCAGATCCGAGTGCAAATTTAAGCTAATGAGGTCTGGCATTAGGTACTTGGTCTCTCTCTCACTGGTTCTTTTCTTCCTCATCTTTAGCGTCCGTCAGCTTCCAGATCTAAGAGGCATGGGAATTCCAGGAACTCTATGGAGGCTTGGTTTCGGTACCGTAACAGAATTAACCCTCATCAAGAGAACAGGAGGCGGTGCTAGCAACAGCTTTACAATGACGCAGAGTGTTCTCCTCGCCAGTCTGCCCCATCTCGTCTTCTCCGGCTTATACCTTCAATACAACGCCCTCTTTACGGGCATGCTAGCAGCCCACGAGTGGAGCGACTTTGGACGAAAGAGAAAGGGGTTACGAGTGTCATCAGAACCGAGAGGGGAGCAGAGAGCACGATACTTTTTGCAGTTGCCCTACCGCTGGAGCATTCCTTTGATCCTCATGTCTATGACTATGCACTGGATGCTGTCCCAGAGCATATTCATTGTTCCGATCGAGTTCGAAAATGAGTTCATCACAACCTGTGGCTACTCACCCATAGCTATTGTGGCGGTATTTGTTGCCGGGATTATCATGGCACTTGCTGTTATTATAACAGCCCGCCGTCGACTACCAACTGCCATGCCTGTCGTGAGAAGCTGCAGCTTGGCGATAGCGGCAGCTTGTCATGGTCTTGAGGGAACTGAGCGGCCAGAAGATCCTCTCGTTCCAGTGCGGTGGGGGGCCATGGCCCATCCCGAGGACGATTTGGTAGTTGGTAAGCCAGGCCACTGTGGGTTTTCAGGGGGGTTTGTGGAGGAGCCTCAGGAAGGCGGTCTATACTCATAGAGCTTCGACCATACTGTCAGCGAATAAGACTTGACGAGGGCGCCAGGTCTTTGATTCCCAACACACTATTGTTCCTTTCGAGCAAGCTGAGATCACACGGCGACAGCCTTTAGCAGATATGAGAAGTCTGGGGCAAAGTGGAAGAATACGACAATGGGCAGAGTTCAGATGATGTAGCGAACCAAGAACGGTGTCAAAATATCAGTCCAGGACTCAAGACGCACCATCTCATGTGTAAGACTTGTCAATGTGCTGGCAATGAGGGCAAGCGTATCACTTTCTGAACCCAGTGAGGCCAAGGGTGTTGGAGGAAAGGAAGCTGAGGAAGGGAAGCAATTGGGGGATGCTGCTGTTCCGATCAGATTGCGAGTCGAAATCGAGGTACTTGACAGAAATTGTTTTATACAAGACTGAAAAATAATGGTAGCTAAAGAATAGAACGGCCTCTACAAAGCATCTCCCAGCAACTCCCTCGACATGCAGCCCCCGACCCAATGCCCCTTCTCGCACATCTATGTACACGATGAACCACTGCTCCCCTAGAGACCACAGAAGACGTCAACGCCGGTGGCAAAGAGAGAGCCAGGACCAGGCAGGAAACCAGCCAAAGTGCTAACAATGGTGCCCACAGCACCACAACCACCATCCTCCTCCTTGTTGGTCGAAGCAAACTCAATCTCCAGGCTATCAGCCAGCAGGACACCATCACGGTACAGGTTCGCCTTGATCATGGAGGGAACCTTGTGTGCCCAAGAGTGGTGCTCGCACTGAGCGCTGCCAATATCGCAAAGGCACTCGGACCTGACGGTCGCATCCTTGCCTCCACAGGCATGGGGTCCCTCCCATCGGGGAACTCCCTCTTGCCAGGTTGTTCCGTAACAGTTGGTGAAGACGTCCCAAGCCTGGGGGTTGCTAACCTCCTTGAGAACCTCCCAGAGAGACTTGACCAGCGCCTCACGGGCGTCGTTGAGGCCAACGTCGGGGATACGTCCCCACTGACCGTTGATGCGGACGTTGACACGGCGGTTGCCATCTTTTGTGTAGTGGGTGCAGCCATCAGCAAAGGTGTCGTAGAAGGTGTCAGAGACGACGCTTCGGCCGTTTCCGTCAGCGGCGTAGATCTTTTCCCAGGTCTCCTTGAAGAGGTCAAGGTTTCCAACGTCGACTTGGTGGTCGCTGTAGCGGACCTCAACCTGGATCAGCTGGCCAAGGGCGGCGGGAGCCAAGGCAGCGAGGACGGGGAGTGTAAACTTCATGGTCTTGTGACGTTAGCTAGGTCAAGCCAAAATGAGGACAGTACATACGAATGGAGGTGGTGGTTGTGGAGAGAGGAACTGAGGCGAGATGAGTTGTGGTGGTTCAACATCGAGGCTATCGTAACCTTTTATGCTTAAGAGACGCATGGATCTCTCGTGAACCGATCGAGAAATAAAGTTTCAGCTCTCCCCATCATGAAACCGGATTTCCCGTCGGTATAATTGCCAACACGAAAATTGCAGATCGCAGTCCAGGATACGAGCAACTATAGCATTGACAAGATGTTAAGATAGTCAGATTTCAGGTACAGTGTAGTATTATTTCAGAATAAGGTTTCGCCAAGAACAATGCGCCCATATGTGCCCAAAGACCTTAATGGGAAGGGCAATGGGGCAGTTGCAAGATCCGTCTGTCAGCCTTTATCAGCCAGACTGTCACAACACAAGACGGCGAGGCCTTAAGGCTTTGATCAATTTCAGTATATCCGTACCGTCTTTGCGAAAATACTGCAGCTCATACTTCCGTCCCTGCATCAACATGCCTGCTCCCTTCGTCTGACGTCCATCAGGCGGTCCCGTCTCGGCTGGACTCTGAACGGACCATTCCAACTGTAAACTATCCTCCACCTATTGGGACAATTCATCGCCTCTTTATTATGGATCCCCTCGGGCTTTGCCGACTGGCCAAGCCTCGACGCATTACGTAGCAAGGACTGCCAAGCGAAACAAGGGTCCTTCTTGGCCAAAGTCAATTCGACATGTCATTTCACGGGGCGGATGGCCAACGGATACGGAGTACAGATGAATTATGCAGTGAATAAATGGAGAGCGAGGTCGGGTATGGCGTTGTGGGTTGTGGGTTGTGGGTTGTGGCTATTGACGTAGCTGATGTTGATGGCAGATGTGGTGGTTGAGATCAAAGAGCCCGATGGCCAGAGCGGGCAGGACCCTTGACTCTCAAGATCAGCCTCGTCAGACCCGAGTTCCGGACATGGCCAGCGGCGCAAGGCCCTACCGATATAGCATGAGTTTAGCAAGGTAAAGGGACGGATAACCCACTTGCCGACAAGGGACAAGACCATGTCGATCGAGGGCGGAGTTTCGCCGTACGCCCTAAGAGACCTGAAGAAGGGACGAGTACGCCGAAAACGCCGATTCAATACCCTAAGTTAGAGGCTGAGCGACCAAGTGCCCTTTGGCCCTAGATCAGTATGAGGGCTACTTGAGTGTCGCGATGGAGTCATTTGTCGTTGGAGGCGACAGTGTCATGTGGAGGAACAGAGTCAATATACAAGGCTCCTCCAGGGGGAGAATACACCATCGCAAGGCGGTCATGCGGTCATGATCATCAGCAGCTGTCTTTATAGATGTACCTGAGAGAGTTGACCTTGTTTCTATCATAAAAATCAGTAAAGATGCAGCTCTCAAAGTGCCTTGAAAGGGAGCGCAGATTGGCGGTGGAGAGAAGCACGAAGTGCTGGGGTATCGCCAACGTTAACCCAGAGCCAGAATCAGCAGTCGTCATGGTCCCCCAGGGACTCGAAGAATAAGTGCCTGTACTATTTCACATTACCTGTCCAATGCTTTAGTGGAAGCGCCAAATACGTGTCCTTGGATTGGCCGTAGTAGATCCTCTTTAGATCGCTACCAACAAGACAAGGGACCGGCCGTCTCTCGTCACGCTTCCCACCATTCAAGGACTTGATGTCACAGTTCCGCATTATCCTTACCCCGTCAAACCGGCCAAAGACACTGTCAATCTTTGGGTATCTTTTGGTACCTGCAGCTGCTAGAAGTCTGGTTGGAACCCTAACCCAATATTTTCCTCTCCGTGTTGAGGCTGTCTTTCGAGCTGGTCTTGGGACTCAACATTCCATGACCACTCATGGCGACAAAGATACCGCGTTAAACAAGAAGAAACCTCACGTCTCCCTTCGGGTGAGGAAACTTTGCAACCTCGGTATCCGACATCTCAAATGTCCCAAGCCGCTCATACCGGTCACCCGACAATCCAACCAAGCAAACAACCAGGCCCTCGACCGATTTACCCTTACGGAGAACCGGAAGGACAAAAACCTCCATCACCTGTCTATCAGAAAGCAGAAAGTCTGAGCGTAAATAAATCTTGACAGGCATGTCCTCCGTTGCATTCTGATTCAACTTGCGACCTGCTTCAACCAACGACATCGGGTCCTCGAACCGCACGCCTCGTTCCAAATCCGCAAACACCCTCTCGGCTCTCTCTTCCGCCTTACGCTGCCTGCGGCGCATGTCCTCTTCGTGTGCCATTTTCTCGCGCACCCTCGCGGCCTCTTCCCGACGAATATGTTCCGCGAAGAAGTAGGGATAGAGGTACATGGTCCAGCAGTTGGAGCAGAATCTGACGGAGAAATAGAGGGCAGCTCCGACGGGGACCACTACAATAGCAAGGCCGGCTATGGCAGCGGCGAGACCAATCGCAAGACCGAAGGCGGCGACGGCCAGAACGAAGAGGATCGGGGTGCCGATGACGAGTAGGACCCAGCGAAGATATGATTCCCATATGTGGCTAATTCTTGTGGTGATCCACGTACGGAATCTAGAGGCTCTCTTTCTGGCAACTGTGATTGTGGCTGTGACGTTGGCTTCGATCTGTCCTCGGCGCTGTGATGGTCAAGTCAGCTTTGTTGTCGAAATCATCAAGGAGGGCGAGTGAGTGACTCGCTTACCGATTGGGCGTACTCAAGTTCCTTTTGGATCTTGGATTGCGTCAGTCAAGTCTCATCCATGAGCAACTCGGTAGAAACTGTACTCACAATCGACGCCTGCTCGACCCCAGCTTCCCTCGTCAGTATCCGATGATCGATTCCCCCGTCAGACGACGTCAGAACCGAAGCCGGCAACAAGATTCCCTCCATTCTCAACGCCTCTCTGACATTCCTCCCAGTCGTATTCCCACTGAGCTCTGCGTCCTCGAGCTGCAACCCCTCTATAACTCGTACCAAACTGGTCGAGGTCCTCTTCAAGTCCCCCGTCTTAAGACAGATCTCACCTTCCACCTTTGCCCACGAAAATGATGGCGCCCTATACTCAGGTGGTCTCCGTCTCACATTCTTATTCCCCACCTGCCAAAGCAACGCCTCCGGCAGATCCTCCGCTGTGATCCAAAGGCCGCCGCAGTATCTCTCCCCTGACAGCCCCTCCACCAGCGCCGCCACGCCGCTAATAGCAGGCAGTCTATCCGACCTGACAGTCAACTCACTCGCCATATAATCCCTCAGAAACGTCCACCACGCCTTGTGGTTCTTCCTGACCCCAGTTTCCTGATGAAGCAATTGCTGCAACCTCTTCCTCTCAGTAGCCACACTCTCGAATCTATCAATGTAGTTCTCCGCGGTTTTTCCTCTAGGCCACGACTCGGCTGCCTGCAGGTATGAACATCCCCATAGGATTTGGGTGTCTGAGAATACCAGTAGCCGCGGCGCGAGCATGCGCTCCTGAAAGACCCAGCCGCGCTTGAACCACTCGGATGAGCGGACGTTCTCGTCGTGCAGCCGGTTGAGGTAGGGGGGCATGACGTTGAATTGGTAGCGGGAGTCGCCAGATTTGAAGGGGTTGCGGATAACACAGGGGCGGACACGGTAGGGGCTCCTCTCCGCGAAGAATCCACCGCCGCCTCGTGCTTCGCTTTCAGTGTCGGCGGTAGCGGGTGCGGCTGCGGCTGCGGTGGTCGCCGCGGCGATGGTGCATGTTGAGCGCCCGTAAATCTTGGACATGGTGTTGGATTCTCTTGCCCAGTCTGCGCTGCCGTCGTCTTGGATGATGCACATGCAGTCAACCCAGAGGTATCGGATCCCCAAAGCGCGTGTCACGTGGGTGGCATCGCGGATGGTAGGGGATACTTCAGAGGGGGGAATGGCGATGTGGTATGCAGCGACTTTTGAAGACCTGAGGATGTGTATTTGATTCGTGGCCCATCGGTGGCTGAGTGCCACCCAGCGAGATTTTGGATCCAGTGAAGCGCCCGAGACGAGACGAAGAAGTGGTGACTCGATAGTGCCGATGTCGAGCAGCCGAGTTGGGACGAAGTCCTCGGTGGAGGGATAGCGAGGACCACAGGAGGGGTGGCTGTCGAGACAGCTCCACAGCCATTCTTTGGCGAGCTGAAGCGTCTCTGGATGTCCAGTCGTTGTTTGGGTATGGAGGTTCCGCTGGGCCAGATCCTCGAGATTGTCGTCGGGAATGGAGAGTTCTATCGGCAGCACAATGTCCTCGCACCCGTAGAACCGCAGCACTACCCAGGACTTGGCAGCCTCGTCAGGGACTCTCGCGGAATCCGTGGCAAGGAGTCGGCCTAGTCCGTTGGGCGTGGGATCTTGTTCCCACCCGCGTAGATACTCGTCCATTTCTCCGACCTCATCTGCACATCGGGACTGATAGGTGTACCACTTCATGCCGGTCCCATAACGCGCCCACTTGGGGTTGAGTGGTCTAAATGAGTAGCTGATGCCGAGTGGAAATGATTCACTTCTCGCGGAATCGTATCCGCGGCTCGCGTCGATAAGATGGCAGAGATGACATCCTGCCTGGAGAGCCAGGCGAAAGGACAGTGGTGTCTGCTCCCATGGATGTATGCTTCCGTAAGCGAGCCTTCGTGGACGAGAAAAGATGTCTTTGCAGGCTGAGCAGAGCATGGTCCAGATGCCCGTCGGGTCAAGTCGCTCATGATATCAGTTCAATTGCATGATATTCAGCTTGGACGATCGGAGCGTGATATACCTGGCGGAAGCACAAAGTTTCGGCGGGGGTTCAGCTCTGCCTCGCGGTGTGGCAAGTAACGTTAGGCAGACTGTGGCTATGCTCCATGAGGCAGCTTGACGCCTTGTTTATGGTCGCACATTAGCTTAGCTCCGCCAAAGTACCGTACAAGGGCATTCCTGACATAGCCATCCATTCCATTGCAACAGACATCCTCCCAACCTGCTCACAAACACAAGCGAAGCCAAGCTAAGGTAATGTTGGCAACAGATACGCCATCACAAAAGTAACCGTGCCGTTACGCTCATCAGCAGATGTCTTGGTATATGTACTGAAGAGAGTTGACCTTGATCCATCCCACCTCTACCCTAAGCACCGATCTTCCAGAACGTCCGTGCCACAATGTAAGGCCATATTGTCGACGAACGGGTGTAGTGGAAGTCGTCAAGCAATCACTGTCCATCCATGACCCATCGTCTCCCCGGTCAATACAATTCGGTGAAGTCACCGTTGCCGAGCAGTCGTCTCTTGTTGGCTGGCATTGTTTGTTGAGCGTGGTCAACGTGCTTTCCACTGGACGAAACTTCCCTACAGATTGTCAGTTCCGTTCAATTCAGATGTTATTCCCGACTCACAATGGCTTCAAGGAAGCTACCCATGGGTAGAATTCTTGGTCTGTCATCCCTTCCATCACACCGAGATCTCGATCCGGCTTCTAGCCACAGAGAAACTCCCAGAGAGAGATGTCCTTTCCCAGGCAAAAACTAGCCCACCAACAGGCCACCATGCGCCAGAAGGTCATCAGGTCGTCGTTCCAAACTCCAAAGTCCGAGTCGGGGTCTATGACATACCCGAGTACCAAGACTCGGGGGACCTTGGCGATCCCGGCGTGGGAGACATCTCCAACAAATGGGTGGCCGTCGGGGATGGCGTGCTTGTATGCCCACGTGAACCGAAGCTCATCCTTAAATCTTCCTGCCTTTTGAATTGCAGCCCATTCAGCACCGTGGGTTCCCCAAATATACTTGCCGAAATTGAAGTCGGCAGGCAGTTCGATCTCGAACGGTGTGTCGGTGGGCGGAAGGCCAGCGCCGTTCCACATGGCTTGTCGGTCTGTAAGGCCGGGAATCGCATGGTCTTTTGGATAGAAGGCACCGCCCGCCTTTGGACCTTGGACGAATTCGATGGGTGCATAGCCTACGACTCTGGTAAAGCGTTCTTCAAACATTGTAGTGAGGAGAGTCAAGCTGGCGGTAGACGTAGGAAGAAAACTTTGGTCGGTGATGAAGAAGGGGGGGGGAAAGTCGTGGAGAAGAAAAAAAAGAGTAATAACTTGGACTTTTGCTGCCACTGACCGTTGCCAGTTCGCTACGGTCCTTGACACTGCCCGATTGATCATTGACATCAATGGCCCAAGTAGGCAGAAGGCCATGGCTGAGACTGGAGATTTACAAGGCAATGCCCCATTAGAAGAATAACAAGACCAAGTACCCAACAAGGTGAATTCATCGTACCTGAACAGATGGGAAGACCCAATACGGCGAGATACGCTGTCAACTGCGTCATGACGGCTTGGGCGACTCCTCCGACCCAATCTGAGAGCCTCTACTAAGAATGCGCGTATAGTTGACAAAGAGTAAATAAGACTCTTAACCATCATTCAATAAGTATCATCATAAATCCTACAACACTCACGCTGTGCTTACCTAACTGTACGGCAGTGATCACGACCGTCCTCAATCCAAACACCATCTCCGAATGGCACCCAAGATTCCCAAGATAAGCGACTGCATTAGCTTTATACGCAATCACATCAAGTCCCGACGTTCCGGATCCCAAAAGGCGAATAACATCGAGTCCATATGGCGTCTTTTCCCTGGGCACAGGCTGACGCAATCGCCATCCCCTCTCTCGCAATAGCCGAACCCCATTTAACAAGCAGCGACATTACCCATGAATTGAATGGTTCATTCCCCATAACAAAAGTTCTAGATTTAAAACATATTAATCCTTTGAAACTCCACTGAAGATCATCATGCCGCCAGACTCCATCTCTAAACGCGAGCTAGCCAACGCAAGTCGTCGCGTCGCAAACATGACCCCTTCGCAGATTGAGAGCAAGCGCTCCATTGACCGAGAGAATCAGCGCTATTGCCGCGCCAAGCGCAAGACCAAGCTTGAGCAGTTGCAACAGCACGTTGAGGCTCTGACAAGAGAACTCGAGGCCACAAGACGAGAACTGCAGGGGTCGCAGGCGAGGGAGAAATCTTGGTCGGATACTTTTACTGCGTTGAGGTTGCTTCCGCCTGCAGTAACAGAAGAGGAAAAGGGTGTTGAGTGGATTGAAGACGAGGTGGAAGAAGATGTTCTCCAGCCGTATGGAACGCTTCCTTCACTTGACTATGATCCAAGTCTCAGCTCATACGCCGACTTTGACCTACCTCCTCTCGACTCAAGTCTCTCAGATACATCCTGGGACCTCGACATACCACCAACCCCAGTCTACAACTACACCCAACCCCTCGGATCCCCATCAAGACCACTCCCCTGGTCCAACCACTTCAACTTCAACATCCCTCAATCCTCTCCAGTCTGGAAATCCATCCCCCTCCTCCTCTCAGCAACAACCCAACTCGACGTGGTAATCCTCACAACAACTGATACATTCCGTCGCCACGGCCTCCGCCAAACAACAGCACCCTTTCCAAGCATCTCGTCACTCTTTCGAGCAGGAAAACCACCAGACCCACAGAGCTGTTCTATTTCAGACGCCGCAGCCGCACAGGTTCAACGTTCGCCCTTGCAATCTCTCCTCCCGCGCGTGGGCTTCCTGTTTGTTCTTTCGCATCTATTGCGTTGGTACATTTGTCGCACAAAAGAGAGCTATGAACAACTCCCGGCCTTTATACGGCCTACCAAATTACAGACGAGTGTGCCGCATCCGGCGTGGATCGACGTGATAATCTGGTATGTCCTTTGACCAAATGAACATCTAACAGAGATGAACACCTAAAACATCAAACACTAACAACTACAGGCCTCAAGTCCGCGATGCAGTAATCCAACAAATGGACTGGTCCCGCTTCAACGAATACCGCGCCATAGTCTCAAAGTCCCTCAACGTAAATTGGCCACACACCGACCCACGATCAATCCTCGAGCCCTGCGAAGACGGCCGCAGCTACCGCCTGAGTTCAGTATTTGAGAAGCACATCAGCACACCTGAGAACTGGAGTGTGGACAAAGAAGCAGGAGAGGTGTTTCCGTTTTTAAAACCTGTCTGCAGGGAGGGTGTGTCTACGTGAAAGGACTCGGTTTCGTTCTTTGAGAGAGGTGAACGTGCGCTTTGAGCGTCAGTGTCACGAGAGAGCTCGTAGGCTATCTTGGTTGAAAGGACGAGATATTATTATCTCGAAGGGTTAAAAATAAGCCATCGTGAAAAGTATATCTATCCACGATGCTGCCGTTTAAAAACTCATCCACAACTCATAAAAACATCAAGCCAAACTCAAGTCAACTACATTGAACACCATGAAGGTCGCTCTCTTTGCCTCCGTCATTTTCCTCGGCCGTCTCGGCCTTGCCCTTCCTCCTCCTCAGCCAGTTGTTGTCGAACCAATTGACGCCGCGTCAGTCGTCGTCGAGCCTATCGACCCTGACAGTGGCTGCAAGCCCTAGTAAGTCTGCCCTTCTCAACCCAAGACGTCCTCTAACAATTCCCAGCCAAGCCCCTGGTTGCTGCGTCCCAAGCATGTGTCGCTGCCTCGACGGTAAGTCCAACCCCCTCACATCCCAACTTACACTAACTCTATAGGCAAATACTACCTCTTCAACAAGGAGAACAAGCAGGGTGGTGGAACCGGCTGTGACCCTCCCTGGGGATTCCTGGGAGACACAGTCGGTGCCATCCCCGGATACTGCTGTTAATCAGGAAACATTCTGAATGAAAATATTGTTATTGCATGACCTCGGTAGTTTCCCAATGGACTTGAACCTATACATAGCTTGATCAACCAAATCTCCTTCTACAGATCTGGTCTCGCGACTTTGGTGCCTTTACATGTGTCGATTCCCTCTGCGATGACCTCCAACTCCCTACGATTTCCGAACAAAGGCCCAGCCGTAGAGTTGGCGTCTGCGGGTGTGTACATGAACCATCCACTGACTGGCCTTGCCGTGACTCTTCCCTCCTCTTCCTTCTTCTCAACTCCAACATTTCCCGCTAGGAGATACGCCATTGTATCTGTCCCGGGAGTTGGATGGTCTTTCATCTTGAGCGGTGCCTTGGCATACCCAATCGTGATATCCTCCATCGCCTCAGACTCGTAAACGACACCATCCAAAACGACAGAATCCTTACCAACCCAGACCTCTTCCCTCGGATCAATCCTCGGCGCCCCAGATCGCTGAAAGTGAAGAAACCCAGTGATCCATCCCGAAACATCCCATTCCACAGCTCCTTCGCCACAAGAAAACTTCTTCTTTGCCCGGACAATCTGCTCCCAGAATGATTTCGTCTCTTCGCTCTCCGGATGATCCCAAGTTCCAACGAAGCGTGTGAGGATAGGACGCAGATTCTTTGCGAACCGAGTAGGCTCTTGACCGAAATCCTTCAAACGATCAATCTTGTCAAGCAACCGAGCCCAATCCTCTCTCTCACCAAGAAGCGTCACACTGGGTATCCCACAAACAATCATGCCTTCAAACTCAAAGAAATACTGCATCAACCCCATCATCAAAACCGTAGCAGTAACCTCGTCATCCTTCGTAGTAGTACTGAACCCAGGCATGATCCAATCAAGCAGCCACTCCGTCTTGACCCTCTTCTGAATCTCGCCCCCAAAAGCGGCGATGATGTTCTCCCACGAAACCTCCTTGACGAGGATCTCTTCCTTCTTTGCATGCGAAACAAACAAGTCTCTCAAATCTTCGGCGTGCGCGCCCATGTAAAAGTTGAGTTGGGTGAGAATCTCAAACCAGACCTCGTCGGGGCGAAGTTGGAGATGTTGATGATGCGCCCATGCGTCAAGTGCCCCATGGATGAAGCCATCGGATGAGGGGTACGTGTTCTCGAGGTCTTTGAACGATGACAAGAGGAGCGAATGTTGGGGATCTTGGGAGTTTTTGTTGACTTCTTCAGGACAGCTGCGACGAAAGAGATCGTCTACTGACTTGGCGATGCCTTCGGTTCGGAGAGGAATGGGCTCAACATCTGAGACTCGAACCGTGATTGAGGCGGCCGATAGAGCTGCAAGGCTCACCAGCCAGAGCGACCATCTAGCCATGATGCAATATCTTGAATACTGATCACCTCAAAGCCATAGATGCAAGAGCGAACGTCTGCCTAGACACCGGAATATTCGCCTCCTCAGGACACAGTCGCCAGTCGGTCAGTGTCGAATGGTCAGACCCTGGCAAATTTAGCGCCCCGTCAACGATTTAGGTATTTACGTTAGACATCGCGATGGCTTCGTAAGTAATAACAAATGCAACGTAATAAACTTCAAAGCATCCAAGTATCAAGTATCGTCAGCCAAGCACATGTATCGGCCAAGTATCGTCATCCGTCAGCAAGTCTTGGTACTTGACGATCCTACCTACCACGAGAGTAAGCCATGTTTCACTGTCATCCCATGGCGTAACCTTGGTTGCTTAATTTGACCTCACACGATACATCACGAGAAAATTCACGATAAGACTCAAAATATTGAGGAACCGATGTATTCATGCTCCTAATCAATCTATAACTGTGGCCTCGCAAGGCAGACTTCGAAGTGAAGACCCAAATCCAATCCAATCCGTCCTAGCGCCATGCTTCCAGTAAAGAAAAATGTCATTTCTCGTAACGCCGCGGGCCATTCATTGCCATGTTCTGACCCTGTTCCGTCTCTTCTAAAATGAGCAAAGTAACTGCTTAGTCCTCGGCGCTGTCGGCCTGGACGCGCTGCACAACTTGCACAAGCTGGGGGAAGATCTTTTCGCTGTCCTGAATGCCGCAGACCTGCTTGACAACATCTTCAGGTCCGTTCTCGGACATGATCTTGGCGAGCTGCTTGGACTCCTCGTCATCCTCGACTTCCTGGAAACGGAAGGCCATCTCGATGGCGTCGAGGAGGTACTTGATGGACTGGCCGTTTTCGGCAAGCTCGGCGGCGGGGCCGACGAAGCGCTCCTTGCGGGAAAGCTTTCGGAGAGGGGCACGGCCAACACGCTCGACAGCATCCTCAAGATGGGGGTTGCCAATTCGCTTGACAATCTTGTTGACGTAGGCGGCCTGGGCCTCCTCATCGATGGCGTGCTTGGAGACAATCAGAGACTTGGTCTCCATGAGGGCACCTCGGACCTCGGCCATGATCTCCTTGTCCTGGAGAGCATCGTAGACGGTGCGCTTTCTTCGGTTGTAACCGTGGTAGGCAGCGGTGGCATGGCCAGTGTTGACAGTGAAGAGCTTGCGCTCAATGAAGGGGCCGAGGTTGTCAACCCAGTTGATACCCTCGATGTCGGGAATGCCAACATCCTCAAAGGGAGTGCGGTCAACAACCCACTCAAAGAACTTCTCGAGGGTGACATCAAGACCGGCATCGGGGTCCTGGGCGGGGACAATTCTGTCAATAGCAGAGTTGGCGTAGCGGGCGCGGAGGTGGTGGTCCTCAAGGCGCTCGGGGGAGGTGTTGCGGGGGTCCTTGATGTGCTCGGCAAGGGTATCAGTGGCGCCAATGGCGTTCTCACAAGCAATAACGTGCAGGGGAGCGTCGTCGGTTGATCGGCGGTCGATACCCTTGGCAATGACAGGAGCGATGAACTTGAGGATGTTGGGGCCGACAGAGCAGGTGACGACCTCTGCTGTGCGGATCTCCTCGATCAGATCCTCCTCGTGGGTTCGGGAGTTGATGGCTCGGTAGTTTGTGATGGTGTTTTCGGTGGTGCCCTCAGAGCCGACCTCGATGACACGGTAAGAGGGGGTCTCGTTGATGAGGTTGACAATGGTATCGTTGACATCGGCAAAGACGACGTCGTAACCAGAGTTGTGGAGGAAGCAAGCGACAAAGCCACGGCCTGGGGTAATTAGCATAAAGACTAGGAGCGATCAAATGTGGACCTACCGATGTTGCCAGCGCCAAAGTGAACAGCCTTCTTAGCCATGATGGATGGTGGTGGTTGTGATGTTATTGTGGTGATGGTAGATGTGTAAGTCGATGGACCTATTTGGCCAAGAGGATGGTTGTTCAAGTAGGGAAAATAGACAAAACCCAAAGAGCTATTGATGGATGAGATGAGGAGAAGAAAACGGTGACCGTAATGAAGGGGGGAAGACGAGTTTATATGGATGTTGCGTCGAGATGGGGAGGATGAAGCAAGCCACCCTCTTGTCAGTGACGACGACAACAGCCAGACGAGATGCAAAGATACGTACCCCCTCTGACACATTCATGGCGGAACGAGGGAAAGACAAGGCGAGGCAGGGAAGGTGCCCGGGGTGGAGACCAAGGGGGCCCGATTCCATCATCGCCTCCATCCCCGTATCTTTCACTCTTCGTCTCTGGCTCTGGGTGACCTCAGCGACTTTCCCACCGGCAGAGCGGGGCTTGGCGTCCGGGCTGAGGGGTACGTACCATACCTCTTCCGAACCGTATCAAACAAATCTGATCGAGTGCATCAAACCGAACCAGGGCATGGTTCGGAGTCTCAACGAGGTTGCAAGCCAAGGAACAGGGGCCAGAATGATGACACTACGCAGAGCAGAGACGCCCGGCGATAGGCCTGACCGGGCAAGAACTCCACCGGTGGATACGGCGCTACCGTTTGCTCGACGGTCACTGGTAGGACGGCCGACTAACGGACTGCAACCGGTGGCAACCCAACAGACGGCAACCTCAGACGGAGTGTACACTGTTGGGAGAAACTCTACAGGGGCCTTTGCGCCCTGCAGGTTCGCCAGCGGGCAGGCGGGTTTGCAGGGGGTTACAGGGTACAGCCCAGCGAGCCTTGCCTGGCACTCCGGGCTCCATGGGTTCCAGCTAGCCCCACTGCCAGAGGGTAGACGTCCGCTGGGCCGCTTTGCCTGAAGCCGCTCACCCATTCTAAGGGTCCCCTTGATTCTCACGCCACCTCCATCATTGCCATTCAAGGTCCAGCGATTGAGATGGAAAAGGCGCGTTTCAGAGGCAGTTGGGTGATTTCACCATTAAGAGGAAATTGCGTGTTGGAAATATTGAGGCTGCCCTCAGACTCAGAGTTGAGTTTGACTGTGCCCGTTGTGATGCATCACTTCCCGCAACCACGGCCCGCTTGACCAACAGCTTAACATCAGCATCAGCATCAGCATCAGCTTCTGTCAGCCTGCTCGATAGTAACTCAATTCACCATCTTTGACTGCGCACCGCGCGGGAGAACAACCAGATCCCCCAGGTACCACACACGCACACCGTCAAGTGGATCAAGGGAGAGGGGATGGAGAGATCCACCGTTTTCGTCCTCCTCCCACGTCGCTTCAATACCAAACTCTGACGTCGACTGCATCTTGGCCTGGGATCCATTCCGATACGTACTATCAAAATATTGGTTCGTCTTTCCATTCATTTCTGATGATGCTCGTTGGTTAGAGTTGAACCTGGCGGCCTCCCCTTTCTTGGGTCGCCCTTGATGCTCGGCTTGACATCACCTGTCTGAGCAGCCTCCTATTGCGAAAAGTTGGATGACTTCAATCTGTGCTCGCGCTACCGAGGACTCTGAAAACGCCATTTTTTTGGTCAATCAAGAATCCGAGGCATGATTTGTATAACCGAGCTGAGCCCCTTTTCACTCAATATCTTTGACGTGGTCTCACTCTCATACCGACTGCGTATCCCCTTGAGAGTATGTCAAGTATCTACGTAAACATGTCATGACCCGTATCTCGGCGCTTCCTCCGTGTCTCTTCTCACGATAATGGCCCGTGGTGGCGCAGAGACAAAGGAACGCAGGGCCCTCAGCGAACCAAGGGGTGTGCAACTCCACTCCCCTGCGGTTGGTGGCTTTGTGGAGAAGTGGACTCTTGAAAGCAAGTTCCGGCGCGCTCACGGCGGCGACGGCGGATGTTTCTTGACTCGGCCATTGGAGTTTGAGGCATTAGTTGTAAAGTGACTGATGCTGCGTCTTCTAAAAGGCTAAAGTGAGCATACTGAGGCGCAGACATAGTGGAGAGATGTTGACGCTTCCTCAGTAGGCCCAGACTGTCAGAGACTCGGCCTGGACTCTGCTGGAATGGAGCAGATGCATGTGAAGCCCTTCTGAAGGATAGGTATGATATGCATCTACCACAGCCTATTATCCATGGCAATGCCCGCTGCAGTTTAGAGGCATCCTTCACACGACCACAAGCCAAAGCCGACAGTCTCTGAACACACTGACTTGTCCCACATGTCGACACGTGTGGTTTCCGCTCCACTGATAGGGCCTCCTCATGTCTTACTGTCATGCCCGCATGTCCAAGCCGTGCAGTTGCACTTGATGCGAGGCGTTCTTGTTCATGTGCAGTTGCAGAAGCAAATGCTATGTAATAATACCTCGGTATCATGTATTTCTTACTCTATTGTCTCAATACAAGCCTCAATCATCCATTATCTCTTCCGTCTTAAGGATTCGGTGACACTCTGACAGACATGCCCTTTACTCAAAGAAGCACCAACTGCATGCTCACTACGTCATAATCCCCAAGCTGATCCCCCTCTGACTACGACTCTGCAAAGATCCAATCCAATCCCACGAACTCATCACCGCGTCGTCTGCACCAGGTGCCGGGATCATGGCCCCCTCTCAGTGAATCCCTGTCAAAAAGAGGCTGACTGTTTTGAGACACACAAACACACACACACCTCAGGGGAAAACGGAACAGTTTCGTTTCGGGCCACCGTAATGTTATGCCACGTCCAAAAGCCCGCATGGTTGCAGGCCGCAGAAACCCCGAGTCGGCCTTATTCTTTTCAATGATGGGCTTACATTCAAGCCTTGGGTAATAAGCATGTCATGATCAAGATCCCAAGATGAAAGTCTGGGCTTTTTTCAGAAAATTCCCGCAAAATTATTATTGATGCCCTAAAATCGTACAAGAAAAATGATTCACAATCCCAAGACGGCACAGCAAGATAACAACATGATTTGCCGACAGCAAAGTCCACGATGCTTGGCGGAAAAAGACCTCATCCTTGCCGGACCACAAACCCGACAATGCCGCCGTTTCCTTTGCAAGCATAGCCTCCTTTTTTACCGCACCGTTCTCAGCTTCTTGTGCCACCGTCAAGATAACGAAATCCAGCAAATCCCATCCCTCCATCCAAGTGGATCAGGACAGTTCTCCTTGGCACGCATGGCCAAGGCTAGGTTCAAAAGGATCGTGGGGCTTCAAAAACCTCACACAAGTTACGGTTACGATTACTGCCGCTGTCTCATTGGAGCCCAAGGGAGAGAAGCGGCCTCCGTATCACTTTTGGTCGGCTCCCGCGCCAAGTGCACACGTTTCCGCTTCGGCTTGCCCATTCGTTCTTCTACCGTTTGGCTGAGACACAATTGTACCTGTTGATCTGCCTGCCTGCCTCTTCGTGATAACAGAGAACCGGTTGATTAGTCAGTTTATTTCAGGCTGAATCTTGTGAAACCAACCAACGCAAAAGCCGAACCAGGCACGACAGGCCAAAATATCCCGAGTCAGGGTCTCACAGACAACGTCTACCGTTAACTGACACGACGTCCTCGTACATTGATCGTGACAATCTCTAGCAAATCAGGGAAACTAAAATCTCGTCATCGATTCTCGCGTCTTCTACAACATCGCGCACATCGATCGTGAAAGACCTCATCCACCGAAAAAAAAGACCTCAAGTTCCGAAATCTCCAGTGGCGACGTCAGAGCCTCCACTCACACCAAAGCGGTGCCGCCCCGTTTCTGTCTCTAGCCTCTTCACCCCGTGAATTGTTCCGCCTCTTGTTGCATCGCATCGCATCGCACAAAAGCAACAGGCCCGGTGTGTGTGGAGTTGGGGCTAAACTACCGCCGTCTACTGTAACTGACGACAACTGACCAAGAACGGGGTAAAGCAGGGACAACCAAAGGGGCAGGCAAAGGCAAGACGGGGTCAGACAAAGGGTCCAAACGAAACGGGAACGCCCGTCGACGACGACGATCTTCGTCTTGCCAATAACAAAGTCTGAGCGACGATAACCACAAGTCCGAGTCATGACAAGCCCAACTCCCGAAATCGGCCGATCTTGCTCTCATCAACACATACACATGCACCAACAACAGAACCCATGATAACGTGCTCCCTCAATAATCTCATGTCCCGTCCAACAATCATGCCACAAGACACTCCTCCCCCAGGTTTCCCCAAAGTCTCGGCTGCACTCCGAGCAAGCCCTCGATGCAAGCCTTCTCCGTTTCCCCGCGAAAAAGGAGCTCGTCCCTGAGACACCACCATCACCGTCTCCATCCAGAGATTGCCTGGGGACCTGGGGTTGGCTCATGCAAACTACAGACAGAAATGATCATGAGAAGCCCGCGTGTCCCGTTGCTCTGCCTCCTATCTGCCTGTCTACCATCATGTCGTGCTTGATTAACGTGCCATCCAAGTCAAAAGATACATAGGTACCATGACCCGATGCCATACCCATACCTATCGCCAGCTCAACCCCGTCTGTCGTGCAGCGAGGCGCAATCATGAGTTCAAGCTTCCCCGTCTTCCCCATACTGCTACTCAAGCCATCCTCTGTACTCCAGTTCTAGGCCCATCTTCTCCACGTCCTTCCCCAGGTCCATCCTATCCATCTCCGCACACTCCACCATGCTCACCTCACCTCACTCACTCACCTGGTCTCACCACTTTCACTGTCTCAGTCCAGTCTGGGAAATCCCATCACTCGATTCCTTGCCGACTTGTTCCGGACACATGGAAGCCCGGAGCTTTACATTCCAGAGCCCCTTCTTGGCGATCGGACTCTGCCCACCAACACCTTTCCCTCGGAGCCTCTCCGTTACACATGTCCCTGTCAGCAGGCATGGACTAGATACATGCATTGATATGTAGCCCTATACAGAGGTGGATGTATACACACTCTGTCAAAGGCACACTGCAAATCCCGCAACACGCCAGTTGCACGTGCCGCTTGCCTACTTGCTTTGTCCATGGACATGTTGGATATCAAACCATACAGAGATTGGATCAGCCATACATCAGATGCATCAGCCACTCATCATATGGGATCCCATGCATCAGATGAAATCACCAACATAATATCGGCCGAGGACCTTTCACGGACGACGGGAACGAATACGTATGTTCCATGCCTACGCCGCAATACATCCAGACTCATCTTGCA